TACTTATAATAATAAGTTATTATATATATTAAGTAATAATAATACTTAAATATAACTTATATAATAAAATAAGATAATTTATTCCTTATAAAGATCTTAGAGTATAATAAATAACTTTTAAATAATAAAAAAATAGATAAATAATAAATATTAAAGGAATTATAATATAATTTTATATATAAAATATATAGCTATTAGTTATATAGATACTAAGGAATTAATAAAACCTTAGAACGAATTAAGATAATATATACCTTTCTTAATATAAAAAAGACTATTTTAATAATTATTAGCTAATATAACCTTTATATAAAAACTAAGGTATAATACTATAAACCCTATAGTAAACTATAACCCCTATTAATACCTTAATTACTATAAGAAGCTATTATAATAGATTTTATTATAAAATTACCCCTATTAGAAGAACTAGCTATTAGAAACCTCTATAATAGTATTCTTATTATTATAAATAGACTTATAAAATTTTCCTATTTTATACCCTATAGAGAGTTAATAATAACTAAAAAATTCGCCTACCTCTTTTATTTTTATATTACTAAAATATATAATATATTACTTAAGATTATTATTAATTAAGGATTATTATTTATATCTAAGTTTTAGTAAAGCCTAATAAGATACTTAGGGATTAATTATAAACTCTCTATTATATACTATAAGAAGATAAATAAATAAATAAAATATATAAATTAAATATTAAAATAATACCTTTAATATTATATTAATTATAAATAAATTAATTAGGTTAAGAAGCTATTAGCCGCTTAATTAGCCTATAATATAGCTATAAATAAAAATATAAAAATTATATTAGCTTATACTAACTTTGGATTTATACTAAATACTTACTGATAATTATAAGATATTATTATTAACCCTAGAGTAATCCTTATTAATAATTAATTATATAACCTATATAAAGAAATAAGAATAAAACTCGAGTTTATTAGAAATAGAATAATAACTTATATTAATAAGAAAAGGATTAAGGGATTAACCTTCTTAGAGGGAAATATAATCTACCTTATAATAAAAAATATTAAAATAAAATAATAAAATAAAAAACTTAATTATAAATATATTAGATTATATAAAATTAAAAAGAAAATCTCGAAATATAACTATAAACTAAACTTATTACCTAAGGTTAAGCTCTATCTAATCTTTTATATTTTACTACTTAAATTAATATAAGATATTATCTAAGTAAAAATAAGTAATAAGCCTAATATAGAAGTTAATAGATTAGAAAAATATATTATAGAGGCTATCCTTAATATAAATAAAATTAATAATAAAATAATATATTTTATTAAATAAAAAGATTACTTTAACTTAGAAAATATATAGGAACCCCTAGAATACCTTACTAATATATAATACCTCCTAAAGAACTTTTATTAATAATAGGTAAAATAATATTATTAAAATCCTCTCTTAAACCTAATAAAGATTAATTTACTTTATTAGGAATACCTAAAGACTAAAGGTCTTATATTATATACTATTTATAAATATCTAGAGCTAAAATAAGATTATCTTCTACCTTAAGCTCTAAGGCACCCTATTTAAATAGATCTATACTTTACTTTTTAATTTTCTTCTTTATTTTCTAAATCCTCTATAGATAAGTAATTACCTCGATAAGAGATAATTAAAGCTTCGCTAATTAATTATAAAGAAAGAAGACCTAATTACCTATTTTATTTTCCTCTTAGTCTAATTTTTTTTATTAATTAATTAACTTATTTATTACCTAGATATTAGCTATAGATATATAGAAAATAGAAAGGGCTAAATATATATAACGAGGTAATATAAACCCTATCGCAAAGATGACCTCGCCTTATATATTACTTATATTTCCCTAAATAATTAGAATTATCTATCTTATAAATAATCTTTTTCTTAAAATAATAAGTATAAGATATATTAGCGATAATAGAATTTTAAGTAAAATATTATAATAAGGATTATTAATTAGAAATATTAGTCTTATATAATTTCTCGATCTTTCCTAATATTATATTAATAATATAGAAATAATTATAAGAGGAAATTAAGACTAATCAGTTAAAGGACCTTAGCCTAATAAAAGGTCTTAAGGATAAGAACTACTAGAAGAGAGGAGATTATATTATAACCTAATAGGCCTTATATTACGTAGGAATAAAGCCCTATAAATTCCCTTTTATATTGACCTATTATAAGGTTACTTATTATTCTAAATATAAGTCTTACTCTTTAGATTATAAGCCTTATAATTTAAATCATAAGGCACCTAAACTATATAAAGTATATAAAATATACTCGCTATACTTTCTTATATAGTAGCTACCTTAGCTATTAATATAACTTAATTATACTTAATACCTTTAAGTATATTATTAGATATAATATTATATTACCCTTTAAGGTTATATAATATTCTCCTTTGCTAATATAAACCTAGTATGACCGGTTTATCCCTTGGGAAATATCCTCTTGTCACAGTAGGGATACTTTTTAAAGGGTATATATATTAGCTAGAGGGTCTAAAAGATTAGAATTTATATATTAAATAAGGCTAAGATTATTATTAGGGCGAAATTAATATTCTTATTATATTAGCTTTATTAGAATTATATATTAGGCCTAATATACCTAATATTCCTCGACTTGGCCCCTTGATAAAATCTTATATAGAGAGCCCGATTGCGGCTCCCAACGAGTCAGCCCAAACTAGTACGTACGCGTCCTTGGGGGCTTTATGAATCATGGGCACCCTTCCGATGTTTCCTTGCTGAATCGTTCTCGACAAGGGCAAGTTCTCTACGAGTAGGCCAACCATGGCCCCTGTTGTGGCAAGACACTAGCTTGGACTTGGCAATGGCATCTCGCTTTGCTTCTTTTACTACCTACATGGATACACATCCTACGCAAATGTCTTGGATTCTGCAGGCTCTGTATCCACGCTACCACGGTCCCCAGTTTACTCCCAACCGTCTGCCTCCCCCTTGCATGGTTCACGGCACAACCGGGTCCCCGAAATCCCGGTTACGCCTATGAGCAGAATCGGGCATGTTGTGCGAGTTGGTTCTTCGCGCGTCAACCATGCGAGTAACCTGCTTGCCGGGAACGTCTAGGGGAGAAAAAAAATGCTTTGTCGGTACCGAGATCTGCGCTGTGGGAGTGGCTCAGTGGGGGACCGTTGCCCTCTTCCCTGCGTCTTTTGAAACCCTTCGCAGCCATTTGACGCCCTCTGCCGTCTTTTTCCTCTTTAGTATGGTCAGTCCGCTTTGACTTCGAACTCAAATCAAGCCATCACAATGTCGTCGGCTGCTGTGGAAGAATGGCACGCGGTCGAGCCTCAAGGGCTCGCTGCGGCGATTCTCGGCGTGACCATCACCTTTACGATTCTGTGCCTGCTCGTTGTTGGACTTCGAGTCTATCTCCGCCTGTCGACGCGGAACTTTGGTCGTGAAGATTGGCTGATGTGTGTTGGGACGGTAGGTTTCCCTTGAGGCAAGTAGCATGTTGGGAACCACTGACATCCAGACAGACAATCAACATGGTACACAATGGTATCGTGATATGGGGATGCTATACTGGCATAGGGACTCGTGACTCTAAGCTCAACACCCCCATCATGATGGAGGGCGCAAAGGTACGATAATATGTCCAAGGACGGCTCCCATTTCAGAACCAAGAGAATGGCTGAGAGCCCAGTTTCAACATGATAACAGCGTCAGACCCAATGCCAAAGACTGCTATGGGCCTGGTTCATGACCATATTTGCTAACTTCTCTCAGGCAATTGTCTTCTGGCAAATTTTCTACGTCACTGGCTCCGTTTTCATCAAGTCTTCCATCTGCGCCCAACTCATCCGCATCTCGACGCAGCGCCGCTACAAGATCATTCTGTACCTCCTTATTGCAGTGTCCATCATAACAACCTTGATAGCCATCCTCGCAGTGCTCATCCGATGCAAACCAGTTGCGGCTTCGTGGAACCCTACGCTGGGAACGTGTATCGACCAGAGCATCATCATCGCTCTGACGTATGTCGTGTCTGCGGTCAACATTGCGACAGATTGGTCCGTGGCTATCATTCCCGTTTTTATCTTGTGGAATATCCAGATGCGCAGGACGCTCAAAAGGATGATTGGCCTCGTTTTGGGTCTGGGTGTTTTGTAGCTCAACCTCCCCCTACCTGCCACGAAACTTGCTGACAATACTCACAAGAGCCTCGATTGCTACCATCATTCGAATGCCATACTCTTCCGCTTACTCGAATCCAAAGAACCTTCTATGTACGCTCTCCTTTCCATATCGATCCGCGCCCCTGTCACTAACGCCAGTCTCAGACAACGTGGGCAACATCATTCTCTGGACTGTTGTGGAATGCGGCCTAGGTATCATCGCCGGCTCTATGCCCATGCTCCGAAAGCTGGTCAAGGGCCTCTCGAAAGACGAAAGCACCGGAAAAAGCGGCACCAACGACCTCAACCTTGTCACGATCGGTCGAATCAAGGGGAAGCACCACCCGATCCACGATACCGATATCCAGATTACCGTCGTCGCAGGCGGTGACCCCGAGACTGCGAGGGACGACGACAGCACGAAGAGAATGATCAGGGTGACGAAGATGGTGAACCAAACGACATCACAGGGATATCGGGAGATGTGATGGGGGTTTAGGGCGCTAAACACGTCTACTCTCCTTGACGTTTAGGATGGATCTCAGTCTTTCATTGGGGAATGAACATCACAGGCCAAAAAGGCTGCCTTGGACTATTTTAATATGTCTAAAATTCTCGGGAGAGCTTTGCTGGTCATGGTTAATAGAACCAAGTTATCTCTCACCAGTGTCTAGGGTATGTAAAACACAGCGAAGAAAAAGGAAAAGGGAATATCACTGAAAAGGTACTTTAGCAATAAAAATAAATAACTACATGTAATTTTACCGTCAATATGATGCTTTGTGTTCTTTCTCTCTCCTCTTGGGGCAAACAAGCTACTTCCTGCCGTGACTTGATCAAACTATGGTTTGGCTCCCCAGATGTGAGTTTTCAATTCACGACGCGCGGAACTCTGGTACTCGAGGCGGATTTAGACCAGGAGACCCATAAAAGTCATTTATCTTATCTCTTATCATGGCTCTGAGTCACGTGTTGAATATGTGTCCTTTCATAAATCCGGAGTGTTTCCTCCGGTTGCAGGCATAAATATCACGAACAAACTGCATAAAACAGCATTGCAGAGTTACATCGCGAATAGTTAACGTGCTAACTAACACAGCCCATGAACATGTTTACTCTCATTATACAGTCCATGAAGTAGCATCATTCGGCATAACTACTGAATTCCATATCAGTATACAGGTATACAAAGCACGACTCCAACACATTACTAGTTCTGAAGTCTAAGAAGAGACAAGCACTCACCATACGGCAATTGATTGGAAACGCTGTTAGATCCTTATCGCTGCCTTCTAGCTGAACACCAAGCTGCCTCCTAACACAGGTCAGGCATGCATGTCAGCGCTTGCAAAGCCGAAGATCCGTCTGGCGGCCGACCGTGGCACCTCAAGCGGACCACTGTTGAGTAAATCATTTGTCAGCGCCAGCAAGTCTGTTTGCTACTTGGATTTATCTAGTGACGTTCAAAATTGGCTCTGTCATCTAGGCGGACGATAGACGAGATGGGATTCAATTATCTCATGTCGCCGTCTTTGGGCGGTTCCGCAGGAGACATGTTTAATACTCACCATCTTCCGAAGGCGTTGGTGTGGACTGTTATCATTGTGTTGGTGGGAGGTATCCTTCAGAAGATCATCAAGGCCGTCATTCAGCCTCGTTTTTCCAGATTGCGTCATCTTCCAGGACCCCAGGTAAAGCTGCCCAGCACATCTGAAGGAGATGATATCTCACTAACGGATTTTGCAAAGAATAATCAGTTTTTAGTCGGCCAAGCACTCCGTCTCCTGCGTACTCCAGGCCCAAATGACCTTTTTCTCCAATGGATGCGTCGCTGGCCCGAGGCACCTTTCATACGATGCCTGTCTTGGCTGAATTCGGAGATGCTCCTGGTGAACAACCTTGAAGCTTGTCGCGAGGTGCTGCAGACAAACGCCTATTCTTTTGTCAAGCCTGCATTCTTTCACACTCTGGTGGGAGAATTTCTCGGTGTTGGACTTCTTTTCAGTGTCGGTGATGAGCACAAGCGTTTGAGGCGTATCGTTGCGGGTATGAAAGCCACCCACTCTGAAGGATACCTTGCTTACCATGTATTCGTAGGGCCTCTTTCTCGACCCAGTGTACGGAGACTGATGCCTGTGTTTGTCAACGAATCCAATGCGCTCAATAGAAAGATTGCAGATGCCATCAAAGAGCATGACCAAGGGGGAATGGAGAGTGAGTTCCATTATCTATTGCCCAAAAAGGATTACGCCTGACCCTGTATCAGTTGAGACCTTCTTCACCAGAGCATCTCTCAACATCATCGGAGTCTCATTGCTCGGAAAAGAGCTCCATAGCTTCAGATCCCCTTCATCGCCCCTCACCTTTGAGCAATGCTATAGCAACATCCTCACACAGCCTATAGCGGGCCAACTAATAAGTTTCATTAATCCCTTTATTCCCTTGCGATGGCTTCCCGTCAAGGCAAACATTGACTTTGTCCGTGCCAAGGCGGCACTCAAGACCATGATGACGGAGCTGATCGAGCAGCGGACTGATGAAGTCTTGGCGGCGAGAGGTGGCCAGTCTGATTTTGTGCTTTCAGACGATCTTTTGACCCGAATGATCGAGGCTAGTTTCGGTGAGGATACAAGGCTTTCGAAGCAGGAGTTGATCGACATTGTCAGTATTTCCTATTCCTCATAATCATACATGTGCTTACACCCACGTAGACCATGCAAGTCATCGCCGCTGGTCACGAAACAACTGCCAGTGCTCTTACCTGGATAACATACGCTCTCGCAACACACCAAGATGTCCAAAACCGTCTTCGAGAAGAGCTATCAGGAATCGAAGTGACCAGTTCTGCGGCTAAGGCTATTGATGATCTACCCTACCTCAACAACGTGATCCGGGAGGCACTTCGGGTGTATTCTCCGACGCTAATGGCTCCTTGGGAAGCTAGCGAGAACATGGTCATAGCCGGCGTTGAGATTCCCAAGGGAACAATGATTCAGACAGTTCCTGCCATGGTCCAGATGAATCCCAGCATCTGGGGTGACGACGCCGAGGCCTTTGTCCCTGAGAGATGGGATACCTTGACCGGCGATGCCTCGAGTCCGTTTTCCATCGAAGTATTTTTAAATGGTCCACGAATGTGTCCTGGAAAGGCCTTGGCTCTGCTTGAGATCAAAGTTCTGTTGATGGCGATGATCAAGGAGTTTCAACTTGAGATGGTGGATACGGAGATGGAAGTCAGGAACCCAAGTTTGACGTTGAAGCCTAAGGATGGATTGCATGTGCGAGTCCGTCGGGTATGAAATTCTACACTGTCTTGGAAGATGATGGGAGGAATGAGTAGAAGCATGGCATTGTCAGCAAATGGCACCAAAATTATCAACTATTGCAATCTTTGCCTGCCCTCGCCTCCCGGCTTGGAGATTCTGATCCACGACATGGAACGGCAGCAACTCAAACCTCTTTTCAATGCTTTCGTTCATTGTTTGCCATCGTTGAAAAATTAGAATAGATGATCGGCGGGTGTTCTAGTTCCGCCATTACTCTTGGCCTCCCCATCTCGACTGGATCCAGACCGCCAGCCATGAGAGAAACATTGCGATAGGTTATGACTGCAATATGATGAAGTGATGAGTGACCTGAAGTGTATAGAACGGTGAGAATTGTAGAGCTTGTTTCAGGGATGGGGAAGGATTTGAGGGAGTATAGGAAGACCAGGTATCTCGACTCAGTCTAGAGCAGAGCCGAGTGGAGGTATCGAGGCTCATGAGGCGTAGCTGTCACTATGGCAGCTGAAAAGTAGCTTCGTCGAGAGCACATTTGGCGGCGAGCTGACCAGTTAACCAAGCCAGGTTTTGGTTCATCATGTTTGGCCAAACCACGAGAGCCTTGGCCCTACAAACATGAGGTTTAAACATTTCTAAGAGCCGAGATACTTTGAAGTCCTGGACTTCTGCAAGGAGAATGTCGAAGGAGGCTTATTGGGAACACTTCGATGACTTAGCTAAGGGGCATTTGAAGACTTGACGAACATGGGTTCGCGATTTTCGTATTCGTCAGTGTTTTAGATTATCTCTCGGCAAGTGGAAGCGTACATTGAGTTTACCATTATGTACAAAAATCGAGTCGTATAGGGCTTACTCCTTGGTGCCTCGTCGTTCTTGAACCGTACCGGTATGTATGTGTTGAAGCCAGTGTTCCCAAACAGTCGACTTGCATCCTCACATGAAGAGAATTTTAACCGAGGATATTGGAGTCTGTCATCTCACTCCCTTCGACGTTATCGAAACCTGATGCTTAGATACAGTTATCTAGCTTCTTTACCGATGGCTTTCCCCTTCTGAATCTCACCCAAGAAGCCCATATCGGCAGTTCTCATCCCCTGCTCTTCCTCGCGGAGACTAAACCCAACATATGCTCCAGTTCCACCTGACAAGCCTTGATCGACCCTCATGCCCTGGCTGAGGTGAGACGCCAAAACCAAGACCTCGATCTCACTGGTCCACGAATACGGGCGGGGGCGACCATTTCCATTCTGGCTAGACGACATGCACCCTTGACTCCAATCCACCAATCGATAGCCTCAATTTGACGAGTGTGCAGGTGGAGTCGGATGATGTTTGATTGAGAGGCATCAGGCCTTGACTCGAGAGACAAATCATGAAATTATTCAGCCATTTGTTGAACTGGTTGATCGTCGAGTCAAAGAGGAAAAGTTAAGCGAATATGGAAACCTTGATACACCACAGCCATTCTCTTGGAGGTCAGATCGGCATTGAGTGATCTTACTGCCTTGGTCATCTGTGACAATTCACTGCCACTGCCACGACTGCAAAGCTTGTTGATTCTGGGGCCCGGACTTAACCAAAGTCCCTCCGATGCCCCCATTGGCTGTCCAGCAGTAAGATGATCACCCCAGCAGCTGAGCCTGGATATCTACACTCTTTACTTTGAAGCTGAAGCGGAACAATCCTGGAATAATCTGACCACGACCTTTATACTCTCTGAATCAACCCTCGGTTTAGAGGCTGAGTGGTGTGAGTAAGATCCCAACCGACAGCTCGTCTCTTGGCCACAGCCATCGTTCCCTGGGCAGGCGACCCTATGACTTCTCTGGTATGCTGGTATATTTCAGAACTCGTCCCTGGTTCCATCGGTTGATCGATATCCAAAGACACTCCTCTCGCGTAGAGTGGTGAATACCCAACTTCTCCCGACTAAGACGAACACAAGAGCTTCTCTAATATGCGTAGACTTAGGCACAAGAACAATACTGACTAGGCCCAATGGGAACTTGAATCTCAGGATGATAGAAGGCTAAGAAAACTACTCGTCCTCAGAAAAAGGAAGGTCGACCGCTCTTGGTGGATCATCACGACGGGAGACAGATGTCTGTCGAATCATATCCGCCATGTTGAGCGTCACCTGTCCCTCGGTTGTCATAAGCGCCTTGACTAACATCTACGAAGGATTCAAACCTTGGGAAAGTCAGACGGGAGAGGTGCAGAAAACACTCCGTTACCCTGTCCCGGGCCATGTGGATTTGGTAGCATTGGGGTCCATAACATTGGGCGCTGTTGGGCCTGGGCAATCTCGCTGGCACTGCCACAGTTTTCGTCACGTTTCGTATAGACAAAGGGAGTAACTGTAGAAATTTTGTTGGAGAGTAGTTAAAAAAGTGCTTTTCATAATGAAGAAATCTATATCTGCTTGTGCCTAAAGGCACATTTAGCTTAGAAACCAGGCATGGGTTTGAACGTATAGTCGAGCTCTGACATCGTGAGATGCCTCTTCTGGGTAGAAAATACTGCAGCAACTAATGAACAGTGGAGAAGTGAGATATTCTGGCTTTTTAGACTTATCTTGGGTACAGTAAGCTCATTCACTTGACAATGAGCGATTTTGAGTTGAGCTCTTCCTCTTTTGGCTCCTCGTCGTCTATTCTTCTCTATTCGCCAAACTCCGCAATTACCATGCGGAGTTAATGCTGGGCGCTACTGCAGAGTAGCATTCGATCCACTGAGCCGAGCCTCAGGATAAGGCTGGACTGACAGGCCCTTTTGCACAAGAAGGGACAATAATAGAAGATTTTCACCAGTAACGTGGAAGGTGAAAGCCGAGGTAGCATGGATGCTCAGCCCTACCAGGGACCCCCTTGTCGTTCCGCCACAGGCTACCACCCATCTAATATTAGCAGGACGGGGTAGTGTGGTTACACGCTTTCTTGGCCGTTGACGTTGATAATCTTACTTATTATTAAAGAATGTCATCGCTCAATCTGTATTTTCGGGGCCGAGTCTCCTACTCTGCATACCATTCGTATTCGACAGCCAATACTCGTTACCGTTTGCCTTCACTTCAAGACACCCTGACCCTTCAACAGTGTGGGAAAGACCATTCAGGCGAAGTTCGTGAGCCATAGGCAAATCGCCAGCAAGGTACGAATCTCTATTCTCGTTTCCTAAGCGAAAATCCCAATCCGTTCAGTTTCACAGCTAAGAATCCCAGCATCAAATCTCCAATGCCCAGATTCGGCATAATGTCCCACATGGCATTCATTGATGATCAAAGTCAACTGCCCATTCGGAAGCGCGAACGGATCAGCGCGCCTAAAAGCCGTGGAGGATGTGTAATAGTGAGTGCCCTAGGTGTTGGCTGAAGGAAGACCAGCTGTTGTGCAAACCATGCGTCAAGATCCCCTTGACTGACCCCTTGAAGTGTAAAAGAGGTCACATCAAATGTGATGAAGCAAAGCCGAAGTGCTCTCGATGTATCAAGTCAAATCTCAACTGCGAGTACAAAAAGCCTGAAAAAAAGAGCAAGGGATGCAGATCAGAGCGTATCTCTCAGAGAATTATTCTTCCCAAGGCGGCAACGGAGGAACTAAGCAAGCTCATCATACGTCCACTCGAGACCAATTCTGGCTTCGATGATGAATTTGCAGTTGAAAAGGCCCCAGCGTGGATGTTCGGATACCTCGAGGGTCGGATGAGGCCCGGGGAGAGGATGATACCCCGTCAAGCATCTCCCCTTACTCAAGTTCTTGAGCCTTCCGATTGCCTGGCTATCGACATGCCTTTGAAGTCTAAGGAACTATTTCATTATTGTAAGACATTCCTCGTATCTAATGGGCCGGATGTGCTAACTATTTATCTGCAGTCTATGTGGCAGATCAACAATCGGGAGTTCCGCACAAGGATCAACGAAGAGATTGGTTCGTCTTAACATTCTCCTCTGTCTAGCGATACTGGTTGCTAACAAGATTAGCCTCTCGTTTGTCACCAATAACCCACACGCCTTTCGCAGCGCTCTCATCATTGCCAGCCTTCACTTTGTGTGGAACAAAGGAGACCTGCAACAGTTTAAATCCACCTTCCTAGTCCACAAGGTCCACGCTATTCGCATGGTAAACGAATGGATGGTCACCGAGGATTCGTCGCTGTTCACTTCGGTTGTTCGGCAGGTGGCCACATTGTGCTTTGCAGAGGTGAGCCGCTTCATCTCAGATTCTGTATGCAACACTAACAAAACAAGCTCTGTTTTGCCGACGTCGCCAGCGCTGAGACACATCTTATTGGGATCATGAGTCTCTTGGACCACAAGAAGCATCTCAGCAGCCCTTTGACTGACGAAGACCTCATAGAGCAGGAGCTTGCTGATCGGTATTTCGTCTTGTAAGTTTAAACCTGAGTGCCATCCTTGGGCCTCACCATCTAACCATCGCCTCAGCACATACACCTGCTTCGTGGGCTTCAAAAGCAGATTGATCGAGTACTTACGTCGCGTCGATCCTACTGGAAACGTGTACAACATTACGCCTGACGAGGCCATGGCCCTCACGTCGTCGTTCCTACAGTCAGAGGCGCCGACTGGTGCTCTTGCAATCAAGCTTGCTGCGCTTCGCCTTTTACCCAGCTTCTTCAATCCGATGCCTGCCGGTGTCAAAATGGCCGATATCGACGGTTACTACACTATTCTTGCGATGCGCGAGCTGACGGCTGAACTTGACGGGGCTCGAATCAAGCAGCGGAATCGGCCCGGTGATTCTACCGCAGTCTTTGAGGCTATTTGGTCCAATGGGGTAGCTTCAAAGCTGCTTGCCCAATATGTATTCTCTCATACACGGTCCATGTCGGGAAAACTCCCGCCTAGTGATGGACGCCAGAGATTCAGGACAACATGGTGTGGTATTCAAGCATCTGCTAATATGTATCTTCATCACGTTGTCAGAATGACCGAGCCGGGATTTTTGGAGCAAAGAGCGCATCATTACATGATGTATCTCTTCCGACGAGAGCTGAGCCAACTCAGTGCTCGACTGGAGGAGCCGAATTCAGACATTAGCCGGGACTTTTTGTTCTGGCACTACTTTCTTGGGGCGATTCACATGTACAAGAATGACAAGGAGTCCCCAACTGCTGAGTTCTTCTACCGGGGTATCTGCGACTGGAGCAAGGCAACCGGTGTTACTGAGTGGGTAGATGCGTGGGCTGCGCTGAGGGGAGTGAGTTGGCCTACAGAGTATCCCGATGAGTTGACTGGCCAGAGGGTGTGGGAGAAAGCACGATGTAAGTGAATAAGCCCTGAATAGAAGTCTATAATTCTAATCGTTTTCGTGTTGATCTTATCTCCCTGACTCTCCATGTCGAGAGGATAAGGGAGAGAAGCATTTAACACAGTCTTCAATAATGCGTTGAGCTCGTACTCTTGATGTTCGAATAACTCTGCCTGGCCGTAATGCTGTGACCTTGGTTCCATGGGAGCAGAGACCTATAAGAATAGCAGCAAGGGACGGAACCTCGGTTCACCAACGGCATTGAAGCCCGGCACAGCCGACACCATTTATTCGACTTAGCGACGCAGAAAAGTTACGAAAGGGTTGTCCCAAAATATGTAAAAGAAGTAGCTATGCTATGCGCAAAACAAAAAAGGGCTCTAGTCTACACTCTAGTTCTTGGCCTTGACATCAAAACGGTCCAAGTTCATGACCTTGTCCCAAGTGGCAACAAAGTCCTTGACAAACTTCTCCTTGGCATCCGCGCTGCCGTAAACCTCGGAAATGGCCCGAAGCTCGGCGTGTGATCCAAAGACAAGATCAGCACGAGTAGCAGTCCACTTCTTGGCCTTAGTCTTGCGGTCGGTGCCGGTCCAGAGCTCACCCTGGGAGTCCTGCTTGGTCCAAACCGTGGCGGCGTCGAGGAGGTTGACAAAGAAGTCATTGGTGAGCTGGCCCTTCTTGGTGGTGAGAATACCCTTTGAAGAGCCGTCAAAGTTGGCGTTGAGGGCGCGGAGACCGCCGACGAGGACGGTCAGCTCGGGAGGAGTCAGGGTGAGGAGGGCCGCCTTATCGACAAGGAGCTCCTCGGTACGGGCGCGAGCGGTTCCATGGCCGTAGTTGCGGAATCCGTCAGCAATAGGCTCGAGGAAACCGAAAGATCGGACATCAGTCTGGTCCTGAGTGGCGTCGACACGACCAGGGGTGAAAGGGACCTTGATATCCTTGAAACCAGCATCGTGAGCAGCCTTCTCGACGGCGGCAACACCACCGAGGACGATCAGATCAGCCAGGGAAACCTGCTTGGTCTTGTATCCAGAGTTGAACTTCTTCTGTATGGCCTTGAGGGCGCTAAGAACCTGCTCAAGCTGCTCAGGGTTGTTGCTAGCCCAGCTGCGCTGAGGCTTAAGAGCAATGCGAGCACCGTTGGCACCACCACGCTTATCGGAGTTACGGAAGGTGGAAGCAGCATTCCAAGCGGTGGAAACAAGCTTGGAAACACCAAGACCCTTGGCAGCAAGCAGCTCAGCCTTCAGAGTGGCAATATCATCATCACCAATGACATCACCCTTGCGCTCGGGAAGAGGATCTTGCCAAGTAAACTTCTCCTTAGGAACCTCAGGGCCCTGGTAGCGAGAAACGGGGCCAAGATCACGGTGGAGAAGCTTGAACCAGGCGCGGCCAAATGCCTTGCGGAGCTCCTCGGGGTTCTTCTGCCAGCGCTTGCAGATCTTGAGGTACTCAGGGTCGTGGATGAGAGCAAGGTCGCTAGTCAGCATGGTGGCGCGGCGGAACTTGGTCTTGTCAAAGGGATCGGGGTAGTCGACTGTGCCGTTGAGGGCTTCCCATTGATGGGCGCCAGCAGGGCTCTCGACGAGGGTCCAGTTGTTGGTGAGAAGACTGGTGAGGAAGCCGTTGCTCCACCTGATTTGAGTCAGTAACTGAGGATTCTGGTTGAAGTTTCATCAAACTTACTTGGTAGGGGTCTTGGTCCAGATGACCTCAAGTCCACTGGTCATCTGGTTGGGGCCGTTACCCTCACCGACCTTGTTGTGCCATCCCAGGCCCATCTCACCAAGGTCAGCAGCCTCGGGCTCGGGACCAATGTTGGCTATTCAAGTTAGCATTCAGCTAATTTCTCATTGAACCGGGAGAAACTCACAACCAGGAACAGCGCCGTGGGTTTTGCCAAAGGTGTGACCACCAACAATGAGAGCAACAGTCTCCTCATCGTTCATACCCATACGGTCAAAGTTGACACGAATATCCAAAGCGGAATCAGCAGGGTTAGAGTTAGCATCAGGTCCCTCGGGGTTCACATAGATAAGGCCCAGAGAGACAGCCCCAAGAGGCTTCTCGAGCTTGTCAGCACGATCGACAACGTCCTTGCTGCCGTTGTAGCGGACGTCGTTGCCCTTGGGGACAAATGTGGTCTCTGCACCCCAGTAGACGGATTCGTCAGATTGCCAGGTGTCGGCACGGCCAGCGCCAAAGCCAATGGGCTCAAAGTCCATGGACTCGAGGGCGACGTTGCCGGCGAGGAGGATGAGATCGGCCCAAGAGATCTTGTTGCCATACTTTTGCTTGATGGGCCCTGGAGACTTATGAGTACAATGTTACTTAATTGAGTAGCTTCAGGGACTCACAGAGAAGACGGCGGGCCTTGTCAAGGTTCTGGTTATCGGGCCAGCTGTTGAGAGGGGCAAATCGCTGTTGACCCTGGGCGATTGTTAGCGAATAGCCGTATTGGCTCGTAGGCATAACTCACCATGCCACCACCGCCACGACCGTCAATGGCGCGGTAGGTACCAGCGCTGTGCCAAGCCATACGGATAAACAGACCTCCATAATGGCCAAAGTCAGCGGGCCACCAATCCTGTGAATCAGTGATGAGGCTGTGCAGATCCTTCTTCAGAGCCTCATCTATCCCACGTTAGCATAGTCTCGGCGGTTTCAGATACACAAGATCTGCAACTCACAGTCAAGCGTCTTGAACGCCTCCACATAGTCAAACTCCTCGCCCAATGGGTTAATCTGAGGCGAGAACTGACGCAGCACATCGAGCCTTAACTGGCAGGGCCAAAAGTCCCGGCTTCGAGTACCAGCACCGGCAGCATTACCGGCGACACGGCATCGTCCAAAATCTTCGGCAATCTCCCTTGGAGGGAACAAGTCAGAACCAGAGTCGGTGGCCCTCTTGGCAAAGGGACAGCCGTCACCAGCCACAAGAGGCAGGACCCCCGAGGCCAGCAACAGCCAAGCTGAAGAGATGCCGTGCATGATGAGATGGATTCAGGTGAGATCAGACACGAGCGACGGTGAAACCCAAAGAGTCTACTGAGAGCTTGAACAAGGAGAAAGAGGGGATATATGGCTTCATTTGTAGCAGCCAGACTCGCAACGTGATTGCCCAGATCGGCAGGGGGGCTCGGTCAACTTGCACAGCGCCAAGTCGGCAGTGCTGATGTGTCGGTTGGATTTGAAATGACCTCTCTGTGACTGACTGCACTTTTTTTGCGAGGGGTCCCTTCCAGAGGTCCGACTGGCTAGGCTAGACGCATACAACCACACGTATCACCTCGGCCAAGAAGGCTCTCAGCACTAACGTCACTATTTCTGGGGACGTCGGGCATGGTGATAGGCGGCTGGGCATGCTGAATGCAGTTGCTTCGCCGCGTGGGGAACGGGCCCTGTGATGAGGCCGGTTGGCGGGGATCGTCACGTCGCTTACCATGTTCTATCCAACTGCCGACCAGGATGACGAGTCCAGACGATGCTATTCGCCCGGACGCTGCAAGGGGCAGCCCCTCAAAGCAGAAGGTGGCAGCTTAATCTCAACCTCGATCTTGTCTCGAAGAAACCTTAATGGAATCGTTCAACTTTGAGTTTGGATGACAAATTCATCCCTCAGGAGGCAATGAGGCATTAGGTTATCCCACCGGCAGGGATATTACCATGGGAGTCTACTTGGTACGTCTGACATTGATGAGGAGAATATTCGTGCCAAGGAGTGACATCGCCTGATTACCCACACGTGCAGGGTCCAGCGGACCAATAACTGCGAGGTGAAACAAATCGGCTGGGAAATAATCATGCCCTCTTCTCACCTCACCCCTGACAACGCGGGAGGCGGTGCCTGGATCACCCGCGCCCAAATGCCGTGCAACAATGCCCCGACTCTGGTCAGCGGGCTTAGCTGAGATGTGGAATACGGGCCTCGCAAGAAGGAATGCAGTATTACTTTGTTTCTGGGTAATGGATCTGCCACGTCTACGCTGACTGTGCGCCAAGGCAGCATGTTCTCGTCCGCATGGCTGGGACCGTTGCGAAAGTCCTGTTGTGTGGCTTGGCCCCGTCGTATCCATGTAAGAACCTTAATGGCCGTGATGGCGAGGTACACAAAGTTTACAGAGACGCTATCAGAGCAAAACTACGACGTCGTTAGCAGGGATCGGCCGCAGACGAGCCTATGGTAGAAGTGCTGCGCTTGTGGTGATAAGGAGCCGTAATCTCTGAAAATTGTTACGCTCTGTTAACGTCTTTTTCACTGCTACAGTACCTCTTCTAGCCCTAAAATCGACCCGGAGTGTCGGCAAACCCTTTTGGAATCATTCGATTGGCTTGGTTATTGGAGCGCCTCAACGTCTCCTCACCGTTCTACAAACGCATGTCTTCGACGCTGTGTTACCATTCCCCAGCCCTAGATCATCGTATTCGAACAAATGCGGCTTGTTTTGCACATGAGTCTCAGCCATGAGCCTGTCGCGTAAGCCAATTCCTCTTCACACCGCATCGCCAACGGTTGCACATTTCCATATCTTCCGACCTGCTTCACCGAACTCGCAATAAGCTCACCGCTCTAATTAATTGAACGTGAAACACCTCAAACCTGCAAACCTGCAATGCCATTGAAACTATTTGGAATTCCCTACGGAATACACAAGGATCAACCATCAAGTTTCTCCATTATTGTGATCCGGTAACCGATATTCCCGGCGAGACTCGGCGCACAGTCCATTCCAACTGTAGCATCCGGTACGCGCCTGCAAATCCGCAACCTTGAATCTAAATCCATGCTATGTATAATTTGGAATCTTCCCCTGCCTCGTACCACGAATCAGATCGAGCGGGATCTTTCTAGATCCCGCCGTACAGGGCCTTGCTTGCCGCACCGGCCCATGTCTGGCCTGGGGTAACATCCAATTTAATGAACAGGACACAGGATGTTACCCTGGTCTCCCGTAATATGTTAGAGCCGTAGCTAGTGCATAATACTACCCGAGTCCATTGCCGTGCATTGAATTCATTTAATTGTGCGCCAAGACTACGGGTCGTTCATAATACCGACGCTTCCCCTCCCCATCCACTCGTGATCACTACCTCGGTTGCCTCGGCTGGACATCCAATAGAGATGCAAGTTTGATTCTACAAGATGCTTCATCGTGACCAGCCATACGGAGTAGTTGAGGCTAAGGTTGCGCTAGGCTGTGCCACGGCACAAATCTCGGCCTCTCCTTGATGAATTGGGCTTGCAACGCCTAGGTTGGACCCGGCCGGCTCCGTTCTGAATGGAAACTCTAATGGCTTTTACAAGAGTGAGTCTTGTCAGGAAATGAGGTCTCGGCCAACACGTAGTGCCGGAGCCTGCAATAAAAGGGCTAGGCCCAAATTCAGGTACTGCCACCAATGATCGTGGCGCCGCAAAGACGAACAGCATTGAAGAACCGGCTACTCTGTCCCTTTGTGCCTGCTCCTGTCTAATGATGTTTGGCACTTGTATTGGTGCTTAATGGTTTTTATTATTGTCTGCAATCATGGCAAGAAGCCATCAGCCACAACAACAAAAAAACACAGTCATTAAGACATAACGGGATTATAACCCAATGCCTTATAAAGCCGTAACCGAGTTTGTGCTTAACGGTATGAATCAGGAGAGATGGGGGCAGGTGTTGAAACGTGTCATACAAGGACGTAAAAGATCCAAGCAGAGTTCAAAACCTAATGTGCATGCGCTTAGAGACCAGTCCTCTCCTGGCTCAGTAACCGCAAACAATCTAGTATGGTCTGATCATGAATGAAAGCTGATAGAGTTGGCATTAATGTTTCACCAATGTATAATATCACGCGAGGCGGCGGAGGGGAAATCCAAACTTGGTTAACGTAAATTCTGGTTCGGAATTTCCGGTTCATAACCTGCTTCTCGGAAACAACTGGAAATGATGAGTATTTCTAACCCTAATGCCCAACGAACTATTTAATTAACCCCTTTGTGAATCTATATCTGATGCACAAGTCTTGGTAATGGAAGACGATGTAGGTGACCTTCAGTCAATTTCACTCTCTTCCATGCTCTGCCAGGTATTCTCGAATCCATTCGAGACCCTCAGCAAGGCCTCGGCCATCTAGAGCACTTGAACCCAGAATATGCTATGAATAATGTGTCAGCGTATAGCCTCATGTGGTGCTGTGCAGATACCAACACATCTCTTGTCCTTTTCCAGTTCACCACGTATTCCTAAAACGTCGACAAGTTCGTCCACACTCATAGCCTCCTAAGCACGACCATCAGCACTGTTCTGAAGTAGAGCAGAAGAATCGCATTCCTACCGGCGAGTCTTGCTTGTTGGCAAATACCACAATAGGTTTGAACTCGAGTCTCTCTACCAGAAACAATCGATGCAACTCCTCTCCGGCTTCGTCCATGCTGTCGCGATCTGCACTATCAACAACAAAGATAATGGCATCTTTTGGGGCAAAGAAGCTCCTCCAACATGCTCTCAGCTTTTCGTCTCCAACAAAGTCGAATAGATCAAAGCTTTGCCCATTCCTGGTTATGGTGTCGACTTCTATCACTACTGAAAATTAACACATGCCGAATACCGTAAAGGAAAGCAGGACTTACTTGACCGCGGCGGGATTTTAGCTGGGACGGCTCTATGGAGCAGGTGCCAAATGATTGCTGACTTGCCTGCTGATGGCAGCCCAACAAGTCCGACCGTGATCTTTTGCGGTGTCCAGACGGAGGAGATAACCTGGCCCATGACTGTATTCTCGAAAGGCTTTATGTGGACGCGTTTTATGTGTAGAAATGGCAAGTAGAAAAACTTTTGGTCGTGTCAGCGGTTGTTGGCGGTCATATAGCAGTCCTTTGTAAGGCTGCCTAATTGATGGTTGTCTGTCCTTTCGGGGACCATATCATAGGTAATCACTAGGGGATCCAGCCACCATAGGCATGTAATGCCAGATACGTGCCTTGTCTGGGAATTGCTGCCTCTTTCCTAGAGTTTTATTCGGGAGCTGTGAAATATGCTGGGCTTTTGTGGTGGCGTAGGGTAGCCCAGTTTCATCAGATTCAACAACGAGCTCTGGCTTGCACAAGCTCTATTCTAGGCACATGTTGGAGTGATCTATAATTATCTACAACTATTCTCTCATCTGAAGATCGCGCTCACAAGGTTTTGGGCCGAGTCCGCTGTCTGGTGTTATCCTTCTCATCTTCTCCAGTGGCAACTAGCCCACAGGCTTCTCCAGGACAACTGATTTTTCCCCCGTAGTTGACGCCTTCCGCCTTCATTCCCCATTTATTAAGCGTGATTAGTTCATAAAAAAATTGCAGAGGCCTCATAGACCAGAAGCGACTTCTTGGCTGCAATACTAGAAGAGGGCTTGTGAGTTACTCCTGGTCTCAGTTAATTTCTCTGTGGTTATCCAAGTGGCAAAATCAAGTTAGAAGTGACCAATAACCATACAAGTAGTAATCTAGTCTAATAAATCCTTAGCTAAGGAAAAGGTCTCGTGAGATTCAACTCACCTCTGTCGAACTTTAACAGTTTCACAACCAATCAACACCAGCTGATATGCTATGCATGAGATATTCTTGCTTTCTAGAAGATAGTTCACTGCATGTAACCTCGCTGACTTCGCAGAACTATAAACTCTACAGGGAACTTTCCCTCTGGGCTCTGTGAGGCCACTGACAGTCCTGGAATCAGGGAATCGGTTTCTCTACTAACAATGGGATGCAGAACACAGTTCAACGACAGTCAAAAACCAATGATGCTGGACTTGAAGAGAGCGTTCTTACTACGTATTTCCCTCGCTCAACTCACAGTCTTGGCGAGCTCTGAGGCTCAATGTTGCGTCTCGGGTCAGGGCCCCTTGGCCCCCTACGCGTAAAAACGGCGTGGCTCCGGATCACCCGGAGGCGCCCCGCAGCTTTGAGTGCTTATCCTTGCTCGTACCCATCCTCGCTAATCAGAGTTCTGACACTTTCATCAGTGATTGCCGATGAGTTTTGACTCTTTGCATTGACATGATGAACTATCCCCTGATGGGACACCACTGGACACACATGCCGCTCAATGACTGTTCCGTTGCCACTTCCTGATGAACAGATAACACTGGCAAGATGGCCCCTACGAGGACAAGATCGACGGCCAAGTTAGGGCCCTCAGCGATAAATCACCTTATCCGACAGATCAGGTGAAATCTCCCGCGATTCTCCTCCAATGCGACCGTTAGGCGCCCGTTGAGCGCAATTCTAATTTGGGATACGAAGCCAAGATTCTTGGTATGCAGGGGCCTAACCTTGCAATCGTTGATCAATAAGGTTCGCTGTGGACCGCACGCAATTTTGGCGTTACGAGTTAGTGGCTCGATGCTCTTAGCGAGGGTCGTATTAAAGGTGAGGACCTCCGCAACGTGTCTTTGTTGTAGATGTTTTGGTTGTTTCGCTTTCGGTTTCGTTCTGTTGGCGTCTCATCATGTTGAGTACACGGCACAAAGGGATTCTGCGGACATGCGGTCTCGCCGCTCTGGTTTGTAAACTGGCGAGCTGAAGATAGACCGTGACTCTGACTCGTGAACGCAGGTTTTCTGGGCTTTCTACTACATATGGAGTACTCAAGCCGTGAATGCCGCCAACCGAGGTTATTCCCAGTCCACAATTGGTAACAATGAACGACCAAGACCGACTGGTCCACGAATGAATGCCACTTTCGTCACCCTTGCTCGAAATAGTGATGTCTGGGAAATCGCAAAGTCGATTCGACAAGTCGAAGATCGTTTCAACCACCGTTTTGGCTATGACTGGGTTTTTCTCAACGATGGAGTCTTCGACACTACTTTCAAGAACGTCACCAGTACCCTCGTTTCAGGAGACACATTTTATGGCCAAATCCCGACAGAGCATTGGTCGTTTCCCGAATGGATTGATCAAGAAAAGGCGAGAAAGGTCCGTGAAGATATGGCTGAACGAAAGATTATCTACGGCGACTCTATCAGCTATCGACACATGTGCAGATTCGAGTCAGGCTTCTTCTTCCGCCAACCCCTTCTCATGAACTACGACTATTACTGGCGGGTGGAACCAAACATTCAACTGTTTTGTGACATTCAAGAGGATCCTTTCAGAATCATGGTGGAACAGAAGAAGAAGTATAGCTTCGTCTTGAGTTTATATGAGTATCAGGAAACGATTCCTACTCTTTGGGATACGACACAGAAATTCATGAAGGAACATCCTGAGCATATTATCAAGAACAACTCGATGGGCTTCCTGAGCGACGATCACGGCACTACGTATAACCGCTGCCATTTCGTGAGTGCCATCAATATTTCTGACCTGAGGCATGACTGACAGAGTGTGGCAGTGGTCCAACTTTGAAGTGGGCGATCTCAACTTTTTCCGAAGCAAGGCCTACATGGACTATTTTGAGTACCTCGACAAAGCTGGAGGATTCTTCTACGAACGTTGGGGTGATGCTCCAGTCCACTCCATTGCCGCCGGACTGTTGTTGGAGAAGTCAGAACTGCACTTCTTCAACGATATTGCCTATTGGCATAACCCTTTCACCCACTGCCCAACGGGATCTCAGAAGCGACTGGATCTCCGCTGTCACTGTAATCCTAAGGATAACTTTGACTGGAAGGGCTATTCTTGTAAGTGTCTCTTGTCTATCCATTCTCTCTAGCGCTAATTCCTGCTTAGGTACATCACGATATTTCGAGCTCAACGGCATTGAGAAGCCTGACGGCTGGCAAAGTCAGGCAGACTAATCGCTTTTCCGAGCCCAGTACATATTGTTATGTAATTATGAACGGAGAAAACATGAGAGGGTGGGTAGCGTTGAGATTCATGGAAGTTTGATTCAGTGTATGGCGCGCATGGATGCGAGAAAGGTGTTTATGACCCAGGGCTGGGACCGGGACAGCCAGGAGTAAGCGGCGTGGCCTCTTTATAGAAAGTAATACGCTAAAAACATGGTCTGAAAAGAGACAACTGTTTCAGGTAGTCCAGAGCCGTCATTGCTTTTGTCACGGTGTTTGTTGCGACATCCCATAGAAATGATGATCAGCTGCGTAAATAGGCTATAATACTACTTCTGCTCGCCATCATTGTTACCATCTCCAGAAGATTCTGTCAGCCTGGATAGGAAGGAGTACATCGAAATCATTTCTTTTCCTTCTTCTTCTCTCGGCACTTTACACACTTGTCTGAGCCGATGTTGCTATCGTATGAGTAAACTTTGTTCTCGCAAGGTTTCTTTTGCTTGGCCAACTCGCACGTTTCATCGGTCAGGTCGAATTTCACTAGGCTTTTGCATGCATCGCACCAGTGACGATGTCGAGTGGTTGAGCACATGTTGAGGACCTTTTGGGCTAGGCTTTTGAGTGAACACGGAATGATTGACTTATCAATTTCTTTCGTGTCCAGGGACGTTTTTCTCGAGTAGATAGACTATTAAGAGATGTTTTAAGTTCAAGTTTCAGTGGAATGAAGTGACAGTCAATTTATACCTCTGAGCGTGCGAGATATCGCGTGACAAGCGAAGTCATTTGCTGCGGAGGGCTGTGAATAATGTTCTGCCGTCCCTCATTGGTCTTAGTTGCCTCTTCACGGATCACATAGGATTCTGATAATGAGTGTCAGGATGTGTGCAACAAGTGTGTGTAGGTAGAGTATGATTATGACGAGGCCAGTACCCAAGAGGGTCGTGATTGTATAAGTATGTGTATCTGCAAAGGCCCGCGACCGGAACCTCGTGCTTGGGTTAATCCAGCGATAGGTTGTTCAAAGATACGAGAAATAGCGAATCACCGGTGATGAGAAGAGCAGTTGTTAAATTGTGCATAGTGAAGATATCGGCGATTATTTAGATGTTCTCTGTTCTTGTCAGTGCCCCATGTTGTCACGTAGATGTTCAGAGGAAATGTTTGATCAATCTCAGAATGACACCTGATCGTTCAGCTTGAATGCTCGACATCAGAACAATCATGAAACCTCGAATAACAGGAGACAAACGAAGGGAATATAAATAACCAAGATCCCTCTTCCAGGCTCAAGTCTGAGACTCAATCTAAATCCTTTCGTGACTTATAACAACGATTGCGACCATCGCGCCCAAGACATCAACTTAGGTACTCTATCACGACACCCTCTCCACCTAGACTTTAAAACGGTAAAGATGTGTACTACCACTTTCGTGAAGTGGCACTGTCCATTCTGTGACTATCTCAAATACTTCGAGCAGAATGAAGAGATTTGCGAGCATGTAGCGAACAGAGAGCCAGAGAAGTGTTGGAAAGAAATCAAGTCCGAGAAGCGACATTCTATTCTACCGTGCTTAGAGTGCTCAAAGAAGATCGAAGAGGAGCGCAAGAGGAAGCATGCTAAGGAGTAAGTGTGTCCGTTATTTTACGGCATTGGGTATTAATGCGGTCATTTATTGATAACCGTATTATTTGTCATGATCACTGATAGCTCCTTGTAGAGACGTCACTGACCCCAACAAAAGGATTAAACTTGGGATGTGTTAGGAATAAGTTAGTGCATGTGTAGGCGAGCAATGAGTATTCTTGCATTTTTTCTAATGAAACATATCTACTAAAAACGTCTTCCATGACCTTGTCTGATTTGTTCACTCACACAGCTAGCTATTGTCAAAGTTAAACAATAACGAACTGCCTACCGTGTTGCGTTCCCGACGACATTGCCACCGCTTATCGCGTTTTCACCACCTCATCTCTTTTATAAGTAAGTGAGTGTTGGGTAGCCTGATGGGGGGACAAGGTCGGTCTTTTTATCCTTGATCCGGAAGATCAAGTGTTATCTCGGACAAGGTTAAAACTGGCAGAATGGCTCATCTGGCGATGCAGTTGGAAAACCCTCAGTGATAAAGTGGCTGTGTTGCGTGACAATGGGCGAGTCTAAATGCCTAGTTTGTGTATGTATAGCAATGTGCCCTTCTGCTGATGTGCTGTATTATATCCTTTGTACATGACTAGGTTAATGTTGATATATGTACTCCGGAATCATCATTTCCAACTCCCTGTATCGACCAAGAAAAGAACCACCACATCATTCACCGGGCATCGAAATTTAGAATTGAAATCGGCGGTATCGGGGGATAGACCTGGACTCCGTGTCCCTCTTGGCTGCGTTCTTCTTGACCCAGTATTCCCTCAGAGCTTCCTCCACTGCATCGACATCCCCATAAGGATTGGCACGCGCCATACTCTCGACAGTTTCCACAATCGCCTCGTCTGAGAAGGGGCCTGTTCTTTCCTTGACGTCAGCGAGCTCATAGGGCTTGGCACGCCACTCTTTCTGCATGGGGTCCAGGAATTGTGTGCTATTGTAGCCAAAGTCATCGAGCGACGTGACGTTGAAGGCAGCCATCATGTCACTGTCCTCATGGATCAAGTTGTGGCAATGAAACATGTACAATCCGTCGAAGGGGGCATAGACAGCAGCGACGCGGACGGTTTCACCCTTGCCTAGCCACACGACGTCCTTCAGTCCAGCGCTCTCATAGGGCATGACTCCCCGTCTGCCTTCGCGGTCAAGAACCAAGAAATCGACGAGATGGACGTGGATGGGATGCGTCCAGCCTCCAGAGCTGTTCTCGAGCTCCCATATCTCGACAGTGCCACGGGGGACCTTGGCCAGAACACGGTTGGCAGCATCGGCAAATCCAACGCCGTTGATGCGCCACTCGCCATTGGTGCGGTGGAAGCGGAAATGGTGGTTGATCTCGCTGGTCTCTGGCCTGGCGAAGGAGATATCCCTGAGCTTTTCGGGGACTGTCGAGTCGTCCTCAACAGTAGCGGAGCTCACGACGAAACGCATAACCTTGTCTGTGTTCTCATAGTCGTCATCCGTGCCAATTCCGCCAACCTTTTCGAGGTTCCGCAGCTCGAGTGTCTGGCCGGCATACTTGGAAAAGTCAAAAACAATCTCATAGCGCTCAGCCATAGATACGTACTGCATTGGCGGTCGATTAGTATTTGGCAGCTTCAAACTCTGAGTGCGTTACTTACAATGTCCGAGACTTGAACAGGCTTGCTCAATAGTCCAGTATCAGATCCGATGACTTGGAAGCCAAGCCGGGAATTGAGTGCATTTGAGTTGACAAAGTACAATGCAAATGAACGAGAGATGGCGGCGTTCAAGAAACGGAACCGGTACTTGCGTGGCTCAACCTTCAGCGAAGGCCATGGCTGACCGTTGACTTCGATGATGTCTCCCCAAAGGCTATCCTTTTCGCCGGCTGTAGAGAAGACCGAACCATCCTCGTTGTATTGTTTTGAGCTCAGGATCAACGGAATGTCGTAGACACCATATCCTGAGGGCAAGCCCAGCGACTCTTCAGCCGAATCGGTGAGGATGTAAGCCCCAGCTTGGCCCATGTACGCATTCTCGGCTGTCTAGTGCAATATGTAAGCATTCATGTCTTAGAGGATCGAGAATGCGATGTTTGATCAACTCACTAGATGCATGGCATGGTCATGATACCATTGGAGACGGGCAGACTGTCCATTAGGATAGTAGTAGTCCTTGTACTCTCCTGGTTGTGTGATATCCTCGGCCCACCCGTCGAAGGGAGCTCGGGAGTAAGAGCCGTGCAGGTGAACTGAGTTTTCATGTGCAGCATTGTTGATGAAGCGTACGATGGACTCGGTGCCCTTGGGGACCATGATGGTAGGTCCAGGCGCCATACCATCATAACCAGTGAAGGTGGCATCCCTGAGGTTCGGGTACACAGACTTGGTAAATGATTTAATCTCGATTTCAAAGTACCATATGTCTTTGCCGGTCACGGGGTTCTTGATGATCCTGATGATGTGAGCTTGTGTGGGTATTACATAGGGGTGACCTTACTTCAAGGGCTTCTTGACGGGCGGGATTGGGAGAGCGTTCCGATAGATGAGAGGGTATAGGGGGCTTTCGTCGCTCTTCATGAGCTGAACAACATCGTTGGGATCATCTTCAACGACTGCTTCCAGAGCGGCTGATTCCTCGGGTGGGATATCATAGGTCCATTTCTGGGCTGCACATAACCCACTAAGGCTGTTCAAAGCCAGGCAATGGAGAAGGAAGTGGGCAAGCTCCATGATGAACGAAGTTACCAAACTAAACGCTGGTGTAAAGTTGAAAAGTACGGGGAGAGGGTTGAAGGAGGACGACTGGTGTCTGTGTAACGACAGATGCTTCCAGTGGAGCTGGAGAAGGCTTCTTCGCTCTAGGGGCTCACACATTTATAGCAATCCAGGCCATGGAGTTTGAGTGAGCTCAACCACATGGACTATCTCCCATTGAGCCATATACCAACAGAATCAGATCATGCAACAGTTCAGCAATGATGGGCCCTGGTCGACTTACCGTAGGCCTAAGTCCACCCATCAATCATCGTGATCGGGACGCCTACCAATGCGACAATTCGGAGAAGGAGCACGACTCAGGCATAGAGAGATGCAGAAAGCAATACAATGACCCACTATAGGCGATGAGTCTTTCTACGACAGGCGAAGCATCTCAGGAGGACATGGTCATGAGGCCGGCGGAAAGCGCGGACAGAAGGAGAGAGAATGAAAGTCATGCTAAGGTCCACGAAGACTGCAACAATGACGGCGAACGCGGATATCCGAAGATCGAGCACAGCCGCCCATGTCGTAGGCAAGAACTAATTGGGATTAATAATTGATGCAGGTTGAAGGGGAAAGAGGAAATAGGGTGGTGAGCGGGTCGCCAAAGGCTAACTCAAGCCATTGCAACGCTGCCGCCGGGAGGTCAGTCCTTGGATTGGTTCTCTCGATGCACGTGTACGCTGGCCATGGGGTTTATCGCTTGGGGCTTCTTAACAAGGGCAGGAGAATGCAAGGAACAACAACTGGCGCAATAGTTGAGGACAAACTGCCAATATTCTGCAGCTCGGCAATTGTGGCATCTGAGCAGTTCAAGTTGATATGTCAATTTAGTATTAGTTAATTCTACCATACGATAGAGATCCCGCCACACATTGTCTTCGCTTCAATGGAAGAGACATTCCAGTCCTACTTGTCTCCTCCTGTCTTCTCTGCGACATTGGCTCCCCCCAATGTGTGTTGTCTCACAAAATCCCAGCCCCCTTCTCCTTCACCACTTGTTTCCTTTTTCCTCCCTCGGTTACGATATAATTAGATGCAGTCGAGACAAGACAGCCACTCAAACAGTGACGTCGTACTGGCCCCGGTGTTGGTTTGAGGACTGGGGCAAGTGCCGAAAACATTGCGGCTAGGCGGGTATCTGCCCGTTGCAGCCAGGCGGCCGGGGATCGTCACGGGTTTCCCCTCAGCTCGCTTAGCACCTATCAATGAGAAATCTTCTGCGGGCGGTTCGAGAATGACCAGGGTCCCCTGGAAACCTGGGACTGGAGACGAGTGATAAACCTCCCCCTGAACGATAAATAGAAACCCGGGGTTGCAGTCCGTGCCAAGAAAAACCTGATGAGGACCTTGACTATGATAGGACTGGTTTCTTTTTACAAGTGACACAAGCCCTCAGCGCAGGACCGTGCCTCTGCTCCATACGGTTTTTGTCCCGAGTCATGCAGCTTGGGAATGCATCTTGGCTGCGCCTAGCGCGGGACGGCTGGCAGGGCTCGTGAGAAGTAATTGGCTATACCACAGAAACAAATACAGCATGTCACAGTTGCATGTAGTTTATCTAGTTTGAACGAGGAAACTGTGGTACAGTGTTGGACTTGATACTGTTGGACATTTGCCGATCGGTTGCTCTGATCTATGCTTTCAGGGTATGAGCGAGAGAAACAGAACAATGCCACACATGTGGGGGCACCTGCTGTACTCTAAAACCAAGCTTAAACCCAACCTTCCCCGAACTTCTCGCATAGCAAGTGGAGCCTGCAAGAGTCATGAACCGCAGCAAGGGGCTACGGAGATATAACCCGCTCTTCTAGATGGATGGTAGTGCTCCTGATGGAGCTCGTTTCTCGCATCCTGGAGTTATGCCTCTGGGGAGCGGTTCCAAATTTTCTTGCTGCATATTTTAGTCGGGGCTTACCTGGTGATACCACCCAACGGTGTCCCAGTCGTTTAGAAGCTGGAGAACTGGTGGAGACTCTCCTACAGCTCAATTTAACGACATACCCCTCCCTCTCTCTGCCTTGATGTGCTTGCAGGAGCTTCAGGGATCAAGATTCAGGGCTTTTATTGGTCGATTGGACTGGAGGGTGTTGTCTCCCCAAGTCAGCGCATGGCCAAGAGTCTCATCGGGACGGTGATGATGAAAGCCCCATGGCCGGTTGCCTCTTTTCCATACTTTGCTTTTGAGACAGCTTAGGAGTCACCCTCATAGGTTACCCGAGCTGACCGAGTCTCTCCTCATGAGAGCCGACTGTGTTGTTGAAAGGCACGGTGCACCTCGACCCCCTACACTACTCTACTTGGGATAACCCTGTCAGTCAAATCCCCCCCTTACTCCCTTACATGATAATTGGTCGCTACCAAAAGAAAGCATGTTCAAACTATAGTTGAACGCTTAATCCCGCAGATACCGCCGATGTTGCAGTCCATAAGGAACCAGGCTGCATGAGCAGCACCTGAACTAGCACCCAATGAGTAAGTGTCCGGATTCCGCGGCAGTGTCTTCTGACTTCCCCGAATGACTTGTCATCATTCGGCCTGTGGACGGTTCACTGACATGCAGGCTGCATGCACTCAGCTCAGCGCAAACTCGTGGCCAACTTTCTCCATACCATGAAAGCACGGTATAGGGGCACCTGCTGGGAACGAATCTATCATATGATCGATTGCTAAGCATCACAAATCACAGCCGAGATCTCGAACCGAGCCGCTGAGGATTGACAGCACGACGTTTGAGGAAATTACCGCCGGTCATGGGCCACGCACTGCCATCGCCATCACTCACGGTTGGCCGATGGCGTTGCAAAGAACAGCATATGGGAGTTTTTCAATGGCTCTTTCTCTTTCACCGATCATGTAAATGATAAAAGGCACTCTGTCCCGAACAGTTCTTACTTCCTCTCACCACCTCCCCTCATTCCTTTGAAGTCAAATCTTGGCCACATTCGTTCTCAATCCTCACCCAATCCAATCCTTACAACGACTATATACCACTCTTTTAAATATGGAGTTACTCTCATTTGTCTTCTTTCTTGTTTTTGGTGGTCACTTCTTTGGTCTGCCTTTCTTTGCCTCTGCCCAAGACGCTCCTGTCTTCATCCAAGGCGGATTTGAAGATGCTACAGTGGACGATGAATCACTGTATAACACCGGCGGGACTATAAAAGTCAATGGCTTTGACATGGTAGTTCCTAAGAATGTTTTGGTCCAGTTCCCTGCTGCCTGGATCCCTTGGAAGGACTTCGTGGCTAGCAAGGCAGATTTTGCTGGCTTCGAGACTTTGGTGCGCACAATCTTCTTGGCCTGAACAGTGATTTGATATGCTCACTCTTTCACTCTACCAGGTCCTTGGAAACACCATCAATGGTGTTCATCGCGTTGCTCAAGTTGTTATTTATGAGTTCTTCGAGGGTCTTGCCAGTGGCTTCATTGAGTCACTCGACTACACAGACGGGAGCATCAAGATCCAGAACGGCCCTACCGTCCGTATCAGCGACCCCAATGGTGTCTTTTCTGTCGGCTATGATGGGGCTCCCTTCATGACTGCGGACGACCAGAGCCCCAGCATCTCGTCCTTCTCTGGATTCCCCATGTGCATCCCACGCAACGACACAGACCCTCTCTGCCCTCTCAGCAACAGGCCCTTCAAGGGACCTGGAACCTTGTACCTATAATACCCCTCCTTTTGTGATGACTTCAAGTTCTGACAAAGATTCAAGCACTGCTCCTGATCCTCTTGTTATGGCACCCTTCCAGGCAGGAGATTTTATCACCTTTACTGGCTTCCGCAAAGGCAACGAGGTTATTGCCTTTAGCATTGTTGCGCAAAACGTTCAGATTCAGACCCTGGGAGACATTGTATATGTTCGAATGGAGCTCGGCCTTCTGGGCATTGACAACCCTAATCCTAACGCTGAATTCGCGGATTCGAGGGTACGTACTGTTATCTCTTGCTGTCGCAGTTCTCTTGATAAACATGAGAATATGTCCGTTAACTTATTAATAGTTCATCGGGTTCACTTCCAATAACAGAGCAACCGTCGCCTTGTACGCCATGGATGTCGACCCCTGTACTGGGGATGTGACAGACCGTATCATCGCCACAATGGGATTGCGTGGAGGTCGCAACGAACAGAATAAGTTCGAGTACCGGAATGATATCTTGCATTCTTACACCAGAGAGTACAAGGTAGTTGCCGAGATCAACGGCGTTGAGAAGACACGCATGACCAAGAATGGTATCCTCAGTGGGACGTATGTGCAGCCTGTCAATGTCTGGGTCCAGGCTGAGCAGAACATCCCTGGCACGCCACCGGTTCCCCACGACTTCTCTGAGATGGCGTTCCTTACCAAGGGTGTTGGCCGCGATGAGGATGGCAACGTTTGGGGTCCTCTTGACCCCTTCCCCCAGACAGGTGTCTTTATCGAAGCACCTAACTGCCCGACGGATGATTCAGCATCAAGTACGTACAAAAATGAAACCAAGTTGCTGTCCTCGATGTCGAGAGACTAACACGAATGATGAGGATAGGTAATCTGGCTCGACGCGGATCCGTGGGCCTTTGGTACAGCCGCGCCAAGACTCAAGCAGTCGCCGACGCGGAGAACAAGGGGACTACTGATGGGTTTCTTGAGATTTCGCCTTCCGAGGGAGGCAACCAGACGGTCAAGCGAGTTAGGCGAGAGTTTTGAGTGATTGTCACTCGACATGTTACGAATATTCTTTGTATGCACATATAAAGCTTCACTTCAGCTGTTATATAGTAATTAACTCCATCCTTTTGTTAGGTCTAACGGTTAAGATGAAGCAGTGACGTCCCTAGGAGTGTCAAGAGGTTTGTACTGACAGAGTGGTCGAGGGAGAAGCATCGCAGTCTGGGGTGGCGCGCTTGCGAGGCCATGTTCAGCACTCTTGTCGCAACGGCTGCGGACAAGGATGCAACTGACAATTGGGACAGAACCCTCCCAAACGGAGTGTCAAGAAAGGGTGGTATCTATGCAACCGACTTTGGCAGGCTCTTTGTGCGTCAAGGACTATGAGTAGATATAAGGGATGAAGATGGTCAGACAGCAGAACGTTACCCTCGGGCGTCTGGGTTGACAGACCTTGTAGAGAGTGAGGGGGGGAGAGAGTGACTGCGAACAAGGGTGACTTGCTTAGGGGAAGCTGAATGCCTGGAAGTCTATAAGGGGAGTGACGGTAGTCTGGACTCTTGACAGACAACGGCTACCTAGGGCGCTTGGTAGACAATTTCACTATTCATAGAGCTTGGCGTTAGAATGCAACAGACCATTGGCCGCTTGCTTGACTGCTTTGTTAAGGCAGCGCCACACATGGACTACTCGACGCTATCGCCAAACCACCCAATGCCAACTCAGAGGCATGTCAGCACTTGGCAGCACATTAATTAAACCGCCAAGCCACAATATGCCTTCTCCGTGAATGGCAAAATATTCTTTAAGAATCAGGGCTGTGCCACAGAAGCTGTTTCGAATCGTTAGCTCTGCATCTCACCCAAGTCACTCATTGCACAATGGTTTCTCAAAAGTTTCTTTCCGCGTTGGCGGTCTTATCTTTGTTCTCAGGATCCGAGGCTGGTGTTTGCTACCCAAGCGTCTCGACATCGTCAATCACGGCTCAGACAGTTTCGTCTGCGACGGCAGAGTCGAGGACAAGTGTCACGGCTACTATCAGCACGAGCACAGTTGATACCTCCTCTTCGGCGACGGAAACAAGCTTTACAACTTTTTCCACCACTCTATCTACCACTTTCTCTACTACGTCATTGACCACGGCATCGGCCGCCTCAACCGACAGCATCTCCGTTTCCACGACCACGACCTCTGCCGAGTCCGAGGAGACTGTTTACCTTCGCAACGGAGACTTTGACGAAAGTTACAACGCGTCTCCTTGGTACTCGGCCCTTGACGTGGCCAATATCCTCATGGGTGTCGTCTCGGACGTGTCCCATGATGGCGGTCACTCTCTTCGCCTCAAGTTCGACAACCGCCCGCTCTACTTCCTCGCCAACCTCCTGAACCCGAAAGCTCTTGTCGCCGAGCAAGACTACGAGATCTCCGCCTGGGTCCGCTTCGGCAAGGAAGTTGACGACAATGGTGAGGGCTGCACGCAAGTCTTCCTCTGGTGCATGCACAGCGAGTGGAACTTTGCGGAAAAGGGAGGCGATGGACAGTTGTTGGCCTCGGCTGACTCGGTCAATGACTTTACTCAGGTCAAGGCCACTTGCCGCTGGTCTCAGGCGCAACTGGACAAGAATCCTCTCTTGATGATCAGGTGGACATGCTCCAAGACGCTGGGCTGGGTGGACTCAATCACTGTCGAGAAGGCGGGTCAGTAAGGACTGAGAAGGACTGAGAAGGGCTTGGCACCGTAAACCTTTCGTTGAATGGTCCTCTTTGCCGATGGACTAATTTGTTTTGTTTATCTTTCTTTCACCGTAGACAAATTGTATGTGCCCTTTGCGGTTAATAACCATTGCGCTGTTCGACGCCAAATAGACTGTCTCACATGAATATCTGCCAACTCAGTGATTGTTTGCCAACTACTATACTTGTGCACTCCTTAATTCAAGCATTTATATGTAGCCTGTGACGAAATGTTGTCATGAGAATACCTTGCCATCCCATATCATAACCTTAGGTAAGTTTTCTGATGATGAGACGTACATATCTCAATAACGGAAACCTTGAGACTTGGAAGCCTCGGTTTAAGCATGATTGTCTTATATAACCCGTTCCACCTCAATTGGGAAGGAAGCCGTGAAATCAGCCCTCATACCGTTGCCTCAGTCTCAAAGAGACAACACGCCCCAGCCGCAGAGCAAGCATCAAGTCTTAGATGGAATAACGAAATTAGAAAGAATGGGTTCAGCGCAGAAATCGACTGACGGGCAAATTTGGAGTACTACAGGACCGGAGAACGAGAAGACAAACACACTGTGAGCTCGCCCAGATAAGTGAAGAAATATATTGACGACGGCTACCTCCTACACTTACGTGTTGTTAACTCTATCCTTTTGCTGGCCTTTGATTGCTTCTCCTCTTTGATCAAACTACTTTTGTTCCTCCTCTGGTTTGCGGCCATAGAGGTAGCGCACCATGAAGTAGCTGTGAACTCTGCGATTGCGGATGGCGTTGCGGATGCTCATCAGGAAGACTTGGTACTCGTCATCGGGCCACTGGAGGACATGTTTCCATAGCATGAGAGTGTATCCTTTTGTCATAGTCAGTGTGAATCAAGAGTCAACCAGGCAACAACTGCTTACCCTCCAAGTCATTCTCCAGCGTGAGTCTGACAAACCGGCCAATCTCTGCAAGCTTGGGGTCCTTGGGCCAGTCACCCACAGGAATCTGAGATGTTATAGTCAGCTCACCAAACATTACACGGCACCTTGAGCACTCACCTTGTACTCAACCATCTTGATATCCTGGAAGCCAGCCTCCTCGATACCCTTCTTTTGCAAATCATGCACGAAGAATGGTAGCCCCAAAGCCTTGCCGCCCTCCTCGTACATCTTCTTCCCTAGTCTCAACACCTCTTGCCTCTCAGAGGTTCCGTCATCGCTGCGGAATTCGACATCAGCTTCAGCCGACTGGATCCATCCGCCCGGCGCACAGCATCGGTAGGCTTCCTTGAACAGAGCAGTCCAGTCCCTGATGGCACCAAAGAGGTAGCGAATGTGGATAAAGTCAAACGTGTTATCCTTCCACGTCCAGGTCTCACTCGCATCATCGATTTCGAAGCGCACATTCGGAGGAACCCACTTGGGCTGGCAGGGAGACAGATCAGTGCCTGTTACTTCGGCACCGGGATACTGGTCGGCAAAATCACTATGGCTTATCAGCACGAGGATATCCGTCAAGGTGTGTAGTAATCGTACATTGCCCAAATACCTATTAGAGTGTCAGTGAGGCGTCAGCGTTGAGCAGGAGAGACCTTACCGCTTCCTGTGCCAACATCAAGAACTCGCTACAGCAAATTCACGTTAACTTATGTGCTTCATAGTTTGGAAATATTAATTTGCACCTGAACATCATCCTTAATTGGAGCAAGAAATAGCTTGCCGTCCAAGAGGATCATCAAGTAGTGGTGGCTACGACAGTCAGTAGGCATCAATTGGATAGGAGGTCAATCGTACGTAATATCCACAGACTCGAGTTGTCGTTCATCGTTGGGGAACGAATACTCGGTGTCAAATTTGTCGCTGTGAAAAGTGCGACCCTGAATCTGACGATACTCAAGAATACTAGCAGACACTGACGCAGTCGAGCTCTCTCTAGTGTCTCACATTAAAAGCGTGTCTCAGCCCCTCGAGGGGAACTCACACGTCGGATCCAAGAGACGAATCGCCATCATCGAAGGCGTCACCCTAGTTCAAAAGATCAGCCGCATGCATGAGGCATTAAGGACCAGTCAAAAGACACCTCGACGTCATCAGCGGGAACAATCTGAGGCTGGGGAGACGCCGCAGTAGCTGGTGTGCGCTCCCCGGCAGGCGACTTGGACGCAGCACGCAGATCAGACATGGCGAGCTGTATACAAAGTTCGATGTTGATTGAAGAGATGCGAGAGGACAACAAAGAAGCGTGTGGAGATTGGGGAGAGTGAGGGGAATAGCGCGCGCTCGAGCCGTGGCCCCATTAATCACGGGGAATTTTCGACGCGGAGGTAGCACCGGGAGCTTCGGCCCGTGTTGACGCGAGTCAGGGGGCTTATCCAATAGGAAGCTATGTATGCTGTGAGGTCCGGTTAGAGGGAAGACGCTGAGGCCAGGTAAAGATCAAGTGTAAAGGAGAACATGAAGCTATTCATATGTCTCGAGATCTGTATAAACGGGTCTCGTTCTTGGTCGTTGACTAGCTTGTGGGTGACGTGCCGCTAAAAGCTGATGCCGCGTGCCAAGTTCGTGACTAGACTTGCGCCATTTGCCAGACCATGCCGTTTCTGGTGTCTGGAACGCGGATCCCGGGCCGAGTTGCCAGTTGTCAACCTAGCGAGGGACAGACGTGAGTGGTTGGCAAAGTTGGCAAGTTGCATTGACGATTTGTGTGAATGTGATGGTCGGTTTATAGCTGTTGGATTGAGTATTGTTGGGTGAGCTTGTTGGTTTGTTGGTTGAGGCCATAACCGAGGTTAATTCTGTGGAGTGACTGTTACACAGACGCGACACGAGTTTCGTTTCGAGTGCCCATGTACACAATGATGACTGTCTTCTTTGTCTGACCCTCTATCATCGTTGGAGAAGAAATATGTGAATCAGCAATGGCAATGTACACAGAACCGTTCTATCAAGATAGCCATGCCCTTCCAGCGCCTCTTCCAGTATAATGTCGCTACCGATTATCCCAACCGTCGCTTCATCTCCATTAGAATGTCCGACACTTGACTCAGATTGTCAAAAGCATCCTGTGACAGATCCGCTGACCCTAGCACCTCCTCCAATACAGCTTCTGCGCGCTCCAAATCCCCCCTGCTCGCATACTTGTCCTCTCTCAACTTGGCATTTTCCTTCTCAACCTGTTTGTACTGGCTCTTGAGTCGCATGTGATTTCTCTCCAATTGTGTTTGGCTGGTACTCCCTGCTACACTTCCCGGTGCACTTCGTGATGATGCTGATGGTGCGGTGCTGGTTGCAGGGGTTGACGGACGGGGAGGCGTCCATGGATTCGACTGCTCGGATGATGCACCAGAGAATGAGCCCACGCCTGCTGATATTGTGATTTCAGGGATGTTTCCTGGGTTTAATGAATCTGGGACTTGGAACACGGGGACAGAAAAATGCTGTGATACGAAAGTTGACGTGGCCGCATTGGCGTCGATACCCAAGACCATCTGATCCAGAGGGTTTGGACTGCAGAAGCGATTAGAGGGCGGCCGTCGAGGCAAAAAATGACTTACAAGACATCTGCAGGGGCTGAGTCAAGGATGGAGGCTGAAAAGTTCATCGCTGGAAGCATGATGGCAGGGGCTCGGTGAACATAGTCTTGACCAACAATCAGTAACTCCACCACTTCCCCAATACGTGAGCACTCACATGGCGAGTACTCCAACTTCAAAGATTCCGAATCTCGATCCTGCATCCCCGGAATGAGCAGCTTAAAGATAAACCACCAACCGGCCAAATCAGACATGGGTGTTGAGAAACGCTCGGTAATGCTTTCGTGCGCCGCGCTCATCAGACGCTCAAAGTCTGGTAGGGGTATTACAGGGCATGCTGCGAGTGACTCGTGAGTGCGTGCTTTGGCGTCGCTTTCGAAGGCTTTCAAGCAGCGGTTACAGCGACGGGAACGCTTGTGACGACGACCAAGATGTTGCCTGCGCTATGTCAGTATATCGCCTAAAATGGGGACCGTGGAGGAATACTTGAGCCTAGAGATATCCTCACATCCACCCAGCGGATTCTTGGGCCCTCGCTCTAGACAGTTCAAGGCATCAGGTTCGAATACCCGATAAGGGCAGGCAAATCGAGGGCGAGACCCCATAACAGACGCCGGGCCATCACCCTTTCGCCTCTTCTTGCCCGTTCGTCCTCCATCTCCACCCTCTACCGCACTTTGATTGCTAGGAGTCGAAGGCCCAGCCCACGGCGCTTGTTGTCCACTCCCTGGTGCCCCCACCCAGCCCTGTCCCATTCCTGTGCCGCTCCATGTACCGTGTTCTGCATCGCCTGCCTCTGAACTTTCGGAAGATTCTGATTCGTCTGTATCACTTTCATCACCGCCTGCGGCTGTTTTTCGAGTGGCGTTTGTCGAGAGGACCATTTTCACCTCTACGGTAGCCATACCAATCTGCTTGAACGATGGCTTCTGAGGCGGCGGCGTCTCAGGGAGGTTGGTTGACACTGGGGCAGAAATCTCGAGAACGGGATCATTTAGCTTCGCTGGAGGAGGCAAAACGACATCGGTGACCTTTTCTTTCTTGGGACTAACAATCTTCGGGGAGACAGACGCGAGCTCCTTGGGTGTCGTTGAGGAGACCAAGTAATGGTGCGGAGTCCTTGCTCTGAGAGGGCTGACGACTTTTGGGGACTCTGGAATAGAATTCTTGGGTGTAATTGGAGAAAATAAGTCTTGATGCGGCGTCTTTGTCCTCGGAGGGCTGACGGCCTTGGGGGCTTCAGGGACGGGTGGCGGAGTTATTAGTGAGAACAACTCTTGATGTGGTGTCTTGGCCCTCTGGGGGCGAGGTTTGGGGACTGAGGTTTCGATACCTACTCGAGGAAACAAGCCACCGTAAGGAAATTTCTCCTTTGGAGGTGGGTTTAACTTGGCCTGAGGCGGCTCTGGGTTGTTGTCGAGCTCAGCAGGCTTCTTCTGCCATATCCCCAGAGACGCCCCTGGATCAGCTTCAAAATCTCTCCAGGCGCTGTTTAGAAATGCTTGGCCAATCTCAACCATGTGAGTTGCAACATGTGTATCCAAGAAGTTGAAGTCGGCGTATCTCGAGTCGCAGAAATTGCACAGTAGTAGCTTTTGGTGTGGAGGGTGAAGTAGTCGCATTTTAGAGATTTGTTGTCGCTTGTGTACCGCATCCATGTGAATGATCAGGTCCGAAAGAGAATGAAAGGCTTTGATGCTTCTGCATGATTTCCACGTGCATATGAAGGGGTGGAAAAAGCTTGACTCGAGAGGTCCTGTGATGCCGAGGAATGGATGCTGCCATTCGAGTTTGTAGACCTGAGTTGCATAGTGATACGCGATACGGTCCGTCAAGAAAGCGTTTGAGTCTCGAAGGTATGGATTCAAGGAAACGATGAGCTGTCGGATCTGGCTGGTCGTTTGCAAGACCGAGTGAGCATCTGAAAAGTATGCCCGGAAGAGAGGACCCTCGTCGGTATTTTTAGAGGAATGCTGGTTGTAGGGAACGTCTGGAAGCTCAAAGACATTGTGTTCAAGGGGATTGTACTTGGCGCTGACATAGGTTGTGCCGCTCATCATTGAGCTGACCGACTCATAACGGCCCGGTGTAGGTGTGCCTTTGGACATCTGCTAAGCGCGTAAACGTTTATGTTTTATCAAAGAAAGACAGAGACATGAAATACTCACTGGTTCATCTAACCGATCAACCTGTTGAAACCCTTTCCAGACTTGGACATGGTCGGTGTCGAAGCCAACCGGCATTCCGAATGGGGTAGAGTGCATCGGACTCATCGCACGGTTCCTGTTGGTCAGTGAATAAGTATCCAACGGGTGCTTTATGGCGCGAATCACAATACTCACGGTTCGGATTTGCTCTTCGGCACACCCCCATATATATGTTTGAACCTAGAGAACGCGTTGCCTCGCGCCGTCGAGCTTGAGACCACGTAATCCGCGTCTCCGACCTTGGCAGCATCTTCAGGCTCTTTGCCGACCGAGCCCTCGTCCTCAGTGACGAGCCCGATCCACGAAGAACTGTGCGATATCACTTGATCGCCTGGCTGATCCGTCATGGCGGCTGCTCAACCGGCGACAGTGGTATGCGACCGAGAGGAAATGATTTCCCCATTCTCTTCCCCGCGGAATTGAGAAAATCCAGAGCTGAAAACCAGGCTGCGGGATGGACGCTTCTGACAGGCTGATTCAGACTTGGTCGAAGGTGCGCACAATTGTGTGCCAGAGGCGTCTTGGCGTCCTTCCGATTCGCCCAGCCTCGTCACGCTGCATTTCTCCTCACACATCTGGGCGCTTGATGGTTGGGGGCCAAGGACTTGGCTCACCAACAAGGCGGAATCTCGAGGTGGGAAGCGCCGCGCCTAAGCTATGATGGCCCGTAGTGAGACTCAAAAGGTGTGAGGTTGTTTCGAGATATTTTACTGAAAACACTTGGCAGTGAACCACTGAGTTCCCTTGGAGAACTCATTATGTAGGGAGCCTGTCTCTCATGTTTCCATGTTGGCTACAATACGTTGTTGGATATTTTCCACAACCATGTGCATGTGCTGGTTCATATGTCTGTATGCATATGCTTAACCACCCTTTATTATTTAGTCCGCTGAATAATTATTTATGCAATCACAATTATCCTCTTGGAAGAGCACAGTTGGTCTAGTGTTTCAGCCAGACCAGCCAATCAAAAGCTGAATTCTCACACATCATGCGTTCAACACAATCGTGCGCTTACCCTACGGCCTCACATGTGCGCGAGGTTTTGAACTCACCTCACAAACATCACATTTGTTATCAAATAGCCTCAATCCTCAAGGATAAAAGGGCTCATTATTCCATTCACTTGTCCGAGCTAAGATTGATCGATTATTGTAAAGATCAAATTTTATCTGTGGTGTGCTTCTCTTCTGACTGTGTCCATAAAAAACCAGTTACTACCACGCGCTACCATACCAACAGCTCACCAACTTTTATGCTCTTTTTATGCATCTCAAACTGCCTCCTATCACTCAACTGACCCCTGGCCTTCTGACACCGAGTATTGTCTACATAATCATGCCGTCTAACTCCGTCTACATTCGTGGCTGGGAGTCGACTAGCTGGGAGAGTCAGAAGCCGTGAGTCTCTGCCTTACTGAAATGATCACGTATCGCTCGTTCTCATTTGGTATGCTCTTAGGCCAACTATGACTATGGTCCAAACGCAAAGTGTCTCAAGCATGAAGTGCGAGCCAGACACGGACAGAGTAGAATATCAACAAGACAACACTGTAGGGAAATCACCGAAAAGGGAGGTTTCGGGGTTTAATAAAGACCTCTGTTCTTCACTCCTTGGTGTTGGAGGTCAGTTCGAGTAGGAGGGTTTGGCGGGACTGGGCAGCTCGGGCTTATAGAACCGCGCTTGGAACACGAGTAAATGTTATTTCTCGGTTGAATTGTTTGTTAGTTGCTAGTAGCGTGTCGACTTTGTCTGGCGTTTTCTATAGAGGTGCGCATATGAGAATAAATATCAACTCCATTGGTAGATGCCCTGCGTTGTAGTCACGTTTTCGATCAAGTTACTTTCGATAAGAAGCATTGGTTTTCGTATGGTATACTTTTTCGTCGGCTTGACCGAGGCTCTACTATTTCTAGGTCTCACACTGAATCATCTGGCAATTCTACTCGTGAACTCCCTGCGTAGGTAGGGCAGGTAACTAAAGCGCACGCGACCATATCCCCAGCGTACTGCGTATATCGTATTACCCTTGAGGTTAGACTTTACGCAATGAGTGGAGTATCACCACTGACCACCAATGGAATCCCTGAAGTGGCGAAATGCTTCTCGATAGTTGCCCTGTTGTCTGATGGGGCCGTATGCAGTCAGCGGCCATAATACGACAGTGGGAATTGCCTTGTTTGGTATCATTCTGCGCAGCAAAGCGAGAGAGCATGCCTTATTAAGTAAGAGAGCTTCTTCCATTTCCTCTCTTTTTCTCTCAGCTTCATCTTTGATTTATTTCGGTGCAGCAAATATTCCCTCAACTAACCATGGCCGTCTCGATAACCACCATATCCGACAAGACAAACAGGGCAATAGCATCCAGCGACCCTTTGCCCGTCACCACCGAGGAGCTCACTCCGTCCTGGTTCTCCAAGGTGCTGGGGAAGCGGGTGAAGGATGCATCGATTGTTGAGACGATTCACGGAACTGCCTCCAAGATCCTTGTCCAGCTGACGTATGAGGATCCAGCTGATAGCCCAACAGCCATCTGCGTGAAAGGCGGATTCAACCCAGCGATATTGGCTCTTCAGCCGTCTCTGAGTCAGATGTATCAGCTTGAAGCCGAGTTCTACCATTACATCGGCCCGACCGTCCAGATGCGTCTGCCCGATGCCCATTACTGCGCAATAGACGAGGCGCACCAGCAGGGAATTGTCGTGCTCGCGGATCTCAAGGCCACGGGCTATAGATTTGGCAACCCGCTTGAAGCTTGGTCAGTTGAACGCGTCCGGGCTGGGGTAGAGCAGCTGGCTATTTTGCATGCCAGAACATGGGGCGGCGAGCCGAAAGACTTTCCATGGCTGAACAGAGAGTTCTCGATCCGCGACATTATGCGATCCTTGCTATCTGCTGAATCTTGGGAGGCAAGGTTCGGGAGTGACTCCAGACCCCCCGTGCCCGATGAACTTGCAGATCGTGAGCGGATGGCCAGAGCCTTCGAGACGCTTTGGAGCAACACCGACACCAAGATGAATTGCATCGTGCATGGGGACCCTCACATTGGAAACACATTCATCACACCCACGGGCGAGCCGGGGTTTCTCGATTGGCAATGCATTTACAGAGGATCAGCGATTCATGACGTGGCCTACTTCATTGCTGGCTCACTCTCCCTCAACGACCGGAGGAAGAACGACGAGCAGCTTTTCCAGCACTATCTCGACACACTGCACCAAAAAGGAGGGCCGAGGTTCAACAAGGAGGAGCTCTGGGAGGAGTACCGGAAGCACACACTACACGGGTTCATTTGGAGTCTCGCCCTATCCGAGATGCAACCCAGGGAACTGGTTGACGCTATGGCGAAGAGATACTGTGCGGCTATCATAGACCTCAAGACCCTCGACCTGCTTGAGAGTCTTCAGTCAAATTAAAGGCTTCCTCGGTATGGATATGTACTTCAAAGCATCCAGAAAAGTTTAAAGCGCTACGGGGTTTGGATGCTTTCCAGCGTAACTGAATTGACCATTATTACACAATATCGAGTTAAAGACAATACTTTCCCTCTTTCTTGACTAATATGAAAGTTTCATTGGACGCAGAATGCTAGATATGGATTCAACACGTCCATCTCTTACATCAAGACGTGTTCCTATGCCTTGCCCAACACATCTACTCCTGGTTGCAAGTACCACAACCAGATCAGCCAGTCTCGCCCTCGTACCATCAGCACAGTCCATGGATGTGAACATTGATACCAACATGAATTCCCTCGCTCATGCTCGCCTAGTTTATCTCCCAAAACTGACTGGAGCACTTGATTATCTGCACCTCAGAGGGATTCTCAAGATGCTAGTGTCGATGCCCATGGTGTGCCACCACAGCTCGTTGAGATCCTCGGAAAGACCGTGCCAGTGTCCACGGCATTTAATGCCGTGGGCGTGGAGGGGAGCCTTGATAGAGGCTGTAGTGGTTTGACGTTCCCTGATCGCTTCAGTGGGAACCGCAATGGTAAAATATATCACCAGACATGACACTCCTCGTTCAGTACGACACGCCTGATAATCTGCCAACGTAAACCTCGCACGAATGGGTCTCTTGGCAAAATTCCTTTCCGTTACATTATCCATACGGAAAGCTACTTCCCACGAGAAAGTGGCTTATCTCGAACCCCTTGTAGCACGTCAGTTACTCAGCTCGGCACGCGAAGTTAGTCAACGCCTGGTTTCGACCTCACGACTGGTGCCAAGGGGTCCCACATCTCTTATGGCTTGATACAAACGCGCAGGGACGTCTTATGTCCGTATATCCGTTGTTCCTGACGCCAAGAATCACTAAACTCCAAGCCATGGATGACGTGATGCTTGATTACAGGGGCAAGGTTAGACGCATTGCATCCTTCGGTGGTGGATCACGGCTCCAAGGTGGGATGAGAGGCGTATGTACTGGTTTTAGCTGACAAATTGGTTCTGAATACTGACTCTTATCATTGACTATTGGTGATGGACATTCATCATGCTGGCGTTATCAAGCATGCCCTGCTATGCCCTGCTCTGTCTGTGCTTGACAGAAGCCCTGGTCATCGACGCAGAAACCTACAATGTCGCCCCCCAAGAAACTCCAGGTCTCCCGTGTTGCCGTCATCGGGGCGGGCGCAAGTGGGCTGGCAGCTCTCAGGTGTGATTTCTTGGTCCTCGTCCCGGAATTAGCTCCTCTAATCAAGGCTTTCTAGGTATCTGCTTGCCGAGAAGAAGTTCACCTACGTGCAGGCGTTTGAGCAACGGGCCACGCCAGGTGGTGTTTGGAATTACACGTCTCTCGCCAAGGAGGAAAAGTTTCATGTTCCACGAGAACACCCGAGTTCCCATCCGGACGAGGCCATAAAAGTCGAAGATGGCAAACGGTTCGAGTTCATCACGCCGGTCTATGAACAACTTGAGACCAATATTCCACATACACTGATGAACTTTACCGATAAGAAATTTCCAGTCGGAACCCCTCTGTTTCCCAGTCATGAAACAGTTTTGCGGTATCTGAAGGGCTATGCAGAAGATGTCAAATCTTATATCCAATTCCAATCACAGGTACTGGATGTTCGAAGACTAGCTGGAGCTTGGGAGATAGAGGTCCTCGACCTTCGCACTGACCAAGTCTCTCGAACTGAGTTTGACGCTGTTTTGGTGGCAAGCGGTCATTTTAATGACCCATATGTCCCAAACATTCCCGGACTTGTTGAATTTGACCAAGCTCATCCAGGGGTGGTGGTCCATTCCAAGTTCTACCGGCGGCCTGATACATATGTTGGAAAGGTAAAGCAACAATGTTTTTTATGGAAAAAACTGAACGTCTTGCTAATGCAAAGTCAGAAAGTCATCATCGTTGGCAACTCGGCGTCTGGTATTGACCTGACAGCCCAGCTATCTCGAGTTGCCAAACTGCCCGTCATCATCTCAGAGAAAGAGGACCAAGTTGGACTCGAGCCATCTTTAAATACTAACTCCACTGTCCATCTTCCCGAAATCACCAAGTTTCAGGCTGAAGGCCGAACTGTTCACTTCGCCAACGGCAACATGGAGACTGAAGTTGATGCAGTCATTTTCTGCACAGGTTTCCACTACTCCTACCCCTTTCTTCAATCCCTTGAACCCGGTATTGCCGACCCTAAAGGGGAATACGTCAAGCATCTTTGGGAAAACGTGCTCTATACCACAGACCCCACTTTGGCATTCCTTAGTGTTCCACAGAGAGGGATTCCGTTCCCCCTCGTTGAGACACAGAGTGCTGTCATCAGTCGAATCTGGTCTGGCCGACTAATTCCCCCGTCAGAAATCGAAATGGAGTCATGGGTGAAGGAAGAGCATTTGAGAAAGGGGGAGGGGAAGCCAATTCACATCATCAACTATCCCGAAGATGTAGAGTATATGCAGCGCCTCTATGATCTCAGCGCAACTGCTTTGAGGACTCCTGAGCTGGGGCTGGAGAATGAGGGAGATGGAAAGCGACCACCTCGTTGGGGCTCACAGCAGATCTGGATTAGGGGAAAAGTCGGCGAGATCAAGCAGGCATGTCGTTTGGCTGGAGATCGCAGGTTCAACATTACGTCGGCTGAGGAGCTAGGCTTCTTGTATGAGGAACCAACAAACGATGCCGCCTAAGCAAGCCATAGGCTTCGACTAGACAAACCTTCGTATTGATTAAACCCTGAAAAAAATGAGAATCATTGAAATTGTCCGTGATTCCGAATCCGTTGTACTTGGAGTTACGGCAACTAGAGAGCTCTCCTCGCAGTACGGCCATGCTCAGCTCCCGTCGATAAAGCAGCTCAGTTATTTTACCTCCATAGATCCAAGTTTCTCCTAAGTGTTTGTCAGTACTCAGGAGATGAGGTTATGGGCCGTTTTCTCCTTGAGATCACGGCACTAGCTTGCAGATTTAAGTCGTGGGAGAACAAAATGGTGTAGTACAATGGGCAGCTTATATTTTCTCAACTAATACCTCATGCCACAGCCTCTTCAAACCCATTTTCATAAATACAGAAAGTTACGCCTTCCCGTGTCCGTTTTGTTCTCCCAATGAAAATCGGCGAGTGATGGCCTCCTGAAACGCCTTCTCCACGTCATGCTCATGAAGCCAGGCCGCGCCCTTTCTACCCTTCATCCTCTCCCTAAAATTCTCGTCACTCTCCTCCTTTCCAGCCTCTTTGAGAGCCTCATTGCGCGCAAACTGCTTCTGGCGATCCTGCAGCACAATATCCAAGACCCTGGCAGCATGCGGCCGCCGAACCGATTCGTACAAGTCCAGTGCCAAGCCAACGTGGCTCCGTGAGATGGGCCTTGATATGGGAAGTGCCTGTGGGAAGACGGCCCGTAGTGCGAGATAGAGCGTGTAGGCGTCGTCAATTGCCAGCGAGGCTCCGGCGCCAAAGGCACCTCCGTGGGCGTGGGCTGCATCGCCGATGAGCACTACTCGATCTGCAAAGGTCCAAGTTTCTAGCTTGGGACCGAATGCATTCGTGTATCTTCGTAGAGTACCCGGTGGTATTCGGTCGATGATTGCGGGGACAGGATGGTGATATCCCTGAGAGTATGTGGTTATTAGGGGATTCACGGGACAGGATGGGATGTTCAAGACTTGAGGTTGATGGTAGGCATACCTTGAATGCGTCACGGATGTCATCCACGCTCGCAGCTGAGTTCCAGACAACATCTTCAAGTGGCTTTTTCAAGTCGTCGAGGTCCTTTGTGTTGGCATTGAAGTTGAACGTGACCCCGTAGCCTTTTGTCCCTACCCATTGCTCTTAGCCTTCGTACTGCAGTAAAAGAATCATATCTCCGAGTTACCTAGCCTCGATGCGAAAAACCAAGATGTCGGACTTTGCTAGATGTGAATTGTTAGCTCATACCTAGAGCAACGGTTAATAGGGCCTCTGGAGTTACTCACCCACCGAGTCGACTCCTGATCTAGACCTTCAATGTCCTTCACCAACTCGTACGGGAACGTTGCTCGAAACATTGCGTCTCCCCAGCCCGTAAGTTGATACTGAGGAACAAAAGTCTTTCGAACTTGCTGTGCTTAAAGTCAGCCTTGCAATCATCCCAATAAAAACATAGCTGAGTATGTCACATACCGACCGAATACCGTCGGCGCCGACGACGAGGTCCACCGTCGTTGAAGTCTTGTCCTTGAAGAACATCGTGACATCATCCTCACTCACTTGCACCTCCGTCACCTCCTTACCCGGGTGCAGAATATCTTTGGGCAGCTTCTTCAACAACTCCTTCTGTAGCAGGGCCCGGTGCATGCGGGCAAAGTGATGGCGTCGATCGGGTACTCGCTCGTAGGCATTGTTGGACACGACATCCCCCGCCTTCCAGTGCCTTGTGAGGTAAGAGATGTGTCAGTCACCTTTGAATACATAGCGACGGGTTTGGGGACAAAAAGGAAAACGGCGTGAGCGTTGGCTTACTTGGTAAATGTGGGCGTTCCGGTTGGGTTGCGCCATCCAAGGTCGTCCTCCAAGACGCCCTGGACGCCTAGCTTTTCCAGAGTCCGGAGTCCATTAGGGGCTAGACCTATAAGCGCACCGACCTCGTGAAACTCGCTGGCCCGTTCGTAGACTTGAACCTGAATACCGGGGTGTTGGCGAAGAGCAATCGCAGCCGCGAGTCCGCCGATTCCACCACCGACGATGGCGATCGTGAGAGTCATGATGCAAGAATCGCCGCATCAACAGTAGGAAAGTAAGCTTAAACAACCTAGTCTCATCACAGGCACCTACTTTCTGGCTATCATACGGCGGTGGTAAGTCCATATACTTTGCCGCAATCGGAGAGCTTCCGCGGCTTCTATTGCGTGATCCAAGCCCATTATGAGTGCAACTGTAGGAGTGTTATCAGAAAAAGAAATTCATAGCCTACAGTGGATCTGGATTGCATCCCACCGGCGAAGGAAAGATGGTCAGCTCATAACTTCCAAGATGCATGTGCAAGGATTGATGACGTTCCCAGCCTGTGGTAAGTGGCTTGTGGATGTGGCCACGACAATCGGACGACTCACTTGCGTCTCATCTCTGCGCTGCAACCACGGTGCTTAAACATATATCCGGACATCTAAAGACCAACAATTCTTAGTGCCTATCTAGATGATTGATGCGAACGGGTGGGTAGATGATACCATGGCAAGGATACTAACGGCCGGGAACCAACGGTTGTTGGAACGGATGAAAGGGCACAACATCAAGTCTGATAAAAGGAGGTATATAAGTATCCACAGTGTCTTCTATCTGTAATGATGTATACAGCCCCAGTGACAGCACCTTTTGTTACGTATCGGTGATCAACAACATGGCAGTCAAAGAGGAAAAGAAGCCTGACTTGGGCGAGAAGACTGGCTCCCTAGTTGAGAATCAAATCATCCCAGAACCTGTCATTCCCGAGAAGATTCCGTTCTTTCGAGGAACAACCTGCCAGGCTCTCATCGTGGCCTTTTTGTTTTTCAGCGGTCCTGGAATGATCAGCGCACTCGGTACGTTTTTAATGCTGGGCTTTAAATCATCTTTACTCCCTCAGTATTATTCCTCCTCTATTTGTGTTCGAGCTAACTCTTGCGTAGGTGCTGTCGGAGCTGGTGGCCTGAAGGACCCCTTACTTGTGAACATTACGAGCGGTATGCAATATGGCATGAATTGCGTCTTTGCATTCTTTGCTGGTGTTGCCATCAACATTCTTGGAGTGAGAGGTGCTCTCTGCTTTGGGTTGCTATGCTTTCCAATTCGTGGAGCATCTTTGTATTGCGCCAATAAGTTCAAGACTGTTTGGTTCATGTATTTCGCCAGCGCGATTGGTGGTCTGACTTCATCTATTCTCTGGTAAGTTTCACTATCGTCTTCCCCTTATTATTACTATGTCTGTCCATGTTTGGTGGACTCTGGGGCTGATTGGATCTCATAGGGTCGTCCAAGGCGCCATCATTCTCTCTTATCCAGAGCCTTGGAAGAAAGGATTCTTCAGTAAGTGGCAGTAACATCTTTACTTCTAATATTAAAGTCTAACATCGATCAAGTTTCGAGTTGGTACAACTCTCTCTCTTTGGGAACCTTGCTGGGTGGCATCATCGCCATCGCGTTCAACACCAAGAGAAACAAGGCCGGATCAATTTCTCCGAGTAATAAGAGCTCAATCAAACCGGTGAAGAAGGGCTAATTGATATTTTCAGTCACATACATCCCGCTGTTTTCTCTCTCGTCTGCTGCTCCAATCCTCGCATGGCTGTTGTCGCCACCTGAAAAGGTCATCCGAGCCGATGGCCAACCTGTCAAGATGAACAGACAGCGAGGGCCATGGGAAGAAGCAAAACGGACACTTGCGAGTGTAAAAAGAAGAGAGGTAGGAAGTCCACTGCCTTATTCCTTGCAGCCTCTGATATGAGAACTAGATTGTCCTTCTTCTGCCCATGTTTATCTACTCACAGTGGTATCTGTCCTACCATGGCAACTTCAACGCCGTCTACCACTCCGTTCGCGGCAGGGCTCTCGGAGGCCTGTTGCATTCCGTCACTGGAATCCTTGGAAATATCACCTTCTGGTACATGACTGACCGGAGCGGATGGACACGAAGACAGGTAGCGCGCCGGGGGTATTACATCATCTTTAGCCTTTACACCAGCAGCTGGATCTACAACATTGTTGTACAGAAGCTGTACACAGACTGGAAGCCAGTCGGCCTGGACTGGGCTGAGGGTGATTATTGGCTGAGTATCGTCCTATACATCTACTGGCAGTACTTCTCGCTACGCCATTTTGTCGTCGTTCTTGGCAAGCTGATATTTGGACAGATATGCCAATGACATGTATCAGTGTTACGTTTACTTTCTCATCGGTACCCTCTCAACAGAGGTAGAAGAACTGGCGCGATACACGGGAATTTTGAAAACGGTCAACACTGCCGGTGCAGCTTTTGGATATGCTGTCCAGGTCAAGTGGTCCATGTTGGGAGGAGCATCTCTGCTGTATGAAAAGAAGATCCAAAGATATATCAAGAAGCAACTAACAATGATCTAGGACTGGCCTCTGGTTTGCGCAGATAATTCCAACCTGGTTGGTTGTTCGGGAGGTTTCCGATGAGGAACCAGGCAACGAGCCAAAGTCGACCGTTTCTGGCTCTGAGGCTCTGGCTTGAGAATAGTCAAGGTACTTCTTTGAAGCTGGATTGGAGATTCTCGGTAGCAATTCTTCAGTCCCTTGACCGGGGTTTTCATATACTGTCTTGATGGTTCACTGTGTTAACATCGGGGTACGATGTTATGATGCGTTGAAAATCTGTTCTTTATTATAGTTGCAGCCCGGCCCTCGATGATTTAACTGAGCCTGAAGATCGTCTTGATGGTCGAAAAGATGTACTTGGCAGAGACAATTAAAGGCCCCTTGACTGAGATGGACATGGTGCCTAGCTTGCACACGCCTGGCAGGGGTCCCCAATACCACAACAGTTTTCAGACTTTGCCATCATCAGACAGTAAACACCAGTTCTGATTCCTTTAAACGCGTAGTATGACCATTAGTATCTTAGAGAGCTCAAAAAGCAATAGCATGTGCCTACTGTTGCAGAAAGGCCGCTGCCTGGGGACTTTTATGAGGCTCAACGACGTTGTAGTAGTTTCAACCCCTCTTTCTTTCTTGTCTGGCACTTGAAAGATAGTACCCTATCTGTCTTTTCAAATTTAGCACTTTATATGGCCGCTGTTAGCACGATGACTGAAGGTAGCCTAACCCAGGGGCGAGGGTCGACTGGGTCTGGGGTGAGATATTGAGGCACCTATACTATTGGGAGTGACACAAGTCGCATAAAGGGGAATTACTGAGTTTCTTTATTTCGTACACTGACTTGACGGATAAGACGTGCGATTAAAAGACCGCGTGGGATGAATCATTCTGGTACACCGGAATGACACAGGGATCCATGTTAGTACCGACTACTTTATTATATCTTCAACTCGATCTGCGTCGTGACCGTCAACGGCTTTAAAAAGGAGTTGTTACTACAAGTAAACTGCTATAGTATCATCACTCCAACAGCCCACAATATTCAAAGCGTCCCGGCACGTCCTCACCAAGGAAGTTCCTGACCCTTGTACGTGACAAACTTGCCCGAGTACTTCTCTCTTGTAGCTTCATCAATGATCTGAACCATTCCCTCAACAGACCCCTCGATGGTCTCAGGGGGCGAACCAGGAAAGCCCCAGTCCCTGGCACACAGCTCTCCCATGCGCGTCTGAACCCAGCCAGGATGAAGTGCAACAGCCACAAGCCCCTGGTTCTGCATGTGCAGAGCACGAGTGAGCCAGTTAAGGGCAGCCTTGCTGGGACCATAGGCACCACCGGGGCCTTCCTGGATATTGATACAGCCAACGGAAGAAGTGACGTTGATCACTTTGGGAGCCGTTGATTTCTGCAATAGAGGCCAAAGTCCCTGAAAGACCGTGAGAGGTCCAATGGTGTTTATCTCGAAAGCCGCTCGAAGATTGTCGGCAGGAGTCTCGGCCGCGAGGGTCATGGGTGGGGAGAAGGCAGCGTTGTTGACCAGAATATCGACGTGATCGACGGTGAAGGCATCGCGGATCTGCTCAGGGGCGAGAGCATTGGAGAAATCGAGCTTGACAATGATGAGGGAGCTATTCCTGCCCTTGGTGACAGAGTCAGTGTCCGATTTAAGGCTTGTAGCAGCATCATCATTGCGGACACTGGCGACGACGGTAACGGAGGGGCGGGAGAGGAGGATCTTGACGAGGCCGAGACCAATGCCTCTGTTGGCGCCAGTGACGACGTAGACGGTGCTGTTGTCCTCAGAAGCCATGGTGAAGGGTGATTCAAGGGGAGAACCAGTAAACCGATGGTGAAGCTGAGGAAAATGGGCAGTGTAGATGAAGGATCTGGGTGCTGCTCAAGGGGAAGGGTACGCGCTGCGGCTTATAAGTGACGAGCGAGAGGCGGACCAACAGCCTTACACGCGATCGAGGGCATTGTGCCCTGGAACATCATTTTTCCGGCTTGGATGCCTGACATGAGGGGACGCGGCCAGGAGGAAGAGAGGAGTGATATCACGCATTTGACGGGGCTTCGAGGGACATACCACTCTTGAGTAGATTTTAGAAGCACAACAAGAACTGAATTATCATCCATCATTACGTTTTCTGCCAAGATTTGCTTGCGGATATCGCCTCCCCTCGCCTCCGCGCTGTCTTGGCACGAGGGCCTCATGACCCCCGCACACAAACCCCCCCCCCCCCCCCCCTTCTGCTTTAATAAGCCTTGTAACTGACCGGATAGATATGAAAGAAGGGATTTCGGAGACCTTCCCGTTTGCTTATTCAGCGTCGTGATCCTACTCACACGCCTCATCGGTCAATTTTCCCCTGATCCTCAAGATGTCACAAAACAAACTCAGGCCCCTGTCCCACCATCGTCCTTGATTACGGGTGGAATGTCGTATAGAGATGAGGTAGCACGTTCGGAAGCTTGATTGAGTGTGATTATAAACACCGACCGTTGGTTGCCCCTATTAGTCTAGTGGAATGTCGCTGGATCTTAAGGGGCCCAGGTTTTGGGATGGACAGGCAACCGCCCAGGACTGCCTCCTGGCTAATATTAGAAGTCTGTGGAGCAGCTGGAGAGATTTACATGTAAGACTTTCTAGCAAGACTTGTAAAACAAACCCACCATAGCTTTTTGCTATTCCTGACACTTCATCTGATCAAGAGGGGAGACGGCCGCATCAATACCCTGCCTCATTTATGACACAAATCTGACGCAATTGGTAAGGAGTGCAATAATTAACTCTCCATTAGCTTCTTGATTCTCTGTCGTTAATGGCGCCTAAGTCGAAAGATTTATGTGTACCAAAGTGGGATTTTGTCGTGAGAGACATCCCTTTTCGACCATGCTATTACTCTTGCTTCATTCCTTGGTACCATGATGAGTTGAAAAATAATTGCGAGTTGCCCTCTCGACACATGATTGTATGCTAGACTTCTTTGATGTAAGTCGTAGCGGCAGTATTCCGCTTCAGATTATCGCGTGTCAGAATTCCGTCCATCAGGTCAGACTATTCATGTCTGTCTTGCAAGTGTAACTGCTTGTGAACCCACTGTTGTAGCCATACTGACGCTGTGAAGGTGTTCCAGAGTATCTTTTGTTACACACCGATAATGTACTGGGTTAGGGCAGTATGAGAGGTGGGTGTGAAGACAACTTCTAGGGTTGGTTGGAATAAGTTGCCATCACGGGTTGTAATAGGCAGTCGGTCTTCTTGGAATCGTTTTAGGCCGGGTTTGAATACTATAGAAAGGGCACCAACAAATAGATAGAAAGAAACGAGGCACAAACACCTACCCAAGCTATAAAGAGACTGAACTACAGAACCGAATACCAACAGTGCCATGTCGCCTAGATATAACCAGCAAAGCTCCACGATTGGTGAATCAAATTTGCGTCTCTAAGATACTTCTCAAATCGACTAATCTCACTCAGCAACGACCGCACTATCTCGTGACAGGCTCAGACTATATCGCCGCCTTGCGCGCGGAGTATCACTCCTTTTGGCGAAGCCGAAGGTAGGCAAACGATCTTCGGGCTCAGTCAACCAAAGGAATCTTGTGTAGATTGCTTGTCTCACTGTTGATGTCCGAGCTACCCAGCTCACACAGGGTGCTATAATAATAAGCCCAGTGCCCTGTGCTTCCCCGTCTCTTGCTGCTGGTTGCTTTTTAGCTGACAGTCTAGACTCTTCGGTGGCGTTCTCACTCATTGTCTGTATTGGATGGGCTTGATTTCAGGTCTAGCGCGCCCTAGCCTTGGTCAAATTCGCTGCGATAAGCGCTAAGATTCAGATGACGCCTCTTGACAAATATCGATATTCTATTGGCTTGATCTGTTGAAGCAATCGTGGTTGGGAGATTTTCTCCAAAACAACAACGTCGCCAGTCAGTAATTTGACAGGCTGTTCCCCTCCATACCACAGAGCACCGCATCGACTTCTGGCCGGTTACACAGCATCATGGCAGCCGCTGGACAGTCAGTTCCCATGGGAGCATCCAGCACGTCCGTCAGTGCTCGATGGCTCTTTGGTGGTGAGAAAACACCTTCAGCTGTTGTTCTCACGGCAGCAATCATCCTCCCTCTCCTTTTTGTGGGTTTGAAGAAACTTCTTTATCCAATATTCGATTCACGCGAACCTCCGGTTCTGAGACCACGGATTCCCTTCATCGGCCATATCGTGGATATGATCAGGGAGCGTAGCAGCTGGTATATCAGGATATAGTAAGCCCACAACGAGTGCTCCTCATACCAGTCCTTTAACATTCTACTAGTAAGGAGAATCCTTTGCCGATTTGTACTTTGCCCATGCTCCACGGCAAAATGTACGTCATCAACGCTCCCGATCTCATCACAGCAGCTATGAAAAACGGTGATATCAGCTTCGACCCCTTCTTGCTTGAGGTCCCTGTCGGTTTGTTCGGTTTGAGCAAAAAGTTGTCGGACATAATCGAGCAGCGACATGTCATAGATGGTCTCTTGAACGTCATTCACTATACCTTGATGGGAGACCATCTTTCCAGGATGAACATCACAGCGCTGACCAAGATGATGGAAACCCTCAATGACGTCGGTCCACACCCGGTTGAACTTTCGGACGTATATGAGTGGTCATGGGATGTCTTGGGCAATGCCACCATGGTAGCGATCTTTGGAGAGAAGAACCCACTTACCCCTGAACATCTGCATCTGATAAGGTGAGGTACCCCTTGATGCAATGTTCCTTTACTAATGAGAAACAGGGACTTTGATGAGGGTATTGCGAGATTCGCCATCGGCGTCGCGCCCAGATTGATTGCTCCGGGACCTCTACGCGCTCGCGAAAAAATAAACACCCTACTTGAATCATTCTACGCAGCGGGCTATGAGACGCGTCCCGATGTATCATCCATCATTCAAAAACGAACTGAGATTCTCCGAAGAGAAGGATTCAATGACCGCGACCTTGGCATTCAAGAGATTACCATTCCTTGGGTTGCAACGACCAACACGATCGCTGTACTGTACTGGCTCTTTGCACACGTCTTTTCTGTCCCTGAGTATACGCAAAGAATCCGCGATGAAATGGAGGCTATTTCCGTCATCGCTAACACCAACGAAAAAGGCCGCGTGGGAACAATCTCAGTCAAAGAGATGAACAAAGAGTGCACCTTTCTCTATGCCTGCTACCGCGAGACTCTGCGTCTGTACATCCACAACACTGGCCAACGACGCGTGGTCAAAGACACGACTATCAAGGATCAAGGAGGTCGAGAATATCTTCTCAAGGAGGGCATTAACGTTCAGTGGCCTGGTAGTCTCACACACATGACTGACTCTGTATGGGGTGACGACGCCTGGACTTTTCGACCAGAGAGATTTCTTGAGGTGTCACCGCAGGAAGAGAAACAGCGTCGTGGTGCTTATATCCCATTCGGCGGAGGCAAACATCTGTGTCCAGGACGAAACTTTGCTTTGTCGGAAAATATGGGCTTTGTTGGTATTCTGGCTCTTGGATATAACATTGAAGGGGTGCGTGTGCCCAAATCTGAAGATCCTGGCATAGGATTAGGATCGAGAAAGCCCATCGGCGGGGCAGCGCTTCGGAGTGCCAAGGTTTCGAGGAGAGTCGGATGGGAAGACGTAACCTGGGAGTTTGTTGAGTGATGTGGAATCATTGTCTTTGCTGGTTAAACAAGAGTAGATACGAGCTATTACCAGTAAATGAAGGTTATAGCGGTAAAGTACAGAGCACGCTGTAGCAGGACCTTTGGTTAGGCTTTCCTCTGCGAGATGTCCAGTAAAAGCGAGGTTCAAAGCCAAAGACAACGAAAGAGTTCCGGATGATGATACGAGAAGACTCTCACACTGCCACTAAACAATCGAATAAAAGCTGTCTCATAGAAATGCACCGATATCCACCAAGATACCATCTCTCCCAAATGACCAACGTAAACAAATATCATGAGATGTAAACCAGCATTCGGCCCCAGCAATTCATTCTTGTTCACTTGCACTTCTAACGAGCTGAAGTCGTGAAGTATCAACTAGCAAATCATACGAAAGATTACGTTACATACGACCTGGAATAGACCTCGGGCGATTGTGAACCCCCGGAGATGATGCCAGCAGGGCCGCTGGCGAGACGGAACGGGTCTGACATGCCCAAAACAGGGGCACAAGATCCGACAGCTCCTTAGTTCAATGAGGGGATGTGAAAGAGGCGAGTCCCCAAAGCAAAGAAAGTGGTGTGACAGGCTGCCCTGCAAAGAGCCTTGTGAGAGCTTGGCGTGCGCTCAGCGGTTAAACTGGAGATGCTATTGGCTGAGGTTAATGGCGTGCATATACACAGCCTCTACGAAAACGCGGGGGCCTGGCCGTGATGATGCTGCTGGGCAGAGTTTATGATCTGACCACCACAGGCTGGATCGTAGAGGTTGAAGCCAAAAGGAAAGTCCTTACGGCCCCTTACGGCCTCTTCCAATAAACCATGAGAGCTTCTCTAGGCCTTACGCGGGTCCAAATATCAAAGTATGTATATCAATTTGACTGGAATTTGTTCACAACAGTCGACAATATTTACATCAGAATCTTCATCAACATCGAGATGTCCCTACAAGCCCTCAGGGCTCAAGGGCGGCACACCCATCCATCATAATATGCTTGATACTCATATCGAATGACTCGGCAATACTAGTCCGTAAGCATTTGCCAAAACCGGTGGTTGACTAGTTGGTGCCCGAGCAGCCAACAAAGTTGTTGCCAGAAGCTCCAGTGTGGGTGATGGCACCAGCATACTGGCAGCTGGTGTTGATGACAACACGGTCAGCGCCAGGGGAGCCTATAAAGGGATTAGTCGGAGACTACAAGTCGAGGCACGAGGAAAGGGTATCTGAGAACATACCACCAGTGTAGACACCGCTGGACCTGATGGGAAACTCCTGGTAGGGGCCACTGACGAGGAAGTCGAAGCCCTCACGGTTGTTGAAGGTGTGAGGGTAGGTCGAGCTACCGGCAGTGTCATCCGCTCGGTAGTAGGAGCAAGCAGCGTTGGCAGCGGCGCGGACCTGGGCAGCAGAGTAGGCGGTGTTGCCGCAGGTGGTGGCAGACTGACGGCTCTCGATGGGGCCAGCGACGGCAACGCTCAGGAGAGCGGCCAGAGGAGCGAGGGACTGAAGAGGTTAGCAACAAGGCCAGTGCTGAGACGGGTATGGCAGTGATGAGATTGAGTAGGCTGATGTACCTTGAAGAAGAGCATCTTGCCAACGGTTTGTTCCAAGGAGGAATGAATGGGTGATTAACAAAGTGGTGTTTGTGTAAATTATTGTTTGAAGGGCAAACATGGCACGTACATATATAGTCGTTTGACCATAGTAACTATTCAGCTATTGCTGTTTGCGATACCGAGGTAAGACAGGGTATTCTAATCACCCAAAACCCCAGGTGATTGTCCTCATGACGATGATTGGTCCCAAAGACATCGTGCTTGTTGCCAACTAGACGCCCATAGACCACCTGCTCAAAACGGATATTCCCCCGGCAGAAAGTTCCCCATGGGTGAGGCCATCGCTAAGTGCCGTAGTACAAAGCGGGTCGTGATCGGCGTAAGCTGTTTCAGCGATTCCCCATGTGGTTATCTCGGTTCTGTTGATTGGCGATAATTAATCCCTCAGATTTCATCAGATACCGTCGAGCTCCGGACGTGATAGATGGACTTATGCGCTCTTCTGTTGTTATAGTCTCTCTCGCTCTTGGCCGCCGCTCATTGTTACATTCATTGACACTGATTCATCGTCGGCGATCTCCTACACTCACCGCTGCCTTTCTTCCTTCTGCCGGCCACCTCCGATTCTCAACCACACACTTTGTTCATTCTGCAATGGCTGATAAAGTCATTTCACTCCTCGGCGACGAAGCCGTATCGGCTCAAGAGGCCGCTGAGAAGCTTGCTGACCCTAGCAGAACTGCCTTTGTCAAAGATGGTGATCTGTCCCGATTCGAGGAGGAACTTGACGCCCTTTGGAACAACATCTTATCTGCCGCCGAGAAGACCCCCCACGATGAGCAGGATAAACTGGTGGACGTGATGCGTGCCATCAAAGGCATGTCGGAGCCTGTCCACGAAGGGAAGAAGATTGAGATTTGGGGTCGGGAGACACGCTGGGATGAGCTTCCCCTCTTTGGGGGTCTAACTCGGGAGCGGCTGGACATTGGTAAGACTGCTTATCTTTCACAGCCTCGAGAAAGAGACAACTCAGCTAACACAAATGATGAAGCTCAATCAAAGTCCGGCCAGGCTTTTGTCAACATCAATGCCTTCTTTGCTCGGCTTACAGCTGCCAACATTGAAGACAATCTTTTGTTCGCTATCTGGGTCTTCCGTGACGCACTCGAGAACCCTGCAGAGGATGAGATCGCGCAAAAGACTTCACCCGACCTACTGAAGGCGGCTGCAGTCTGGTTCATCTACGCAGCTGAGAGCTTGGCAAAGGCCAGAGATGAAGCGGAGCAGTTTGACGGCAAGGTGGCGAGACCTGGAGAAAGCTTGGCAGCATTCAGAGATGTGCCTGGATGGAGAGGGTTTTGCCCAGATCGATGGAATGTGTGGAAGACTCGGTTCGCATCTCTTGAGAAGGCGGAATCACTGGCAGACGCAAAGCCTCTGATCAATCAAGCGCTGGATAAGTTGAACAAGGTTTAGAGGGAGATGCCAGTTCACAGAACAAATTCAAGCTTGCATATCTCATTGTGTTTGTCATACCTACTGGACAAAGGCGGCTGTATGGAAGTGTTCAAGACTGGATCATGAATGGATACTTTGCTCCTCCAGTGCCAAACACGCCACCGTAGCTAAATGCAATCCTCAAGTGATTCGGTTACGCTACAGTCGACAGGTGAGCTGAGGTGAGCCGGACAGCAGAGGCCACAAGACCGCTAGAAACCCGGGATGGGCCATTTGTCTCTCGGTTTTCATGAGATGATACTGTAAATGTGTTTGGTATACGAACAATCAGACATACATGAGATTGAGAGCGAAATCTTCAAGAGCTCTCCGGGGCTAGATGCCAGAATGCGAAGCATCTCGCCCCCAGAAATACAGGTTTCAAACAGACCAAATACAAAACTGACATCTCTTACCTCCTCCAACTCCATCAGGGCATTTTCAATGTCGAGCACTGTGTTCCCATCCCTCATGTCTCCCTAGGTGAGCTGCTTAACACTGCAATACTCTGGGCGATGAAACCTCCGCGACATTGAGCAAGTCAAAGGGTAAAAAGGTGCTCTACGGGACAGGCCTCCATCGCAGCTTGATACTTGTCGAGGGTATCGTTCCACTCCCCTGCCTTCGCATCAAGTATTCGAAAACCACTCGTCCCACCCGTGATTCTCCCGAGAAGGACATTACGGCCTTTTGGCCGGCCACCGTAAGCGAAATCCCCGAAGGCGATGATGTCCAGTGATGAGATCCCATCCGGTCCAAAGGCCCATTCGGCAAAGTGGCGGAATTCGTTGCGTAGTTCGGGTTCGCGTTGCGTAAAATCCAAGTCCCAATCGGGTCCAGGATCTGAGTCTTCCGTGTAGGTAGTCAGGTCTGAGTCGGATGATGCATCGCTGTCTGCGCGGGAAATCAAGGGTGTGAAGGCTTCAACCAGCGCCCAAGAGCCGAGATTGCCGATATCTGACATGGTTTGACGGATGTGGATTACCTTCAATGAGGTCTTGGATCTGAAGGGAAGTAGGAGGTATTTCTGTGTGAAACAAAGTCAGCCTCCAGTTATCCACTCATGTACATCTAGAATGCTTACCATACGCCCCGGGATACAACCCAAGCCGATGAACTCAAGGTTAAGCTCCGAAAGGGGGTTCTTGGAAGGATCCTCCTTAATTCGGCGCATCTCTCCTCCATAGATACTCAGATCCGCCAAATCACATAACTCGCCATCAACCGGAGAATCCTGGGGCAGCTCGATGGTCCTCTGGTGGCAAACAAGTCTCCTGAGAGTAGAATGGCGACGGGCGAGGATTTCCCAAAGGTAAAGTGTTGGCATTGGACCAGAATTAGACAAAAAGAGCTCTTCAAGGCCATCAAAGGCGTCGACCAAATCGAGGATAGCATCTTCGTTCTCATGGCCCTGAATCTCCAGTGTCCTCAACTTGATCGGGCGGCCGAGCTTCAAAACGCGCTTGATGAAGACTTCCCAACGGGGGCACAGTCGCAGCTTCAGTGAGACGAGCGCCTCGAAATTGAATACGGGAGCCATGCTTGCAGTCAAGGGTACCTGAGAGAGGGACAAGACGCGAATTCTTGGGAATAGTAGGGTCGGAGAGTTTGGGTCCGCTCCAAGGATAGTTGAAGCAAAGAAACCCGGACCCTTCATCCTGCGGATTTCCTCATCTTCATCGCCGCTGGCGTTGCTGGAAGTGCTGGAAATTTCGTCGTCTTGGTCATCATTAGAGTTGCCAGCGTCGCTGTCATCATCATCAAGGCTGTCGCTAATGGTAAAGTTTTCCAGCAAGTTGACAAAATCCAATTCCAAACTCTTGAGATGCGCCGAATTGTTCTGCAGGACGATAGAGAGAGGCTGCATATGATCGGGACGAAGGCCCTTCCAGGTGAAGTTCAGAAGTTGGCGGAATGAGGATAAGTTGACACCGGGCTCGTGCTTGAAGGGCGCTACACAACAATACATGCAGTTGGGGTCGGTTATCAAGCTCAGCGTCCGGAGTGAGGGCTGCTGAAGTGAGAGGATGCCTTCGGGCCCGAGGATATTGGCCGGCACGCATGTTCCTAGATCCTAGCTGCAGCAGTGTCAGCCGAATTCACCTTGGGGGTAACGTATCTTCTGGTGCTTGCCTGAAACTCTGCAGTTGATCGGACTCCATACGATCAAGCAGTGACTCAACTTTGTCGGCAAAGTCATCGAAATAAAACTGGCGTTGGGGCTCGTCGTAAATCTCGTCATCATCGTCACTACTCATCCAGCGGGGGTGATCGCGGATATGGGGACACCGATCATCTGTGGCACTTGTAAAAGAAGCCCGAAGGTGAAGCTTGGTGGCAGTTCTTAGACGTCGATAAGGCGGGCCGTTCGTCGGAAGATCATGTAAATGAGATTCGTCCCGTGGCTTGATCGTGATGGATTTCCAGAGCGTGCTAGCAACGCTATCCTGCAGCCATGACGAGGTTTGGGAAAGGGTTTTCAGGTCGGCTTTTGGTAACTGTATAGAGAAGTAATCAGACACTGCCAACGAGAGAATTCTGCACAAATAACGAACCGCCTCAAGTATGAGAAGAAAGACGTCTCGCGGCACCGCTCTCAACAGGTCGGTCATGGCGATGGAGTGGCCACTGGGGCATCTGGTTGTTGTTGGCGGATGTCTTTCGAGGAGCGCAAGTTCAAATCGCCTCAGTCGCTCATTGCGACTAATCCAAATGATTTGAGATGTAGGTAGTAGGAAATCTGGTGCCTGGTGTGGTTGGTGATGTTGTAACTTGTTGGTGAGCCAGAGGTGGGTGCCTGAGGCTGAGGTAGAGGAAGAGATGCCTTAGGCATAAACAACACTTTGTCAACGCCACACAATCCCCACCATTTCGCGCCACAGGCTAACAGGGTAGGTAGGTGCCTACGTCATAAGTATTCGCAAACACCGCCATCCAAGAATTGAGAGAGTACAAGCACATTACTCTCGTCTCAAAAGGCACCCGAAAACTTGCGCTGGTATTTGAAGGTTAGCTCGCTTTCCTCTAAGGTGGGTGGAAGAGTTTTACCTGCGATCCAAGTTGGCTGCTGACTTGTGTTACTCCCGCGATTCGTCTGTCAATGCATCATCTGATGGTCGGGTCTGAAACGTCCTCTCAGGCTCTCAAACTGATAGCGAAGGGTCTTGTCTTGATGATGGGATATTTGACGCCCAAGGCTAGGAGGCCGTGACTGGATAGTTAATACAGGCAGCACCCACTTGCCTGGAATGGGTCTACAGTTTGCACTATGAGCTTTGTCACTGATGTTTCTAGATGTTGGCTGGTGAGAGAACTATGTCGTCGGTTGATAAGATCGTTTACTTTTTATACCGAGGGAATGTCTGCCTTTACCATGTTGAGTGCTTATTGGCATCCAAAGGCATTAAACAGCCGACAACGATAACCAGAGAGCTGGAAGATGGAGACCAGGGAGACTACCGCTAAGCTTTGTGAGAGGAACGAGTTTTGCTCAAAGTCATTCAAGAGTCCCCGTAAAAGGATTTCCCGGCTCTTATGTATCATATGATTCAAAGAGCCCGACTGGTATCGCTCTCGCCGGGTCAGATCTCACCCTTGGTGGTCCTTTACTGGACAGGTACATCACAAGTCATGCTGGTGGATTACGCTGCGCTTCTGCCTACACAGCCGGTGAGATATTTTTTTTACGGCCGCCGTAATCATTTTATCCATCCCCATCTTCCAGTAACTTCGCCAAGATCAAGATCAAATCATCAAAACCATATTCCAATGTCCCCCGAGCACGGTATCTATACGCCGCTACCACCGGACAAGAATAGCACTAGACTTCTAACCCTCCTCCCTGGGTCTTTTGACGGTGAAATTGCCTGCAACCTGGAGGTTCATTCCATCTCTGGCGACCATGAATACGAGGCTCTTTCTTATACCTGGGGTGACGCTAATGACCTGCGGCCCATTCTCGTCAACGGAAAACACATCAATGTTACATCGAACTTGAAGGTTGCTCTGCAGTATCTACGCCACCCGTCTAAGCCCCGAGTCCTGTGGATAGACGCTGTATGCATCAACCAGAACGATAACCAGGAGAAACTGCTTCAAATCCAACGCATGGGTCGCATCTTTTCCTCTGCAGCTTCTGTTGTTGCTTGGCTGGGGGAATCCACTACAGCTGTGGATCAAGTCTGGTCAACCATAGCTCACATAGGTGAGGGCATCTGGACTGCTCGAGTAACTGGTGAGCACAATCCAGATACCGACTTTGCACCAGGCTTGGCTTCTCCGGATGACTTGCGTCAGAAGGGAGTGGACGTGGACACCCTCGACTGGACCACCATCTGGGAGTTATGCGACCGGCCATTCTGGCATCGCGTTTGGATAATCCAGGAACTGGTTCTCGCTAGTAACTTCTGGGAAGACCCGACAAAGGGATGCGTCCTTGGCTGCGGGTCAAACTGGATGCCCTTCATCTCCTTCATAGGGTTCGAGTCACTGTTTGGATTAACACGCGTATATCACGACCGGATAAACGGCCTTTCCTTCGCAACACTACGGAAACTGCAAGAGACGAGGGGTTCTACAGCGGCCGAGAGAATGCTTGAGGTCGTTCTCCATTTATCCGTCGGATCTTCCGACGATACCAGAACGAGCACACAGAGATCACTATCTCATCTACTGCGACTTTCACGAGGCTTCCAGGCTACTGATCCCCGTGACAAGCTCTATGCTTTCCTGGGAATTGCCGACAACCCATTCACTACGCCAGACTATACCCTGAGCGTGGAAGATGTCTTCAAGAACTGGGTTAGGCGGTGCATAAAACAAGATGGCAACCTTGATTGTCTACATGGAAACAGAACATCGATCAACCAGCCCGGACCATCCTGGCTTCCAGATATCTCGGGGTCGGCAAAGGACGGATTATCCTTCGAGGAGGAGCGAATTCGATATGCCAGATGCTCCGAGGGAAGGGATAATCGCATTCATTCAGAAGTGGCATTTATAGAGGACGGCAACGTGCTTAAAGCCAGAGGCGCCAGCCTTGGCATTGTTGAACGTGTGGTTGGCCCTTTTTCTCAGCCGAGCGGCCCTAAGAGAGCACCAACCATCGCACAAGACGATTCACAGTTGACACAACCGAAAACATCCATGCAGGAGCTGCGGGAACTAATGAGATTTTATTTGAGCCTACCAGAGCATGCTCAAGAGGAAGCTTGGAGGGCAATTGTCACAGATAAGGACACGAGCAGCAAAATGAAGCCAGTCTCTCCGGCGCCCGACAATTTCCGCCGCCTCTGGCATACACTTATGGCCTTATGCGGCGTAACTGAGGCATCAGAGCCCTTGTCAATGGAGGATCTGGAGGGGATCGACCATCTGATGGCCAGTCTTGCCACCGCTATATTCGTGGACCGGTCCTTTTTCGTGATTCGAGATCTTGTTTTTGGACTGGGGCCATTCCTCACAAAGCCTGGCGATGAAGTCGTCATGTTGCGTGGGAGTCCTCTCTGCTTTGTTCTAAGGCCAGTTGGTGAACGGTACCGACTTGTTGGCGACGCCTATGTTCAAGGCGTTAACCCTACAAGCTTCTCGAGCAAGCATGGCAGTACGTCTGAAGTCAAGGATTTCATGATTGAATAGCGTTGTAGTTTCTGTGGTTGTGAATCTTTGGTTGCCGAGAAGGGTTGTTCCTGTAGACAATCCCTGACGCTTTTATGAGTCCGAGATACTTTTCGGATAAAGACTTGTTAGAAGACATCATAATACAACACTTTTCCCCCCAGCCATCTATTGACAACTCTCAGCCATTAGAACTACTATCTGAATGACCCAGCCGCATGATGAAATCTCGTAGACTCCGGCCATCGTGTTCAGATTTTTTCTCCACGAGCAACTCGAGAACGTCCAGATGCCCCGGCATAGAAACCAGGTGCAAATTAGTATTCCCATCAGCTTCTTTTCATCATTTTCCTCGGTGAACTGCTCAATCTCCGAAACGCCGTTGCTGCGTCTTTCTCCTCCCCGATCAGGCCACTTTAACTTCATATCCGGAACCTCCGGGAAACGACTGAACATCATCAACAACTATACTCGTATCCAGCGTATACGGATAGTGTCACTAGTATATAGTCAGTCTCTAAACTTACTACTCTAACAATTGAACCAAAAATCTCGTCGTCGCTGATACCCCAGGCCATTCACAGCTTCCCCAGTTCATGTGGAACCGCGGCAGTGTCATAAGCTTACTCGAATTTACCTTGTGTCCTGTGCGTCAGAGAAGACTGACCCAAAAGAGAAAGCTGACTTGTGTCTTGACGAACTTGGCAAAACTGGCGATTGTGGGGATGCTAAGACGGGACCTGCATGCAGGACGGCTTGACGATCTCGATAAGGCTGAAGGCATGTATGTTGTGCAGATACAAGAAACGTTCTTTCTTAAGGCTTTTGCACAATTCTCATAGCTGATGAGATTGAGCCTTTGATGTAAGTCTTGGGGATGCTTCTTACTGATGGACCGAGGTGGGCACATGTGAATCCCGTCGCAGGACGCAACTGCAGCGTGTCAAACACATGTGCCTCCCAAAAGTCTTCATGTGATGTATCAAGTACTCTGTAAAGTCTTGAGGCGACATTTGAAGAGTGGCGTGAAAGTCGGGATCGGCTGTCCCTTCGAACTCGTCGGTCAAGCAGGCCCCTCACGCAATCGACCATCAGAGCCCACGGAGTTGTACCACGAGCCAGATCTTTTTGCTTTGCGAGACGCATTTCGACATCGTCTTCGGCTTCGTTTATGTGTTTCACTTTTAGGTCATTGAAGGTAAGCATCTTGGTGGCGGTGTGATCCTCAACCATCTCAGATCATGCAGATCTACGTAGGACAAGGTTATTTGCAGGCCTCAAATGGCTCGTCTCCGTTTTCGCCGCGATCGTTCGCCGATTGATGATCCCGAGTACCGTGAGCCCCATCGTCTACTAAACATACACATCATAAAACCGAGTGTACGATTACGGTCAAGACACCATCACACAAACCCACTGCCCAACGGCCTCCCACCCAGCCACTCAAAAGAAGAAACGAAAATCAGCGTATTCTTATCCGCGTATCCCTCAATTTAAAGGCCCAATAGACTATTAAAGACCCATAAAAGCCCCTTTCCCATATCCCTGCACTCCCGCGGTGCCGCGGCGTCCGCCCCATTCGGGTTTTAAGCTGGGGCCGGGGTCCGCGGGCGCATGACTCTTGATCGTATCACTCTCTGATGTCCTGGCCAGTTTTGATCATCCCCTCATTTGACAGGCCATTTTATCAACAGTGTTTTTCTTTGAAAGGAGGCTGAAAAGACTTTTCTTGAATGTTTAGGAGGTGGTCTTGTCTTTTTGGATCTGATTTTTAACACTTTCTTTAGAGATACCCTTAATCATGTCAGCCAAGATTCGCCCGAGCTACTACTACCCCAGGCGCAAAGGCGCTTCTGCCAAGAGATGGTTTGTTGAGAACCAGATAGGTGAGTTTGTCCATCTCCTTTTTCTTTCAGCCCCTACGCTGCACCTGGCGTCAACTGCATGTCTCCATCACCTGGTTCGACCTCACTGACCTCAATAGGTCTCTGCCTTTGCGTCACTGTCCCCGTGCTTCTCGCACGAACTGTTGCATTCACGCGTCCCTACACCACCAAGTTTCTGTCACTATCGTACTACGATGAGAAGACAGGGGACTATGGTCTGGGCTTTGACGATGTCTACATCGTGTTGTTTCTTGTCGCCGTCTTTACCGGCCTTCGTGCTGCTACCATGCAGTACGCCTTGGTTCCACTCGCGAAGAGGTTCAATCTCAAGGGAAGCAAGGTTACCCGCTTCAGTGAGCAGTCTTGGATGATCATCTACTACACTATCTCTTGGAACATTGGCATGGTATGTGACGACCCATAAACTCACAAATATTCTCCTGTTTCGTTGAACCGGGCAACTAATTTTCAAAGTACATCTATGCCACATCTCCTTACTGGTTGAACCTCCGAGAGATGTGGACGGGTTGGCCCAACAGAGAAACAACAGTCTTTATGAAGTCTTACATGATAGCCCAGCTTGCATTCTGGCTACAGCAAATCATTGTCATCAACATCGAGAAGCCACGCAAAGATCACTGGCAGATGATCTCTCATCACATCGTCACTATTGGCCTGGTCTACTGTTCCTACCGTTACGGACTTACCAGGGTCGGCAACGTTGTGCTTGTGTTGATGGACCTTAACGACCTCTTTTTCTCGGTGGCCAAGTGCCTCAAGTACCTCAAGCACCAGACATTATGCGACATCATGTTTGGCATTTTTGTGGTTAGCTGGGTTCTCCTCCGCCACGTTGCCTTCTGTCTGGTTATTTGGTCTGTCTATGCGCACACTACGGAGATGATGACGGGATGTTACAGGGGCATGGGGGAGGATGTCACCGGTCCTTTCGACATCCCCAAAGAGGGATCCCGCTACTGGTTGGTGCCACTGATCTCAAACTCTGAGATTGTGTGCTATGATCCCAAGATCATGCACGCATTCTTGAGTGGCCTTCTGTTCCTCCAGGGTCTCATGATCCTCTGGTTCATCATGATCTTCAAGCTCGTCGTACGTGTGCTTCTGGGTGAAAACGCCGAAGATACCCGCAGCGATGATGAAGCCGAGAACGAGCAAGATTACCTCGAGGTGGAAGTCGGTTCCGAGAATATCTGTTTGCCGAGTCGATCATCTGTCACTGGACTGGCCAGGTCCGATTCACGACAGAGATCCCGGGGCGTGAGCACATCTCTTCAGAGCGATGGACGAAAACTCTTGGATCGGATAGGATGCGAGAAGAAGATTGAATGGGAGGGTTAATAGGGTCTTTGCTTGTTGTTTGTTTACCGATTTTACAAAAGGTCGTGGGTGCGTGATAGAAAAGATGAACGGTGGGCATCACAAAACCATAGAGACACATTAATACTCCACAGACACGAAGAAACGATGTCAGATGAGAAGGGCTGGGGGATAGATACCCTGATTACATGTAATTACTTAATTATAATTAGCTATTATTCTAGTTCCTTGAACTCCTTAATTCAACCTGATGTATTCCAAACCGGCTCATCACCTCCCAGACTCCCTCATTAAATTGATCTTTTCTCAATAAGACATGCCAGTTGTTTGCCCCCTGAAGTTTCCAGGCTCACCACTGATCGACTTTAGTCGATTCAGCTCGCCTTGGCCTTTTCCGTCTTCTCCACCTCGGCATCTGAAGCCTCATCATCAGAGCGAGCGTCACGTTGCTCATTGTAAACCGTGATGCGGTAAGCGACCCGGAGAACATAGTACAGCCAGACAAGGTTCAGCGATTGCAGGGCAATGAGCAGCGTCGATGTGATCACCTGGGCGAGTGGACACTTGTACTGCTCAGTCTCCCAGTTCAGTTCGTATGGGCCGACTGTTTTATACTCGGTGAAGAGAGAGTAAATAATGCGGATGTTGATGTAGTGCCGCATGTAGATCCAGACGCCCATGAAGGTGGCGTAGAAGGGAACAGTGATGGCTGACTTGAGGTAGTTGAGAACCTTGGATACCTGTAAAGACTCAGTAAAATGTCAAAGCCGGCGATCATGGGATAAACTCACAGCGAGGAAGAGGTCGCTAATATCATGGGTGGTATACACAGCGATACCGATATGAGTGAAGTGGAACCGGTAGCTCAACCCAATCAACGACAAAGTCACAATGTGATGAAGAATCATCTCATTGGCGTCCTTTCGAGGCTTCTCCATACCAAGAATAAGCACAATAGCCTGCTGCGCCCAGTATGCTCCTTGGAACAGATAGTAAAACTTCAAGTCCCCGGTGAGAGTCTTGTGGGGGAAGTCCTCGTACATCCCCCGCGTGTTAAAGAACCACACCGGAGTGCCCTTCATGATGTACAAGCCAAGGGGAGCCATGAAGATGAAGTAAACAATGGCGTAGGCTTGTTCCATGAATCGAGTCTGCTTTCCACGACTGGCCAAGCCCCAGTGCCGTGCCAGTGGTCGCAAGACCTCTTGCATGACGAACTCCCTGGTGAAGGAGAAAAAGATGATGTAAAAGAAGACAAACGCAAAGTCATCTCGCCCCTTGGCGTACTTGGCAGGTCCGCCGGGAGTCTCGGGTCCCACTGGATAGCTCGGAAAGATGAACTTGTGCACCGGGTTGCTTTCCGATGGGTTGAGGCTGTACACGAAGAGAAATGCACAGATGACTGCCAGCGGAAAGGCCCAGGTGTATCGAAGAATGAATCGCTTGACACGGCGGCTCATGGAAGAATGTCTTCTTCGTCGCTTTCTTGAAGACATCTTGTGCTGAGCGAGAGTTCGGCCGGTGTCGATGCTCGACGTTTTCCGGTGGCGGGCAGCGCGGGCTTCGGATAAGTCAAGTTGGGATACCGAAGTGACGGCGGGCAATATCTGGACACTGGCTCTTTCCTCCATTTTGAGTTTACGAGACGATGTATTTGTCTTTGTTGTATTGCTTTAGTGTGATGTTTCGATATGCTGAGGCCGTGGGAGTGGGTCGATATAGACGTGGAATCGTAGATGTCGAAAACAGTAAAGAAGCAGAAGAACACCACCACAAAAGATGCAATAGAAATACACCAGGAAATAATAACAAGAAAGAATTAAAACAATCAAAGAAACCCCCTTTATTTCCATGACAAGACGGACATTCTCTCAAATGTCCGATCTCTCAGATTTCACGCATGACCCAAACAAGCCCCCTGGCCTCAAATCGGGCGCTTCGGCCTCCGCGGGCCACCACAAACAGACCACCAAACACGTAGTCAACGAGCCCCAGCAAATCACGTCTCTTGGGACAGATCCTGTAATTCCTTGTTTAATTTGCCGTTAGCCGATTTCCCGTGCCAGCTCATGGATGTCGTTGGCATTCCACTGCGCGTGCTCACGAGAGCAGCCTCACCCAGGGCAGATTCATGACGTCACGCCATATGCCAAGCTGAGCACGGTGGTTTCAAGATGTGAATCTCGAATGCTCTCAAGGAGTCGATGAATGTGATCCTTTGATCCGCGGCTCTTACATATGTGCCTAGGGATGTTGTAACTCCCGGTGGGAGTCCCATATTTGATGTGCACTAGGGTCGCGGCATGAGAGTAAGCTTCAGCTAGGCGGACTATTGCGCGAATCAACATTAGAGTATTAGTTTCACTTTCATATTTCTAACTATTGAATGGGCATCCGTACCTACATCATCTTGGACATGGTGTACGCCTAGAAAGTGCTCATATGTGGAAACCGCTGGTTATTGTGAGGGGCTGTAAGTGACATAGGTCCTGGGTTGAATTGTGCTCACCCATCATCGTACTTCTTGTTCCATTAGCTGCTTGGAACTTATAAGGTCCTTTATCATCACGATTTTCATCCTGTTTTGCACTTTATTCTGCCACACCGCGGTACCTACGTAGTGACAAGGTGGGATTTAGGACACTTCACTATGGTCCAGGGTAGGGCGAGATTCAACACCAGTCTATGAGTTGGCCGAACCCGTGAAGGATAAAACTACTAAGAAATATGCTTTGGTTAATTTCATTCGCAGTACTCACCATATTAAATTGCCAGGCCATCCATGGGTCAGAGCTGACTCTTAGTAGTGCCAACTATCTGTGTTGTCTCCTTCACCTGCATCTTCGTGTCGAAATTGCTTTGACTCCTAAGCTACCCACGTAGATTAACTCAATCCAATACCACCTCAGAGGAGAAAATTACAGATAATCAATGCAACGATGCATATATTTTGGTTAGATGCTAAACGAGTTAGCCTGGCAAGATAGTTTTCTTCCAAGCACATCCAACATTCACGTGGAGATATCGGGGTGCAACTCAGGACCGAGACACTGCAGACCGGCGATAATTGACGGAGATATTGATAACCCCGTAAAATCTCTTCTTGATAATACGCCTCTTACAATGCAATTTCTTGGCTCATCGCCATGAGGACTCGAATTGGTCCACAAGGCGTATCCTGAATGTGTTGGATGCATCGCCTAAGATCTGACCGGGTCCCGCGGGTGAGCGATGGCCGAGTCAGGCCAACAGGGGTGGTCGATTTTGCAATCTCTCTCCGCCTTCTGATTTGAGGCCTCGCTCGGGCTTTCCTCGGTTAACTGAATGCCACTGGTCACATCATCACGTGTCCTCTTCACATCACAGGCAGCCTCGTAACAGTCTCTGAGCAACGTCACCTTCATTGGCAACAAACGTGAGGCTTCACCTTTCGCCCGGTTGCGACTGGACATCAAAATGGATAACATTTATTACATACTTCTGGGTCTTCTCGCCCTTTTCATCGTGGGACCGGTACGTTCTTCTCCTAATGCAGGCTGTATCCACCGCTGGCGAAGCGAGCCAGCTCATGCTAATGTTCCCTCACAGGCCCTCTTCGCGGACCGCTCCCCCATCCCTGAAACCTCGGGCAAGGTCTACAAGATCACAAACGAAGCCGAGTTAAACTCTCTCTTGTCTTCCACCGCACGCGTGGTAGTCGACTTCTACGCCGACTGGTGTCCTCCCTGCCGCGCCATCGCTCCCATCTTCTCCAAGCTTGCCGACGACCACGCCTCTAGCGGCAAGCTCGCTTTCGCCAAGGTCAACGTGGACCATGTCGGAAACGTCGCCGGCAAGTACAGTGTTTCTGCTATGCCTACGTTTGTGGTCTTCCAGAATGGCGTGCCCAAGGGCGTCGCTGTTGATGGCATCTCGGCCAGCCGGTCTGTGAGCCTCTCTGATGATGGTCTGGTTGAGAGGATTCGCGGCGCGGATCGGGCAGCTCTTCAGGCTACAGTTCAGGCTTTGGCTGCCAAGGAGTAAAGCTTGGAGACAGATCAAGGAAGATAGATTTACGCAGAGGGTTGGCAATTTCTTGGTAGGCCAAGGTCACAGGACATGGCACATCTCATCTCATTAGGCACATTTCACGAACAAGGGGATCCTCATGGCAGATAAATAAGCGACACCAATCTTAAACAAGTTTGCATTCAGTCAATAATAATCATCCCTCTGCGTCTCATCCTCGGGCAGCAAATGGGGTCTTTCTTTTTAGTGATGCATCTTCATCAAAAACGTGCTCCCCGCGCATGTACTGAGTCTGATCTGATTCCAGAGGAAGGATGTAGTTCTTCAAATACTCGAGACTCTTCAAATCTCTCTCAAAATACTTGCACTCGCTGAGAAGCGTCCCTTTCTGAAGACGCACCACCTCTGCCCCACGCGTGCAGTAGGCAAAGTTGGTGATGAAGGGGACCTCACCATTCATTCTGATGTTGGCTGGGGTCAGCTCGTTGTGACATAATCCCATCTCGTGGAGGTGAAGCACACCTGCTTCTACGGCTTTGTAGTAGTCCATCTTTTGTTGCATGGTGGCGCCAAAGAGCTTCTCGGCCAATGAAGCTGTGCCCTTTTCGATGCAGAGGCCAATCACTCTCCCCTCCTCGGTGATACACCCAAAGTAGCGTCCAATGTTTGGGTGAGGATGCTGCTTTAGCACCTCGTACACCTTGATCTCTCGCAATGAGAGCTCTGCCCACTTGGGCCAGTCAGCCCGTTCAATCCAATCCTCGATGCGAGGGCGTTTGATACACTGACCTTGTCCGAGTGCGCAGCCACTCTCAAAGGATGGATCTGCCACCGCACAATACTCGTCCAGTGGAATGCGATCGAATGGGAGTTGGGAGATGGATTTGGTGTCCAGAATTGGCACTTTGCCATCGATAACACAGGAAGCAAGATAGCAGCCCTGTCGTACTACGATCTTTGTGCTGTTACCTAGCGGAATGGTGATGATGTCCTGGCGGAGGCTCCGGGGCTCAAGAAACTCCGCGCTGGGAGTGACGCTGAGGAAAGAAGGCGCCATTGCTTCTGTATGGAGTCTAAAGATTAGTGTGGTGTGATGAAGTGCGTTGGTCGTGTTTGTGTTGCTCTGTTGTTTGTCAAGTGACGCGACGACGACGATGATGATGTTGAGAGTAGAGTGTTAAACTGGATGAGAGGTACTTTTTATCGTGACGGAGATTACGCTGAAATTTATTCATTCTCTTCCTTACTCTATGATTCCAGATGGTTTGAGGTCATTGTCAACTTGAATAAAACGCGAACACCTGGCGATCGCCTCAACAACCCCCAACCCTTGCAAGAGCGAGTGCAGGAACTCCTCGAAAACTCGGCTTGAACAGCCAGGGCTCTAATAGAACACAAAAATATCTGTTGGTACGCTGTGACCCTTTCAAGGCGCTATTGTTGTCTGTTCTTGGCGTTTCCCCCGCTCGGTTTCTTTGTTTGCTCAACACCACCTCCACTCAAACTAATTCCATTCATGAACGCGCCCATCGCTGGGTCTTTTTTCGGCGTTTGCACATAAATACAAGCTACATTCATGATTTCTCCTTTCATGCACGCCATGATTGATCTCTCCAAAAGTGTTTGTTTCTGAGCTGGTTGCCCGCCCTGCAACACCTGAGCAAATCCCCTTGAATGGTTACCGTTCGGTTTGCTCATTGTCTTGACTCATTGGAAGCACGTGTTCTGAATGTCTCCTCAATTCTCTCTTGCGTCTCAACCCTCCATTTATCCAGTCCTATGCTTCGCCACTGCAACGACTTTGACCCTTCGCTCTCTGCTCAACAGTCTTCATCCTGCTTGATGCAATGCCACCACGTCGTCCAGCCCGCCGGGTGCCCCTTGAAGGGCCCATCCGCTCCCCGCGCAGTATCGAAGCCAAGCGCCTGAGGCTCTTTGTCCGTACCCATGAAGGCGAACAACCTACGCAAGTCGAACTCGACTTTCTCCCTTCCTACTCTCCGGATGACGGCGTTCTGCGTATCAAACTCGGCCGCAACAGCGATGGCAAGCGCAGTATAGGCTGGATGAACCACCCTGAGAGTGACACTACGCCTCCTCTTCATCACGAGACTGTCCCAGGCGTCGTTGATGTCTTTTCGGGTGGAAAAAGCACCATGCGAGATAATCGCATCTCCCTCAACATCCTTGGAGCTCTTTTCGCCATTTTCATCATCCTAATCAGCAACCCACCAAATGCGTACATCTCGCACTTCACTGATGCCAGAGGTATCAGGACTAGAGACCCTCTCCACAACGAGGACCCTTGGAATTGGGGCATCGAGGTCAAGAGCCTTCTTGCCCAGCCCGGTACAAGTGAAAACACTACATCCTTCGATCCGGCATACAGCGACATGTTTCACAAGTACACAGTCTCTTACGACCCTCCTCTCGTCGGTGATCTCATGTCAGCTGTCTCTCAACTCAGCTATTCTTCTCGACACGTTCTCGTCATGCCGTTCCTTCGCAATGCCCGTCGCAAGCCTTTCAACCCCGACAAGTTCTTTGAGTCTCTCGCCCACGGCCTGGATATGATTCGTCCTCATCGTCCCGAGCTCGCTCGCATCAGCCACGAGAACGCCAAGTACTACCCCTCCTTCCTGGGGATGCACAGATACACGGACGATCTAGAACAGGATGGGATCAAAGCCATCGCGCAAAGGGTTTCCAGGCGCTGGAATGAGTTGAGAGACATTATTGGCAAGAGTATGACCCGACTCTTTAACGAACTGGACCCGCTCGGCGACAACATGACAAAGACAATCGGTGAACCCGACGCCAACAACAAAGTCATCAACTTGTTCGAAGCATTCCTCTCCCCCGGAAGTCTCATCCAGAAGTTCCCAGACGAACTCGACAAGTATCTACTCACGCTCACTCGGGATCTGAGAATACTCGGTGATGCCCTGGAGCTTCCCAGTGAAATCTCAATGCTTTTGGTGCTTGACAAGAGAAGAGACAACAAACTAAGCCTACAGGCAATTATTTCAGCGGGGAGGAAAGATCCCACCGAAGCGTTGAAGTATCTGGAGGATCTACGCGCCATGTCCACCGTCAAATTGCTGTTGTTCCACCTTGAAGAAGCCTACAGAGGGTTACGACTAGAGAGGCTCTCCCTCAAGCACAACTCACTCCGCACGCAGTTAATGCAGACGAAAACGGTCCCAACTAAGGCATGGTGGAATGGATGCTGGGCGAGGGAGTGCTTGCCACCGGTGCCAGAGATTGCGGATAGAATCTTGAATGGTACCATGAATCAGAAAAGGCTCTACAACGAGGCTCTGGCTTTACGGGACAGAGTTGGAAACCCATCGCGGAGTTTGGCTTTGGTTCAGGACAGGGGTGAACTCATTGGAGAGATCCTGGCGGACGTGGCGGCTCTGAAGAAGTCTATGGGTATCAAGGGTTGAGCCGAGGGCAACTGGGCTTTTTGTGAAAAACCAGGGTGACATACTAGCGATACCGGCGTCACTGTCGAGGCTTAGTTTTGCTCAGGTTCTTGGTGGTCTGATTCCAAATTTCTGTTCCCCCGTCCCTCTCGCCACATATGTATTCACAACAAAGCCCAGAACCCGTGCGTGCCTGTCTTCAACTATCAGCCCCAAGACCTCCTTCTTGCCGGGTCCACCCACACCCAATGTTGGGAAGGTGTGCTGATTTTTCTATCGTACGTCCCATGGCCGTGATATTGCAGACAGTGGACGAGCTCATGGGTCAACACACCATCGATCTCGTCAGTGCGGCGGGATGTTGGGCTGATTTTCTATCGTAACCAGAGCTCCAAGTGCAATCCCTGGGTAGGCGTCTGCTGCCACAGATGCGAAATATGTGTAGTTGGGGGCTGAAGACGCATGTCGTAACCAATCAACCGCTGGAACACTGAGATAGAATCATTCGGCATGCAGTAGCCGCTCAAAGATCCATTTTCAGTCATTCAGATTCTAGTGGGATCGTTTGAATATTGCCAAAACGCGCATTTCAAGCCCCATTGACTTATCGGATGAACGAGCACGCGACTCGATGCCTTCAGCGCCTGGTCATTCCTCGCTCGGCCTGAGCATGCCCTGACCAATTGGAGAGCACTGCATAAGCAGCCAAGACGTCTGCCATGGGTCAATCATAGGGAGATCACCCCGTCTCGAGCCGCTAGTAAATTTCCCCTCATCTTGCAAAGTTCGCCGGCATCCTTCCTGGTGGTTGTCAAGGAAGTTTCCCTTCAATTCACACAAGTCCCACATCATCCCATGTCGCCCGATTTCAAGCTGGCTTGAGTTGCATGCAACATGGCAGACCTGGCAGGATCTCCTTCAGAGCCGGCGAGCCCTTCAAGCAGTTCTGACTTGGTCGGTATGCTCACCACTCTGTTCTCTTCACCCTTCTCCTCACTATGGACGCGTAAACGATACCCATACAACTTTCGGCAGCGTTTCCGGCAAACCCAGTCATTGCCGCCGGACAACAGCGCTCGAATCTTTCTTGACAGCGGGGGATTCAAAGCCTGGCTGGCGCATTTCCTCATCACGACGGGCGAAGCCCACTATAGTGGTCGAGAGGCTCGGCAACGGCTACTCCGTGAGCTCGAGACGCTGCCGTCGGAGGAAAGGGCACGAATTGCACAAGAGGTCTCTGCCTCCACCGTTCACCCAAGCGCTCAGGCTCATGTTCGGGAAATGGAGCATCAAGCCCTGGCTCAGACTGCGGTTGCCGGAGTCGCGGGGCGTAAGCGTCGTCGTCAGTAGCCTGTCAGTGGCATTGTCGACACACTGATGTTAACCAGTCACGCAGGACAGGATGAGCCTTTGACCAGAGGAGATGAGGACCACCCAGCATCACCTTCTCTTTCAACCCCTGCGGCTAGCGATGTCCACAGGGTCGAATTGCACAGCGAAGATACAACCCATTGGCCAGTCCCCGTGGGCTTCGGCTTGTCCGAAGCACAAGGACAGGTGGTATCTGGAGCATCCATCCCGGGGCTTCTGAGCGTTTTCCCAGACTATATCAGTGGTGCCATCCGGAGAGATGGTCACGGAGACCATGTGACTGCTGCAGTGACAATGAATTTTCCAGGTGCGTCTTTCGGCGGTGTTCCCTGCATCATGACCTTGGTCGTCGAACCCAACAAGGTGGAACGTCTTGCGATGCTTCTGTTCCGAGCTCACTTGGAAACCACCGGGGAGAGTCGAGAGCTGGTACTGGAGAGCGGGACAAGGACAATACCTAAGCCTCAATTGCTTCTGCAAGGGAGCCCTAGCGACGCTGTTTCCCAGGTATTTGGCCCCGAGATCGCTGGGGCGATTGCGGCAACGCCTTTTCGTAAACGAGAGGTCTTTGAGGGAATCCGGGCAACACGATGCGTGACTATGACGATCCCTCATGAATCGAACTCGGCAGCACTCATCACATTGACGCTGGGCCTGGAAGAAGGGATTCGGATTCAAGGCAGGCTATATAATAGGGATGCCAGGCAGTGAGCGCATGGCACAACAAGGCAACGGCAACGGCAACGGCAGCAAGGTATAGCATAGCATAGCATAGCATAGCATAGAATAGCATGGCATTAAATCACCTTGAATGCTTCTCCGAGGTAATCAGAGAGTGCGCCCCTCAACGTTCCTTCACCCTCCCCTGATCGCCCACCAAGTACAGCGCCCAGCCTCGAGGCAGCGTCCCTTCTCCATCCCGCTCCAGCATCTCGACTCCAACCCAGTCGCTACCTCGACGTTCGTTGAGTGTGACATTACAGTCAGACCAGAGCACCGTCTGACCGGCGCCTTCGATCCACATTGGGGTCCTTGTCGACCCCTCCTGCAACGCTTCAGCTGAGGTGAGCGTTTTGAATCCCTAAGTCGAAAGTCGGTCAGAGAATCCAGGCAGGTAGATTAGACGCATAAAAGAAGAAACGGCGCACTCTCTTGACTTCGTCTTGCGTGGTCATTATTGCGCTGCGTACAGAGGTGGCTTCTCCACGTCTCGAACAGAGCGGAACAGGCGCGTGCTGTTTGAGCGGTCGCGCTGGCAAAGTATAGGTCGTGGAGAGGTCTAAATGAAGCCAAATTGCGATTCGGGGTTGTAATCAATTTTTGTCACCAGAATGCGGCGTGCTGTGGCACTTGATGACAAGAGGCGTGTGCGAAAGGCATTGAGGGCGGCCAAAGTGTAGATGACGTTGTACAAAGAAGAAAGAAAAGTAGGGCCTGTCACAGCCTGTGAAGGGCGAAAATAGCGTGTCGTGCCGTGTCATGTCGCATGTGGAGCGGTAACTAGGTACTGAGGATTGGGCCCGAAATGCCCGACACGGGCGAAAACGAATGATGACTTGGGCACGCATTGTCTTAGGTAGCTACGAGGCAAGATGAAGAGAGAAAAAAGAGAGAATATTTAGAAGAAGAAAGGTGGAAGGGAAAGCAAAGGACAAGACGAACAATGTCTTGTCTGTTAAGCAGCCCTACTCTGTTCGAGAACGAAAGGGATACCAGGCTACTTACAGTATGCTTCAATATGGCCAGTCTCTCGACTCTGCATCCTCACGGACCTCGCCGATCCTACCCGGAGCACTTCCTGGGGCATGCGTGCACCCGAGCAAGCCAAGCACATGAGACTGGACCTTGATAAGCGCAGGTAAATTTTACCTGCCCTCGTGATGTGCATGCATCGGTTGGCGCCTCCCATATGCAGGTAAAGTTTACTAGTGTCACGCGAGACATGGTGTGCGTCGATTGGACAAGGGTGGCAGGGCAGGACTGTCCAACAGTGCAGGGTGCTGCAACAAGTCTTGAGAATATGTTCGGCTTCCCTCCTTCGCAGTCCCTCGTCTTAGGGTTACCATTCCCTCCACGATGATATACAGAAACATCCAAAATGAGGCCCACGACAAGGTGGTTGCAGTAAAACATGCTCGTAATAGTAAGCGTCGGATCACTGCTGCATCACAATGCAACAGTCCCTCTTTGTGGCCCTCGCCCAGGGGAGTCAGCCACGTCCATCCATTCAAGCACCCTATCCTCCATACTCGTCAGGTATGAACCTCTTCGGTGATGAGGTAGTGAACTTTGTACTAAAGCGCCAAGAGCATGTCAAAGCTGCCCACCATAATCCAAGCCTACCATCTGTTCGGTTTCGTGGCGGTTGGGCGATTGTATCTCTTCCGAATTACACCATCACCACTCTTCAGCTCATGTATTTAAAGGCTCGCAACTCCGCATTCTATACCTTTATACCTTTATCAGACTCACCAGCAAATCACTTTGTTCCCCCTCCCCCAAAAGCATTATAGCCATCATGGCTCAGCCTTCCTTTCTCCTCGAACACCATTTCGATGGCATGGAGACCAAGCTCATGCGAGAACTTGCCCAACATGACATTGAGTACAAGTCCTCAGCAGCCTGGCAAGCCTACTTGAACCGAATGTTCCCACGGCCTTGGCAGCTGCTTTGCGAACAAGCCCCCGACGATGAAAGCCGGAGGAGGGTGGATTTCAAAATCATCCTATATGACCAAGACAACGACACCATCTCTCCTGTCGCCATTGGTGAAGTCAAGCGTCCTGGAGGATCAATTCGAGAGGTTGAAAAGCAGGGGCTTGAGGTGGCAATGCGTGCCATCAACTCGCATTGTTTGTCTGGCATCTACGTTCTTACTGTGTGGGGTCTCAAATTCCGAGCCTGGTATGCGACCAGCAGCGAGCAGTCGCTCATGCCACTGTTTGGATCCGCCCCAAGAGACAAGAATGAGTACATTGACATGACTTCTCCGAGCGGAGTCTTCGAGTTGGAGAGAACCATCCACCTGATCAAAGACGAGCCTCCATTACGGCAAGCACCCGTGGTGCCCAGCCAGCAAGACGAGATGGGCCAGATGATAGAGGCAGGGACTTTCTACTCAGAGGAAGGCGGTAGTCAGGTCAACCCAATGTACCCATGGGGGCAACAGCCCTCCGTGGACTATCAGACAACCCAGATCCCGCGGATGGAGCCTAGTGCTGGACATCCGAGAGACGCGGCCTCGTGGATGCCATCTCAAGAACCGTATCCCCAAGAGGACATGTCCATCGATGACCCAGAAGAGGCTAACGAGGGTTCAGGGGCAGAGGGTAACAGCGGGGGAAAGGGCAAGGAGAAACGTAGCACGAAGGAGAGGAGAGAAGTGAAGGTGGAACTGGTAAAGCACAGGATGAGTAAAGACGAATATGTTTTTCGGGGCGCAGACGGAAGCAAGAGGACCACTCAAAGGTCTGATTGGAAGCAGAAGAAACGTGACGGTGCCACCGTTTATGAGTACAAGGGGAAACGGGTTGTCTATTGGTGCAAGCGGCTGTCGGAGCCATGATCTTCCGCACCTAGGCTTTCCTTCTGTTCTGCAATGTGTCGTGTCTAGTTGACCAGCCACTCTTTACTTCAATTACCATCTTGAATATGATCGAACCATGTTTAACACCGAGATGTGGCCTGTGCAACATCAGGTTCTCCGATCATGACGTCCTTGTCGCCAGCAAGTTCTTGGGAACTTCCAATTATGTCGTTCTTGCATGTTAACCCTAACCAGTCAAGCCCAACGGCAAGAGATCAGGCCAGTTTCAATACCGGTCTCGCGCAGACCCCCGTTCTCAGGCTCGGGGTGGACTTACTACCTACAAATCATGTGCCGGCCATTGTGTCCACAATGACGGCAAGGATGTCGGCTGCCATTTTTCCTGCCTCAGGATCCCCGAGGCCGCACAGATCTATCATCTGCTCATGGCCAATACTTATTCATTCGAGCCCGACCCCCTTCAAGAGAGAACACGATGCCTTCGGGCACAGAAAGAGCTTGCGTCAGAGCTTCAGAACACTCTACCTTTCCCGATGGAGCTGAGAGCACGTATAGCTCAAGAACTCGTTAGAGAATACATCGTGGCGAAGAACAGCTCCCTACTCGGCTGCTCGACTTTCAAGCCTTCCACCATTACGATTGCATCGGAAATCACCGAGACCTACACCGCTTTTGAAGGAGAGCAGTACATCAGCTCACTGGCCAACGACCCCTCTTCCTGCGATACCTATGTTCCACCCAAAGTCATCTACATAGGCGAAGACCATCTGGGTATTAGGAAATTGGTATTTTCTAGGTCTAGGACTAACCCTGATGTTGACTACGTGCCGGGTATATGGTGGAAGCCATTGCTTGTCAGAGAGTCTGGCACGGTCGAGTTCGCGAGTGATGTAAGAGGTCTCAACATTGTGTGTTCCCAGTAGGGGACTAACCATAGTCAACAGGGTGTCAAGGTACGCTATTTAATCTATAGAGACGACTTGATTACACATGACACCCGACGCTTGCCCTCATTCTCTATTCCACAACACCCGAAGAACCGCTACCGCACATACCTCGTCAATCGATTGCAGGGTCCAGGGCCACCTCGGTTTTCTCGGTTCCAATATAACTATTTGGGCAGTACTGGCATCTCTATCTGCTGCGGCCCGTCCCCCATTGCATTTCATGCCCATACATCCAACGATGACTTGTCTTTTTATCAGTCCAGCCCCAACCAGTCAGTTTGGGTCTACATGCCTCTGGAACCGAACGAGCGCGTTACAAGGGTCTGGATGCGAGCCCGTCATTGCCTAGACAGAGATGCAGCTCTGGCATTTGAGACAAATCGAGGGCACACCAAGTTATTCGGAGCTCAGCCAACTCCGGTTCTATCCGCTTGCCAATGGGTCCTTCTCGACACACCGCTAGGATCGCCCGGTCACTTTTTCTTCGACAACCATCCATATGGCACCCGCCAGATATCGCTAGACACTCTACCTCCCAAGCAGACCTCAGGCTTCGCCCCCCCGGCGGCTTCTTCCGACTACCCGAAGCTGCACAGCACTGATGACTTTCTTTGGTCTCGCGCTTCTGTCGAGAATGTGGTTGCAGTGAGACCATGCCGCCGCCAAACGGGAGACCTTATGGAGATTCTAGGATTACTATTATACTACTCGGATGGCAAACAGGCGCCTATCGGTCAAGTCCGCTTTGACTACCTTGATCAGCCAATCTTGACAGACGGTTGTCCGCTGATATATCTCGGATTTGAAAAGACCAAACCAAAAGGCCCATTTGTTTCTCGGCTTGAAACTGCTGCCCATAACTTGGATAATAAGGTTAGCATGTGGTTTGAGGTCTTTTTGAAGGGTGCTCTAGAATGGTGGCTATCTTATCGACAGTGCCAGGTGTGCCAAGATGGCCGTCGAAGCATGCCTGTGAGGATATGAGAAGTTTAAGCACCTATTTAAACTCGAGTACACGTTTCGATCCTTTGGCTCAGTTAACCCATCAAGGGCCGGGCTACAACTATAATAAGAACAGATCATAGCATCATGACCTGATGCTAACAAAGTGCAAGTACAAGTTTCGAGATTGATGGGCTGTATTTATGCCGTCCACTCCAGGATTGACTTTTCACAATGTCCCATCCTAGTCGCAGCCCTCGATCACATGGAATTTGTTTCCATGAAGCTCTTCGGCTTTAACATCAAGAATCCGCATTTCTTTGAATTGTTACATACACTGTCCTGTTGTCCATCATCTCATTGCCTCATCACGATAGTCACGCCGCTATCCCCATAGCTCCCCTTCCTTGCAATGCCCATTCTTGCAGCCTTCACAGAGGGCTCTCTCATGCGGCTTCCCAATCTTTCGACTGTAAAAAGGACGTTCCACCTCAACGCCCGACCACTTTTTAAGACGATAGGCAACTCTGTCCACATATGTGTCCACGTCGAGATCCGGGCGACTGAGCCAGTTGCAGCTCCTGCAACGCTGATGATAGACGCGGGCATTGTATCGGTCGCCGTTGTACATGCGAATGGTTATGGCGATCTTCTTGCTTGACCATCCACGACTGGTGCAATTGTTGTTATGACAGGTGAACCGGCCCATTATATTGGTATCATATGTCTCTATGCGACCCCTCTCGTCGTCATTGTTGTTGAAGGTGAGATAGAGGTCATCTTCCTCTAATTCTTTTAACAGCTCATCGTGGAGAGCTGGATACATGGACCATGACTTGAGTTTCTTGCGTGGTGGCATAGTGGATGGTCTGGGGCCAAAAATTGGGGCGAGGATCAACTGGGAGAAGAGGTAAAGACACTGCATTTGTAGCAGAAGTCATTGTATTACAGACAACTAACAGAATCAAATACGCAAGAGAGATGGGGAGAAGGGATTTCACATGATTGGATGGTATATTCCAAGTCTGCATGACGTTCCCAGGCATGCTGCAGCCGACCTGACAGGGCTATTCCCGGTTTACGGCATGGTGCTTCGAGAATTATGCAAGAATTTGGCCATGCTGGCGATGTACCCTGATGGTGGCCATTGGTACAGATATTCGCTTCGGTTTGCAGGTTGGATGAGACAGTTATCTTGTCGGCAATTCAATGCCAAGCCAGCATTATTCTTGATTGAGGCTATGTTCTATACAAAAGTGGCTATATGTCTATGTGCTATCTCTATGATTAAAGATGAGGTAGATACCTCAGATGAAGAAAGAAAACATGATCGCTCATTCGCTCCAATCAATCCCGTCTATGATAAAGTCCACACTTTCCAGCTTTCCAGACAAGCTTAAGGGAGAGAAGCAGGAGCGTAGGCCTGGTCAGGCTTGACAACCTTGCCGCCAGCAAGCTGCTGGTCGGTGTAGGCAGGGTAAACAATCTGCTTCTTGCTCTTGCTGACCACCGAAAGAGTAGTGAATCCCTTGTCGGCACCAAACTGACCGCTCCAGCCAGAGGTGATGGTGAAGTCGCCGCAGGTAGCAGGGCCGCCGTTGGCCTTGGAGGCCTTGGCCGTCTTGGTGGACTTGACGACGTACTTGCAAGCGGTAGCGGCACCGCTGCCAGTGTTGATCTTGAAGTTCCAGGTGCATGTGGCGTCGGGCTTGTCGCAGACTCGGTTGAGGGTTTGGATGGTCCACTGGGGAGAGGCAGCCATCATAGAGACTTCGTTGGCGGGGGCGGCCATGCCAGTGGCGGAGAGAAGGGCGGCGACGATAGTGATGGAGAACTTCATTTTGGCGGCTGGGCTATTTGGTGTTAGCTTTGCCGGTGCTTGTTTGGAGTTGATGTGCAGCCTGACCTATGAGTTGATGCTTAAGCGTCGGGAAGAGTGGAAATAGATGTGTAAGATTGTAAGATGTGAGTGAGTAGAAGATGAAGTGGTGGTTGTTGATGATGAGAGGAGATATCTTGTCATGGTGTCTCAAGCTCTTTATATCATCGCGATGTCAAGTCAACAAGTTTCCAAAAATACATCGGCACTTGTCGGCCCTGCCTCTTCGTATTCATGATGTTCCCAGCACCATGCCGTCCCATGATCAATAGGAACAATCTGGACCTCAGTTTCATGCTAAGCTCCCGCCCCGGCTTCGCCGTCCGAGGTCTCCCTCAAGGCTCGAAAGGTTCTAGAAAGCCTAAATGCCGATGTACCGAACGCTATTCCTTGCCCTTGTCCTTTTCCGGAGTCTTGCCCAAAGCTTAGCCTATTGGATTCATGCGCCAGACAGGATTAATCCCTGCGTTTTAACTTTGCTGGGTTTAGTCAAGATGAAGGGCTGTCTATTTTTAGTTTTCCCCTGTCTCTCCACAACTGTTGTCAACCTTTCCTCGGGACATGGAGAGATACCCGAAGATCGTTAACGTATAGGGCATTCCGGCTCGTATTTTTTGATATTGGAGTCAATGCTGATGGAGCTGCTGTCGGCAGTTGGGTTATTTGCTACTCTTGCCAGTGACTTGTTGCTCCTAGCAAGCCTGATGGAGAGGGGAGCACCACGATAGCTCCTTTGTAGATGAGGCTTCATTTCAGGTATTACAAGAAGTTTGGTCTGTCATGACTGAATCTCACGAAACGCTGAGTTGCATGCGCTCAAGGTGAGAGGTTGAAAGAGGTTCAGAGGGATTTGACCTTGCATTAGGGCAAACAGGCTGCATGATGTTTTCAACGAAAGTGAACTAGAACATGAGCACCGACCACAGGAAAGGGAAACAAAACGACCGAGTTCAAATTTAGAACCCAAAAGAAGAAGAAAAAATGCTTTGAAATCGCCATGCACTAGATAACAAGTAGGAAGCCGTCGAGGAGAATGTCTATATGGAGGGGGAGAAACCGCCGATGGCCATGGACGGGCTACCCTAGAGAATACTCTGATTTCGACGATGAAACAGTTTGGAACTTGCTTGACAGAGAACACCATTATAATGAGTACAATCTCATATGAAAGTGAGAACGCAAGTAAGCTATGCCCATGCTTTTCACACAACTTCCAGTTGACCGACGGTTGGATGTTGACCCTCCGAAGACATGGAAGCCAAGGGCAATCTTGCAAACCAAGCAACACTCTGGAACGACTGAGTGGAGGAAGATAAGGTGAAAATGAGGGGAACACGCCACTAAAGAGTACAAGGGTGGCAGAGGGGTTCGTGAGTGTGTGCCATCAAGTAAGATAGATGTCTGACATGTAGGATCACACCCTGCTTCTAATCTGAGGCCATCCAAGTCTGTGGCCAGAAGCTCTTATCAATCACATGATAGATAAAATGTGTATTTAAGGAGGCGGGCTTCCTCGACTATGCACATTTCTCCGCCCCTCCTCTTCCATCATCACACAGATCACCCACTACGAAGCTGTAACTACCTATTGACCAACGTTTTCAACAGCCTATTCACCATCGCAATAAGTAAGTGATGACCACTGTCCTTAGGCCAGACTAACCCTTACTCTTGTAGTGGATCAATGGGACGTAGGCAAATATAACTGCGCGGTTGTAGTTGCGGAGGCAAGCAAGATTGGTCCCGAGAGACTGGCCTGAAGCTATTCGCGGTGGTATCCGTAGACCAAGAGAAGAGTTACGCATCTGCTGGCAAATGATACTTCTAATGTGATGGAGGGCTGATACGAGATGGGTGGCATAATCATGTGCGATTTATGTTGACGTGGTGGGATGTTGATGGCCAGAATCCGCTGCAGCTCATCAAACCAGGCGTCATCACGCAGTGGGTCCGTCCAATAACATTTGATTCAGTTGCTTTAAGCCGGCTGTGGCACAGGGATCCGAACTGGCCTAGCATCTTCAGCCACTTTTCTAGGGGACGCGCGCAAGCCGCTACTGTGCAATATTGATAACGCGCAGTGTACGCGTATTGATTGCAAGCTCGTCAAGTCCAAGCACTATGTTAGAGTATTGTTTCAACGTCGGCCTCAAGAGCAATACTGCAAACTTGCTGAGTTGAAAGAAGCCACGTATTTACTCAACAGTCCTGGCTGATGACATAGCCTCTCACCGTCCAGGTTCGGATATTTCGGCAACGACTCCTCACCAACCATCTGCTCAGCTCCTCAACCCTCGTATCATAAGCTATGCAAGCTGAGTGCCATCCACGTGACGCAAGCGCTAATTGAGAGACAACCTGTGCATTAAATCCCTCTCATATCAATCCCGAACTCGCCAAGACTTCTAGTCAAGACGATCAACATGACTCTCTGCAGCTTCTGCAAGACTATTCCACCCAAGTTCTTTAGCTCAGCTCGAAATGATCAATGCACTGTCGAACATCACCCGAACCTCGCCGCGCTTGAGAAGTCGGCAGAAGCAGGATGCTGCATGTGCGCTGTTGTCTATAATGCGATTCAACGTCGCGTCAAGGATGGCAAGATTTATAACACGATGGATGGGAAGTCTGTTGATTTATCGCAGCAAATCAACTTGAGGAGCACCAAGTTTGGCGCGCAGTCAGTATGTCTGGGTTGGGCTGACGTGGGGAGTATGCGAGGCATAGAGGTCCCGCAGGATTGGGATGATATCGTTGTATACGACTGCAAGCCAGAGCTGGGAATGGCATCCGATCTTAAGTATCAGAGTGATACGGTCAGGTGGTGGCTGGAGAACTGTTGGGGACAGCACGCTGAGTGTCGGAAGAATCATGATACCCAATACCTTCCAACGCGCTTGATTGACGTCGAATCTTCTGATCCTAACCTCGTCCGCTTGGTAGTCACTGCTGAAGAGTCGATCAACGATCCGCGCTATATCGCTTCAAGTCATTGCTGGGGTCTCAACATGCCAGAGTCAGCCAAGACGGTCACCTCCAACTTCGAACAGCATACTGAAAGCATCCCGTTATCAGATTTATCCCGAACATTTGTCGACTTTATAATGATAAGCCGGAATATCGGCGTCCGTTATGTCTGGATCGACTCGCTATGCATCATCCAAGACTCCTACGAGGATTGGACTGTTGAGGCGGCACAGATGGCGGCGGTGTACTCTAATGCCTACGTTACTGTGGCTGCCTCAAGTTCTTCCAACGGAACCGGCGGATGTCGAAAAGGAGATGCATCAGAGTCGTTCTTTGGGCCTGCTGACCTGCCGTGGGATGAAGAAGATGAGTCTGGCAAGAAAAAGACTCGTACAATCCGTGTCTTTGCCAAGCCTGCAAACCATGCAGTCACCAGCCTCTCGCAAGATCCCCTGGTATCAAGAGGATGGACACTCCAAGAGCGTGAGCTGTCACCCAGAGTGGTGCACTACTCAAAGGACACAATGCGATGGGAGTGTGCGTGTCAAAAGGCGACCCTCGAATTTCCCTGGAGTGACAGTCTCTCGTTCAACAACGCGCTCAGGGCGTTTGACCAGGGACAACTTCAACCTCAAGGCACTGAGGGATGGTATTCGGATGAGGCTGTGAGGAAGAACAGTTTCGTGTGGTTTGAGGTTGTGGAACGATATACGAAACGATCACTTACGAAGCAGACGGATATCCTACCAGCGGTTTCTGGAATCGCCCGGTACTTCTCCAAAGAGATTGGAGACAAATATCACGCCGGCCTCTTTGAGTCTCACGGCGTAATAGGATTGATCTGGAGGATTGTAGGAAAACCTGAAGACAAGAGGAGCCGACATTCCGAGTACCTGGCCCCATCTTGGTCCTGGGCTTCAGTGAAGGGTCCAGCCGAGTGGTGGTGGACACTCAAGCAACACAAACCAGAGCCCGTCGACCACACGTTCACGCCGCAGATTCTCGAGATGAGCACAGTGCCAGCAGGGGACGACCCTTTCAGTATCCTTAAAGGCGGCACCCTCAGGTTAAAGGGTCTCCTTGTGCCTGTCGGCGCCATGTGGCGAGAACAAGACAGACTAGAGCATGATCAGCGGTCAATAATGGCTATTCAAGTAGATGGCCAGATGACAAAAGTCGGAACCATAACTTTTGACATCCCTGAGGAAGCTTGTCAAGTATTGTTCTGCTTTGCTTGTCGTAGGGAGAGCCAGTTTGGCTGGATCGACGCCCTGGGACTGGCTTCGACGGGACAGGGAACGTTGCAGTTTAAACGTGTGGGACTTGTTCGATCGAAAGACAAGTCTTGGTGGGACAAGGCTGTCACGGCAGAGATCAGTATTATATAGAAATGAGATCTTGCTGAAAACAAGATAGTTTACATGTAGTATTTCGAGTTTTCTATCAAGACCAAGATTAAATATTCCCAGTGACGGTAACCTTTGTCTGGATCTTTCCCATCATTTATCCTCATTCGCAGCGTCGGCACTCCCTGGACTCACTACTTCAGATGTGTCGAAAAGTCCCTGAAGCGCCTGTCGCCAAGAGGTCTGCTTCTGCCATTTCAAGAACCCTTCACTTTGAGATGGATCCCCTCTAGCAGGCCTTTCACGAGCAGGTGCTGGCCGCAAAGGGACGTTTTGAGTCATGCCCGTGACTCTGTAGTCAAGTCTTACACTCTGCCCCTTCTCCTGGATAATGGCGCCAGGTTGTTCGACTAGGTCAATCTGGAACCCAACACAGAATCGAATCTCTTCCCCATCCCAAGGAACAGGAATGAGCGTCAGCAGGTTCAGAAATGGTTTGCCTCCTTTCCGATAGTTGATCAGACTTTGTTGAACTTCGTCTTTCGCTTCAAGACCCTTCTTCAACCTCAACACCGCTTCGTTATCCACATAATGTCGCTGCTGACCCGCCTGAACGAACCCATCTGGGGCCTGTAGGAACCTACAATTCTTGCCAACAACTTCTCTCCGTGAATATCCCGTCAAGTTCTGGAACATTGCCGAAGCGTAGACGATGGGGCAATCCTCCAGAGTGACGTCGCAAACGACAAATGAGCAAGAAAGATCGATGGTTCCGATGTCAAACTTGGGATTCTTGCGACCCGTGACCTTCCATAGTAGTCCCAATAGATCGAACTTGGGCTCGTCGTTTCTGTAATCCTTCGGCAGGGGAGGAGGACCAAAACCCATGGAATTTGGTAGAGTGATTGGGTATTGCACAACTTCGGGTGATGAGTTTTGCATTCCTCCTAGGCTATCGAGATCCTGAGAGGTTTCGATAGGCAAAAGAGAAGGTGAGCCGGGGAACGATCGAGGAGGAGAGTCACAAAGGGTCTCTGTGTAGTCCAGGAAGCGGTTGAGGGCAAAATGGGCATCTGTACCATACCACTCAGACCCCTTGCGTCCGGAAACACTAGCCAATTCGATTCGGTCAACATCGAGAGCTTGTAGCCTGGCCTGGATGTCTCTAAAGTCTTTTCTAAAGTCTGACTCGATGCGCTTTGTTCGTTCATCTATAGATGAGATGGCCGAGCTGCCTTGTTAGCACAATAGGAGGACTCCTGGATGAGTACTTACAAAGTCATAACATTCACAGTCATGTCTAGAGACATTTTGTATGTGGTGACTGTGTCTCGAAAAAGTTGAATCTCCTTATCTTTGAATGCCCACGTAATGTTTTTCCACGTCCGAACCTTGACTTTACCATCCCGAGTGGTTTGCGTGAAGCCATTCAATGTGTTTGTAAACTCTTCAAAAATGTCTAAACAATTCTCTAGTGGTGTTGTCAGGCAATCGCACAGCTCAGGGTTGTTTGACAACTTGTCCTGCATGCCGGCAAGCCGACCAAGGACCTGGTACAAAGCCCGCAGGTCGGTTGAGAGCGCTGCAATGTCTTTGGGGGCGCTTCGCAAGCTGTCGATGAACTCATAGAGTCGTTTTGACCCATGGAGGGCGGCGCCGACGATGCCGACGACACTCGCCCCGACAGAGAGTGGATCGGCCATGGGTGGTGTCGATGTTACGAGGTCATATCTTGAGGGTTGAAAATGAGCGGGGAAGCTTGTGCGGCTGACAGGGCATGTGATGTGCACGCCCAATGGTAGAGACTAATCGAAACGTGGCTTGTTATCAGTGGGAATGTGTAGACTGGACAACTTGGATGAGAGAGCCGATACGAGAGATTAAGAGGAAAATTTGGCTTGATGAGATCTTTTGCTGGTCTTCAGAGGCCGAAGTGGTGATACTGCGCCATTATGAGGCTTAATACAATAGGGTCTCCCTCCACGAGGCAGAATGCAAGGCGTTCTTGATGCTAGCGGCATAGTCACAGTATTGGCCTTGAGTAGTCCTCAAGGTTGACAGTATAAATAAACCATACTCTTCTACGTCACCTGCTAAATCTCATATAACAATGCGGCGATATAGCAAAGCCAAGCTGGAATATCTGCAACCAAAGTCCTCGTAATGTGTAGGCTAATCCATCGTGCCATGTGAGGCTGCGCCTGATCGGGGTTGGACAAGATGCTATCCATGATTGCGAGTACCTATAACGCGTCAGTCGACACGAATTAGGTGCAATTAGACCAAGGTACAAACCTGATTTCCAAAGGTGAAATGAACAACAGTGAACCCAAGTCCAGCCAACGACCACCAAGAAACAGCCTTGGATCTTGGATGATCCTTACGACTTCGATGAGACCAGAAGGACCAAATGCCACCCCCGAGAGTGAGTGCGCCAATTGTCGTCACAGAGATGAAGCCTGGCATGAAAAAGTCTTTGAACCAGGCTGCGATGGCTGGGCCGCTGTAGCTGGGGTCGCTGAACGCGGTCGTAGTGACATAGCCGCCAAGAGCAAGACCAACGTTGAGAGTGGTTGACAACAAGGGGAGGAACGATCTCGGGATATGCTTGGGTTGTTCCATTGTACAGAGAATATGTTGAGATGAATAATGTTATGAGAAGAGATAAAGGTTGCGCGTCAGCAACGCGCACGGGTTGCGATATTTACGGGCTGACTCGTGTCGCGTGGATATCAGTAAGCGCTAGAAGCCTCTGTATTCGATGCAATCACTGCTTACAGGGCATCTAAACCCCCAACCTAGCGTCCATCATGGATTTGCAGACAGCACAACTGCAACCCCCCTAGTAAATGTATCTGAAACCCCTCTTCTCGTAATCAGTCTTATCCTCCAGCATCTCCTCGGTTGTCAGAGTTACTTCTGTGCCCTCCCTCTTGTCGCGGATTCTGTTTTCAATCTTGCACCCAATGGCGTAGGCAGCTAGAATGGTGATGGCACCAATCTCGAACCCCATCAAGCAGTTGTAGCCAGTGCTGTAGTGGGGAGCTTCCCTCGCGAGGAAGACCTGTGGTCCGATTATCATGGCACTACAGTAGGCGACAAAGATGCTGGCCGTGACTGTGAGCTTCTTTGTGTGTCCTGCGACGTTGGCCATTGGGAGAGATAGAACTGCAGCCGTTAGCAAGGACATGAGATCAAGACGCCATTCTCAAACTAACCAGTAGCATAAGGTCCCCAGAAGAAGTAAAAGAAATAGTAAGCCAAGAGTCGACCGGTCTTCTGATCTTCGGGAAGCTCTGGGCGAGAACTGTTAGTTTGACTGTACGGCAATCCAAAAAGTTGATTTCTTACTTCGGATAAGAATAGAGCAAGCCAGAGGAATGAGACAGCAGATGGCACTGCTCAAGCACCGCTTGTTGGTAAGCCACTTCTGAGGAATGGCTACCGCCAGACTGGCAACAGTCTGGAAGGGCGAGCAAGGCATGGTGAGAAGAACCGTCTCGAGAGGTGAATTACCAATGCCCGAGATGATTTGGGCGGCAAAAGCCGATAAACCGCCTGTTGGAACATTCATGCAGAGATAGAAAAGGAACAGCAGGTAGGTCTTGTAGTCGAGGAATGCTTCCTTGACCTGATACCACTTGAACTCCTGCAAAGCAGTTAGCCTTTTGCATGCCCCTTGCAACTTGTGAGCTCGACACTTACTCGGTTCTCAATGCCAGTCATGTTGCTCTGGACGCGCGCCAAGGCAATGTACTTCTCTTTTCCCTTCATAAAGTTCTCCTGAAGGGGGGAGTCAGGGACAAAGAAAGCAAGGGTAATTCCCCACAGCATCGTCAGTCCACCTAAGGTGATGAATAGCAACCTCCAGGGAGCAATGCCGGTATCCGCATTCCCGATTCCATAAGAAACTGTTCCAGAGACGAGCTGACAAAGTTAGCAACCGAAAAGGACACAGTATCAGACACGTTCTTACAGTTGAGAAGGAAGTAAAAGTGATGGCACTTCTCAGAGGCTGCTCTCGCTTGGTATACCACATCGAGATCAAGATGGTCATGCATGGAAATACAAAGGATTCGGTAGCTCCCATGACGAATCGGAGAAACATGAGGACGGCAAAGTTGGGAGAAGCAGCGATGAGGGTGACCGAGGCTCCCCACCCGACGCAAGCGATGGCCAGACATCTACCAACCCGGAACTTTTGCAGGATGGCATTAGCGGGATAGGCGAAGAACATGTATCCAAAGTAGAAGATGGATGCGGCTGTTAGAGAAGTTGAGTTAGCATGAGGATGGATCTGGCAGCATGATCGAGACGTACCCCAGCTGTACTGCTGTCCAACCAACTTGAGGTCCTTGTTCATGCCGTAAATGGCAGCATTGGAGATGATGATTTTCTGTTGTACGCGGTCAGAGAGAGACAGACGTTGATCCTGGGACACTCACATCCACTCCCGCGATGGTGAGAGTGACCATGAACAAGGGCATGAGCCTCCAGTCAATCTTTCGCAACACGCGCTTTGCTTCAGCTTCGGTATAGTCTCCATACTCGTGCTCGTGGATGCGCATGAACTCTTCGGCGTCTTCGATGACCACGGTCTTCTCCTTCTCCCTCTCCTTGCTGGTGATGGAAAAGGTTTGGCCCACAGACCTAGAAGGCGAGCGTTGGATCTCATCGACATTCTTTGTTGGTTGCATCTTCTCGGACTCTGACATGTTGACTGAGTGGTTGAGCTGGATAAAGAGTAAGTGGTGAGAAGGAGTTGATGGGATGATCTTGACCGAGGGGGGTGCAGAGTTGATGTTTTTATCTTTGACATCAAGTCTTGAAGCGGCATTCAGACCTCCTCCCCTGTATCACCGCCTAGTCCCTTTCTGGGTTATCGTGGCAATCTACGAGGGGCGCCTGATACCAAGGGTGGCAATACAACCCCGAAGGCAATCGGTTATCACAAGAGTTCAGCCACCAGTGGATCATCTCCTGATGTTTGCGGGGTGGAAAAGAGAAAGAGGCAAGACTGACACCAAGATCTGGGGTAGCAATCTGGGGTAGACGGACTTTCAGTCCGACAGGGCGGGGCCTAACATCACGCGCATGACTCGAATCTCGGAGAGAGATATGAGAAGGAATCAAGTGGAGTTGGGCTAGTCATCTTTCTTGTCGGACTTTCAGGCCGCCCATGATAACGCGTCGGGGTTGGCCAAGGGAACCCAGTAGGCGATGACAACTCATGCGGAGAGGGGGGAGTTGGGGCTTTGACGATGGGGAAGCTGGTCATCCTGTTCATCTAAAAGGCTAGCATTCCTGAAATGAACCTATTCTCCAGCCGCCAGTCGAGAAAACACCTGTCCATCAACTCTTACCTCGCTTCCCACCTCATTCATCATGATCTCCAAACTCACTCCACCAAGAGTCGCAATTCTTCGAAACTATGACACTCCCGCATCATGGGGCAACGCTATGGTAGACTCATGGAGAGACATCCTCAAGGCGACCATCCCTGACGCCGAAGTCGAGGTCTACCATCCCATCACAGACGGCATCCTACCAGACGCGACCAAGTTCAACGTCGTCATCTTGACTGGCGGCGTGTTCAATCTCACACTTCCCAAGGTTGACCCTTGGGTCGAGCAGACCCTAGCTTTCATTCGGGACACGGCCGAGAACTGTCCCAGTACCAAGATGGTTGGCGTGTGTTGGGGACACCAGGCGATTACGCGAGCTATGGGCGGCCAGATTGAATTCAACCCTTATGGAGATAGAGTATGTTGAGTAAAATCTTGTAATGGGGCAAGTAGCTAATATTTCACAGGTTGGAGTGCATCCTCTCCAATTCACGGAGCGAGGACTTGAATTCTTTGGAAGCTCCAAGAATGCTGCTGATCCGATGGCCTTTGTAAGACTCACAAAATTCCTGAAATCACTGACAACTACTAAGCTTTGCTCGTAGGCTCTTCCCGAATTCCACAAGAGACGAGTCGGCCGCCTGCCACCTGGATCTGTCTCTCTCGCTGAAGGCAACGAGATTCTGATTTACGAGGATAAAAACATCATCACGTTTCAGGGCCACCCTGAGATGACGGACAGCGTTGGGAGAGGAATTCTGGATGCAGACGACGGAGCGTACATGGGGGGTTTGTCGGAACGTGAGGTCGAGGAAATGTATGCTAGGTTCTCGCTGTCTCATGACGGACCTAGAATGTTCCAAAAGGTGGTCGACTGGATCTTTGAGGAGGCCTAGACATACATATAGAATTGAATCGAAGGTCCGAGGCCATTGTCTGACTTAGAATATGATGGTATCGTGTGTTGATATTATATTCTTTCTTGTAGTTAAATCCTGGTCCTCAATGGAAAAACTGCGCCAGTAGATAGATTCGGAGGTTCCGAGCCCCTCAACATAGTTCCTAGACCTTTCTTGACTACATGATACTGACGTGTCTGCTTGCCAAGTTAGCTCCTCCCAAACCTAGTCTCAAGATTCTTGCCGAGAGATGACCTATGCCATCAACCTATCCCCTTGTTTAGGAGAATTTGTGAAATGCAACGATGTGATATGGGCTAAGAATAACCGAGAATCCCCATCTTACCACCGAGTGATAATGAGGTGGCGATAGATCCCCGCAGGAGGGTCTCTGCGCCTGGCTTGGGGTTGAAAGTCAGTGGAGATGCCGACTACCGCTTCAGCCGCAGCGGACTGAAAGTCCGACGCTTGGAGTGAAGCTTCGTCTGCTTTACTAAGCACTCAGAAATTGAGACTGGTTGCCCGAGATATAAGTATACCATACCACTACGCAGCTGGACTCGTTACCTAGAGTAGCAATTACATCCGGAAACATCAACAAAACCAACCATGGCCGTGTTAAAGTACGAATACAACCCAGACCTTGTCCCGGAAAAGGTCCGCAAGCTTCTCGATGTTCTCTTCGCTGCTGCAGACGACACGGCCCGGACTGCAGAATGGTTGGCTTGTTTCAGTGACGATGCCAAGATCTGGCGCAACGGAAAGCCCTCAAATGGCCGGACGGGTAAGAAGTATATACCTTGGCGATTTCTGAGAGAGGCCATCAACTGACGAGTTCCAAGAGATTGAGGGCATGATTGCCAACTCCTGGGATAACGTTGCGTCTCGGGACCACAGGCCGGCCAAGATTTTTGCCTTTAGCAAAGACTCGTTGGATGTCATGGTTGATGGTACGACCGTGTATAACTGGCAAGATGGATCGTCCAAGACTGGGGTCTGGGCGTGTCGAGTTGCGTTCAAGGAGGTTGAAGGAGCTCTGAAGATTTCGGATTACCACGTTGTATTTGTAAGTGGCCTTAAGGATAAATCTTCGGGTGGTATACTAACTGGAATATTTAGTACTGAGGCGACTCGATGCGTATTGCTTGACCAGGTAGAATATCTTGGGGTTTAATCAATGCATAAAGAACAAGATGAAAAGTGGCAAAACACAGTTTAAAAGTTGACTACCGCTCGATTCGTATGCCAGACGCCGTTCCTTACAAGAGAAAATCTGTACTTTCCTCGGACAGGCTCAACATCCTCCTCATCAATGTCAAGATAGCCATCGTGACGCCCCTATTCTCCAGTTCGCATATGATGCTTTCCATTCTTGACCGAAAATCCTCCGAGGGTACAGTATCTTTACATGCAGTTATGGGAGTGTGAGAGAGCAACAGTGTGTATGCTTCCAGGTAGATCTCTGCAGCCTCCCACTTTTGCGCGAATCCTGTTAGTGTCTGCTGGCAGTCTTCTAGTGCCTGCAATGCATCTGGGGCTTGGAATGCCGCTGTCCGGCACAGGAGAGGAGTTCCCCAGAAACAGGACAGGAGAATAACTCCTATACTGAATTGTTCTAGCAGCTGATGTGACTGTTAGTCTAATCTCATTTCATGGGCTTGACGACTTACGCCACCCCAAGTCGAGTAAATCATGAAAAACTTCTGGATCCTCCTGAAGCACCGCGAATTTTCACTTGCGGCTGATAACAAGATCGAGTAATCCTCGATGCTGGGGACAACTGTCTCGTGTTGGTAGAGGGAGCAGATGCTGTAGTCGTATGTCTTAAGCATGGCAAGAGGGTGATAACTCATGGATCCATCAACTGTGCTCGACACGAGAGGAATCATGGCCTTCCATTGCTCGAGCTCTGCCCTGATCTCTGCGGTCTGTCGCCTCCGGGTTTCTTCCTGCTCTGGGAAGGCTGTGAACTGGGACCATAGTCTTCGGACCTTGGATTGGATGCGTCGGATGGCAAACATATGCTCGAGGTCTGCTGGCATGGAGCCTCCCCCGAAGGTGAGCCAGATGCCTTGGTCTAGAATCTGTAGAGTTTGCGTAAGAGTATTGATCGGGTATAGAGAAGGAATATCACGCACTTTGTCATCCAATGAACCGACAAGTACTTGAAACGATCGGTTCCAAAGAGAAGCAATTATCTCAAACGCAGTATAGCAATAAATCAGCAAGACCCTGTTGTCCTTGTCTTCAGCAACAGTCGCCTCGTCAATGTCGTCAAAGTCCAAAGGAAGAAACGTAGAAGGTATCTGGAAGGTAGACAACCGCTCCGTGATCTCTAGAATCGCTTCATTTGTAGTATCATGCAGCTGAAAGGGCGTAGGACAATGGAAAGCATAGACGATCAACAGAAGATAAGCTTTGGTCCGGAATTTGTGCTCCTCGGAGACGGCATCGGCGAGATAGATATGCAGAGCATCTGTGTATAGCTCTCTGGACCTGCTGACATGTGGACACTGTCGATCCGAAGGGCTGGAGTAGCAGGCACCGATGGCGCATACAAGGTGGATAAAGTAGAGCTGATAGTCCTCCAGTGAAATGCCTCGGGAAGTATAGTCGTGGAACCACTGGCTGAGTTGGATCTGGTCAAGAAATGGCCAGCTTGGATGGACGTATTGGAAGTAGTTGCTGAGATCATTCGCCTTAAGATGTCCTAGATCGTGAGGTTGATGTTCGGCCGGTGACGATAGCGCATCTTCTGGTGGGATATCCTCCATTGGGCTGGCTATGACGACTCCGTTACTGGCCGGAGGCTGCTCATCTTCGCCGACAACCTGCGAGCCGTGACGGTGTACCCGAGCAAGCCTTTCCTTGCAGAAAGCTAGCTCTTTCTCAACCTGCACAAGCCGCGACTCTAGATCTTGGACATAGCACCAAGGAACGGTTGCGACATCTCGAGGCTTCCTCTCCTGAAAGCGGACGCATTCTGCCGACGACCGTCGACATTCACCGCACTTGGGGAGGTGGCGGTCGCACTTCTTTTTGCGACGACGGCACCGCATGCATGCGATTGGGGGCGGGGACGTTGAAGCTGGGCTGCCTTTGGGCATTGTTTTTGGTGGGCAGATATTACGGGAGCAAGTATTATAGGGGGGGGGGGGGGGGGATGAGGTCAAATGGGAGGCCTTGAGAATAGCATAAAGAGTCATTATCACGCATCAAGATAATAAATTGATAGATAATGAAACGCATGCTCTGTATCTAGACGTTATCGTGATTAGAACTATCCATCATTGTTTCTCCATTCCCGTCAAGGTTTAATTTAAGGGACTCGAATATTTACCCCAATACTTCTCCAGCGCCACCTAACCGATCTCCACTACTAGACCTCGCGATTTATGTGTGCCTTATATATAATATCATAGCGGTCATCCTCTATTCGCCGTTCAACTTTGTTGCAGTGTCTGTTTGTGTTGCAAACAGGAGTCTGGCGGCCGCTAGAGGCCCAAGCTCCTCCTGCTCGCGCTCCTCTCCAGATCATGATTTCACATGTCGCATATTGAGCAGAAAGAACAAAGATCGGAAGCTATCTTCTTGATGAGTAGATAATCAGGGTAAAAGAAAAAGGAGTATCCTCATCGTGGGGAAGGAGGAGACAGGTTTGCTGAAATGTGGTATGGGTGGGTAGACATGCGGTTAAGTACGCTCATTAAGCCACACTCAGTTGTCCGATTGTCCGTGTTTAAACTAGGTTTACAGGCATTTCTATCCTTTATGCAGTCATCTGGGGGCTCAAACTCGTTCTCGCCCAGAAACTAATTTGAACAGGTCTGCTTCTATGTTGTCCAAGACTTGGCGTTGAAAAGGTTGCCTCTCTTCCAGTGGCTTGCGGTCAGGGAGGGAAAGATATCCCAATGCTGTGAAACTGCGGTTGATTCCTCAAGAATGAGCCCCCTCATCATTCTGCCTCGGCGACCACGCGGTCAGCCTTACTTCATTCTATGCATCTATTGGTGCAGTTATCAGATCAAGGGCGGGGCTTCAGCTCCAACACAACCTCATGGATACAACCTCCTGTGCTCTCGTGCATCTTCATCTCCACTGCCCCATACCACCCCGCTAAGACTACATTCAACCTCCATTTTTCAGGGGAACTTCCGATGTCGTTTCGGCTGAGGCGCAAGCCGGTCCCTCCCCCTGCCGAGTACAAGGTCGAGGACAAGGCTAGAGCCGAAACGCTGTACGCTACACTTGACACTGGAACCCCAACAATTCGCCTCATCACATTACTTCCTGGCTCTTGGTCCGAGCCAATAACCTGCTCACTTACAGTGACGACACTATCGTCTGAGCAGCCCTACAAAGCTCTGTCGTATGCTTGGAATAATGGCTACACCACATCCGAGGGCATCCTCATCAGCGTCAATGAGAGGGCCATCCCAGTCGGCTACAACCTGTACACAGCGTTGAGAAGGTTGCGGCGCCCCTAGACACCTGTTAAAGTCTGGGTGGATTCCCTGTGCATCAATCAAAATGATGTCTCAGAACGAACCCAGCAGGTGAAACTGATGCGCGACATATATCAGAACAGCAGCGAGGTCGTCATCTGGCTGGGCGAGAAAGGCATCAATGACGACCTTGGCGACTCGATCTTACCCATGATTACAGGACAGAGGTTGAGTAGAACGCCTGAGGACGAGTTGGCCCGGGTAGAGTGGTGCGGAGACGACCGGGACTTGCCCAAGCTCAATGTGTACATCCAGTCCGTCTCCAAGAGAGACTCGTCGTTCAACTCCAATATCTGGGACATATTTGGAGGATTCTGTGTCCTCTATCTTCTCTCGATGAAGATTCCTGCCGCGGCAATCGTGCATCTTCGACACATTGACTATTCCATGCCCATTGTGAAAAGATTGTATGCAATCATGGACCAATCATGGGTAAGCCACGTATCTTTGTTCAGAGATGGTTGCTGATTATATAGTGGCGGCGAATATGGGTCGTTTAAGAGACCGTCGTGGCCAGAAAAGCAACCATCTACTATAGCAAGTTTTCCGCACCATGGAGCATGTTTTCCGATGCTACAATCGAGTACGATAGAACATACCTGCTAGGGAATGTCAACTCTGTCTATCCGTACCTCCACAACGGGAAACCGCTGATGCACTTCTCTCGCATCGTCACAGAGATAGAGACGACACGAAGGCTCTGGCTGAACATCCAGCCTACGTCTCTCCTCCCACTTTTGCGAAAGTTCGGAGCAAGGCATGCCACAGACCAGCGGGATAAAGTCTTTGCCCTCCTTGGGCTCGTCCGTCATTGGCTGCGCGGTCCACGGGTTGTTCCAGACTATCTTTTGGAAGCACGACAAATCTTTTGGGACACAACCATAACGCTCATCCAGGCCAATGGCTCTCTATCAATTTTGGTCGGAACACTGCAGCAGAACAGCATGCAGTGGGACCTCAATCCCTCGTGGGTCGTCGACTGGGGTAGTCTGCCTGAGTTACATGAGAACATTCGGGTCGGCAATTTGCCCTTGTATGATGCTGCTAGGGGTCTGTCCGGCACGGCTCGTGTTCACCGCCCCTCTGTACTGGAAACAACTGGCTGCCAGATTGATGAGATCACCTTTGTGGGCCAGGAGCTGCCACTGGGTACAGAAGGACAGAGCAGTCGGTTAGGACTAGTCGTTTCCCAGTGGGAGAAGACGCTCGATCAACTCGGGACTACCGAGTACGTCGGAGGTGGAACCCTCTCAGATGCGTTTTGGCGGCTGCTCTGTGGCGATACCGAATACTGCAAAGATGTCGGAGGAGAGTTCAAGGAGGAAAAGATCGAGTTCCGCAGGGCGGGAACCTCGACGTTTTTCACGTACCTGCAATGGCGACAGGTAGATCACAGCGCAAACAGAAGAACGTCAATTATAGGGGGTTATTGGAAAGAGTCAGGCCATGAGGAGGGAGCTAAAGATGAGAATGCCTTTCACCACGCGGTAGAGTGCGCCTCCGGGTTCCGGAGGATCTCCATCACTCGCAAAGGGTACATCGGAACAGGCCCGGGACACGTAAGGGTAGGGAACGGGGTTTTTATCTTGTATGGGAGCCGTGTGCCGTTCGTTCTCCGCCCTGCTGGTCGGGCTGCCATCTGCACCATGGTGGCTGTCAGTGAGCTGTTTGGCCCGGAGGAGGACAAAAAGGCCTTTATTGATCTCACAAAGGGTAAAAGTGACAGGCCGGAATCAAAGAAACTGTCAATAACGTGTAATGATATTCATGAGGGGGTTTATCACGTCCTTGAGGACGCGTATGTGCATGGGATGATGGATGGAGAAGCAATGAAAGGGAGACAAGCGGATGAGGTTTCGCTGCAGAGCATTTTCCTTGTTTAATAATCTCTAGCTCTAAGGCCGGATCATTGATTCTAGCTTAATACATATCCTGTTTAATACACTATATTATTTGTATTGTTTCCACATGGTTTACTCGTTTCATTTTCCGATATCAGAAAGCGCCAGAAGAATTATGAAGTCATACAGGTCTTCAACCGTCTCAACATTCGGACGATCACCCGGCAACAAAGCAAAAGGGTCAACAGGCGTCAGAGTCGGATTAATAAGCTGTGAGAGTTTGTCTTTCTCTGCTGATTCAACATGGCGAATGCGTCTTTGCGTGTCGTAGCAGTCACGCTTAGCCACGCTCACAGTTCTAAATCAACCGTGAACCTTTTGATAGAGGAAATTTACGCGAGTATAATGAAGGGCTATTATTCACTGTCCATCACTTAATAACTCAAATAAGCTCACGTGGCCCCCAAAACAGTTGTTCGCGGCATTGATGACGACAGCTGCCCTGAGATGGTGTAATTCTGCAAGGCCAGCTCAGTGATTCAGGCACGCACGACGACACCCCCACATGGCGCCTGTATTTGAAATATCAGGGCGAGGAGGCGCCCGTTACGTGTTACTAAAACGTAAGACCGACAAGGATGCAGCTCCGAGGAGCATAAGGTTAATTATCGAGAAAGGTGAAAGCTTGCATGGCCATATATGACTACAGCGTAAGACACCTGAATTACTGGAAACGAGAGTCATTGGGCCTTGTCTGCTTTACAAACTGGTAGATATTACTATAGGTGCACTTGTACACCCCACCTCAGTGATGATGCCATAAAGGACCACTCGCATGAAATCTGCCTCCCCGCACTCGAGTGACAAACAGTGTATAAAGCAAATACCCTCAGAATACCTTCAGTGCATCATCATCTGCCAAAGCTAGACTGTAGCCACAACGACGTGTACTACAAAAGGTAGCCATGGTCCTCATTGTCAATGCCTTTGGAAGCCCGTATGAGGTGTGAAATCTGGCACCCACTCTGAAGATGCGCCGCTAACCTAGAAAAGATAGGTTTCCAGCACGGTCAACAGGCAAAAGACCAGGTCCTTGGCTCGATATCCTACTACGGATCCCTCTTTGAGTCAACATGCGGCCTCGATTGGCCGAGCGTGCGAGAGGAAGCGACAAAGTATCTCGACACACTCGAGAGGCTATGCCCTGAGTACCTTGAAGAGATTCGTGGTATAGCAGAAGGCGCAGGAGTCACACTACTCGACATCGTTGCTCTAAACGTCCGAACCGAGATCAACTTTGGTTTATTCAGTGATGATCCGAAGCTGCCAATCCAACTGGATGGATGCACTGCCCTGGCCATTAAGAGTAGGCATGGCCCGTCGTTTCTGAGCCAAAACTGGGATTGGGTGACACGCCAGGGAGAGAATCTCATCGTATACACCGTTAACCGACCGGACACTGATATCCCGCGATTCACGGTAGTCACTGAGGCCGGCATCATCGGAAAGATTGGCCTCAATGAGAGCGGAGTTGGTGTATGTCTGAATGCCATCAAGGCTCGTGGTGTTGACCACACAAAGTGGCCCGTTCATCTCGCCCTACGAAAGGTCCTTGAGTCTTCATCAAGAAAAAGCGCTATTGAAGAGCTGGTATCAACTGGTCTTGCGGGGAGTGCCCATCTCTTAATAGCTGATGAGCTCGGAGCGACTGGCCTCGAGTCGACTGCCAAAAGTGTGGAACTTCTCCCGGCAGATGATCAAGGCGTCGTGATTCACAGCAACCATCTTCTCCTCGATCATGCTGGATCAGAAGAGTCTCTTTGGTTACTGGACTCACCTCAGCGATCCGATCGAATGCAACAGCTCGTCACCGAAGAGCTTTCGTCCAAGCCAGCGCTAACTGCATCCGACATATTCAAGCTGTTCCAGGATGAGGAGGGTTATCCGAACGGGATCAACAGGGATGCAGTCGATGATTCAGGCGCAGAGACGCTATTCAACATCATCATGAACCTGTCTGAAAGGACAGCAACGATTGCGTTTGGCCGGACTACAAATGTCGTGGAGCGTGTACATGTTAGCTTCTAGCACCTGACTTTCTTGATCTCTGAATACACGAGTGTTGGACTTGTACGTCAAAGATTCAGTGTTTGTACGCGGACTTTTTGCTGATGACGTGTCAGAGAGTGGCCCGACTAATCAGTAGTTATCATCTCTTGTGTAGTCGTTTGTGAATCACCGGGACGTGTGCTCCGTATTCTTTCGTCGAAATCATACGTGTTGCTACCAGTACGTCAGCTCGTTGACGAGTAGATATGGTCAGCAGATGAATTGCGCCTCGTGGCGGTCAACTAGGTCGTTGATTACACACGAAAATGAAGGTATCACAAGGCTTCGTGTTGGTGATTCAATACCCCCTTTCGGGTATATAAACCCCCCTCCTCTCCCTCTTCATCCCATCTCAAATCCATCAAACTCAACAACCTCAAACACCAAAAACAAGATCAAACTCTACAATCTCCAAACCCACCAAGACCAACTCCAAGCAAAACATCTCTCCAACACCATCCACCATGACGCAGCTTCCCGACAAGACCAACGTCGTCACCCACGAGATCCCCGCCAAGCTTGTCCCCGACATGGTCAAGTTCCAGGCGGCCCTGGAGCTCATCTACGGCAAGTCGGCTGCCGGTCTCAACTTTGACTGGAAGCACGAGGGCGACGACATCGTCGTCAAGACCTACTGGAAGGAGCCTGAGGACCTCCTCAAGGAGCTCCAGGAGAAGGACGGCGCCATCAAGGAGGAGGATGCTGACAAGAAGTCTGTCAAGGATGAGGCAATCAAGGAGGAGGATCCCAAGGAGATCTGAGGGAGCATAGCTTCGCCCTGTACCGGCCTGCACGGTCCAGTGTATCATTTTGCAGATGAATTGATCAATCATTGAAGTTTCTTGTTTCTTCTTTCGTACTTGTCTCTTTGTGATGTTTATTTAGGTGTGTACTGTAGTGGTGTTGGGCATCTCGAAGTGTACTGAATACAACTGATAGATGCAGACCTCTTTGACGGATGTTCATCCGAGGGTCAAGTGAGCTTCGGAGTTGAGGTTCGGAGACAAGACCTCTAAGGTGGCATAGTCATATAATGTGTAGTTTTTAGAAAGTGGCACCTATATATTCTCATCTCTATCTCCAGTACAAGGAGCACGAAGGCTTTGTGATCTCCCATACCAGATCCAGAGCCACCAGTACCTCATCCGGCAGTGGCCCCTTCTCCAGATTCGTCAGGTTACTCTCCAATTGAGATAGAGAACTGATACCAATCACCACTCCGTCATTTCCATCATGGACCTTAAGCTTGCTGTGATGGACGAGCCACCGAAATGCAACTTCCAATAGGGTCAATCCGAGTCGGTCCGCAACCGGTTGGATAACCTTCAACGCCTCAAAGTTTGCGTCTTTAAAGTATCTCTCACGGTACATGGCGCCGACCACCGGATCGTTAGTCGAATACCGGCCACCATCATCAGGGATCTCCTTGCTCTGATACCTTCCACTGAGTACACCTCCAGCGAGCGGGTTGTAAACCAAGATATCGATACCGTACTTTCGGCAACATGGCACCAATTCCTCCTCGATGGCCCGAGTCAAGCAGTTGTACATGGCCTGATAGACGGTCGGCTTGATCCACCCTCGCTGATCAGCGATGTTCCAGATTTCGGCGACCTCCCAGGCTGCGTAGTTGCTCAAGCCCAACTGCTTGAACTTGCCTTGTTGATGCAGCTCATTGCAAGCTTCGAGCGTCTCTTGGAAGGGAACAGACCGATCGGGCGCATGTAAGTAGAATATATCGACCGAGTCTGAACCCAACTCCCTCAAGCTCTTGAGTAAGTTCTCTTTGACGACAGACGTGGAGTGATCTCCTGGCTTGTACGGATACCACTTCGTCGCCAGTACAAGCTTTCGATCATGCCAATTGGTTTGCCTAGTCCATCCTTCCTGGTGTCCGCCGACGTAGGTACGAGCTGTATCAACTTCGTTGTAGCCTCGCGACTGGAAATAGTCGAGACATTCGTTGAAGGCGCTCAATGACGTAATTCGGCTGCCATAAGATTGGGTTCCATCTGGGCCGAATGTCAAAAGGCCCAAGACGGCACGGGGCCGAATCTGAGCTCTTGCTATGTCGGTCATGGTTTGATGTGAGTGTGGGAGCCGGAATTGGTGACTGGAAAAAGAGGCAAGTCGTGTACAAGTTTGTGAGATGACGGTCGAAGTATAACAAATGAGGCCAGCTTGGGCGTTGTAGAGTACCCGGGGGGCAACGCACGACGATGCCCTATTTATCATAATAGTCGCCTCCAAGCCATGCTGTATCATGAAGGCGGTTAACAGCCGACTGGCCTACGATACGTCAATGTGCATCTCGGATATAATCCGAGGTTTCCTACTATTCAGTTGAATCGGAAAGGTAGCCGCGAATTTAGAGGACCTACGGTAACACGTCCGATTACCTGTTAGCGCTGCCATCCCGTAAATGCTTCGGCTACTAACCGTCGTTACTCTTGTTTCGAGAGCACGATCCGGGCCGTGTCCGCTGCCCAGATGGATGATGTATCCAAGGCACAACCCGTCTTCACTATATCTAGTCGCATATAGTCATCCATGTGAGGTCTGCTGACAATGCTCGCTCCGGTATCTTATCCGATCATCTACCATCAGACACAAAGCAGCCTAAAGCCACAGCTGATATCCGTGGCACGTTCCGCTATATTAACTTGGACCTCCTGTTACATACCATTCTCTCCTCTCATCACAACTCCCAATCCATATCTCCTTATCGGCACTTCTGAAAGCAATCATGACGTCTGTTCCTCAAGCCAACGCCAGCGAAGTCAAAGTCACCGACCGCTTCGATCTAAGCGGCAAGAACTTTCTCATCACTGGAGGTGGCGGCGGCATTGGCTTCGCCTGCGCAAAAGCAATCGCTCAACTCGGAGGCGGAGTTGCCATTATCGACACAGCCCCCAAGCCCACCGCCGAGTTCGACACCCTCGGCGAGCGGTACGGTGTCAAGACTTCGTACGTACGGGGTGATGTGACCAACCAAGAGTCTCTGGAGGATGCGTTTGCCAAATCCGTCCAAGCTGTAGGCCAACTACATGGAGGATTGACGGCAGCTGGCATTGTCATGGACACGCCATTTCTCCAGGCAGATTGGGAGGTGACCCAGCGGACTTTCAACGTCAATGTTTTGGGAACATTCTGGGCAGCTAAACTCCTTGCACAACATCTCGTCGAAACCAATACGCCTGGAAGCATTGTCGCCATCGCCAGTATCAACGCTCAAGGACTCTATGTCCCTGTACAGCCAAAATCAGCATACAACGCTAGTAAGGCTGCGATCAAAGGGTTGATGGGGCCCCTCGCTGGAGAGTTGGGCCAGTATGGTATCAGAGTCAACTGCATTTCCCCTGGTGAGTATCGCTATTTCCACCCCATGTCGGTTTTTATGTTTCATAGAAATCATTGTTGATCTTGGTAGGGGCAATCCAAACTCCTCTTCTAGCTCGGTTGGAAGGAGAGAAGAGAGCCATCCTTGACTGGTATCGAGATGGGTCGCCTCTTCAACGGTTAGGCGTGCCGGAAGATCTGACGCCCATGATATGCTACCTGCTTAGTGATGCCGCTGCTTTCACGACTGGCGCCGACATGCTTGTTACTGGTCAGTCTCTCGATTCCGTGATTAATCCAAGAGGTGTTGACATGGTCCTAGGTGGCTTGCACGCAGGCTCAGCTCGTGTGTAAAAGAGCCAACACTTTTCGTCAAGAAGTATCCATCTACTGATAGTGCAATGATCGTTTGTTCACAGTGAATCACCGAAGCTTTAATATTTGCACGATGGGTACAGCTTGGCTACTCGTTATAGCGTTTTCTTTTCACCAACAATATGTTCACAAAGAGTATATTAGCTGCAATAACACAGTCAAACTCATCAGTACATGACTACATCAAAGCCCAAGCGTAAACGACGCCGGGTAAACTCGTGTCACTATTTGAGACGAGAATGAATGCTGCCGATGAGGGCTCACGGAGATTTATAATTTGAAGGACTGGAAGCTACGTATCTGAAGGAAATTAAATATCAAAACCATGTTGCCTTGGGGTCTACATGTACCATTCCCTCCCTCCCCAGACCTCTCTACAGCCTTGTCCACCGCCAAGCCCCCAAAAGGCGGGAGATTAGATGGCCAAGACTGACGACGACTTAGAAAATGCCGCCATACCCGTAGCAAGGTTCCAAAACCCCCGTCGAAGCGGAGAACCAAAGCCGAGATAATGGATCCCCAACCTCACAATGTTATTTCCGATTGGCACCCCCTAGACCCCCAAAGCATAACCGTCTTGGAACCCCGCGTCAATTAATGAGGGGAACACGATTCTGGGGTTTAAAAGACGAATGAGGAAATGATCTCTCTTGATTCATCATCCTCATCTGCCCATGGGCCGTGCATTTAGCTTTTAGCCGGATCATTGAGCTATGTTGGGGGCAGAATTGTTCCACGTATAGGATTCATTCTTTGCTAGACCCTGACCTTGTCAAGGTTTCTGTACCTGAGATATAAGACCTGTTGACAGCAATGTTGCAATCATTGAATGTGACATTGCTTGACATTGCTCATCTCATTCATCCCTGTCTTCAACATGTTGTTGGGAAATCTCATCTCTGTGTCGGCCTTCTGTGCGCTACTGTCTCCAGCGCTCGCAAAACCGTCTCACGGTCTTCCTAAGCGACCTCACGTCGAGGTATCGCCATACAGCACTGGCAAAGACTTTCCAGCTCCATCCAAGAGAGACAGCCATCGGTATTGCTATGTCAAGCCTGGCAAGGGATCGAATAGCAATGACGCCTCTCGTATCCTCAAGGCTTTCAAGAAGTGCAACAACGGCGGTACCATTGTTCTTGACAAAGAATACACCGTCGCTTCACCCTTGGACCTAACTTGGCTCAAGCATGTTGATGTGGTCATCACTGGAGAGGTGAACTTCAAGCCTGACCCTTACTATTGGGCCGAGAATAGCTTCAAGTTTCCTTTCCAGAACATGTCCTCATTCTGGAAGGTTGGAGGAGAGGATATCCACATCTATGGTGACTTGAGCAATGAGCAATCAGTGCTTGATGGGCATGGCCAGGCGTATTGGAAGGAAATTGAGACTAACAAGACGGTGAGCTCGTGAATCGCAGTGGTGGATAATATCAAGCTGACAATCAGTGGTAGCTTCTGCGGCCCATCCTCTTTACCTTTGAGGGTGCCCACGGTGCTTCCATGACAAATCTGCGCATGAGGAACTCCCCCAACGTATTTTGTCCCCCTGAAAGCTCACAGCCAGCAACACTAATCTCGATCAGTGGTTCAACATTATCGCCAACAGCACCGACGTCCTGATTAGCGACTTGGATATCCGAGCATCAGTAAGTTAATTCCCTCGGTTCATGAGTCTACACTAACATCTTGGCAGAGTCTTGATGGAGTCAAGATTGCAAACTCTGACGGTTGGGATACCTACCGCTCGGACAATGTGGTCATTCAAAACTCCTACATCGATAACACGGACGGTAAGACTACTGCCCATCATCCCGCCCAGGTACTAACATATTGCAGACTGTGTTTCTTTCAAGCCCAACAGTACAAATGTCCTGGTCCAAAACCTCGTCTGTAATGGCTCCCATGGCATCAGTGTCGGCTCCCTCGGCCAGTACAAGGGTGAGACCGATATTGTGGAGAATCTGTACATCTACAACATCTCCATGTCGAATGCCAGCGACGGTGCGAGGATCAAGGTTTGGCCCGGTATCGAAACCAAGTTCCAGAGCCTTCTGAACGGAGGTGGTGGCCTTGGACGGGTCAGGAACGTGACGTATGATCGTTTTTACCATGAGAACAACGACAACGCCATTACCATCACACAATGTTATGGACAGAAGAACCAGACTCTTTGCAACGAGTTCCCAGTATGTACCTTGTCTGAAATAATGTATCATTGCTAACATCGTCGACAGGCAAACCTGACAATCGAGGACATCACATTAAAGAACATGTGGGGAACCACGTCCAAGAAGTACGACCCCAGGGCAGGAACTCTGGTTTGCAGTGCGCCAGATGTGAGTAGACTCCTTTCTCCAGTCTCCATTAGATCTAATCAATGTCCCCACAGCGCTGCAGTAACATTGTTGCTGAGAACATCACGGTCACGGTGCCAAGTAAGGAGCCTCCAGTTTACGACTGCCAGAACCTGGACACGACTACTCTCGACATTACTTGTGTTGACCCAGCAGACAAAGACAGGGATACCTCGCAGGGTTGATTGAGTCTTGTTGGATTCTCACATAGTTGTTAGAGGTGTACTCGATCATGTACTAGAGGTGGATCTTCATAGACCTGGCATTTGCCATCCTATAACAGCCGTATCACAGCCCATCACTATGACTTCATCTAAAATGGTGTACAGTGCTTATCGATGGCATTTTCCTACCAAGGGACTTGTTGAAATGCACCGTTCTCATACTCCCAAAATGTTCCAGCCTCGATCTCGCCTTTCTTAGTCTCGAGCAACCTGATGACTGACTCGGCGCCCTCTAAGGGATCTTTCTTCCCCCTGTATCCATTGAATGCGGTTTTGCAGTGGCCAGGACTAACCGCCCAGTACGTGATCCTGGATCCTTCTTCTTTATTAACCTCTGCCAGTTGCAGTTGCAGCGTGAGCATGTTGAGCCCCGCTTTGGCAATGCAATAGTCCATGTTTGCGACGGGTGGAAGCTAGACGAGTCAGAATGCATAGTTGGAGGAGAAGCGGCTTCTTACCTCTTTGTTGGCAGTCCGTGATACGCTCCCTCGTGCACTCGAGATCATGATAACCCGTGGCCATTCACTGTTTCGCAGTAGATGGCTGAATGCCTTAGTAACAATGGCGTTGGATGTGATGACATTGTTGTAGCAAGAATTACTCGCAGAACGAATGTCGGTCAAGCTATCTGAGGCCGGCCACTCGACATTGGCTGCATTGTTGATGAGAACTTTGAAGGTTAGCTTTGCGTTGATAATGGGTTCTGTTGGGACTCACCATCTAGACTCCCGTACTTCTTGTCCACGGCTGCCACTGCTGCTTCAATGGAGGCATTGTCGTCAATATCAAGGTCAACGTGGTCCAGCCCAGCTGAAAGTCCACTGCTTCGAAGAGTTTGGATGGCTTCCTCAGCAGAGGTTGTGCTCCTGCAAGCAAGGATGATGTTGGACGTGGGAAGGCGGGAGGCGATTGTTTGCACAATAGCATAACCAATTCCACGGTTCGCGCCAGTCACAAGAATATTCGCCATGGCGTCAAAGATAGAATGGTTCTACAATAGAGTCTTGGCGATTTTGATAGTTTGCGGTCAATCCTGTTATACTACTACTACACTCGGAATTAGGCTCCCGGGAAAGCTAGTATTCCGATCTCCTAAATCCGGATTGAAAGGCGTGGCGATTACAGCTTGGCTGAGATGAGCCAATGGAATGTGGAGTGATTTGGTTGATAGGGCGTACTTGACCATCACTAGCATTGCCGCGTTGCCGTGCTGTGTTGGGTATAATTCCAGCATCATATTTGAACATGCTTCTTTCGGGGCATGGCTAGTGCTCTATCTGTGAGGGGAGAGGCCGCTAATATTATGACAATATCCCAATTCTAGTCACAGCAGACTCTCACCAAAACCACGGGAAAGCTTCTTCCTCAGAAATCCCCTGCATCATCGAAGTCCATGGCAACCACTCATCTCCACCATTGTCCAATGTTGAGTTTTCAAAGCTTAGTCCATCGAATGCGCCCACAGGAATACCCTGGGACTCTCCTGGCTCCTCCAGTGGCCTGTTCCCAAGGTTAATGGCGCTCTGCTTTCTGAGTGCTTCGGCTTTCAACTTCAGAGCCGCGAGGACTGCGGGCTTGGATCCGACCCTGTCGGCGAACTCGTCAGCTAGTTCAGTAGAAAACACAGCTTCGACAGATCTCCAAGCTCTTTCCACATGAGGTCCATTTGGTCGAGTACATAGATGCCAGAGGATGTACATGGTGACATGATACTGGGGATAGGCCTTCCTCGCCCAGCCATATGGCCCTAGGAGAGGCTCATCACCAAACACCCTCGGTTCCAGAATGTCCAATGCCTCTAACAGATCATCATCCGTGGCTAATGCCTCCCGAGAGCCAGGATGTTGCAATGCAAGCCATTGCTGTCTTGTGAAAAAGTCAAGCTTGCGGAGTAGGAAGTGTGCGCAGTGGACTGTGAGACGATACTGCGGCAACCCTGATGACTCCAAACCACACTCATCGACTCGCCTCATGACTTTAGACCGGGTCTCTTCGATGATCTTACGCCTTGCCTCTTCACTTGGAGAAGGAGACGAGACAGCAGTGGCAAGCTTTTGTATGGCCTTGGCAAGCTCGATGTAAACCAATGAGAAGGTCATGATTGTCCATCCTCGCTTTTCTGGAGGAAGCTGCTTCATGTCTGGAGAGAGGTCTTCGTCGTTTATATTTAGTGGCAGCTTGACGTCCGATTGTGGTTGCATGCCAGTCGAATTCTCCAGCCCATAGTCTTCCCCAGAACGACTGTCCCTAGTGATGAGATGCCACCAAAGCCGACGGCGGAGCTCTGACTCGAAAGGTGGGAGACCAAGTCGTTCGCCGTCCCTGTGTAGGCCGAGGGATTGAGCAATCCGAATGGCGAGACCATTGAGGATCCATATCCCTTTGCCTCGATTGTGAACACGGAGGGCAGCCTATCACGGACATGTTAGGGCAATAAAGGATGAAGATTGGTAATGCTTACGAGATATATAGCCAATGCGCGGAGACCCGTCAGAGTCGGCTGGTCCAAAAAGTCACCCTGCGCAAGAGCTTGCTCGAGACCAAACTTGAACAGCTGCAGCTGCCGTGGTTTGTCCAGGATTAGCATAGCCGGCGCATCTGGTTCCTCTAGAGACATTGTGGATGCAAAATAAATTGCAAAACAGAATGCTAGGTCATCAAAGGGGGCTTTTGTGGGGTTATGAATGGCTGAATACACCCTGACCTCGTCGGTAGGAATATGTAGAATCCTCAGGCCAAGGCAGCTCTCGACGTTGCTGGCATACGTGTTCCATAGTTCGGCTGCTATCGGTTTGTCCGGATGGAAGATAGATGGGTGTTGTGACAGGGAAGGTGAAGATAATATCCCCATGGCGCTGAATGGAGATGGTGATGTGCCAAGGCGCAGCGGTGTTGGCGCTGTCAATGCAGACTCGAGGTTTTTTTCCTTCATTAATTGTCAGTGTAGATCACCGTGAAGAAGTCGACTCAAGTACCTCTCCAATCATCCTTGACAGTAGAATCTCATTAAAGTACTGACTCGACGAGCCTCTTTGCAGGAGAACATCATCATTGGACCTCTCGCTACCCTCTTCTGTTGATTCGGCATTGTCAAAAACAAAAATGTCGGGAATAGAGGTGGCCTGTCTCTCTGCAGTGACTCTAGCAAGAGTCTTTTCCAAGCTGGCCAGTCGCCCTGCCATGTCTGCCATGATGGTCTTTTTGGTCCGACGGACCCGGGGCCCAATGGGCGGGAACACGCAGGTCTTGGCAGAGCGAACACATGCTGAGCATGGATCATTCCTGTCGCATTTGATCTTCTTGCGGCGACAGGCATAGCAAGACCTTGTCGTCGACCTTTCGGCGGCGGGGTTATCAGATTCCGGCTCAGGAGACATTTTGATGAATTGATTGACAGGGCGAATGAATTTGTGCCAAGGTGAGAAAATGCGAGAATATGAGACCGAGGAAGTCGGGCTTATGGCAATTTTAAGCCCGGGTCCGTAGCGCCCGTGGACGGGGATTTGCGCATCTCGGCTTTTTCAGGAGGTTTATCACCGAGCGAGAAGTAGCCAGAGATTTAGGGTAACCCATCCAGTTCATTTCACAAGAAATGACATGCCTAAACAGTTCTAAGAATGAATGACGATAATTAATTAAAGCATATTCTTAAGGGCACGCTTATTACAGAGGCATGAATGGAACGCGCCGACTCGATGGACCTGGACAAATTATCTACCTGACCTGGAGCTTGGACAAGCTGCCTCCGGGTCTTCCCTCTTGAACCAGTGGTCAATGAAGAAGTATGCGCTCATACACCGAAAGAGACTGGACGGGCTCAGTTTCTTCAACGTGGTCCGTTTGTTCACTCTCATCTTCCAGGTCGGCCAACTCGGCGAGGAGGCGGTCTCGAATTTGTTGTTGCTCTTTGATCTGCGCCTGCTGGTCGTCCATTCTCTTGCCAGCCTTTCTCATGATGACACAAAGGTCATCAAAAAAGCCATCGCGTCTCTTCTTGAGTTCGATAATTTGCTGTTCAATGTCTGCACTGCATTTAGGCGTGCTGGGTTCCCACGGGTCAGCGTCGTGGCGCTGGATTAGGAGCACCATCCTCAGCTCCAGGTCTGCGCCGGTTGTGGGTGTGCTAAAGATAATGTCGTCCTCCTGACGTCGTGTCTCGGGCGTCACCGGCCTGGCGATTGCTGTCGACATTGTTGAAAATGTACGAGATGCTTGTCTTCTTTGGTGAGCGCGTTTGCCAAGGAGAAAACACGCGCGGGGAGGGTGTTACAAACGCGTCATTGGTGGCACCCATGGTTGTAACGCGACGCACGTGTCCGCCATCTCAGCCACCATTCCTGAACGTTGAACAGTAAACACGGCTGAACAGCCCTGCCCTTCCAACTCTTCTCATGGAGCTCAACCATTTCCCTGATGAGGTGCTAAGCAACATCTTCAGTCACCTCACAACCAAAGCTCAAAAGCACCGCCTTCACAATGACTTCATTGTCGATATCTGGCCTGTCCGCCTCGTGTGCCGTCGGTGGAACGTCCTCGCGACGCCGCAGCTCTTTCAGACCCTGACGCTTTTCCATAGCGAATGGAACGCCAACAAAGATTTCGAATTTTGGAAGCACATGCTAGCCAGCAATGCCATCAGAGCTGCCGCCCGTCGCGTTGCCATCGAGAGTGCCCCGTGGGATGACCTGGACGAGCGATCGTCCTGGGTGTGGGAAGACTGGAGGGACGACAACGACTGGCCTCAATTCAAAGCCGCCATTGACCACATCTGCGATATGCCTCATCTCAACGCGATTGAAGTACGCTTTTCGTGGGCTTGCGTTGGACGTGATGGGGACCAAGAGGACCCAGAGATGGAGTTGGCCGTCACGCGTGAAAACACTCTCAGAGCCGTTCTAGATTCCATGAAAAAGCGTGCAGCTCGTCCAAACACGAGCGTTATTCGTGAGCTGGTACTGGACAACCTACAAAACATATCGCTACCCAAGGACCTCACCGACGGCCTTTTGGAGAATATCGAGCGACTACACATCCTCACTACCCAAGAGATATCTGGCATACCGACAAAGGATGCACACCTACGCGAAATACGCGAATGGGAGCCCTATCTTCAGAATACCCTATTTCCTTCAGTCGCTGAACAGCTTGTTGAGCTTACTCTCGCCAGCCCAGCCAAATGGGGCGCCGTACCCAGCGAGTTCAACGGCAAAGGGCTGCATTTCCCCCGACTCAAGGCTCTAACGCTGGCCGAATATGTTATTGCGCGACAAGATCAGTTCGAATGGGTGCTCTCGCTGGAGTCTCTTACCTCGCTTTGTCTACACGGCTGCACGATAGCCACACACATTCTCGTCCTCGAACCAGAGTTTGCATTCTGGGGGGTAGACATGCGAGGCTGGACATGGGTCGCTGATCCGCCTGAGCTCGACGATGATGATGAATCCCGTCCTGCATACGAGATATCGGCCGGGAAACGCACTCTCACTCCCGGTTTCTACGTTCATTCCTTACGATGGAACGCCATGTTCGATAGCATCCGGGAACGACTTCCTCGTCTGAAAGAGTTCCGATTCACCAAGGAAGACTGGAACACCTTTTTCCGGCACAGCGGAGAGGCAAATGCTGAGGCGTTGGTCGATCGGTACTTTGCCTTCACCCAGTACTGGTGTGAGCTATGGTCATCCAACCTGAAAGAGTGCAATTATGTCGATGAGAATCGGCCGGGCTTGCCAGAAGAGCTGCTGAAGATCACTGAGGAGGCTGATCGTGGAGCGTTGGAGAGGGTGCTTCAGACTACGAGGGAGCGACAGATGATGGCCAAGTCAGGGTAGTTGTCTGTATCGCAACATACTGCCTACACCTCCCCTTTTCACTCGAAACACCGTCAGAGCCATTTCCATCGCCTTGGCAAGGCTGATCGAAAATGGGATCATAAACTCGACACCCCACATCGAATGCAAATCGATTCGCGACCGCTATCGCCGATCTACCCCGGAATTAGCCCGCGAAATCTCGCTGTCAGCCTACGTGTGGAACCAGCAGGGATTGGGCGTCTTCAGCTCTTGCACAGCCATCGTTTCATAAAGAAAGGCCTCACGCGAGCACTCTTGGATCGATCAGCTGAACTTCTTCATCATCCTCATCATGTCCGACTTTGCAGATTTGTGCCCTCCCGATGAGAGCCGGACGAGTAGAGAGCTCATCGTCAAGCTTGTCGTGGCTCACCTCACGGGCGTCACGGCGTTTTGCAACCTCGTCTCATTGCGCAAGGACCCGCTCGACTCAATCGAGCCTGTTCTCTTCTTCGTTTCTCCTCTCATTGTCCTGACGCAAACAGCTTTGGGCCTGGTGCTCATGGTCTATGACTTTCTTCGCAGAGTTATCACGTCACCATCATCAATACGCGAGCAAGGTCGAATTCTTGAGCGTCGATGGAGGATTCTCTTCTGTCCGAGGGCTGAGCCCGAGGTGGAGATGAGCCAAGACGGTTTCATCGGAACGCCAAGTGAAAGGAGGTCTTGGCAGTCCAATCATGAAGGGAGTGCTTGGGTGAGGTTGGGAAGAACCATTGTCACATTCGGGACTCTTTTCCAATGTTCAGCAACCATCTTCCTCTACAACCGTCGAATCGAGTTGCATGGGAAAGAATCCCTAACAGTTGCCGACCACCGCTGCTTCGAAATTGCCGTGGGCAGTGCCTTTGTCTCTGTCCTGTCCATTGCTATGTTACTAAGATTCCCTGGCTTCACGCAACCAGCACCTGAGACAGAGTACAAAAAAGAGCCCAACGAAGATGCTCTCTATCTCTTCTGCAGAGGCGACCCAAGACGATGCAAATATTGGTACCAGTTCATCTATATCAAAGACTTCGGAAACGAATCTACAGCCGCGACATATTTCTGGTGCCTTCTATCAAGCTCATACAATGGCGCGTCGATAGTCATGATTACTATCAAGACCACATACCCAGGCCTCTATGAAGCATTCGTCACACAAGAAGGCGACCGTATTTCTATGTTTGACTTTTACCGAAACTTGGCCATCGTATTTGGCGTCCTCCTCACTATCGTCATCGCAGTCACAAGACGCGTGGAGAAGAACGGCATGAAGAACAACACTACTCTTTTGTCGCTTACCCCCCTCGCCTTTTCCGCGCTCTCTTCGGTAGTTCTTATTTGCCTCGGAATGATATTTATCCTGTATCCGTTCATGGTGATTTGGTTTCCGGGCATGTTGAGTGGCGTTGGATCGATTCTTTTCGTCAAAATCAAGGAGTGGAAGACGTTACTCGCACAACCGCCGTTTGCGCCGGCTTCTGAAGAGTTTTCGGCGTGTCCTGCGCTTTGGAAGGACCCGATGGCGGAATATCTTTGGTCTTTGATGTAGGAGATTGGAGGTGATGCCTTGTTGAGACAAGAGGCGGAATGAGAGATAAATGACACGTATGTTCACAGTCAGAATTGTGGGTGGGAAAAGGGCTGTGGCTTCAGGGAGATTATGAATAGCTTCAAGTATTGCCTCATCCGGCTTCCAATGACGTAAGGATGGTGGTTCCCAGTTAACAGAACATGAATTAGCCTAAAATTGCAAGGCAGTAATATTAGACGGATCCTATAGCCCCCGTGAGCCCTTTCTCCGTCTCAACTCGGAGAGCCTGATGCCACTTTCAGACGAGTCGTAAATGCTTCTCGCAATAGTGCAATCAAAAATCGCGGCATGCCCCAAAACGTCAAGCCGAATGTCATCCGGGCGTAAGCCGGCACTTCGGGTATGAACCTGGTATGTGGTGATGAGATGGTCTTTTGGTTAAGCTTATTGGAATCCTACTGACCGGGAATCAACTCTCCGGCAATACCGGCAACGTCATAGACCCCAAAGGAGCCCTGCAAATGATAAGAGCCGTCGGCAAATGATGATAGACGCCTGCAGGCGCTCGCAAACGATCAGCCCTACCGCAAAAGCTAATCCCCTTCCAGGTCGTCTATCGCGGCAATAGTGGACAGTAGTGGCCCGTATAAGCGCGTGGGCTTTCGCGAGCATCAGCCACAAAGGGGACTTTGTCTAGTCCGCGCCTAGGCACACTATCTCGGTAGGGCTGATTTCACTCAGCTAAGCCTGATATCGATGGTACATGTCCGGGACCGAGGTTTTATGGCGCCACGAGTCGCAAAGGGATAGCTCCAAGTAGTAGATCGGCCGAGGGTGATCAGGCTGAGCTGAACAGACCCAACATAGGTTAGCCACCCAACACAGTTTGGCCGGGCAAGAACCAGTAAAAATGGGCAGTTGGCATTCATGCAACAACACAGACATCAAAAAGGGGGACGTGCATTATCATGAACAGCTGAGGCTTGAGTCGCTTAGACCGAAAGGGAGTTGAGGGTGTCATGACGGGTGGGGAAGACGTCACGAACAGACAACCATAACTCGCTAACGTCGAAGTGGTGTTGAGGCTGTAGAGCAAACACTCACTACGAGTGGATCACACCATCCGGAGACAACAGTAGCGCCTCCGGGGCAATGATCCTGGTCCAACAGCCAAGAGGCCGGACACGTCGCTAAGGCTCGCAACACACACTGGACCAACAGCCTTCCGGAACAGCGTCCGAGCCAACAGGCGTTTGAAGTATTCATCCTAGACCAACTCTTCGCGTGTATTTGTCCCATTTGGGATTGACAGCTTGATCCTAGTTGTCGACATATCGAAGACATCGCGTGTAATTGTCCAATTTGGGATTCACGGCAAGAGTTGAGTTGTTGAGGATATCAGCGTTCAAGAGAGACGAAAGGGCATAAATATCAGGCTGTAGAAGACTTGTTTAATAGGAATCAACAAGTTCAACACAAGAACACTACACTTCACTTGCAAAAACACATCTTTTATCATTACTTCACCTGTCATGATGTTGTCAAACGCCACGCAACAGCCACAGCCCGTCCAGCGCCATGATACCCTCCATGGTACCATCAATGAAACCTCCCCTTATCCGTTGAACGGAAACAGCATTGACCATGTCCCTTTGAACGGACATGGCCATGGCATCCAACCTTCTTTGAACCGCAACCCTACCAATCCACGCCCCATTGCCATCTGCGGCATGGCGCTACGTCTCCCAGGAGGCATCAAAGACCCTGAAGCCTTCTGGGACGTGCTCATCAACGGCAAAGACCTCCAAGCTCCAATCCCATCAACTCGTTGGAACGCAGCCGGCTTTACCAACAAGCTTGGTAACCGCAGTTCCATCGCCGCCCAGAAGGGTTACTTTCTCTCAGATGACCTTTCCACTCTCGACACCTCTTTCTTCACCATGAGTAAGAGGGAACTTGAGAGGTGTGATCCACAGCAGCGAAAGCTTCTGGAGATTACTCGTGAAGTTTTGGAGAGTGCCGGGGTCACAGAGTTTCGTGGTAAGCCAATTGGCTGTTATGTTGGAACGTTTGGTGAGGATTGGCTTCAGATGAGTGGCAAGGAGGACCAACACATTGGGGGGTACCCCCTGGCCGCCTACGGTGACCTCATCCTTGCCAACCGCATCTCCTTTGAGTATGACCTGAAAGGTCCAAGGTATGCTTTCTTTTCACATTGCATGTTTGTCTGAGCTAATTGGTTGGTATAGCATGGTCATCAAGACTGGCTGTTCAGCCTCTCTTGTTGGCTTACACGAGGCTTGCCGAGCCATCCAGAGTGGGGACTGCTCCTCTGCTATTGTTGCTGGCGCCAACTTGGTCATGGGCCCCATTCCCACGTCCGTCATGGCCGGTGAGGGCATGCTCTCCCCAGACGGTTCTTGCAAGACTTTTGATGCCTCGGCCAATGGGTATGCTCGTGGTGAGGCCATCAATGCCCTCTACATCAAGCCCCTGGATGACGCCATTCGTGACAACAACCCTATCAGGGCTATTATTCGGAACACTGCTACTAACAGTGATGGAAAGAGTCAGGGCATCTTGGCCCCCAACGGTGCCTCACATGAGGCGCTCATGCGCAAGGTCTACGGTGACATTGGTCTAGACCCGGGCAAAACTGCATTTGTCGAGGTACGCTTATCCATCCAGCACATGCTTCATTTGGTATCTGCCGTTCCTTGCTAACATTGAAAAGTGTCATGGGACCGGGACACCAACTGGTGATCCTATCGAGGCCACTGCCGTCGGCAATGTCTTTGGACAGCACGGTGTCTACATTGGATCTGTGAGTATCTTGAGCCATCTTTCGCTTGCCCCTAACTGTTCCATAGGTCAAGCCAAACACCGGACACTCTGAAGGAGCGTCAGGTATCACCAGCATCATCAAGGCTGTGCTCGCTCTAGAGAACAACACCATCCCCCCGAACATCAAGTTCAACAACCCGAACCCCAAGAGTGAGTCTACCAGCGGTGCCATACATCGATCGGTTCTAATTTGACTTAGTCCCCTTTGATACCAAGAAGCTCAGGGTTCCCACCGAGCCTGAGTCATGGCCAGAAGGTCGGGACAAGAGAGTGAGCGTCAACTCTTTTGGCATCGGTGGCTCCAATGCCCATGTGAGTTGTTTGAACTTTTCACATAGATTCCAAGCTAACTTTCATCTAGGTCATTCTCGACGCACCTTCGAACTTGGACATCCAGCCTCAAAGATCACCAAGCCCCAAACTCATCGTCACATCTGCCAACACGAGTGTGTCTCTAAAGCAGTACCTTTCGACCGCCCAAAACTACCTCGCACAACACCCACAGAACGCCCCCGACATGGCATACACGCTACTCCACCATCGCCAGTCCTTCTCTCATCGTGCATTCATGGTGGTCAAGGCAGACGGCTCGCTGGTCGAGACGTCCTCCCCCGCCAGGGCTCCAAGCTCAGCTCCTGGAGTTGTCATGGTCTTCAACGGTCAGGGCGCTCAGTGGCCCGAGATGGGAAAGCAGCTCTTCGAGACAGATGCCTACTTCAGAGAAGACGTGCTGAAGATGAACGATATCCTCAAGTCTTTGATACATCCTCCTAGTTGGAACCTCCAAGGTCAGTCAGTCACAGCGGTTCTTCAAGAGCAGTGTCACTAACAAGTACAATAGATGAACTCTTTGCCCCTCGAAACCAAAGTCGGGTCCATCAAGCCGAGCTCTCCCAGCCTCTCTGTACAGCACTGCAGCTTGCACTTGTCCGTCACTTGCAGCGTGCTGGCATTCGCCCCTCGGGAGTCGTCGGCCACTCCAGTGGAGAGATCGCGGCAGCATACGCAGCCGGTGCTATTTCCCTGGAAGAGGCCATCATCACCGCCTACTATCGAGGCTACGTGACCACTCTTCAGACTCGAGTGGGCGGCATGGGTGCTGTTGGCCTAGGTGTGCAAGATGTGTCGAAGTACATCCAAGATGGCATCGTCGTCGCCTGTGATAACAGTCCTGAGAGTGTCACGCTGTCTGGCGATGTGGAAGTACTGGACAAGGTGCTCGGCACCATCAAGGCAGAGAACCCCGATACTCTGACCAGGAGACTCAAAGTCGAGATCGCCTACCATTCAGACCATATGAAGCCTTTGGCAACTCAGTACAAAGACCTGATGGAGCCTGAGCTTGCAAGGCGAGATCTGAAGCGACCCGCTACCATCGACATTCCCTTCTTCTCGTCTGTCACAGGTAAGATGATTACTTCTGGTGGCGATCTGGGCCCGGATTACTGGATCTCCAACCTTACTTCGCGGGTTCGCTTCACTTCAGCCGTCAGCAAGGCCCTTCAAGATCTCTCAAACAGTGTCTTTGTCGAGATTGGACCTCATTCTACCCTCTCTGGACCACTTCGCCAAATCTCGACTGCTGTTGGCGCAGACTATCGTTACGTCTCTACCCTCAAACGCAGCGGCGACTCTTCTTACAACTTGCTGTCTACCTTTGGCCAGTTGCACCAGAAAGGAGTCCCCTTGGACTGGTCAGCCATTGTCCCTAAAGGCAGAGTCTTGACCAACCTGCCCAGCTACGCCTGGGATTACAGCAGCGGGTCATTTTGGTACGAGACTCGCTTGTCTAGAGAATCGAGGTTCCGCGAGTTTGGCCACCATCGTCTCCTAGGTCTTCGCAACCCACACACTTCCACCCTGGAACCGGCTTGGCGCAACAATTTGACACTTGAAGACGAGCCCTGGTTGGGTGACCACATGGTCGGGTCTGATGTTGTCTTTCCGTTCGCTGGTTACATCACCATGGCTGGTGAGGCTATTCGTCAGACGACAGGCATCTCAGAGGGCTATCGAGTGCAAGATGCCACGGCACGATCTGCAATGGTGTTGTCCGACCAACCTGTTGAAGTGGTGACGACGCTGAGGCCTGTCAACCTCTCTGACACATCTGTGTTCAGATGGTTTACTTTTACCATCGTCTCTCACAATGGGTCTTCCTGGACTCTTCACTTTGAGGGCCAGGTCAAGGCATGCAATGAAGCCTTGATTCCTTCACTTACGCCGGCCACCGACGCCCTTGTCCGTCCCGTTGCCTCTACCGGCTGGTACGATGCGCTGGAACACATCGGCCTTGTATACGGCCCCGAGTTCCAAGCACTCGAGGATATCGTCACTTCAGCTACAGAGAACCTTGCTGTTGCCAAGGTCACCAACAAGAGTCGGCAGAGCGATGAAGCCTTCCTCTTTCATCCAGCCACCATGGACAACTGTCTTCAGCTGCTTCTTGCAGCTACAACAAGAGGTCTTGGCAGGAACTTTGGCCAGCTTCGTGTACCTACCAGTATCGAGGACTTGGTTGTCAGACGCAGCTCTACTAGCATGGACGTCGTGGCCTCAGCTCAAGCCCTTGATGACCTTTCTGTCGAGGTTGTCACAGAGGGCAAAGTTGCACTTCGTCTCACCGGCTTGCAGCTGACGCCTGTCGATGACGGACATGACCAGCAACAAGAGCGCCATGCAGCTGCGCGTCTTGAGTGGTTGCCGGACTTTGACCTGATGGATCACAAGTCTCTCTTCAGTTCGACACGGTCAGACTTGAAGGAAGCGCGGATGCATGAGGAGATGACCCTTCTCTGCATTCTGGAAACCGCTGAGAAAGTTCGGGATCTCGAGCCCGGCAGCTGGCACTTTGACAAGTTCCGCAAGTGGCTGGAGATGGAGATCGAGCGTGCCAGACAAGGCACATACCCCATCGTCGAGCAGAGCAGGGACTTTGCTGAGATGTCGTCCCCACAACGCCGTGTCATGATCGATCAGTACTATGAGACCCTGGTTCAGAGTACCACAAGAGCATTCTTTGCCGTTGGTCTCAAAGCCATCTACGACAACTGCGAGGGTATTTTCACTGGCGAGGTCGATGCTCTCCAAACTCTCATGAAAGACAACGTTCTAGCCGAGATCTACAACGCCGTGAGCTTTGGGAAAGGAGACTTCTTGAAGCTTTTGGCACACTCAAGACCAGACCTCCGCATCCTCGAGGTCGGTGCTGGAACTGGCGGGACAACTGAGATGATCTTGCGCAACTTGGCTAGACCGGATGGTCTCCCAGCGTACAGTGTCTACACTTTCAGCGACATTTCAGCTGGGTTCTTCCCGCAAGCTCGAGAGCGCTTCTCGTACGCGCCGAACATGGACTACCGATCCTTTGACATCTCGAAGGACCCATTTGAACAAGGCTTCAAGGCCAACACGTACGACGTCATTCTTGCCCCGAATGTCATCCACGCCACCGAGTCCCTCAACAAGACTTTGTCCAACCTTCAGCCACTTCTACGTACCGGCGGTCTCTTAGTGCTCACTGAGCTCTGTGGTGTGGTGCGCACTCCCAACTATGTCTTTGGGAACTTCTCAGGATGGTGGCTGGGTGAGGCTGATGGGAGAGAGTGGGAGCCCTATGTCAGTGTTGAGAGATGGGACCACGAGCTCAAGGCGGCTGGCTTTTCCGGAGTTGACACTGCTATTCTCGACACCGAAGAGCCTTTCAACTATGGTGCTGCTGTTGTCAGTACCAAGGTGGACAATGGCAAGAACCCGAAGGATCTCGTCGACACCAACAACGTGTCCATTATCACGACGGAGCCTGAGAGCGTTCTGGCCAAGAAGTTGGTGGCAGAGCTCAACGAGTCCGGGATGCCCACCAGCGTGCATGACTTGTCCGAAGCTGCCAGCCTGTCCCCGGACGCTGATATTATCTCCCTGGTTGACCTCGAGATCGACTTCTTCCAAAACATCAGCCAACAGCAATTCAAGAACTTCCAGGACTTCTTGAACAGTCACAAGACGGGGCGGGTGCTGTGGCTCACCAAACCAGCTCAGTTCTGCTGCCAAGATCCGCAGTCATCCCTTTCCATTGGTCTCGCTCGCTGCATCCGTGCCGAGTCTCAGATTCCGTTCCATACACTCGAGATCCAGCCCGATGAACCATGTTTCGCCGAACTGGTGGTCAAGGTTCTGAACAAGATTCGGCGGACTGTTGACGATGAGTTGCTGTCTCCGGATAGGGAATATCTCGTTGACCAGGGATTTGTCAAGATCGGCCGGTATCAGCCACTGCTCGTTAGCCAAGAGCTCAAAGAGACGAGCTCGGTTGCTGCGATTGACACAGGCGACGATTTCAAGGAGCTTTTTGCTTCGAAGGGCAAGCTAGCCTGGGCAAACGAAACTCAACCAGACCTGGGAGAGGACGAGGTCATCATCGACACACGTGCCGTGGGACTCAGCTCCAGTGCCGACAGTTCATCGCCCCAAAACGATGATGATATGCCTCTCCACCTCGAGATAATTCAGGTCTCCGGCATAGTGTCAGCCGTCGGTCAAAAAGTTGGAGGGCTAGCTGTCGGCGACCGTGTCCTTGCTACAGCTACAGACTCCTCCATCAAGACCAAGATGGCTTGCGCCAAATCACTGGTTCGGAAGATCCCACAGAGTCTGGACTTTGAGGATGTTGTGGCCATGGTGATTCCTTTCATCACCGCCCTTGAGAGTCTTGCGAATGTCGGACAACTCCAGAAAGGCCACGTAAGTTCCTGACCTCAGCCATTTCAAGGTGATACCGAGTCTAACGAGAATTCCCAGTCTGTGTTGATTCATCCCGCAGCCACTGCCATCGGCCAAGCCGCCATCCAGATTGCCAAGTCCATCGGCGCCAAGGTGAGCATCCCCATGTCCCTACTTGTGTGACTCAAAACTAAGCAGCATCACAGATTTATGCGACGGCGGCCAGCGAAGAAGAGGCAGAGATCCTCGACGAGGCCTACGACATTGATGTCCACCACATTTTTACATGCCATGAAGATTCTCTTGCCGCCGCTCTCAAGCGTGAAACCAGCAACTGCGGCGTTGACCTTGTCCTCCACTCAGTCCCCGGTGTCTCCAGCCAAGCCTTGAGGGACTGCGTTGCCGATTTTGGCAAAATTATTGACCTAGGGGACACTGGCAGCAATGATGGAGAACCTCTTACCATGAGGCGATTCTTGAAGACCAGATATTACAGTTGTGTCAACATAGCCCAGATGGCTCGGATGAGACCTCGGCGGGTGGGAGAGTAAGTACAACTACAGCAAAATCACAAAATCGTACACCTTGCTGACTCTTGTAACAGACTTGTCAGGAAGAGTATCCAGCTTTGCGCGGACGGCCTGATCGAACCCATAGGCTCTGCCGTGTTCGAAGCAGTCGATATTGAGAAAGCCTTGCAGCAACTCAAGGACGATCACGTTGACAACGTCGTGGTGAGGATCCCTACAGATGCCTCGACTCTCCCTACAACACCGCGCTACACCAAGCTCAGAATGAGGGGCGACGCCTCCTACCTTCTCACAGGCGGTATGGGAGGTCTTGGAGTGGGCATCTCAAGATGGCTTGTTGAGCGTGGGGCAAAGTCTTTGGTCTTCCTCTCTCGCAATGCGGGCCAAAAGCCCAAAGACGAAGCCTTCATCAGAGAGCTCGAGTCGTGCGGGTGCTCGGTAGTAACAGTGGCCGGCCAAGCCCAGTCCGTGGAGGACGTGCAGAGAGCCATCTCGCTCGCACCGCTTCCCATCAAAGGTGTCATTCATCTTGCCATGGTTCTTCGCGACAATCCCATTGCCACCATGTCGTATGAGGATTGGACAACAACAACCGCCCCAAAGATACAGGGAGCTTGGAACCTGCATAAGTGCCTCAAGGACCAAGACCTTGACTTCATGGTGATGGCGAGCTCCATCAACACCATCGTCGAAAGTCCAGGCCAGGGCAACTACTCGGCAGCCAACACGTTCCTCGAGGCATTCACCCAGTATCGACGGTCGCTCTCACTACCGGCATCTGTGTTGAACATCTGTGCAATCGAGGATGTAGGCTATGTTGCCGAAAATGCCTTTGCCAAGAAGAACATCAAGTCTCAAGGCCTGTACAGTCTTCGAGAGAAGGAGCTGCTTGACTTTTTCGAGCTTGCTATCCGACTTTCACCAGCTTCTACCACTACCACGCCTGACCTACCGTCAAGTCTAGTGGAGGATACCGTGGTCGATCATCACAGCAAATTGACACAGCATCATCCTTGGAGCAGCAAGGGGCAAGTTGTCATGGGTTTGCGATCTGAGAGCGATCTCAACGACACAAACACGCGAACCAACTGGCGACGAGATCGTCGAATGGGCTTCTACCACAACTACAACAACACCGAGGCTACAGGCGAAGATGAGTCTTCCAACAAGCTTGCCGAATTTCTCTCCAACGCCGCCGACAACCCCAGCATTCTCGATGAAGCAGCCACTTCCGCCTTTTTGGCTCAAGAGATCGGCAACAAGGTGTTCAATCTCATCCTCAAGGACGCCGAGAACCTGGACACCAGCTTGACACTGCAGCAGGTTGGACTTGATTCACTCATGGCTATTGAGCTACGTCGCTGGTGGAAGCTTGCTTTTGGCTTGGAGATCAGTGTGCTGGAGCTTATGGCTACCGGGACTATGGAAGCGCTTGGGGCCGTTGCTGCCAAGGGACTGAAGGGGAGATTGGCTTCAAGTGGTTAGAGGGGCGTGGTAGAGAAGTTTGTCAAGTATTATACCAAGGTGCTAGGTCTGACAGGGTTTGTTAGGTACTTTTGTGACCTTGTGTTGGGTGTGGACACGGCTTACGGGGCCACTCTTGATCATCGAGGGGCATATGTCAAGAATCATCTTTGTATATTAGGTATTGGGACAACACTAATTTGCATGGCTCGCATACGTTTTATCTCTCGAATAGCCGCTGACATTGTAAACGAAAGGAGATGGCTTATGCTTTGGTTGTCCCTTTCAAGAAGCACCACATACGCAACCATGAATGTGTTGGGAGATTCACACCTTTTTGGACTCCAGATGGGCACATAGTCTCGGTCCGATATAAGTCTTGGCACTCAGTGAGGGGAGAAAAATCACGCAAAGGGTGCTTCATGCTATTTGGAATAAGGAAAACGGACCGAGCAGTGGCAGGATGCACCCTATCAATGTCGAAGGAGATAAGATTGTTTTTCGCCTGGCCTCCTCGTATCAATCAACGTTGCACAGTCCGCGTCACTTGGCAGTGGATCAATGGAGCCTTTATTGGTAGAAGAGGGCAAAAGATCCTCGCTGTGGGTTTCTTTTGAGTGAATTCTTCCTAAATCCATGTCAGTTATGGAGAAGTAGGCTATTGAGACCCAGCCGTTGGCTTAGACGAAGAGTCCAAGCCTCTTTGCCAAGCTGCCAAGCCTAGCCAACACAACCTTATTCCATTCTCGACACCATCTGATAAGCTTAAAGCGACAAAATGTACCCGTGCAAGGTGGATCGCCAATCAGGCGACGTCGGTGACAACATCTTGGCAAAAGGAATTGTCCGTACATAAAACAAAATGCGGCGGTAGGCATAGATGGCTCTTCCCCTTGGCCTCTCTAGATTCTCACAAGATCGATTCACCATGCAGCAACGACCCATGAAGCCCATCGGTGCTAGAAACGAAGAGTCAGCAGTGGCAGATATCAACGTCACCGAAGTCGATAATGAGGCTTTCAACCCGCTCCGTATTCCCGCGAAATACAAATGGACGGCACTTTTCCTCGTCATTACTCTGCCGATAGGACACACCTGGACAGGCTCGGCATTAGGGCCTCTCAAGAATACCCTGCGAGAAGAACTCGGCATCAACAACACGCAGTTCGGTGTCATAAGCAGCGCAGATGCTTTTGTGAATACGGTCTTCCCCATTATCGGGGGGTTGATCCTGGACTGGTGGGGGCCCAACATCGTCACGCTGTGCTGTACAAGTGTCATTCTTGTCGGCTCCATTGTCGCTGCTGTCGGTGTTCAAATTGGACTTTGGAGGTTGCTCGTCTCCGGGCATGTTCTCATGGGATTTGGCATTGCGGTTCTTGACTCGGCGACGCAAAAGGTAGCTACGTCAATCACCCCCCAACTTCATTCATGGCTAATGACTTCAAGTTCTTTTACCACTGGTTTGGCGCTTCTGGACTGGCCTTGGCCTTTGGGCTCGAAAGTGCGATTTCCAGCACGGTCGGTCTTGTTTCGGGCATGGTGGCCATCCCGATTCGGGATCAAACCGGGTGGTACGGATGGACATTCTGGATCCCGGTTGTTTTCTGCGGATTATCTCTCATTATGAACGCGGCGTACGTTTGCTTTGAACGTTTTGTGGTTCCAGTTGAGTACAGGTTGACTCCAGGTCGCGACGCAGCCATCACCGAGAAGCATCTGATCACCAAGCGCAATTTCTCCTGGAGGCTTCTGCTTGATCTCCCTTGGGCATATCTCATGCTTCCTGCTACTCAGCTACTTCAGAGTGGTGCGGCTGGTGGATTCAGCACTAGCTCGGCCGATATCATATTCCTCAAGGGGTACACAGAGGAGGTTGCTGGCTACCTCTCTACAGCACAGCGAATTCTTCCAATTGTCCTGAGCCCTGTGCTTGGCCTGGCTGTCGATAGGTATGGCCATCGATTCCACTACGTTGCAGCTGCTCCCATTCTATGGATTATCGCTTGCTCACTCCTGGGTTTCACCAATATCCACCCCACCGCCGCCCTAGTCTTCTCCAGCTTAGCAGGGGTCATCAACTCCATGCCGCTGCAGATTTGTATACCGCTGCTGGTAGCTGACCAAGCCAAGATTGGTACCGCTTTCGGAGTTTGGAGAGCCTTCAATAACTCCGGTTCGACCATTGTAAGCCCTTGCCATTGACTAGCAGAAGAGAATCTGGGCTAATCTTCACCGTGCAGATGGATGTCGTGTTTGGCGTTTTACAAGATGGCACCGAGAACAACGGTTATAACAAGGTTCTACTGGTAGCAATCGGGATCAAAGCTTGGGCTTTTGTGCTTGGAGTCTCGTACATCATCGTCGATTACAAGCTTCTTGGGAAGGGCATGACCATGACTCGCCTCCAGCGTGAGGCCAAGGAGGCCACGATTGAAGATCGGGAAGCAGACCCTCTGACTCGCAGGAATTCCAGCCCATGGTTCACTGCTTTGACCTTTGGCCTCTTGGTTGGTATTATCGCGAGTGCATGGACAGTTTTCCTCAAATACTTGATCTGAAAGGAAGGGCTATTCTAGACACATTCGATCCCCTCGTCCAAAATACCCGTCAAAAACCCGCTTCCGCTCTCTTGTAAGGCCAGCATCTTGAATAGCAAATGATGTGTTACATATAAAGAAAATAGTGTTGATTTATGTTGAACGACAATAGCAAAATTTTAAGGTCAAAAATATACTCCCCCCTCACGTTATCCTTAGCGGCGACCAGTCAACTCCATCGCCAAAGCCCTACCATATTTCAACGAAGCCTCCGTGTAAGGATCGGGTAGCACGAAGGCAGGCATGTGATTTGCGTTCCACCAACGCGTAAGCTCCAGGCCAAAGAACCGACCCTCAGGCGACTCCTCCGAGACACCAATGTCAATCCTCACACCAACGCGGAGAGACTCAAAAGCCTTGTCGGCATTTGGTTGCTCGAGCAACTTCTTTCTCTGATAGCGAGCAAAGTCGCAAAGTTCTTGCCGCTTCTTCTGTTGCTCTTCCTGCGACTTGGAGAACCACGCGAAATCGTCGTCGCTGACAGACCGAACTTCAAGCTTGTCTCTGACAAACTTGGAAATGCCGATCGAAACCGCATTGTCGCCACAGAGATGAACTCTGTATTCGCCCACCGTCTTGAAGGTGGGGACATACTCCATGTGAAACCATCTCGCACGAGGCTCATCCTTTTCAGGCTCAGGTTGTCTACTTTTGAGACGTTCTCCGGTGAAGCAAGCTAGTTTGAGCTGGTGTCCCGTGGGGCCTTGACGATCTTCACGTGGCTCGACGCGTCACTAAAGTTGCGTTTGATGACACTCTTGTCACCCTTTGGGGTGTCGAGCGTGCACTTTCCCATGCCAAAGCAGGTCTGAGGTCTGTAGGCGTACAGTGGCGGGGCTGTTTTGGCGATACGGTCCATGGCTGCGATGTCCGGGAACTTGAGATTGACAGCCATGAACTCATCGTGGCTGGGGTACAACCTCAGATGGGGAAGGATGGCGCAGAGGGGTTCCATGTCCCGGTAGAACTGCTCAAGTCCATTCTCTGTCCACTCTGCACCGGTGTAGGCGACAAAGATGACGACTTGGTCAGCTTCAATGGCTTCGACATGATCCTTCAATTCGCCCGTCGTGAGCATCTGACGAAACCAGTTCCAGTTGTGAAGTTCAGCGGTGACAATGCCAGTATGCTCAGCGCAAAGTACAGTCGCCAAGTCTTGGTGGACAATAGCGCACCCTTCTTGATCAGTTGAGACGAAACCACGGCCGAGGGTTTGTTCAAGGACCTCAAGCCGCTCCTCTGAGAAGCAACGCAGATGGGAGTCTGGGTTACTAGCTTTCACTGCAACAGAAGCGACAGGGAGGGAGATTAGAGCACTTTCACCATGCACGCTCATATCCTTAACTGTTGGGACGCCGCACCAGAGGATGTGCGTACTGGGCTTGACAGGGGCAGGGAGTTCATCGGCCAAAGGGGGTGACCCGGTTACACCAGGCTTGGGTTTTTCGTTGATGTGAAGAGGCAGGACGAATGTGCTCCCGGCGTCAAGGACTCTTTTGGCTTCTTTGGCATCTTGGGGCAACCATTTCCTCGCTGTGGACACGCCTCGTCTCTTCTCTTGGCAACGACGGTTCTGTGCCTCGTTGAGCGCCTCCGACACCGTATGCCAGTCTCGATGCTCGTTAGACAGCAAGGAAAGCTCCTTCCAGAAGTACTTTGAGTCGCTAGGAAAGATAGCTTTGAGCTTATCCATGTCCATCTTGAGATGGTTGGAGACTCTCTGCTGATGGAACGCTGGTGATGTTCCCATGATAACTGGGGCCCTTGTAAACGGGTGGGTGTATACGGAGAAGCTATTCGCTTGTTCAGGTACGTGCAGCGCGTCTGAGATTCCCACCTGCCTGCCAAGGAGGCTTAGACACTGTAGCAGGGGTATGGTCTTGGTTTACATAGTGGTCAGCCTGCTGAAGTGATGGCTTACAAGGGTCGCGCGAAGTTGTCAACTCACCGGGTTCGGAGAAATGTCCGTCGGGTCGTACTCAAGTAGCGGCACGGCGAGGAGATGCAAGATGAGAAGAAAACAAAACAAAACAATCTCGACGCGACTGTTTTCGTGTTGCCCCTTGACCATCTGCAGGTAGCCGTCTGGTGGTGCACAGCTTCGTGCCATTTTATGACACAGTGCTGATGAGTGATCGTCCTAAAGACAGTTTTTTGAAGCATCAGGTTAGGGCAAAATCCGGCTCTCATAGGTTAAGCGAGACTATCGTTGTTGTCTTTCATGACGTATAGACAGATCTTGGTCGTTGGTTGAGAGAGTCGCTTTGCTCTGTATTATGCTGGGTAGTGTTCTGGGGTAGCTATTTTTATGGAAATGCACCAGCGCTAGGGCTAGAAACAGGTACTACTCCGTTTTATTGAACCACTAATGCAGACAGAACTCTACGCTAATCTCCCAGGCTAGCCCCTTTTAGTATAGCTTGTGTGCAATTTCAGCCGCTCATCTGCACTCGTCCACTCGAACCTATTTAAGCACTAAGAGGTCATTTGTGCAGTGTGAAATTGTGTGCAGAACGCAGAGAACAATTGGCATGATTGCAAGGCTGATACCCGCTAACCTATAACTGCAAGGTCAGAGGAGTCAAGGAATCATTTTAAGTAGGTTAATCTTATATTAGGTACTAAGTCTCTAGAACTCCCTCTTATTTTTAGCCTTGAGTGCAATCTTCGTTAATTAACAGAACGCTCTCGGGTAGGACTTATCTTGGCAAGAGTTCTTATCACACGTGATGAAGCGGATTATCGGTACCTACAAAGGCGCTTACATTTGCCCAGTGCCCATGTATTTTCCAGCTACCGCATCCTGATTGGCCTAGGTGCCTCGGCAGTGGGGGCGAAGGAGGGCCGCGCAGCTGCTCAGCAGCCAATTGGAAGCCAAGAGTATTGATAGCAGATACCTACAGAGACGAGAAGGTTACGCCTAGTAATATGTACTTCTCACCCGCGAGAAGAGAGACATACAGACCGTCGTCTCGCATTCTACGAGCAAGGGGCGTGACCATTGTTCACCTTGCACGGGATAATGGGCATACCGGAGCAGTTTTTACCCGACTAGCATCGGATGTAAGTAGATTGGTAATGTCATCAAGTTCGTGCTGCTATCCATATTGGGATGTTGCCCGCTGCGATGCAACGTTTCTCCTTCAAACACCTCGTGCCAGATGTAGGCTTCACCGTCTGAAGGATTGCTTACTGAGCGATACTGTAAGAATAGCCTTAGCAGTGGATACTGTAGGGTTCTGTCAGCAATACCAACGTTTGCGTGGACCTCGTCAATCTACACAATTCTCCGCATTGACCGGTCTTTATGCCAGTAACGCCGATTCCCCGGCTATTCCGGATCGGCTCCGCGATGATGGATCAGGCGATATAAGATGTCCCATCCTGGAAGGGTTTACTGTACTGGCATCGGATCGAGACAAAATGAATCTGACCTGGCTAATTACTGGTTGCTCAAGCGGCTTCGGCGAGATTCTTGTCCGGCAGCTCCGAGCCGCTGGTGATAATGTCATCGCAACCGGTCGCAATGCGGATATTAAACTTGCCCATCTGAAAGATACCGGAGCTACCATCCTTGATCTGGATGTTGCAGAGTCCCCCACGGTCATCCAGGCCAAGATCAATGAAGTATGGGGTGTTTACGATGGTGGCATCGATGTCGTTGTCAACAACGCGGGCTACATCCTGAGCGGTGCTGTTGAAGAGTTGACGTAAGAGGCCTTGATGTTGGAAAGTAAGCAACTCGCTGATGATCATTTACAGACAAGAAGATATGGAAAAGTCCTTCCAGGTCAACTTCCACGGCCCGCTCAATATCACTCGTGCCGTTCTCCCACGCCTGCGAGCAAAGGGCAAAGGTACACTTCTGTACGTGAGCTCACAAGCGGCGTGGCACGCCGACCCCAGTGCTTCCGGGTACTGTTCGAGCAAGTTCGCATTGGAAGGTAAGTTTACTTTGGACGAAGGATGATGTTCAAAGGCTAATCTGCTTCGAGGTGCTGTCGAATGCCTCGCCAAGGAACTTGCAATGTTCGCCCCAGGCATCAAGGTCCTGATCGTCGAGCCAGGCTACTGCCGAACCCCGGTGTTCAACAAATTGCAGCATGTAGAGGCTCGGATTCCAGAGTATGCCCCATTCAACGAAGCTGTGCGGCAGGTTGAGGCAACTTTGACTGCGTCCTCACCCGGAGACCCAGATAAGGCTGTGGCTCGAATGATCGAATTGGTGAGAGTTACTGGCATGGCTTCTGGGAAGAAGGTGCCCCTAAGAGTCCCTTTGGGGTCTGATAGTTGGTTAAAGATCAAGACAAAGTGCGAAGAGACGCTGGAGATATGCAGAGAGTGGGAGGAGGTGGCTAAGAGCACGGACTCTCCTGTTGGGGAATGAATGACTTGAGATGTACCAAGTGAGGAAGGATGATGTATTTACTCCCTTGTTAGTCATAATTTTGGAGCCCAAATACTAATATTGATTCTTTCCTCCTCTAGCTTGGCGGCGTGTTCAGGAGGAGGACGCGACAGTGCGAATGACATGCCAAACAGTATCTCCTCCATTGAAAGGCATTTCTTGGGAATAAGACTACCATATACTTCTACTAGACCCCAAGACCCTCAACCAACTCTACTTTCACCTTTTCAAGTACCTCACAAACAAACTCTCGACCGTAAAAGCTAGTGTTGAAGCACCCTTGGATGGTCAACTGATCCTTAAAAGCCCACACATGGCACTGCAGCGATCGGGCAAGTGTCTCTGTGCCGATCCAAAATCCATCCACCTCTACCTTATCTTCACCGCCTTGACCAAAGGCATACTCATGCTGCAGATACTGCTCGATCTTGCCAAAACTGCTCAAGTCTGGGTTCTCGACCGGAGGTAGCTTCGGAGGAGGGGGAGTGTTGAAGAGTTTGGTTGTCCGTCTGACATAAGGCGCCATGAGGTCTAACATGCTTTGTGGATTTCCCTCGTCATCAGTGCACATCCGCGTCAAGTCTCTTCTGTAAACATTGTTGAGAATCGTCGTGATAGCGTCAAAGGACAGGCCCAAAACGTCTGGAACGGTGACTGGTAGACCACTACAGAACATTCCAACCGCAAAAGATTCTCCATTATAAGGTGAAGGAAGGTATGGACGTAGATCAGTTGGGAAAAAGGCGGCATAGCTTTTAGCAAGTGGATGTTGTGGATAGGTCGCTGTGACCCGCACTAAAGCAGCATGAACAGCGCTGGGGACGCTGAGATGACGCTTCTTGCAAGCGGCAATAATAGCCTTGGTGATAGTAGCATCGAAACTGCAGGATTGTCGTTCGGTTGGCCCGGGAGCAGCGGTCAAGGACCCTGGGATGGTGGGCAAGCCAATGCTCGGCACGCCTTTAACAAATTCCGCGACCAGGGCATTGGCAGTGGAGCGTAGATACATGGGTGTGGTCTCTTCGTCTAAGTAAGAGCCAACGATGGTGTCGAGGCTTGGCGTCAAGGGTCCCTGGATGGTAGGATCGTTTCGATCATGCCGGAGTATTTCGGCAAGGCTCTTCATGAAGCTGTTGGCTAGCATGAGCATCCCGATGCCATCGATCCGCCAGTGAGAGGAGGAGATGCAGAGCTCTTGAGAAGTAGGAATCCAATGACACGCCGCTGTCGGACTGGGGCGAAGCGAGGCGAACAAGGTTGTTGAGTCTGGGATGATCTCGTGGTGGAAAAAGGATTGTGCCAGCCATTTGTCTTCATTCAATGGTCCAACAGACAAGATCTGGCCGGGCGGATCTTCCGCACCGGATATACGAGCTGTTCCAACGAGGTTCGGATGAAGTCGGACAAGGATTAACCAGGTTCGTCTCAGAACCGACGCAACCTCCTTGACAGATTCTGGGATCTTCAGACGCAAGGCAATGGTGATGGCCCAGTGCTCGCGGTTGATGGGGGCACCACCATCAGCTAGAAGCTTGAAAAAGGTTTCGATAGTGTCCAGAGGGCGAACAGAGGTGCCATCAGCCTGCAACAAACATGTCTGAAACGGTAAAGTAGTGGACATGTTGAGAGATGTTGAATCGGGTACTGAGGGCTTGGGTAACTCTGAAGGTTGAATATGGGGAAAAGAAGGTAGATCAAAGGAAGATTTCAAAGGTCCAAGACCTTTTATATCTGGAAGTCGATCATAGCCAAGGATTGCATGAAATAACACTTGGGAATTGACTACTAAATGCAGTAGCTGCGTGGGAGAGATGGGGTGTGTTGGGAATGGAAAACACCAAACCAGGTCTCAAGTCCGTCCTGTCTAGGCATCTTGAATGCAGGGTTCCCGAGTTGATTGGAGGGAATTCTGCCTTCCTTGGTAAGACCTGACGGGCTTGGTAAGCGCGAGGTGACATCCCGTCGTTAGAAACCTGTAAAGCCATAGAATTATCCCTTTCGGGCCATTCCTGCACCTCGCCGGCTTGGCAATGACCTTGTGGTAGTACGCCCAGCCCGGCAATCAGCCCGAAGCTGCAAGGTTAGAAAGTCAACGAGTAATGTATCTTTATGCTGACTGATAGGCGAGGCGTCAATTGCATTTCAACCCCGAGGGAGAAACTCGGCTGACAGCCTGTTGGCTCGCTTGCCAAGCCAAAGCTGAACTCGAAGCGCGCTCGGCGGCTATTTTTATGTCCACAGCTGATTGTTGACTTGGCGTCGTGGCGTAGGTTCACATGGATGTCTTGGACATGCAAAAGTCGAAATTAGGTTGGCGGTTATTAAATGAGTTGGGGGTGGTCAACGCCGGCTCACAGAGGTCATTCCGGACTCCCTGATATTCATGACTACCTACTTGAAAGTTGTGAGACGTAGGTATTCAATAGAAGGTATCAACCACGGTACCTGAGAGCAGAGTCGCCAACATGCTTGCGAGTAAAAAGCAGAGTCTCGAGGGGACTTGTGCTGGAAAGTACACTACTTGGGATTATCTATATCCACAGTTATCTACAGACACAGGTTGTCGGTTTCTCCACCCACACCACCAGGACATTGCAGTTTTTGCACATCCAGGTAGAGAGGGTTCAGCTCGTGCTGATAGGAATCAAAGCTTACAATGAGGTTCTGGAATGAAGGGGCTAATCGAGTTATTTGATGGCTCGTCTAGTGCTTCATCACTCCAAGCGGTGACTACGAAATCTGTCTCCCCACGAGACCTACGTTCCACTTCCTCTTCCTCGAGATGGATGATTTAATTGAGAGACGATTCAACATCACCAAATGTGCCTCTCGAAAACGCCTTTCTACCCAAAAGTGGCAGCAATGGGAAACTGCGTGGCTCAAGCTCGTTGAGAGAGTCGCCAACCACACCAACGACCCTATTGTTCTCATCAATAATAGATGCGAGACGAAAGGATATGGCATCAACTGTATCGAGGCATGCAGAAATCCGGCTTACCTCTTTGCGTCGGCAGACAGACTGTGGAACTGCGTCAGCCTGGCGACTCTTCACTTGACAACTTGGGGAAATCCGGATGTGAACAGAGTTCACGCCACTATCAATCAAGACGATGAGGGCGAAGTGAGGCGGCAATTTGAGCTCGGCCCACTCTAAGAGTTCAACCACGTCGACGTCTTCCGAAACTACCGTGCATGTGCTATCGAGTCTTGTTTCACTTCTGAGTTTGGGTGTTCCCTAGAATTCAGCATGTTGTAGGGAGACTCGGTCACGTACAATAGCACACTCGAACTTGGATCTATCATGAGCCAGAACTATTGCACCAAAGACGACTTGGGGATTGACAGTGACCTCGCAGGTCCAGGCGTAAGTTTACCTTAAGCAATTGAAGCATCATCTGATGACAGGAATAGTTATTCATTGCCTACCTCATTCAATTCTCGCTGTCCATGTTCCTTCTACTGTCGCTAAAATTCACTACGAATTGGACTAAATACCTTGTTCGGGCCTGTTTATGGCTATAAAGATGGCCATTCCGCACATCAGATGATGCTGAAAAGACGGCACAGAAGTGGCAGGACACTGCCTCAAACAACCGCTTTGCTGGAGCTATAACATCGACCATTGTTGACCTTCAAGAAGCTCAGACTCAATACCTGGCCATCATCTCGGTTGTCAGCGTGGTGGCCTACGCCAGTAACAACACTCCAGGATTTGGCAACGGACATACATTCCGCGCATGGTATATAAACAAGGAACTCTTGGATGACATGATATCGATCAGCATCTACCCCATTCTTTTCGTTCAAATAGCTTTCCACAAGGCAGGCAACAGATGGTGGTATACCATACTATGGGTCATTTTCACCTGGGTACTGACCTTTTTCGTCGTCTTCTCATGGGGAGACATGGGTGAAATCCCGGAGCGGTTCCACAAAAGTGATGGTCTAGAGTCTTGCGGACAGAATCCTGGGCCAAAGCTTTACTGCATGGGTTATGATGAATCCTTTGAAAGGTTTGTCAACAAAGGGCTGACACCATCACACCAGGTTATGCTGCTCAACAAGCTTTCCTACTGGGCCATACACGCCATAATTCCCATCATCATCCTGGACTGGTGGTGGGAAAAGCCCCCCACGGATGCGCAGCAACCGAACAAGCAGCCCCGTGGCTCTTTCAGCCATGCACTGGACCCATTCGTGGCTGTCATAACAAACCGAGTCTCGCTGACCATTTTGGAGTTGTTCACCATGAGCCTTGGAACATACAATCTGGCAAAGTACGTCATGTTTAGAAAGGCACTTGGTGATGCCTATGGAGGGGGTGAAGGTGACTCGGTCTTTGGTGGATGGACCTATGGGCAATTTGTGGCCTTGTTCGTGTGGATTCCCATAGCCGGCAAGTTTCTGTCTCTTATGATCGGTAAGTGTCATGTTTCTTTCTTTGAATGATGCGAAATTAATGCGAAATACTCTGATGACACTGGCCCGGCTTTAGAGAGGCGAGCGAACCAGTATGTCAAAGTCAGTCCGGCACACGAAAACAAGACACCAGCAACTCGGACCGAAACAAGCGGGGTTAAAACCGATCAGACTGAAACAAATAAGCCTGAGAGCAGTCATGTTGAAGAAATCCCCATGACGCCAGTGTCGCGATGAAGATCCTGTAGATGGCGTCTTTCGTGTTGAGGGTATTGGAGATGATGGTTTATTGTGTTGATATCTGTACTTCTCTCAGACTTTCTTCAGATATCTTTGGATGGGTAGTAAGGTTGGAATGACCTATAAATGTCTATTTGTTTGCTAACGTGCTGAATGCCTCTACCTTATGTTTATGGTTCATCGGCTGGTTAAGAAAAATAATATGTCTATATTATGGTAGCTCTTGGTAATCGTAACTCTTCCAGTCGCTTATTGTTCCCCGGTCGCTCAAGTCTAACCCTTGACGACACGCTTAATAGTCTCCTCAACCGATTCAGTAGAAAGGCCGAGTAGCTTGTTCCACTTGTCAAGGTCCAGATGCTTGTGGTCCTCCAAGTTCTCCTTGCCGAAAACAAGGGCACTGATTAGCTTGGCGCCTCCACCATTAAGGTCGCCCTCGCTCAACAGCTTGAAGGCCTCCCCTCGGAGCTCCTCGGAGGTCTGGTACGTGCGCTCGAACTTGGTGCCGGTGACCTTCTCTAGGATTTCGAGGGCCTCAAGCTGGGTGGTAGTAAATGACTCGACGGCAACGATGGTGTTGGAAGTCTCCTTAGGGTGCTTGAGAATGCCGACAAGGGCACGACCGATCTGGAGTCCGTTACTGGTGGTGAATGTAGCCTTGCCTTCGTCGACCAAGAGAGCCTTTCGGTTAGCCAGATCGAAGCCCCAGAAGCCCAATGGGAGGCCCTAGAGACTTCTGTTAGTGTGCAATAAGAACCCATTTGAGAGTAAGCTTACCCAGTCAAAGAAGGGTCCAGTGAAGAGGGCAGTCCAGCTGATGACATCCTCCTTGGTCTTGAGGAGGTCCAAATAATCCTTCTTGGCCTTGAAGAAGGGCACGGCGGCCAAGACCTTCTCGCTCTGTACTTTGTTAGCCCAGGATTTGTCATATGACGCAGTGGAACCTTACGGTGGTATCTGATCCATACTCGCTAGGAATAAACCGCTTAACGCCAGCAGCGATGGCGGCATCGATGACCACAGCCTGCTGATCGAGAGAGACGATGGGAATCATGCTGATGACTGCATCTTTGCCCTTCAGAGCCTCGGTCAGGTCGGTGAGGTTGTACTCGGTCTTGACCACTTTGATGCTTTCGGGGAAGGTGGCTGTAGAGGTGGATCGGACGATGGCGGTGACTTCAAGGTCGGAATCGACAAAGGCAGGGACAGTAATCTTTCCTAAGTTGCCACTGGCCTGTTTTGTATCACTATGATGCCCTTGATGGAATGTGAGTGGTTGATACGTACACCGACGAGAGCAACACTCTTGTAAGCCATTGTAACGATCGGGTTTAAGATGGACTGGGTAGTAGATGTGCAGTTGATCAAGGTACTGGAGGGCTCTTGAAGAGGATTGACTGAGTCGAAATTAAATGTATGATGGAGGAACCAGATGCAGTCGAGGCATGGCCAACGGTATTTATATGGAGGTTGCTCCATTTAGCAAAATGTCGGAATGTTAGCTATGGACGACGCCATCCCTTGAACTCCTCAAGGCTAAACAACTCCGCAAGGGTTTCTAACATACATAGATAGGCACAGCTGCCGATATGCTCCATCGTGGACAAGAGCTGGCGGACTGGCGGAATAGGTCATAGCTATCGTCGGAGATGGAGGCGGAGGAAAATGGAGGCCGCTGTGGCGCTTGGCGGAGGCCGATACGGACGGAGATCAAGGAGATAGACAGTTAATTAGGTGTCTGGTCTGGGTGCGTAGTCGAGGCTGGGGCACTTTGAACTTGGTTGTGCCCTGGACCTCGGCATCTGTAGTAGTGATGGTCGGGGGTTCACTTTACCCACGACCGGGCTGTTTATTTCATCACTCTCTCGTTTGACTACATCCTGGTTACCTTATCAATACGATGTAGTGCTCTATCAAACGCGTCTGATGATGAAATCTCAACCAACTTGCATTATTTAGCTTCTCTATACGCGGGTACAGAGTAGTCTAGCCTCGTAGTGTCGAGTTTAATTGCCGTTTTTTGCGCCACTTTGATGTTTTCGGCGCACATTCCCACCGACCAAGATTATTAATCTAGCCCTGTCGACGTTTTATTGTCCCGATCACCGACGGCCCAGGCGAAATTACTCATTCTCCCCGAGTCAACCTCTCATGGTAGGGCCCGTAAAAGAGGCCCAGCCCTGGCCTCAGATTTGATGCTGCAGCATTGAAACAGAACTTCTCGTCTTTTCCTTTCCTAATATCCTTGCCTCCTACACAATGTCAACCACCTTCCGGAAAGTTGTCATCCCCAAGTACGGGGATGCATCAGTCCTCGAGATCGTCGAGGCCACCCTCCCTCAGCCTGCCGCAGGCGAGGTGCAGGTTGTACCCATATATTCCGGCTTTTCTGGTGCCGACATCAACATGCGACGTGGTGTCTACCCAAGCCAGCAAAAGCCACCGTTGACCCCCGGCTACTGTCTTGTTGGTACTGTCAAGGCTAACGGCAGCGGGAGCTCAAAGTTCAAGACTGGCGACACTGTCGCATGCCTGACCAAGTATGATGCTCAGGCTCAGCTGGTCAACCTGCCCGAGAAGCACCTCATCCCAGTCCCAGAGGGTTCCGACCTGCAGCAGGTGACGGGCCTCCTACTCGACTGGTGCACCGCTTACGGCATGGTTCACCAAGTTGCCAAGGTGAAGAAGGGACAGACCGTTTTCATCCATGGCATTAGTGGCTCTGTTGGCTATGCCACCATGAAGCTCGTCCAGCTGCTAGGCGCTACAGCATACGGCACGGCATCAGAGAGGAACCATGCCGCCATCCGAGAGCAGGGCGGTATCCCCTTTGTCTATACCGACAAGAACTGGATCAAGGCCATGAAGGACACGGGCGGCGTCGATGCCGTCTTTGACTCGATCGGTTTCGAGAGCTTCCACGAATCCTACGACATCCTCAACAGCCACGGCATCGTCGTCGGCTTCGGCGCCAACAAGTACTCCCTTACCGATGAAGCCCCGGTCCCAGCTACATGGCCAACTGTCAAGTTCCTGCTGAAGGGCCAAATCCCCTGGAGAGGGAAGAGAACCGCCTTCTTCCTCATTAGCCGAGACCAGCCGGACTACCAGCCCAACATGAAGGCCCTTCTGGACCTACTCGGCAAGAGCAAGATCACGGTGCCCATTCGCAAGATCTGGGATATGGATGACATTCAAGAAGCCCATCGTCAGTGGCACAGCGGTTCAGGAGTTGGCGCCGTCATCATTCGCATACCTGAGTTGAAGTAATCGGAGACAAGCCAACTGTACCGGTTCTTCGTTCAATCCTCTCATTTTTGCTTTCTATCCTAACCATTATCAAGCCGGAAAATAATTCATGTGCCAGGCGCAATCATGGCGAGCCACTCGTCAATCTTATGTACATAAACGACACCTATTTACATATCCTCTTATAGACTCTTGGAACAATACCGATTAATACCATTTAGCTACACTCAATATCATGCAGTACATTACTACCTTTGACGTGTGTTATCTCAAGACTATCTCTCTTCTCGGTGTTCGATCTAACAACGGCTCGATCAAGTCCTCTCGAATAGAGAAATGCCCTAATCGCTCGTACACTCCTTCATCCATCTCCTGCAGTACCAACCCCAACGCTATGCTTCCGGACCGCTTACGTATCTGTATGCACATGAGGAATACATCTTCAGCCACCGCGCCGTCGTCCCAGTGATCGAATGAGACATCTCCATAGGTATCAGGGATAGTGGGAATACCGTAAAACGACATTCGACGCGTTTCACCTTCGACACTGGATATGACACAGCTTGTTCCGAATTCATTGAAGCTAGACCACGTTGCTCGCAGCAAGGGTGTTGATAGACGGAGACGCATCCCGTCTTCTCCTGTCGCCTCCGCATCAACGAACTCTGTGATGAGCCGGTCACGACGGTAGTTGAACTCGCAGCTCGTGTAGTAGACTGGCCTTTCAACCGAGAACCATGACCAGGTGGGCGCTCGCAACGTGGACGGCCGTTGACCTGTGCCTCCAGCTGTCCACAGCAGCTCCAGAGGCATGAAGATGCGCCACATGCCGAACCAGTGATCGCCAAAGAACGGCCTGAAGACATCCGTGATACCAGCTAGTGCAACTATCCGGTCCGTGTCCTTGGTCAACTTCATCTTGGTGTACTCTCCCACAATGGCAGACCAGAATGCAAAAGGGGCCTCGGTGAATCGTTCTAGGGACCCCCTTCCCGGTGCAATCGGAATTTGCAACCGTGTCTTGAGACTGCTGAGACGGCGTTCCAGGATGTTTGCTGTGAGCATGACTTGGTCGTTATCAATGGAGATGGCCTTGAACTTGGACGCTGGGTGGTCATCATGGTAGATATTGGTTGGCACGCCTCCTGGAAAGACCTCGGACGCCCTCATCTCACTGCATCGCCAGAAGAGTTGGCCGCGGCCACAGTCCAGCGTCCGTCGTGCGAGTATGGCCTCTTGAAGCACCCATGCTCTGGAATACAGAACATGGTCATCGTAAATGTCTGTCTCGTTGACGAGGTACTCTTCATTCTCAGATCCGTAGTTCATCGGTTCGGGCTGTATCGTCCGTGGGTTCCGTGGGTAAAGACAGCCTTGCTGGCCGCTGGAGGCATCTGGGGCTGCTATGTTGCATGCTGCATTCTTGTAGATTTTGCCCATGAGTGCAGCCTCTCGCAGCCAGTCTTCTTTTGAGTCTTGAATAATGCAGAGGCTGTCAATCCAGAGATAAGAGAATCCAAGGCGCCGTGTAATCTTAATCGCGTCCTGGAAGGTCTGGGGCAGCGATTGCATCCGAATATCTATGTGGAAAGAATCCTCGTTGGACTCCAGCAGTCTGAGGATATGCAGTTTGCCCCAACAATGGCTAAGGGTTAAGTAAAGGACTCTCTTGGGCATCTTCTGGACGGTATGGAGGCAGACGGCATCGTTTTCGACATACAGAAGACGCGATGGCCGAAATGACCGGTCTTGATTGGAACAGCACACCTCGTGATAGATGGTGCAATGCTGAAGCCACCCCGCCGCCAGGGCTAAGCTTTGGTCAGCGCCAGTGTGAGATGGCAGTTGAGCAAGTGCAATGCGCTTTCGTAAATCCAACATGCCCAGTCCAGCCCACCTATCGGCCACTTTGAGTCATTAGCATGGTGAAGGTTTCCCAAGTAACTCCCCAGCACTAACCTTGACGTTGTCGCATCTGAAACCGACATCTTCGGAGATCATATGAGTCCTGACGAAATTTGATACTCCATGAGCTCACACCGGCTTCATATGTGGTGGTTGGTTTCCAGAACATCAAGACGGCCAGAAAGTCCTGCTGTAAGTGGGATCTTTGCTGCCAAACTGCTGTGCAGATTCTACAGCCTGTCAATGCCGAACTGTACAAGCTATCGGCCTTGTGGTGGTGGGCCGGGCCAGTGAGAGCATGTGAGAAGATGGTTGACCGGCAGGTTTGACAGAATGGAGAGCCCTGGCTCTCCCGAAGAGAGTGAACTGAGATGGAGTCGTTGAGATACTCCCGTTCATGAGCATGGCTGAGATATCCCAGAAATGTCGCCACTGCCGTCATGGGAAAGAGAAAAAGGACGTATATCGGCCAGTCATGATCTTTCATGGTGAAGATGAAGGCAGCCACAAGAGCCAGAGCTTGAGACACGGCAGCCAATGCAAACCGTGGCTTGTGTTGATAATCAAGCTTTGGAGTGAGATTCCGCACGTTTTGGCCAAATACTGATTCGATCTGCCGTAGAAATAGGAATATCGCATCGAACAAAATGGCTAGTAAGCAGACGCCAAGAAGACCACGCAACCCTCCAAACTTGACCATGCCGAATATGACGGTCCCGGCATGCGTCAAAGCTAGAGTGTGCCTGAAATGCCATGGTGACGCCCGTCGTCTCGACGGCTCAAGTCTCGAATACAGAAAGTTGAGCCCGACTAAAGGTGAGACTGGCAGGAGAAGTTGAACAACGTATCGAATATCGAGATCCCTCCATGGCGATGGCAGATCACGTTGAGCTCTCCGGAACGCCGCCCACATAAGCAATATGACGGAGAGCTGAATGATAAGAGCGCCTCCCATGTACACCAAGTGCGAAATGGGGTTGGATATGAAAGGAACCGCAGGTAATTTTCTGAGAGCCCACCAGAAGGTGCTGAGGGAACCGAAAAGATATCTTATCGCCATAGTCAGGCCGAAGAGCATGAATTTGGTCTCCCATATCTCTTGGGGCTGCCTTAGGACGAAGTGTCCTACTCGGGAGACAATTGTGCGAAATCCTGGCATGACAGGCTATGGATGATTGAGATGGACATGTTGAGGTTGAAAGATGGCATGCAACACCAGAGATAACGAATTTCCATAGTCCGCCTTGCAGGGGTCAAGATGCCTTAGTCAGGACATGGCGGCGGATGATTGGAATTAGAAAGAAACGTGGCGTTCTCCCCATGATACAGGTTTCGGAGCCAAGGCTGACTTGAAGCGGGGTGCCACCTCTAAAGAGCCATCACAGTCCATCTTGGCCTGCTCCATCCTTCTTAAGGCTCCATTCTCCCATCGGCCATCCCATCAGAATGACAACCTCAGAGTCGACGGAGTTCTTGCGTCGGATAGAAATACTGGAGGAGCCCAGTGAAGAGCAGATCCAAAACCTCCTTGAGATAGAGACATCCGACCATACTGAGGCGCCACAGCCCCAGAACGAGCAACACGGCCTCTTCCGCCTCAACAGTTCCACACCACAACTCCCCGATTCTGCACAAGATGCCTGCAAACTCGATATTATCGCCGTCCATGGCCTAGGAGGCGATGCCTACCGCACCTGGCAGCATGAGAATGGCTTTAACTGGCTTCAGCATGTTGAGAAAGAGTTTCCTGGCATACGTGTTTGCTCCTACGGTTATGATTCTGGAGTTGCCTTTTCCGATGGGACAGCGAGTTTGACAGAACATGCCCGGCATCTCCTCAGTCTTGTAAAGATGACGAGATCGAGCGAAAAGGCAATTCCAACTCCAGGCTCAACAGAACACATGGCTGACAAGTAGCAGGAGGAAGACCGCAAAATTGTATTTGTCTGCCACAGTTTGGGAGGCCTTCTTGTCAAGCAGGTCAGTTAATCATGTGTATGTGACAGACGAGAGTTAACAGAAAAGGCGTTTCTCCTCGCAAGCAACGAGAGAGGATTATTCGGATCCGTTCGACAGTCAACCTGTGCCATACTCTTCTTCGCCACGCCTCAAACGGGGACACGTTCAGAATACTACGACGACGTGCTTTGCAACATTGTAGATGCCATGGCCTTTGCAAATACCAACGACAAACTGTTGGAAGGCTTCAGGGACGCCATTCTCGAGTCGATACGATCCAACGGAACTCGGCTATGCCAGTTGGCCAAAGCATTTCATTCTGAAGCATACCATCTACAACACGTCAGTTCATTTGTCGAGACGTCAGCTATGCCTGGCCAGAAAGATATCGTAAGTACCATGACCCATACTCCCGGATTTTATCTGTCGCTGATCCATATAGTTGGTCGGCAAGGTCAGTGGCCAAAGCGGGCTTTCGAAAGAAAGAGTGATACCGATGCTACAGCACGATCATCGCCAAATCTGCAAATATCCATCTTTGGATAGTAAAGGCATGCAAATAATCATCGGTCATCTCAAAGACATAGCAGACTCCCTAGAATTTGATCTTGCAGAGGCCATCATCGCGCTACAAGTGGTACCTACAAAAGATGAATTAGCCCTCCGTCATTCAGCAGATAGGCTCAGAAATGATGCCTTGCTTCAAGCAGTATCTACCGGGAACTTTCTCGCTGCGAAACGGTTGGTCAAGAATGGAGCGGATGTCAACGCCACGGATCACTACGGCCAGACTGCTCTTCATCTGACCGTTATAGGAGGTGCCCGGGAATTGACTCTGAGCATCTTGGACAAGGGAGGTGATCCTAATGCGCAGGACAACGATGGACGCACTCCTCTACATCGAGCCGCCGAGATGGGTGACGCAGACACTGTAAAACTTCTTCTCGATAGAAAAGCGGACTGCACAATCCGAAACAGATGGAACGAGACCCCAGTCAGAGTCGCAAGGAGAGCGCATCATCTGGGCGTAATGAAGATGCTACAGGAGGCACAGAACATGCGACAAGACTTACAGGTATTTGCTATACACTCCCTACCACCAGAGTAGTACTGACTAGTGATCAAAATGAAGGAACAAACCAATGTAGTCATGGAAAGCCATTCGCCCAGAAACCGCCAACTCATTAGATCGTATGCGGCAACCCCTTACGAGCATTCTTATATGGTCATAAATATGGACATGGATACTGCTGTCCAAAGGGACGCGTCGCAATTTGCGCAAACAGCCAGAAAAGGAGACCTGGATCTCGTGGAGGACCTGCTCGATATTGGCGTTAAGCCCACCTCTGACGCCCTCTACCTCACCGCAAAAGAAGGCCACTCTGACGTGGTAGAGGTCCTAGCAGACGTCATGGAAGACATAGATGCAGGTGTAGGGTGGGCAGGAAATGCCCTTTGCACCGCCGCGTGCAATTTGCAAGGCCTCAACACCATCCGAGTCCTCCTCGAGAAAGGTGCAGATGTCAACTGGCAGGGAGGCGCATATGGTTGTGCACTGCAAGCAGCCGCCGCCAACTACAGACTTGAAAACGTCAGGCTACTGCTGAAGCATGGCGCAGACGTCAACGCCCAGTGCGGCCATTACGGAAACTCCCTGACAGCCGTGGCAAGGCACCATACCCACTTCACCGAGATGGCAACGCTTCTCTTGGAACGCGGTGCTGATATCGACGCCCAAGGACCTGGAGTATATGGAAATCCATTACAGACGGCCGTCTGGATGCAGCACCTCCAGAACATCAGATTCTTGATGCGCAATGGTGCGAGTCCGACAGTGCAGGGCCGGTTTGGCTCTGCGTTGGAAATTGCTCAGCGTCAGGCATTCCGGTTTACTCCTAGTCCGAAGGATGAGGCGGATATTCTGGCTATGCTGAGCGAGGATGAATTTGTTGGTTATATCAGCTATAATGAGAGCTAGACTCGGAGTTTGGCCTGGATTTTCTCTTGCGTTCTCGTTCTGTTTAATTTGGGGAATGTATAATACAGACAGGATCAAGGTTCTGCTTTAATGATCAAGAGGCCTTTGATGAACCACACTTGTCGCTCCGGCGCCCCCGAGGACACCTCCAACAAACTTCGGACCTCAAGATAGACATGCTCTAACCGTGACAAGAGTACCTGATCAATATTCTGACCGAGTTCTAAAGAGATCGAAAGGCCAGTGATCATCGGGGTAGCAGCTCCTCTCCTTGGTCTGACAAAGTGCCAAGAAAATTGGTAAGGGGACTTTGGGCAATATAATATTGGCATCAAGCCAAATGTCACATAGCAAAGCAACCTACCTAGATGGGTAACGGCCAGAAACAAGGCATGAGACAAATCGCTCCGACTCGAGTCATTGGATCACTAATCTTCAAGCTTACTCAGTCCTGAGTCTTACTACTGCGTCACAATGCCAAGACCTATTCATCAAGGGTAAACGGCAAACTTCATTGATCGATCTCTAGACTCCTTTTCCTTGAAATCTCCCGTTTGCACGGTCCTCACAATAGAGTCGTTCGAGGCCCCACATGATGAGGAATCATCCAGCCAGCCCTACAAGGCCCCTCGGCAATTAACGCTCTTCAATGCTTTCTCCAAGGCTCGCAGAAAGTTTCCTCTTTAGAGCCCTCACTTTCTATACTTCAGGGTAACGATCTTCAGCTTCTCCTGCTGATCCTATGCAGGATGGTGGCTGATTACAAGGAATACGATATTCCACCGTCAAGGTATCACGACCTCACTGAGACATGTCAGCAACTGTTTCCATTTTGGTCAAGCTGAAGACAGATCCTATTCCCAGCTTACAGGTCATTCCTAGTTGTTCTGGATCGCCGATGATATATCTAAATCAAGAAGAAGGAGTGGCATACGTCAGCCACTGACATCCCGTGAATGTCGGCATTGGTTCGTGCTCATGTGGAATCAGCCATCCCGTAACCTCACTGGTTAATTCATCTATGCAAGCACAGCCTGTCCAACTGTGTGAAACCGCCTTCCAAAGCCTCTGTTCCACAGAACGTTCAGCTGATGGCTTACTGGCTTACAAACACCCATCCCAGTCAGGGCGGCCGCCTCGGGAGTCGGGCCTCTGTCGATCTGATCCACAAGGCTGTGCAGGACAGGGCGATCGACCAGGGGTTATTTTGTTTTTGGTGCCATCTTGCAGACCCAGGAATGTTGCTGCCTGTCTGGGGTGTTGAATATATTAGCGTTTCATCCGTTCAGCCCACGATCAGCGGATCCTTGCTACTGGCACAAGCTTATTGGAGAATTACAAGGCCTTGCATTGATTCCCAGCAGGCATATGAAACCACTGACCTCACCAAAAAACGCCTCCAGGTCTCATTAGGCGAATCGTACAAGGCTGTGCCGCCAAATATCGGAGCTGAAACAGAGGTTGAAAAGGAACCATCCCAAGGAAGCAGCTGCGTCTCCTTGACGCTTAAACAAGATCGACAACTGGTTACTGTGACGTCGATTCTCGTCCTACACTTGCAGTAGCGGTCTTTAATTAAGTCCCGCATTTGCGTCTGCTTGAACCGTCCCATCGACCCACGTGCCTTCATCTCCGCCCTCAAGGTCCCCCAGCTTTCCGCCGATCACGCTTGGCTCTGGCGTTCTAGGATTGCGCTCGGCTTCAATGATGTAATTCCCCGTTCTCAGCTGCCCTTTAAGGAAGTGAACCCAGACGATCGCCCCAGAGAGAACCCGCTATTAGGCCCGGTAGTTGTAAACGAAGGATTCGCTCAGACAGGGGGAGAGAACTTCTGTCAGCTTAGCGCTGACTTGATGAGACGGCATTTCAGGGAGGACAGGAGATGCCACAATGCTTCTGTAAGCGCTGGGGGCCATGTCGCATATGAGACATGTTAAGCTTATTGGATCACAATGCTCCGAACAGCCACCACGACCGTTGCACTTTGATAGCTGCCCCACGATTTGTCTATCGTGAAGCCCAAAAGGGTATCTCGTAGAGTTGAGCGATTATAAAGGTGTTGATGCGCCCATGGGATATTCAATCTCGACAACTCACACAACTTCAACCCAGATATCTCAAGCCTCTTCAACATCTTCATCATGCACAAGAACTTTGTTGCCGCCGCCGCTCTCCTAAGCGCTGTGGCTTCGGGCACTCCCGTTCACAAGCGAGATGTCATTGGTGCTCTTCCTGAGGGCGCCGACCAGCTCGAGCTCAAGTTCCAGCCTCATCTTGACTTTGACTCTGATGGCTGCTATCAAACTTCTGCCATCGACCCCAACGGCAACGTCAACCCTGGCCATGGAGCCACTGGTACCCCTCAGGGCGACTGCCGTGACCCTCACCAGCTGGAGAACAGCAACACCTACTCTCGCAAGCGCTGCAACAACGGCTTCTGCGCTGTCATGTAAGTCCCCAAACAATTATTACCACTTTGAGTCACTAACGAGAATCGCAGGTATGAGTACTACTTTGAAAAGGACCAGGCTGTAGGCGGCAGCTTCCTCGGCGGCCACCGCCACGACTGGGAGAACATCGTCGTCTTCACCCAGGGCGACAACGTCGTCCGCGTGGCCCCCTCCTGCCACGGCGGGTACGGCGGTGCCAGCAACCAGTTCCCCATCGACGGCAGCAGCCCTCTCCTCGTCTACCACAAGGACGGTGCTGGAACTCACTGCTTCCGCTTCGCCAACGACGATGACCGCAACAACCCCGAGAACCCTACCGGTTCCTTCTTCCGTGCTCCTCTCGTTGGCTGGGACAACTGGCCGGATGTTGGTCTTCGTGACAAGATGCTCCAGAACTGGAGCGGTGGTGTTGGTCCCAAGCTTGATGATGAGTTTGGTAACTCTCTGCAGGCTGCTGCTGGTGATGGTGTCCAGGGCTTTGACCCCTTCACTGACTCTTAAATGGTTTTCGAGTCAGTGAGACCTTCGCGTCCTAGGGGGTGTTCATGTACATAGTTCTTGCTCTCGTACATTTTGGAATGTCGGGATAGGTCCAGCTAGCACACGACAGTTTGGCCACCTGCATTCTCTCGAGGTCCTGCCTGAATTCGCTCTGATCTGCCTGTGATAAGGCTCATATGCCGTAATCACAAGCTTCAATTAACTCTTCCAGAGGATTCATAGTCCCAGGGTTGTCTAACTAGACCAGTGCACAACATATCCCACATCCATCAGCGAGGGTCAAATAGTTCGTCAAAGGATGCAAATCTCGCATCGACGTGGGAAGATGGGAAGGCATTCTAGGCTCTGGCCCGTCAACAAATCTGTCTCGCTCTATGACATGATGCAGCCACAACTCTATCTCCAATGCCACAGACAACCCTATCTCCAATGCCATAGTGGAGAATATTCTTTCAGAATTGCCTCTGTCGCCGTTCCTTTACTTACGACCACGTCGTGCCTTGCGTTTCCTCTTTTTTCGTCCCTGAGAACTGCTCTCGGTCTTTGCTCCATCACCGATGACCGCTTCGCAAACTCCGCTTCGCGCCGCCGGACGAAACACTTCAGTCCGGGGGCGAACTGTAGCTCCCTCTAGTATCTTCATCAACCTTTCTCTCCCAGAATCATCTCGAATTCCCATAAAGACGAAAGTTTCAGGTCCCTTTTCCTTCTTTGGCTGATCCGTGAATACCAACTCCTGATTTGCTTTTACAATCAAATGGTCGTTGTCGATGATCTGAAGAGCGACCCTGAATTTCCCATCACCCTGGTGAGGCTTGAGCTCAAAGTCTTGAGAGCTTGCCTCTAGAGGTGGTAGGGATCGTTCAAAGGAGCAGCCAACCGAGCCGTTGAGGTATAGCTGGCCGTCGAGCAGGCTTTCCCGTCCCGTGCTCGGAGGCCAGAGTAGTCTATTTCGTCCTCCTCGTCGTAGTAATAGAAATCAAGATATTTTGAGGGATAGTATATCGGATCGTAAACCAGATCGACATGGGTGACCGAGTACAGGCGAAAATAGCCATCCAGGATGTGGAAGGGAACAGTACCACCCTCCGACCAAGTCTTTTTGGCTTCTTCGAGAGCAGCTTTCACTTCGCCTTCTTTTGCCACTTCGCGCTCTCTGGTCTCTTGGGGCCGTTCATGGTCGCCTTCGTCCCAGTCTGAATTATCTTCGTCTCAGTCCAGCATGCTTCGAATAGTGGTTGAGTAGGAGAGGAAGTGGTATCCTGCTGTGCTTGTGTTTGTGGTTATTGAATAATCTTATCCGCGAGGTGATAAAGGAGGAAGATTTTGTCGAGGTGGATTGAACAGCAGCCACTAATCTTGCTATAGACCAGTTAATTAAACAGCGGTCGGCAAGTGGCTAGGCATTGTCTATAAGTCTTTGAGAGCATGAAGAACATGAGATTATATACCGAAGAGGAAACTTATCAAATTCTCGCATGTTTTATGTAAATCAAGGTATAGAGTCAACCAGTTGAAGCCTGAGTCCATCCGGGACAGCTTGAGCTGCATATTATCTACGAGGTCAGCCGCGAAGCAATCCTTCACTCCGGAACACCACATGACACAAACGATTACAACTGTAGCGAGGCTGAATCAACATGTCAAGTAATAGATCATTGTCGGATCCAGTTCCCGATTCTACAAGTCTGTTCAACCAGTCGATTGCCGATTTCTGCTCTACAGCTCCGACCAACCAAGTCAAGATGAAACGCCGAGCTGAGCAGTTGTTCGGGAATAAGCTTCTTGATAGTCAAGCGACAGTCCTTCCTATCTCGCAACTCTGTTGACTCATATCTCGGTGAGACTAATCAAGTCAGGATGACGTCGAAAACTCACCCGCCGATCACGGTGCCGAAGAATCCGATCCACCAACCACCACCCCGCAGATCGCGCAATGCAACCTCCGCTTCTGACGAGGTGAGATATTTCTCTCTTCAACTTCATACCTCATCACAATGGCTGGTCATCCGTCGTCGTTTGTCAAGACGGTCAAATGGCTGTATCATGAGTCTGGTATTGCTTCGCTGTATCTCACTGGTCGTGATGCGTGGCTCGTCATTCTCTCGCGGACATGTCGCATGTTTGCCTTTGGAGCTGTATCCCTCACGATAGCTCTTTTCTTCTCGGAGTTGGGCTTTTCAGACTTTCGCATTGGTCTGTTTATGAGTCTTACTCTCCTCGGCGATGTTGTGCTCGGTCTAGTCATCACTCTTATGGCTGACGGCCTCGGTCGTCGTCGGGTTCTCTTTGCAGGTGGCCTGCTCATGGCAGTTTCCGGTGGCGTATTCTGCGTCTTTGAGAACTTCTGGATCCTGCTCCTCGCTGCTGTCGTGGGCGTCGTGAGTGCCAGTGGCGCCGACTTTGGCCCCTTCCGAGCAATCGAAGAATCGATGCTCTCACACATTACGACACCAAAGACACGGGCCGATGTCTTGTCTTGGTATGTCACATGCTCAAGTCTTGGATCGGCAGCTGGCACGGAACTTGCGGGGAGGTTTGTGGAGAGACTGAAGCACCGAGAGGGTTGGAGTCTGGTGCAGACGTATCACGCGACCTTTTGGATTTACATCGTCATGGGCGGTTTGAACATGATTTCGACCTTGTCCATGAGCAGCAAGTGCGAGGTTGAGAAGACTGCTCCAGAAACTGCCGATGAGTTGGCTCAGGGATTACTTCACGATTCTGATGAAGAACAACCCAGCCCTCCGCCGACACCAAAGGCAAAAGGCCGCTTCTCTCAAATCTCTCAATCTACCCGTCACGTCATGTACAAGCTATGGTTTCTCCTTACAGTCGATTCCCTAGCGGATGGCATGGTCTCACAGGCTCTTACGACCTACTTTCTGGATCGCAAGTTTCACCTGTCCAAGACACGCCTCGGTGACATCATGTCGGCGGCTATGATCCTGGCAACCGTCTCCACGATATTTGCTGGTCCACTTGCGAGACATCTCGGACTCCTCAACACCATGGTGTTTACGCATTTGCCATCCTCAGTCGCTGTCTTACTCTTCCCCGCGCCGAGTGGACTTGTCGTCACGATTATTCTCTTGTTTATCCGCATGGGTCTCAACAACATGGATCAAGCGCCTCGAGCAGCTTTTATCGCCGCTGTCGTCAAGCCCGAGGAGCGCACAGCCGTCATGGGCATCACCAGTACGCTCCGAACTCTGGCGATGGCTACAGGACCGTCGTTTACAGGAGCTCTAGCCGGGAGGGAAAAGTTCTGGATTGCCTTTGTGGTGGGAGGAGTGTTGCGCATCATGTACGATCTAGGCTTGTGGTCTATGTTTGTGAACATGAGACTACATGCCCACGAGACTCATCACGATGCCGGTTCACGGATGTCGATCGATGAGGAAGATGTTGAAATGATGCGACAGTCGGCAGAGCATCAGGCATGATGTATCAGCAATGGGATTGATATTAGACTGATACACGTTCATCACCATAGCAGATATAAATAATCTTACACTTTGATATCAGTGTAATCCCCGTCACCGACAGTCGGGCCAGGCCGCGCGTCCTCCAAATTCCCACTTCTCTCACCACTGATGAAGGGGGGCCAATTTTAATACATCCAAGCACGAAAGCGGTCAGCTTTCTATTAATCCATCAATTGTATTTCAAGCAACTAAGTAAAGTGCGTGGTTCAACTACAGGCTTCGGGGATCACGCCCCATGTTTAGACAGCCTCTCTATTAGCAAAGCGGAGGTTGCAGTCGCCCTCCTTGCGCCGTCCCTGTGAGATACACGTATGCATACATCAGTTAAGGTTATTTCCCACCTATTGAAAGACAAAGATGACATTGCACGGAGGGAGAGCACCCGTTTGCCCAGAATGGTTTCAAGGTCGACCAAGGAATCGGGCTCATCGGGAAGTGGGACTACCACCGGTGTATTCTAGAATCCCAATGACCCCTGATTACCCGTTCACTTTCTAGCCGATCTTATGATCAAAATGCTTTTCCGTAGTGCTACTACGCTTGCCTGGTATTTTCCGTGTGAAGCATGCAACCACTAACCAGGCCATGTCCAGCGTAGTATGCCGCGAGAGGTCACGAGAGATCCTGTACAGTTGCGCTTACCTCAAACTGCTCGGCTATACTCAGAAACAAATAGTCACCTGACTGCATGTCGATCTCTAGCCACACTCAAATACTTCCGAACCTATCGCGGGGGATTCACAGCCCGATGGCCCGTGGCTTAAGCTGGAGTCAACACTACAACTCGGCCGAAGGACTAGTACCAGGCATGGACCACGATGGATGAATCATCCTTGAAGAAATCCATTCCATTTGGTAATGATCAATCCTCCGTCACGGGCCTGTCAGCTCATTCAAGTGACAACGACCGAACATCCCTGGTGCACCGTCTCCCACAGGCAATGATCTACCGGAAGTCGCAAGGAACCTCTACATCCGATTGCCAGCATCTCTACGCGACCCAATCAGCTAATATCACGCACCAACATCTCTGAGGCCTCCGAAAGCGGCATTTGATCTTCAAAGTCGAGCAACTCTACTGCTGGAATATCACCACGTCAACTAAACTCTTTCATGGATAACCTTAACCAGAATAAACAACCACCCCCATTAAGGTCCGGGATGTATGGACTACTAGACAAGGATTCGATCCCAGGGCAGCCTATCATGGAGTTACTCGGTGGAGGACAAGAACATACATCTTTGACCTAAGTGGAGGAATTATTATCGAAACAATCAGCATGAAACACTGGCCACTGAAACCACACGCAACGTCAGATTCTAGTCCTTAATTAATACACACCTCAAAAAGTTATTACCGAGCGGAAATATGCGTGACAAGACGAATTGTCAGTTCATGCCGGGTGTAGATGGAATGTTGATATAAGGCCATGGTTGCCCATATCTGAGACTCTCAACCCACACGCTTTCATCCCGTCTTCTACCTTGTCTCATATACAGCATCCTTTGACAACCCGTTGATCGGTGTTTTATCTGTTTTACATTTACGTCACCGACTTCATCATGCATTCCGCTAGCCTTGTTTCTCTCATCGCCGCTCTCCCCGCGGCCATGGCCTGCTTGGGCTATGAGGGTGGTCTTCCTACTCCGACCGACTCCAAGAGCCTGAGCGCGCCTCAGTACATCAAGGCTGGCCAGACTTTTGATGCTGGTTGGGTCAAGTATGACCGTGGACAGTCTTGCTCTGGTCAGAGCGAGGGTGGTGCGTAGCTCGACATCAACACTGCAGATCAATGCTAACAACCCCAGGTGAGGCTGACACCGTCTTCGTTCTCGAGGAGGGTGCCACTCTTCGTAACGTCATCATTGGCAAGAACCAAAAGGAAGGTGTCTACTGTCTCGGATCCTGCAACCTCGAGTTCGTCTGGTTTGAGGACGTTTGCGAGGACGCCATCAGCATCAAGGGTGACGGAACCGCCAACATTATCGGCGGAGGTGCCTACAAGGCCTCTGACAAGGTCATTCAGCACAACGGCTGCGGCCATGTCAACATTGTCAACTTTTACGCCAACGACTACGGCAAGGTTTACCGATCTTGCGGCAACTGCAAGAACAACTGTGCTCGTTCCGTGCACATGGAGGGTACCACTGCTGTCAACGGCGGTGAGCTCATTGGCATCAACACCAACCTCGGTGACAAGGTACGCAGCATGACTTATAGTGCGAAGATCTTCTGCTAACAGTCACAGGCCACTTACTCCAACAACTGCTACCCCAAGGTTCAGTGCCAGGGCTACAACGGCTGCGACAAGGCCAACGGTGACTGCGAGCCCACCAAGGCTGCTTTGTGCTAAGCGAATGACGAGTGTGGGAAAGGCTAGCGTATTCTCTTCTGTCGCGTTATTCGGACTGCTTGGATTAGTACGAGATGAACGGACACCTTACATATTTGGATGATAGCACATGAACTTAGCGGACCAGCAATGGATGTCCATGCATTGGTGCCAATACCTTGAGTCTATTCGTCCTCGGTGTGTCGCTGTGAAGTTTAAATGGCCGACCGTGAAAACTACTTGATATACCGGTAATTCGACATCAAACACTTCTTTCTGTAGTCGAACGTGACTGGATGAACCGTCATCGCTCGTATCGGTGATCTGAGGCGGGTAGGGCTGATCGGCTTTGAGATGCAAGGTTAATACGAGATATGTGCATTGCCGAAGCTAGGCAACGATCAAGTACCCGTTCCTGAGCAGCGCCTAAAAGGATATAGTTGATCTATTCTCGAAGCAATAGAAAGAGAGGAAACATGAATGAATGCGATCCGACGAGTATCTGGTGAAGCAAGCGCCCGTGGGCGGCAAGTGTATGACAGAAAATACTTACCCTCCAGTGAAAAGTTTTTCACGAGATTATCAATCGCTTTCCAAGCACGATGCCCTCTCAAGACCAATAGGTGATCCATGCAAGACCTGCACAAAAACTCTTGGCGCCTTGAAAGCTGCGGATGTATGCCTCGCAAAGCTGCCCACAATGACATACCCGCGCGGGACAAGGACCAGGTCAATGGAGCAAGAAAAAATGCAGCCGGCGGGATGAAGAGTGACCCGCAAAACAAGCGTGACGGGATGGCGCTCGCGTGTGAAGCAGGGCTGAGTAAGAGAGGCAGTGAAAGGAGAGGGAGAGGCCAAGAGGGGGTTTCCGTTGCGTTACAGGGCTACCCGACAATATTCGTACCTCGGCAAAGACCCTTCGAGTTCTCTCTAAGCGCATCGAGTCATGATCATCAAGGGACGCCTTATTTGTGGTGGCACGGTTCGGAGTTCGGGAGTCATAGGCCAAGCCCTAACGGCGATAGCTCTCCCTGGTAAAGCCGTAAAATTGATGCAGCGGCGAAGGATTCATCACCAACAGAGTCAGGAAGACGCAATGCAATGCTTGACGAAGGGCGGTGCTGCTCTGTTCTGTCGGCGCATGGCCTTGATTCAGTACATTCTCCAGTTTGAATGAAGCCATAACCCATTGCTAGTCAAATTGATCTTGCTCAAGCGAAGCCGAGACTCCAATGCCGCGTGGCCGGGCATCTAAAAAATCTGTCGCGTGCTCCGTTACCAACCCAAGCTCTAGCCTTTTTTACCCCTGCCTTCAACTACCGCCTCAATAGCCTCTTTATTGGATTACGCGTCCATATTCAACGTTGTCAAGGCCATCGGGAAAGTGGGGGAGCCCACTCGGCCGACAACTCCGTTTAAGCTTAGTTGCCCGTGGATGACGAGGCTCACAGGCGCCATGCGCCAAGCCCCTCCCCACATCCCGTCAAGGTTCAACAACAGGGGATATTGTCACGATGCTTCTGCTGGAGGTGAGGACAGGGCCTTTCAGAGTAAGGTTTGACTTCAAGACAGGGGAGAATATGCCCCAATTTGACGCAAGAAGAATAACCCCGGGGTCTGGAATGCCAGGTCTCGCGGCTCGCCTGGCACAAGCCCCCTTCCAAGCAAAAATCGTCACCACTTGACCCCGACCTCGGCGCTTCTTGACGATAGTCTCAGCATTGGTAACGCGCGGCAGTCCGCGTAGCCAAGCCCTACGCATGCCACTTTAGCTTCTCACGTCCCAGTCTCGCGGTATGGGGTCGTCTCTTTTTTGCAACTACCTCGCCACAGGATGACGTCTCGACCATGGACCTCACGATATGTAAATACCCTCATCCCTTCGTTGGGATGGAGGAGATCATCAGACACACATTGACCAACAAGCTTCACAATGGCATCAAGAACACTCGCAGTAGCTTCTTCTCTCTTTGCTTTGTCGCATGCGGCTAGCATCCCTCGCGCCGTCAACAATGACAACCTTCCCGCTCTGAAGTTCACCTCCAATGGAACATTTCAGATCGCAGTCTTTTCCGACATGCACTTTGGCCAACGTTAGTATTCCAAGTCATACTGACAATGCGCATGCTAACCTGCGACAGTCGCATCAACAACAGGCCCAGCACAAGACGCCAAATCGGTCCAGGTGATAAGCGACGTCTTGGACTATGAGCTCCCCGACTTGGTGGTTCTCAATGGCGACCTCATCAACGGCGACTCGACCTTCAAGCACAACAGCACCCACTACATCGACCAGATCGTCGCGCCCATAATCGATCGGAATCTAACATGGGCATCGACCTATGGCAACCACGATCACAACTACTACATCACCGGCGAGGGTATTCTCGAGCGCGAACAGATGTGGCCTGGAGCGCGCACCAAGTCCATGGTCGACGACGATGACGCCGGAACCTCCAATTACTACCTCCCCGTGTATGCATCGAACTGCACCAACACCAACAAGTGCACTCCAGAGCTGCTTCTGTGGTTCTTTGACAGCCGAGGTGGACGTTACTACGAAGCCGACGATCAGGAGAATTGGGTTGATGAGAGCGTTGTGACTTGGTTCAACGAGACCAACACGGAGCTTGTCAACAAGTACAACAAGGTCATTCCCGCGCTCGCATTCGTTCACATCCCTATCAATGCCACCATGTCTATTCAGACCGAGGTCGGCATCGACGAGAACAAGCAACCCGGTCTCAACTTGGATCCTCCTGTTGCGCAGCAAGGCGAGGGGTGGTGCGCGAACGGTACCAGGGATACAGACAACTGCCACTACGGAGGACAGGATAAGCCCTTCACCAAGGCTCTTGTCACCATTCCTGGTATCATTGGCTTGTTTTTTGGCCATGACCACGGCAACACCTGGTGCTATCGATGGGAGGGCAGTCTACCCGGTGTGGAAGTCGAGGGCAACGGCCTTAACCTCTGCTACGGACAGCACTCTGGCTATGGAGGCTACGGCGACTGGATCCGCGGCGCACGAGAAATCATTGTCTCACAGGACAAGCTGGCCGACAAGATCATCGACACCCACATCCGACTCGAATCGGGCGACATTGTCGGAGCTGTGACGCTCAACTCGACTTACAACGAAGACTCTTATACCGCGACTCCCGACACCAAGACGTATCTGAGTGATACTGGAGATCTGAGCAACGCTGAGGAGATGTCGGCGGGTGTGTCATTAACTCCCGAGTTTTTGTATGCGGCTGTTGGAGGGTCTTTGGTGACTATGGCGTATTTGTGTTTATAAGCGAGATATCCTTTAGAGTTTTATGACATATAGACTTACGATTATGAATTAGCATAGCAATCTCATTCAACCAAGGTTCAATTAAAGTCCCAAGGATTGCATCCAACGCGTGACCTGTCTGGGTGAGAAACCATGGCCTGGATGGCAACCTTCTTCTTGGTATGCCAGTAAATGGCATTGGATGGTCTCATACAGGTTTCCATCTCGGGATTGAGTCAACCAGGGCATCCTTAAGCGGCGATTCCCGTCCCTATTTGAGTTGATCGAGTAGGAGCTATGCATGGCCTGCGGACGAGCTGGTGGACCAATCCGCGAGAAAGCCGTTCCTGCAGCGCGTGATTGCAGGCCAATGCTAGCACCAATGATGGGCTCCCAGCTCATGAACGGAGCATCCAAAGCCATCATATCCTCGGGAAGGGTTCTGGCAAAAAGAAACACTTCTTTTCCCCTGCAACGAACAGCAAAAGAAAGGGTCTGGCCGGGGATTGAACCCGGGACCTCTCGCAAGCTTGCTTTCGGGTTTGCCCTAAGCGAGAATCATACCACTAGACCACCAGACCAGGTATCTTGATGATTTGATGGTTCAACGAACTCCAGACACGGCTCATCAGCGGGAGCATTTCGCGACACGGACGCGCTTTCCTTCCCGGTCGCGAATAGCGTCATCGACGTCACCACTCAAGCCTTCCGATTGAGTTTAACGTGACGTCCACGTGCGCTTATCTAAGCCTTCAGAGTTTATTTTGACCTTAACTCCATTCCCTTCAAACAGTCAAATATGAAGAGCAGATTTCCCCTCTTTCATTCTTCAGTACATTGGCAAATGCTAATGTGAGCTTGTAATCTGGGACATTCATTTATCGCTTGGCTCAATTCATTGCCCACCATGTGCGTTATCTCAAGCTCAGCCGCAGTGAGGCAAGGACCAGTGTAATTTATATGCCACTGCAGAGCCCTCAACTTGGATTATTCTCAAGTCTGTCCTGCTCAAGATTGAGAAAAAATGAAATGACTTTGCTCTCGCAGGTTTAGGGTAGGAGTGAGAGATGTGAAGATGTTTGCGGAAGCTAAGAGGTACATGCTCTTTGCGCCAAATCTCACGATAGCACGGGTACTCACTATCAGGCTCAATCTGCAATCTCTACTCGCTGGATGAGGGGCCCACAGGGCACACCAAGATTTCTATTTTAGGCAGTCCAGGAGCCAATCACCTTTCTGTCATTTCATGATAGAGGATACCTATGTCTTCATAGTGTCCACACTGAAAGGCAAGTAGCTATTAACACATACCAGCCACTCCCAATTTTGGTTGGCTTGCTTCAAGCTCCCCAGTTGCTGGCATGTTCCTACACGAGACTATCTTATCTACCAAGGGGCGACGCGAGCAACTAGCACGCGATGCAGTTTTTTACCCGTCGTATAACACCTCGGGGATCATGCGCCTTCAAGGATGTGGCTGTGATCTTCGCCAGGATCAAGGTCCCTCACGAGCAAATCATCGTAAAAGAATCGCCACCAAAATAAAACAAATGGGTCGATCCTCGCTCCTCAACCAACAGATAGGCCCCAGCGTCTCCCCTTGGGACAAAACCTCGACATTCCCATTTTATTTGCGCTCTAGATTTTAGTTTTCACTTGATCTTCTTGGGTATTCCCTCGCGACGCCATTCACGATGCCTTCCTCTCTCGTCACTTCTATCCTCTGGACGGACCCTGATGAACCCCTGTTGGCCAAGGTCATCGGTGCTGAACCCTCAGCTACCACTTACCTCCTAGGCTGTACCCCGGAGCCCGACGGCCGTGAATGCAGCATGTACCACGCGGCCGTGACCTTGGGTCCATGGGCCAGTGAGACACCGTCGCCGGGTGTCGCTAGGACGGGTAATTTCGACTTTTACATCTCTGACTCGATTGATCCCTGGAAGTTCTCGATGCACTGCGAGATGACTGGGACTGTTCCTCAAAAATGCACTACAATCAACATCGGGGGCAACGATGACGGCCACCCAACGGCGACTTTTGGATCAAAAGAGATGGAAGAGGAAGGCCTTGGCGAATTCGGCTACGCGACCTTGACAATCACAGGAGGCCTCGAGTTGCTTGCCGCGACGCATTCTGGTTCCCACGAGACTGCGACTGCTTCAACCGAGGACAGCGCGCAGTCGACCGCCGAGAGTGCGGCTTCTGCAACTGCTGTAAGCAGCGAGACAAGCGGAACACAGAGTTTAAGCGGCACGTCCACGCCTGAAGCCACCTCTGTAGCCTCTTCTTGCAAAGCTCGAGTGATTACGGCTATTTCTATGGCTGGCGTTGCCATGGCGGTGGTGATTTCATGAGAGGAGCTGCTTTACTCGGAGACGGGGTATGAATCCTGTACCATTATAACTTCTTCATTTGGCTGGAATACACGCCCAGCACTCTTACATAGCTTGGTCTTAGTCTGCACTTTGAAGAGCAAGGAGAAAGGGGAAACATGATACCAAGAGAGACACGATATCCTGTTTGTATACATGCATCTAGCGTTGCCATTAATGTCAGGTTTTATATATGATGTTCATCTACACAGACACGCTCCCCTCCATCTAGATGCTCGCAATGGCATTCGGGAGATTGTTCATGTCTTCCAAAAAGATATCGACTTCTTTCTTGATTACCTCCATATCCTCGTCAACATCGTCCGTCCACCGATGGATGTAAATAGTCTTCATCCCGCACTGCTTGGCGCCCCGTAAGTCGTATATGTGTGCCGCAACCATGACAACCTCCTCTGGGTCCAGCTTGAGAAGCTCGAGGACCTTTTTGTACGCAGCCAGGTTGGGTTTGTAAACACCTATCAACTGGCTTGAGAACAACATGTTGAAGCTTAACCCCGAGAAGCGAGTGAGATCGACTTGCAGACGAGTAGTACCGTTGCCATGAACATATGTCTCAAGACCTAGTTCTTCCCGAAGAACCTCGATAGCCTTTTTGACTTCTGGCCAGGCTGGCTGAGTGTGCCATGCTTCAATCAGCCGATTTTTGACATCTGCGTCAAAGTGCGACTTGTAGTCCGAAAACCGATCGATGATGATCTCCAAGGTTTGTGCAAGCGATATGTCAATATCCTCAGGATCGAGATTCTGCTGGACGCGCTGTTCATTGTAGACAAAGTACTGCTTCCGCCACTCGAGAGCAAGTTCGGACGCTTCCGCACTGGGGATTGCGGGGGGTAGTGATTTGACCACGCTGCTGTGCCAATCAAGGCAGGTTCCCATAAAGTCAAAGAAGACTGCCTTGATCTTTGGTTTCTGAGATGCCATGGTGATTTCGGGTTTTCGGAATAGGGCTGTGAGGGTGAGGACAATGGTTGCTTGGCACTTGGACAATGAGGAGACATTTGAGATATATACAGGAAGTCTGCATGAGATTACTAATTTCTTGATTATTAATGCGTCATTCAAGCCTGATTGTCTATGGCAATGGATCAACCATCTCAAGCTCAATTCGTCTACCTATGATCTGACTGCGTCAGCACCGGCAGCTAATCATGCCGGCTTAACCGCGTTGTTTACGCGACACGTACCAGGACCCAAGGGTTAATGGCGAATGCTTGGTGATGACCTCACTTTTTCGTTCTGAGCCTAGCGTTTGGCCGATTTTGGACGCGTTTCATAGATGTCGATTATCTTGCCTTTGCACCGGGATGGTTGGCGACACTAATTAACGATGAACATGACGGGCGAAGATGAAAAGAACTGGCGAGTGTGGGGACGGAAAAGTCGCAAATAGAAACAAAATGCCGGAGGCTAGATTCATCAAAGATTGGAGGCCTTCCCCGCTTTCTGAGTATCTATAAGTCACAGGCCTCTTTCCACGTACTTATGTGTCTATGTAACTATAGATATAATGTCAATTATTGCCTCAATTGTCCTTGCATGGCTCGCTGTCAGTCGAGTCTCTGCCTTGTCTCGCACAGAAGCTCAGTCTATCACTTGGGGACCATGCCCTGAAACTCTGCCTGCCCCAGGCTTGTAATGTGCCAAACTCCTCGTTCCTCTGGACTGGGACAATCCGGATGGTGAAAAGATTGAGCTGGGTATGGCCATGCTGCCTGCTCAAGACCCCCAAAACCGCATTGGCAACCTTTTCATTAACCCCGGCGGCCCTGGCTGCCTCCAAAGAGGTCTCGGATATCGGACTTGGTACAAACGGTTACACGGGTGATCAGATAAAGAGACGGTTTTATATTATTGGCCTTGACCCTAGGGGCGTTGGTCTTAGCACCCGTGTTCAATGCGACCTTGATCTCTGAAACCGGCGAATTCCTTTGTTCCCGACTAACGAGGAGCCATTTCGCCGTATGGTTCAATTTTGTCAAGAGGTGAGCGCAAACTGTCTGAATATGACTGGTCCTCTCATGGATCATCTAGATACGATCCAGGTTGTCAAGGACCTGGAGGCGGTGCGTGCTGCACTTGGGAACGAAAAGATGAACTGGCTGGGCATGTCATATGGCACCATGATTGACACCCAATATGTATACCTCTATCTCAAGAATATCCGCTCATGATTCTAGACAGTAACCTTCAGCACTATCAGGATGAAGCTTCCATGCTGCTAAGCGAAGCGACGACCTATGAGACAACACTCAAGAGATTCTTCAACTGGTTCGAGACAGGCAATAAGCCAACTTGCGTGCTGTCAGGACGTAATGTAGAAAATATTGGCAAGATATTCTTGTTAAAGCAGCCAAGAAGCCCATCCCGGCACCTGGGTGCGGCACAATTTGCCGGTCAAACGTCAACGCCAAGGAGATTCGCTTTGGAGCACAGGTTCTCTTATTCAAAGCTTCAGCTTGGTAGACACTCGACTCAGCCCTTTAAAGTAAGCACTCCCAAGCAGTTGATCTGGATGAGTACTAACATTGAGCTCTGCAGATGCTACTGAGGGCGACGCGACTGCACTGTCCACATACCTTGCGACGGGCGATGCTTTCGGCGACTCAATGCTCTTCACCTTCTTGGCAACAACTTGCAACGACTTCCCTACGGAGGCCGAGGCCTTTGCGGATCTCTGGGTCAAGCAGATTGAAGCTTCTGTCTTCGCTCCCTTGACTGGAGGCGCATCCGCCACCTACATGGTCCAGAGTGCTTGTATCGGTTGGAAGCACAAGAACAGAAATCGTCCAAAGATGGTTAAAATCAGGGGAACACCAAAGGTTCTTGTCGTGAATGGAATCTACGATCCGTCTACGTCATACGCTTGGGCCATGGGAGTTTCGAGACAGTTTGGCGAGTTTGGTGTGTTGTTGACCAGGAACGGCGCAGGGCATATTTCGTACCATATTGGAGGGGAGACATCTAGAGCTATGGATAGATATCTAGTGAACCTAACGGTGCCGGCGCCTGGGACTGTTTTTGACTCGTAGCTGGGCAATACATGTATATTACCCTAAGCCTTCTTCATTTTCACGGGAAAGAATTGCACCATTGCAAAGTGTAATTAGGCCACCACTTCTCATACAAGCAATGGCGGCTGGAGTTGTATCTACTGTGTTCTTCTCTACTGCGCTCCAGCCTCTGACGGTCCATACAGACCTTCCTGAAGAATCAGCGCGGACTTGGCTGTAGGCTTGGTGGAGACGGCCTCTCGCTTCTGTATCAGATGCACAGAACCCCATCGCAGCAATTCTCCAAAGGTTCCTGGGGCACTATCCTTGCCGTCGTTCTCATCCCAAAGGGTTCCTAGCGCAGCAGCATGGGTGAGTCCCTTTCCGTGCGTGACCTTCTGCCAACTAGCCGACCTCAACAGCAGCCACACCAAGTTGTAAGCCTCCTTGTAGTCCGCCGTCTCTGGGTCCGAATCGACTCGGAGGTTAAACAGCTCATACAACCGTGCACCAGAGCCAAAGCCAACGGCGTCCTCAGCAGCCCAGTTCTCATGACGGGCATCAATGCCGAGGATGTTCTCCTGCCAGTACTTTGAACCATTGAACCCATCACCGGCGTCCTCCAGCATGGCCAACCGGCGCCAGCACATGACTTGCGACACGTACTCAAGGACATGCTGAGGTCCAATCTTGAAGTCCCAGGGCCAGTCTGCGGCTTCGCTGAAATCGATGTCCTTTACAAAGGCGAGAGCAGGGTTCGCACTAATGCCTTCGTAGTTGTTTCGGCCCTCCCAAAGATGCAAGAACAGCTTATGCCTGTACGTTTGTTAATGGGTGCCAATCGAGGTGGTTGAGCTTGAGACTTACCATCTTTCAATGAAGGGATTGCCTTTCCTGGACGCAGTGAAGTGATTGGCAATTGTCTGCCCATACATGAGAGGCACAGCCACTTCAATCGGTGATTTGGGATCCATGATAAGATCCCAGCACACACGATCCATACTTCGAAGTAGGACACACCCAACATCTATGGCCACACCGCCATGCCCAAAGAGTAGAGCTCCTCTGAGAAAGTCCATAGAGTGTGGACCAACATAAGGTCCGTCCATGGTCCCTTTCACAAAGGTATCGGGTAACAGGTCTTGACTGGCAAACTTCAAGGCATGATTTGGCGAGTCGGGCACGACGTCAAGGACGCGGACAGTCCATGAAGGACCACAGATACGAACCCAATCAGCGACGTTGCGCTGGCACCAAGAGGGCATAGCATCGAGACCAGCATGCCAAAAAGCCCAGATGTTCTTCTCGGAAGTGACAGGCTTATACTGATTGAGCTCGGCAAGGATGTCCTTGGTGGAGCGGGTATCGGGCTTGTCAACGAGTTCAAGTTCAGAGGTGAACTCTTCAGGGATGGAGTAAGTTGCCATGATGAATGATTGTGAGTTAAAGAAGAGAGATTGTTGGAAGTTGATACAGAGAAATGGAGATATGCCTTGAGCTCTTTATACCTTTTGTCTGAGTCTTCTTATATCTCAAGGTCAAGCCGATCACCGCGCGGCGTAGCACTCCTTGTGGCGACTGACCAGGGATGTCAGCACTTTGCCAGAATGGGACGAATATACGCAAAGTGGATCATTTTGATGGCTCCTGGCGTCTTTATCAGCGTATCGTATCTCACAATGCTGACGAAATCGCTGGTCTTCTCCAGGTACTGTATGTGGCTGTGGTATAGGTGATCCTCCTGGACTGTCAATCCTTACCGGTTAGTAATAGTCCCGCAACCTGGAGAATACGCTCAACTGGCATATCAATGCAAGTAATTTCTCGGCATCTTCGGAATGCGTAAGGACCCCTTTCCTTGAAAGTGATTGCTCGATTTTAAGGTTCCAGACTGACGTGAGACCACGGTAACATCATCAACTCGGAAGCCATTGATACTGGCTAAGGAATTTGCACGCTGACAGTAGCAAGTCTTGGATACAAGTCTGATGCAAGTTGATGAATCCTGGAAGCGTGTTTGCAAGTCTTTTTTGGAGAAGGACAAAATTGGCCAAGCTCTATCAACACAAGAACAACCACAAAACTCCCGCTCATACTCCATCACATCTATGAAACTGCAAGTACTCTATGACTTGGCCTTCATTGGGTCCGCGGCAAGGCTAGTTATCAAGCACAAATTTGAGGTCCTGAAAAGAATTAGTATTGGTATCCGGATGCGTGCCCAGTAGTCCTTACGTCAAGCCCTTGATTCTGGGTGTCTTCAGTGCGGCTATCTAGCGAGAACTTGGCGAGACCGCTTTTCTTCTTCTGAAGAGCGGCAATGTTCTGGTGTAAATGTTAGCACTGGCTTGGTAGACAGAATTAGAGCCATACCTCCTCCACTGTGTTTTGTACGATGTATTTCACAATCGTCACCTTGCGTTTCTGCCCGATGCGGAGGGCTCTTCCGATAGCTTGCTGCTCAACCGAAGGATTCCACTGTGGTTCCACGATATGGACACGGTCAGCTGCCGTCAGCGTGAGTCTGGCTAAATTAGCATCAAGTTATCCAACTTGGTGAGAGTGATTGTACCCAACGGCCCCCGTTTCAATGGACAACAACAGCACAGGAATGCTGTTCTCAGGGTCAAATTGAAAATCTTTGAGTCGCTCTGTGCGATCAGAGATGCTGACTCGCCCGTCGATTCGGCGACATTGAATTCCATTCTCAGTAAGCATTCGCTCAAGAAGGTCCAGGGTCGATCGCCAAGCCGTGAAAACTATGCTGTATGTCTGTAAGATCTTGTCCTGGGGATGGATTGAGGGATAAAAAACGTACTTTTTGGAACCAGGAAGCGAGCTTGTAACATTTTGAATCACTGTGGAGAGCTTGGCAGAGTTACCAAATAAACCATCCCCTGGCCCAGGAGTTGCAGGGCTAGATACCCGGCTCGGAGAACCCGTGGCAGACAATGAAGGTGCCGGGGAGAGCGACGACTCCTGCCTCATCGATGGAGCAAGTGTCTTTCTGTTTGAGGTTTTCAGAGCCCGGGAGCATTCAGGACACGTCTCGAGGCCGTCAAGGAACGTCGATGTTTCTTTGGAGTCTCCACAACAGAACTCGCAGAGGGCCTCGTCTCGAGAGGAAACGTGAATGCTGCCATGGTTGCAGAGTCTGCGAAGCTTCATGGTGGTGGTGAAGAGGATGGTGTAATTGCTGGCCTTGGACTTCTTGCTGACAATGTCATCGAATTGTTGTTGACAGTCAGCGAGGATTCCTCGGTAGAGCTCCATCTCTTTTGGTGTAAGCGCGATTTTGACCTCGGTCGTTTCGTAAGGGGGAAGATGTAGGTAGGCCTCCCCTCGGCGGAGGCAAACGGTTCTGAGGAGGATCCTGAGATTTCGAAAACCGGTGTGAGGGTCTTCCCTTAGCGGATCAACAATATGTTTATCGAAAAAGGAAGCGCCATCAAAGGGTTGAAACCGAAGAAACTTGAGGAGGGAGCGCAAGTCATCGAGGGAATTCTGAATTGGAGTACCCGTTAAGCACCATCTTCGGCTTGCTTGAAGACTGTGGATGGCCTTGAACCTCTGCGTTGAGTGGTTTCGGACATAATGAGCTATCAGATGTTAGAGGGGTAAATTGAAGATCTAAGTTTGTAAGAAATAGAGGCTCTTGACTGTTCTTACCTTCGTCAAGCACAATTCTAAACCAAGCAATGTCCTGGAGGACTCGGCGGCCTTTTGAATCGGCGAGAAGAGTTGGGTAGGTTGTCAAAACAATGTCATAGTTGGAAAGTTCTTCAGTGGCCTTAGCACGATCGTCACCATGGAATATTGCGGTTTTCAAGGCTCCTGGTTTCAGATGTCTTGAGTGCAGCGCAGTTAGATATCATTCCGTAGTGGCATGGGGACACTCACTTCTCAATCTCGGTTCGCCACACATTTAAAACTTCTGTAGAAGGAGATGAGTCTGGTACCACGAAGAGAGAAGAGGGCCAAACATCAACGTACGATGTGAAGTTGCAACAATCAAGGTTGCCCTCGTTGGCATAGGAGACGTCGAGCTAAGGCTCATCTCAAAATCTAGAGCAGCTGGTTTCGAACAAGCAATAGCCGCTAAGCTCGTCAATGTTTTGCCAAGTCCCATGACATCAGCAATGATGCCACCTAGACACGACTCGGGGGAGTTTGAGAAGAACCTGGCCATGTCTCATTAGTTATGTGAACCGATGAATTGATAGGCACAAGGCCTTACTGTGGCCCAACCAAACCCCGGATATCCAACATGGCTGAATGGCAAAAGCTGGAATCTTCTCTCTTCATTATGAATTTGACGCCATCTTTCTGGTGACTGCACACCTTAGTACCCCTGCATTTGTGAGAGGGAAGTCAAATACCTCTTCAGCGGGGTCAAGATAAGCCCATGTTCGATTTCACGACCTTCGTTGGTAGGAAGGGTTGATGCGCAATCGAGAGAGTCCAAAAGACGGCTGAGTTCTTCACTGGCTTGTGAAGACTTGGGATCCGTTTTCGCCGGACCAACATGTGCTCTCATGTCAGCTAGTTCTTCGTCAAAGCAGAAGTAATGGGGATTGATATATCTGACGCCGGATTCGAGGAAACAAGGATGCTGGAGGTAGGCAGATGCGGCTGCAAGTGCATCTCCCACCGCATCGATCAGATCCTCGGGCCCCAGAATGTTAACAGAAATGTCGATGATGCGCTTCTTTCCGCTGGCCCGGCCAAGGGTTGAGATCGGACAAATAGCCCCGAATGTGACATTTGAGAACTTCTCCAGTGATCTGAGTTGTTTCGCCCTAATCTGATCCAGAATGCCGATTTCTTGCCCACCACTGAGGGCCAAGTGGTAGTTGTCCTTGCCCGGAACGAGGTTGAAGACATGGAAACGGTTCCATGGGAGATGGAAATTCTTTGGTATGGCGGTAGCATCGATTTGTGCCTTGGCGTCACATATCTTCAAAGTGATGTGGTTAGAGACTGATCTGTAGCCTTACAGAGAGGAAGACGTGGCTTTGCGTGTTCCAGTAGGCCCTAAAATGAGAGACTACGTACAGCACCGTAGCAGATATCCTCGCAGGGACCTGGTGACAGCAAGTCTACCATGGCCACATCGTCGTCTCGGCGGCACACCCTGTGAGCACAAAATTGTTGCTGGTAAGTTTTGTGGCAGATTTCTCAACCACTGCCTTCGGGCACTCACCCAGTAGCATCTTCGGCGTTGATTCGAGCTCTCTTGGAGCTTGCTGGGACGCCAAAGCCGCCGAAGTTCTCCTGTACAATGTCATGGTACGTTCTTTTGCATGGGTTCGGCATCTTCAGGCGCCAACGGATAAAGAAAGGTGGAAATGCCGAAGGGAAAAAACGGTGACGAGACTCAATGCCATCCCCCGACGTGCATGGCTTATTTTCAACCCCCTGAGAGCCTTGTGGTGCACCTACATGTGGCGCAGGGGCTGTACAAAGGCTTTGCTGACTTGGCATGCATCATTTTGGCCAATCATTTTGAGGCTGCTCTGGTTCAGCGCCGCCTCCATTCGTGTAACTCGAACATTGATCATAAGGATGCCACGTCAAGCCAAACTCCTCTTTCTCACCTTAACTCTCTACACACCTCTTCTATGAAGAGAAACATTCTTTTACGGTGAAACACCTTCGACATAACGCATTATAATCACTTGGATTCACGAGAACTTGGGGTTTGATTTCAACGCCATCAAATCAGGCTCCGGTTTTCCCCGATGGCCGCCAACGCGAAGGATGGGTTCACGAGGGCCCTGGACGGCTTCCGAACAACCCTCACTCCGCAGCAGCAGAAAGACTTCTCTTTCAACACCCTTCAGGATGTCCAGGCCAGGATTCAGAGCATACAGGCTCGATACGGCCCCGAGAAGAAATTTCGGAACATGAAGCGACTCTCCAAGTTTCTGGATGGAATGAAACAAGTCGAAGAACTTGTTACCATCTTTCTCAACGTCCATGAAGTCGTGGCCTTTGTTTGGGTATGAAGTCTCCGTCTTGCTTCAACATTGTGATGAGTCACTAACATGCCATTAGGGCCCCATCAAATTCGCATTGATGGTATCTGTAACCCATCCCCGAGAATGCCACATTGGTGCTAATAACAGGCAAATAGATTGCGAGCAACCGACTTGAAACCCTCGAGCTATTGCTTGATACATATGTCGAAATCGGAGAAGTCATCCCCAGCCTGGGCCAGTACGAACAGATGTTTAAGAGTTATCCCTATCTTAGGGAGGTTCTTGAGCGTTGTTTTCACGATATACTCGAATTTCACAAAGAAGCTCTCGACGTTTTTTCAACGACAGGTGAATCCTCCTTACTTCCACTGGGATTAGCCGGCTACTAACAAGAATCAGGTTGGAAGAGATACTTCGATTGTGCTTGGAATACGTTCAAGACACGCTGCAAGCCCATAATTGACAGCCTCAAGCGTCACCGAACTCTTTTGTCTGACGAGAAGCTCACTGCTGCTGTCATCGAAGTTCAAGAAGGCCGCCGTGAGACTCAGGACTTTCGCGAGATGGTGGAGGCAAGATTCAGCAACATTTCAAGGCAACTCGAAGCAGACTTAGAGAAGAGGTCCAGAAAGGATATCGAGGAGAGGAAAGATTCCCTATTGCAGGCACGGCGCATCATCTCCTCACAACTATCCCCCGGAAACTACGAAGATGATCAGCGATCTGCTTTCTCTCAGTTTTTCTCATCTCCTTCGGGAGACTGGGTGCTCCACGAACCAAGATTCCAAGAGTGGCTTCAATCTTCTAACGGCCAGGTCCTCTACCTCCATGGGATGCCAGGAGCAGGTTGGTAGACCTGGGACTGCAAGGCGGAGGGGTTGGTACTGACATATTGTTAGGCAAAACCACTCTGACTTCAGGTGTTGTCAACTACTTGCAGTCTCAAAAAGACACGCTGAAGGGGCCAATTCTCTACTTTTATTTCAAAAGCCGCCAAGAGGACAAGAGGTCGATGGGCGGCATGCTTCGTGCCCTTCTTAAGCAGCTCATCCACCAAGAAGACAGTGCTGCTGACTATGTACGCGAAAGGTGGTCTTCAGCGAGCGAGTCTGACTTGACGTCTCTCCCTGTGCTTCAAGAGTTGGTACAGGATTGTCTTGCTACCCAACAAGGAGGAACCATCGTCCTAGATGGACTTGATGAGTGTCAAGATGAAAGGAGTACCTGCCAAGAGCCTCGAATGATTATTGACTGGCTTCATCAAAATCTCATCTCGGAGGCTCGATTGCACGGCTACCCTATCCGAGTCTTGTTATCTAGCCAACATGTCGACTTTCTAGAAAAGGAGTTGACTGAATACCCCAGCATCAGGTTGGATCAAAATGCGGGACATCTTCACAACCTCCGGGCATACGCCAAGTCCAAGGCGTCCGGGATTCAAGAGAGGTTCTTCCTGACAGACTCTAAGCGGGATAGCATTACTGAGAAGGTTTCGGCTTTATCAAATGGTCAGTTTAAAGCTTACATAGGGACAAGAACACAATGGCTGACATTCCAGCAGGGTTTTTCCTATATGCAAGAGTTGTACTGGACAATCTCATGGAACAAGGTTCCCAGAGTGAACTTGACGAAGAACTCGATACGCAAAACTTCCCAGAGGACCTCGAAGCCGCGTAAGCCTCTTGACGACCCTTGAATGACACTGGTGCTGACAACTCGACAAATAGCTATGAACGTGTTGTCATTCGCGTTCTTCACCATGGAAGCAGGTCCAAAAAGGCAGCCGCATTGAAAATTCTTGGTTGGATGACATGTGCAGCCAGGCCACTACACTGGAGAGAGATTCAATCTCTGTTTTGCATTGACCCAGAACGTGGTGAATGCATTCCCGGGCGCTGGCGTGTGGATAGTTGCAGGGATCTTTGCAGCTCACTTGTCGAAGAAGACCTACCCGATCAAGAGAAAGGAGAAGTACGAGAGCCAGTTGTAAGGCTTGTTCACAACACTGCAGGAGGGTAAGCCAGTGTCTTTCCATGGCAAGGATATTGTCTTCTAACCATCGCCTATTCACAACAGTTATCTTGTCCATACTGGGTGCATCAATCTACTAGACGCACATGCTAGCATGGCACTGTTCTGCTCGCAGTATCTGGCATCCCAACCATTTCAAGATGGTCCACGAGCCGAAACTATCCAAGAATTCGCCAAAACCGGGTACTACGGCTTACTGGATTATGCCGTGACATCATGGACCCATCACCTTGCCCTCGTTTCCAAAGATTCATCTTCACTCCAGGCCGACACACTCTCAAATCTTACTTCTCGGATAACATGCACACTCGAATCTTACGAGATTCCCTACCGCGGATCGTCTGGGGATGAGGTCACTTTGCAGAGCATTGAAGAAATGCTCAAGGCGTTCCTCGTCAACGGCAGGAAGTGCCCGTTTGAGAGCCGGATTTCGACCATCCGGAATGCTATAGAATCCATTCACCTTTCAGACCTGGCCGACGACGCAAGATCCATCTTTCTCAGACTCAACGGGGCGTCTTGCTTCAAATGCCCAAAACGAGACTGTCACAACTTCAGAGTTGGGTTTTCAAGTTGGAAGAACCGAGGTGATCACGTCAAACGCCACGAGAGGCTTTTTAGGTGCTCGGATGGAAGCTGCTATCGTGCCATGGTTGGCTTTCCGTCTCTGTCTGATCTTCAGAGTCATACACGACGAAGCCATCCTACGCCTGTCCCCTCGGCTTTGTTTTCGAACCCAAGGGCAACTAGACCCCGGGACATCTTTGATGCTTGTACCAAAGGAGACTTGGAGCAAGTAAGGGCTTATGTTGAACAAGGGGTCGATGCCAATGCGCCAAGTAAGCCCAGAGGTAAATGGACACCTTTTCGATTGGCAGCGAAACACAGACAACACCACATTTGCCAGTTTCTGATTGAGACAGGGGCTGTGCAAGCCCTTGGGCAGGACCATCGATCAGCTTTGAGTTGTGCCATGGGGGAAGATGATCACGAGCTTGTTCCTCTGATTGTCCATGCTGCTACTGCGGAAACAAAAGCGCGTTTCGTGGAGGGTGGAGAGCTCAGTTGGAGGATTGACACTTTTCTGGTCGGAAGGGCCGTTGATGATGGCCAGATGCTTCAAGCTCTCCTCTCCCTGTGTGACCTGATCCCAGCCGAAAGTTTTCCGGACTCATTAAGGCCAGAAAAGTTACTCTACAACGCCATTCGGGGGTCGGACTCAGTCTCCAATTTCGAGGTCATCCTGAACTGGGCTACGTCATACGGCCCAAAACTCGGCTTGATAGATGCCACGCCTGACTGTCATTCGATAACCGAGAAGCGCTATGCTCTGATCACGAAGAGATACGAGGATAATGATTCTCTCTTACATCTTGCAAGCTTCTTTGGAAGGGTTTCTATCACGCGCCATCTACTGCATCAATTGAGGCAGCCAGATATTACCGCAACGAACGCCAATGGCAACACACCCTTGCATGAACTGGCCCGTATCATATGGCCTGCCAGGGTACAAGACATGGCAACACTCCTAGTCGAGGCAGACAATGGTGCCACTGCAAATATGGAAAACAACAATGGCCAGCTCCCGATCCACATTGCCTGCGAAAATAGGCAAGAGAGAACGGCGGTGGTTCTTGCCAGCCATACCCATGATCTCGACTCGGGGGACTCGGAAGGCAACACTGTACTCATCTACGCCGTGAAGACAAACATGACCCAAGCAGTAGAGGCACTTCTTGAGACAAAACGCGTAGACGTTTGCAGGCTGAATCACAATGGGGAGACAGCCTCCGACTTGGCGCTTCAGCAAAAGGATACCGCCATACTCCAGTTATTGCACGCATATCATCACGCGGCTGTTCCTCGGAAAGACCCAACAGAACTTTTTGGGAAAGACCCTTACAAATATTGCATCAGAACTCAACAACGGGAGCTGTTGGCGCGCATTGAGGAGCTCTTGGGCCCTGACATGTACGACGCATGGTCTAGACTTACATCTCCAGTCCCATCATCTATCACAGCCAACAATGTACAACGCTTTCTCTCATCCGACTGTTTTCTCACAGTAAAGGCCTTCTTGTCATCTGGGAAACTCTACTATCCTGAAAGTGAGCTGGGCGATCTGTGGAAGCGAGTCGAGAGGGACGAGGATGACGAGCTTCGGGCATTGGTGCTTCTTCAGGGGGAGTTTCCTCAAGATGTCTGGAAAAGGGAGTTGCCTTTGGTGAAGAAGCTTTTGCAGGACGGGTCCCCTGATTCTTTTCTGATGAGGCTTATAAAGATTGATTGGTATGCCCACCAAGTCCTCATTAGCCAGGCCGAAGCCCAGGAGTGTGAGGAGCTGTTGGAGTTATTGCCACCACCACAGGATGAATGAATCGCAGGGATGTTTCTTGTTTCCGAGTCAGCCTAACAATGAATTCAACTTCTACTGTGAGTGAAGCTGAATGCTCGAAAAACAATTCTGGCCTGAGTGTGAGGATGTTTTGACCCGCATGGGATAAGTTGCTAACTTTCCCATATAAATAATCTTGTCTCGTATGAGGCGACGTTGAAAAATTGAGTCCCAGAATTGGTTCCGTGTATTTCAGTGCAGACAAGAGTGACTGAGTGGCGTCTGGTTTCAATCTGCGAGGATTGTTTGTAGGGTGGATTTGAGATTGAGGCCAACTCTGGCGACCACACGGCAAGATGCAGGCAACAAGCTAGGGTTAATACAAGCACATATGTGCGCGGGTACCATAGTAGAGGACGTTGTAACCGAGCTTCCTGCTCATCGGTGTTCATAATGAGGCGAGACAGCCGAGGAACTAACGTAGCCGAAGGCTCATTAAACAATTGCTGCCTTGTTCTCAAACCTGCAGCCGCACTAAGCTATGATGCACTTTGCCAGCCCAATTGTACAGTTCCACTGTTGAGTTGAGGTGGTTAGCTGCAAGGTTGCAGTGCAGATTCGAAGGAGGACCGAGCGTAGGTCGGTGACCAAACCCTCCTCCATCTATCGTTGTAGTCGGATCTGATGGGTCTTGGTGATTCACCATGTAGATCATTCTCAGGGCGCTCGCCGTCGTCATTGTAATTTGAGCCCCGGATCGATTTCCTTCCATCACTCACCATTCGTGTGAGCGGGTGCGGGCTTGTTGTGGCCACTAAGGCCTCTGTGTGGTCGGCTGACCGCCTGTTGCTGTCTGCCTTGTTGGTGCAGTCATCCAGGCTGTGTCTCGATGTGTTCCGATGCGGACACCTGCGATTCGCTACATGCATGCAGGATATTGGATGTATTAGATTCATTACTTGGGCTGTGCAAAGACTCGTGGGGCTATGAAAATGCAGATCAAATATGCCTACTTGTGTTGGAGTCTGCTCATCACATCCATCTTTAGAAATGGTCTCTACGCTAATTAGCTTTGATCAAGTCGAGTCGCAAAGGCACACGAGTATAAAGGTTTCTTGAGTCTATGTACAATTTGTCCCCTGACTTACCCTCATTGAAGGCCACCTGCTCTGGAGCCAATATGGCGACATCATCACTTGATGACATCGGACCAGGCAATACAGATCACGGCATCAACAAGCTTTGTGACACATGCCAGTCCGCATTTCTGGAAGCCCTGAATAAGTATGACACATTCAAGGAAATGTACAGGAACTGTGATGGCTCCAAGCTTCTTGTTCTAAACAGCTTGGCTGAGCAGACGTGTACACACCACAAGTCCTTCCAGGAGCTGAAGGCAGCCGCAAGTTCCGGGTGCCATTTGTGTAGCCTCATAGAACTTTACTGCAGGGGGACACGCCTTGACTCGAACTTGCCCCTTGTTCTAAAGTTCGACCTTAGAAGCGAGCGGAGGTACGCTTTTGGTGTCAAAGTGAAGGAAAAGCACATCAAGATCAAGCTAGGTTTGAAGAGTAACTATAATCTCACTCCAGATTGCCATGTGGTAGCTAACAAACCAAAGCAGGTTTTTGTAGCGTCCAACAAGCTAGGGCGTATTACAATTCTGAAGGAGGCATCCCGGCAGGTGTTTTCGACATGATTGGAGACTGGCTGAAACATTGCAAAACTGGCCATCCAAAATGCAGTGACGGCTCGACCACGCGGATGCCGACCAGACTTGTCGAAGTTGGCACACACGACGCGCCCACCATTCGTCTCCGAAGGAGCCATGGTATCCACGAGCCATACCTGACTTTGAGTCACTGTTGGGGTGATACCAATATCAAGAAGAGAATTACCGAAGGAGACTTCGATATGCCACTTGAGCAGCTGCCGCGAACGTTCCAAGACGCTGTCATGGTTACTCGGAGACTAGGCTTCGGCTACCTTTGGATTGACTCGCTGTGTATAATCCAGGGTGACGAGACTGACTGGGAGCACGAAAGTGCCAACATGGCAAGTGTGTATGCTAATGGCACGTTGAACCTCGCGGCCAGCTATTCTACAGACAGCCATGGAGGGTTGATGTTAGAACGCGATCAACTCCAAGTCACTTCATTCTACTGGGAGCACGAGTCCGAACCCGTTTTGTCTGGTCGTGCTGATGGCTCGTGGATGGAGGATGGAAAGGTTTGCTGGACTTTTGACCCTCAGTCGGAATTCGAGACACTGGGGACAGGAAGCATTCTCCCACTTCTCAGCAGGGGCTGGGTCTTGCAAGAAAATGTGCTTTCTCCAAGAACATTGCACTTCCTACCAGGCGAAATTATCTGGGAATGTCGGGGAGTGTTGGCAAGAGAATCTTGCTATTACGGAAATCAGCCCTCGTCTGGACCATCACGCGAGTTCAGTGGCGAGGTTTCCTGGTCAGACATTCCAGTCATCCAGAATGGGCTCAAGCCTTTCTCTCAACATCCTTTCAGCAACACGCGCCCGGATGCGAGCGAGCAGTGGGGACAGGGGACAGCGAGCTCCGCAAGTTCCCCGGAAACCCAACACAAACCCTATCGGTCGTGGTACGAGCTTGTTACGCAATATTGTCAAAAAGACCTGACGAAGGCTCAAGACAGATTCCCGGCTATCTGGGCATTAGCCGAGCGGTTCTAACAGATGACTGGCGACGAATACTGCTGGCCTTTGGCGGAATGATATTCTGACTGGATTGTTGTTCAAGAGATTCCAATCACGACCATCTAAGCCCCATGCCAGCCTGGGCTTAAGCACCCCGTCCTGGTCTTGGGCCGCTATCGAAAGCAGAGTCGAGTTTGAGTACAAATCCTCGCCATCCTCCGCCACCCTATCGAACTCACCCCAGCTCTCAGATGCACAAATTTAGAGTATCCTTCTGACTCCACCAGAGTCCGTGCCTGTTCCTATGGGTCGTACGGCTCAAGCGGAACTCAAAATCCGTACCTATACGCGACAGATGGTTGGCCATGATCTCAATAGCAACCCATCGCCTGCAGAAAGAGCCTCTGAAATCCTAGGGATTTCATGGGTGGGTGTCGATGTAAGCCGCATATATGAGGATCTGGAGAGAGAATATGAATTTGGTCCAGGGCGAATGTCTCTTGAAACACCTGGTGAAACTTTAATGTTATCCTTGCTTGGATTGAGCCCTAAGGATAAATGGATTGGATCTAGGGCACAAGAACGCTACGGGCAAGGACGGCGAATACCGAAAATGTACTCATATGAAGGCACCGATTGCTACTTTGGTTGGTCCGGAACACGGCACAAGGAATCAGCGTTTTGGGAGCAGCAGCGAAAGGAGATCCAGAGGAGGCAGAAGAACAAGATTCTGGATCATTCGGGTTTCGAGCTAGACTTTGATTCCCTGACATTGGCGTCTCGCTACGAAGGAAAGCCTGTTCCCTGTTTGCACATTCGGGGGACGTCTGGTTTGTTGGTTGAGCTTGATGCCACCTCACAAAAGTACCGCAGGATTGGAGTGTACAGGCGAGATTCCTCCCACCGGGGAGATGATTTAAGTGAGTGGGAAGAAAAGATTGTAACACTTATTTAGAGATTTTTCAAGATGCTCTACCTCCCTTGTTTAGTATTATAAATTGACTGATGTGAATCAGGCGCCGAATATATGGTAGCATTGTAGGGGAGATGACATTCCTGAGAATATTCCAGGCGTCTCTGCCATTGAATGGCGCCTTTTTGAAGTGTTTAACCGAAACTATCCCGAAGCCCTTGACCAATACAATTCCTTCCCTTCACTCACAATCTCATCCTTTCATGCCTCCTTGTTCAGTTCAAGGACGGATGACAGAATGTCGATGGATGACCCTAATCTCCCAAATGAGGTATATTAGCTTTGCATTCAGTTTGCGAGTGGTGATTGCTAATCGCTCATAGATGTGCGATGATTCTTTAGGCGGTGGAGCCGCTTTCCCATCCTTTTCTATGCTTGAATTATCGCAGTCCGACTTCGGCGTGGAGTATGCATTCATGTACAACTGTGTTCGAGTATATGTCATCATCCTGTCCCAAGATTTGGAGGGAGAAGGTTCGATTCTGAACGAGTTCGACAATTTCAGGATCAACCTCGACGACCCTGATACTCTGTTCCAGTTCGAGGAATGGATCCTCGGCCATCTCCAACCTTTCCTCGACAAAGAGGCTCCGACACCCTTTCGTCAAGAACCCATGAGTCTTCTTCAGTACTTTTCTCCTCGAACTTTTGCTTTCAAACTTGTAAACAATGAAGGTCAACTTGACGCCATGGAACTGGATTATGACCCCGCTGTCAACGGCGACTCGAGCCCCAAGACTCACATTGTTGATGTGCCGGCCTCTTCACCCCAGCTCCGTGGTCACCAATCAAAGGACGGCGTGGTCTTGCGTTCTGAATTACCTTCCGTTCCCCTCATCGCCGCCTCAGAACTCGTCCGGGCCGAAAATTCGGGGGGCGAAGAGATTAGCGACATACCCAGAAAGGTTCAGCGACGCTCAGAGCCTGACCATCCTCTTTTCTTCAAAGCCGGCCTAATGGATCATGGTCATTTAAGAGAGATGGAGCTGCTCGGCAAGATCACCAACAGCGGAAGATTCGAGTCACCTTGGAAGACATCGAAGCTCGTTGGACTCGTTGTGTGGGATGATGATCTCAATTGTCTGATGGGTCTATTAATGGAATACATTGACGGGAAAACTCTTCGAGATCGGTCAAGAGATGCTCCCGAGGCGTTGAAGAAGAAGTGGATTGATCAGGTTGAGGCGACGCTAAGACGACTTCATGAGGTCGGCATCGTCTGGGGCGATGTGAAGCCTGACAATGTCATGATTGATGCAAGTGAGGACGCGGTGCTGGTCGATTTTGGGGGAGGGTATACCCCCGAGTATATTCCTCATGAGCTGCAACAGACCCCACAAGGTGATTTGATTGGACTGGATCACATGAGAGCTGCTATGGGTGTATGCTGGGAAGCCCGAACCTCTGAATATGAATACCTCAGCTTTTGCAATCTCAGAATGAAGTGCACGAGATTTCTTTAAAAATACACACAACTTGGTGATTTTACTCTTATAACATAATAACTTTAATGATTAGAGACGCTTCAAATACAAGAGAATGAGCAACCCTGATAACTGAAAGGGCATAGAGACTTGAAAGGTGAAGGCACGATTTATACGCGACTATTAGTGCTAGAAAAAAAGAGGCAGCAAGAGAGTGTGTAGAGATCTAGTCTAACAACTTTGGAGAAAGAAATTGAAATGACAAAAAGAGTATGTCCATGCCGGGACGTGTTGTTTCATGTCGGCCGTAGGAAAGAGAGTCCTGTCAGTCGCCGCCTTTACCACTAACCTACACCAGAAGACACGTCGCTCCATCATCAAACCACGTACCAGTCATGCCAGTGAATACCACACCATATCGTCTACTGAGGACGCAAGGCAGTCTTCTGCGACTCGCTCCATCGGCCGTGAATGTACTGCCGAGCAGTCTTTCCCCAGAAGGCAACGGGAACTGCCAGAGCACCGAGGAAGAGTATCAAACCCCCAATCAACATTGTCGGGGCCATGACCTCGTTATCCTGAACCCATCCCATAATAGCGGAACCGATGCCAAAGCTGACCATGTTGCCTGTAAAAAGCTGAACGGCGAGAGCAGCCGCTGCCCATTGGGGGAAAGCCTCGGTGATCCAGAGTGTAAAGGCCACATTTCCTGTCAGGTAGCTAAAGATGCTGATGCCGGAAGCAACGTAAAGCCAGATTGGTTTCCAGTTATTGTTGATCGCGACTCCGTTGAGTATCACGCTGACCAAACCAGACACAACAGGCATAGCAAAGGCAGGCAAGTAGATCTCTGCATGACGAATACCACCTGATCGCAGTGAATAGTAGCGAGTGAACCAGGAAGCAAGAGGACCGCTGGCAGGGAATGCCAAAATTGAACCGATTAACCCAGCAATGCCGATACCGACTCCCTTGGTTTGCGGATCCAGGTCCCAGAGTCCCGCTAGGACAGCTGGTTGAGAAATGTTCAAAAAGATGATGCCGCTCAAGTTGACGCCCGTGAGTAGAGCAACCCAGAAGGTGAGGGGATTGAGGATGCACAGAACCATCTGCATGTAAGTTACACCCATGGCCTTGAAGTTGGTTCCAGGCGCTCGGCTAACACCGAATCTCGCCCAGAAGCTTCGCTTTGGCGGGACATCTGGAAGTGGTCTTTCTGAGCCGTAACTCTCGACATCCTCCCAGTCATCGTAAACCCTGACCTTTTCCGAGCTGCTCTGCACGAGTACGCGACCATCGAGAGCAACTGGGGGCCTCTCAAAGTAGGTCTCGGGAACAAGGAATATGACCAAGGCGAGGGCAACCAGACAAGGCGCGGACCATACGTTGTAGATCGAACGCCAGTTCTTGCATACGTCCGCTATGAATGGTAGAACGAGGACGCTTAGTTTGATGAACCCCGAGCCGACACACCAGAACAGGGACAGCGCATTAGGCCGTTCATGAATGAAGGTGCCATCGATGATCATCAGTGTGCACTAGAAAGGTCAGACACGATGCGCTCGAGAGATGAGTTACACTTACCATGCCAACTGATGTTCCCACAGCCAGTGCCTGAAAGCAAAGAGAGACTATCAACTCTTCAAAGCTCCCGGCTGCTCCAGCCCAGAAAGTGGATATGCTGGTGAGGGTAGCTGCACAAAGCAACACGGGTCGTCGTCCGAGAGCAGTAGAAAGTGGAATGCTGATGAGGTATCCCAAGCCAGTAAAGAGCGTCATTGCCGAAGAAAGAGGCTGAGTGTTTCGCTACAGATGAATTAACCTCGGCTGCTTGGAGTGAGAGACTTTTCTCATACGTCTCCAAACTCATCCTTAATCGCCAACATGAGTAGCCCAGGAAGGTTAACCTCAAACGAGGCAACGACAGAGTAAAACTGGAGGGCAATGAATGCAAGAACCCGTTTGGAAGGGCGCCATGTTAGAGGGTCTCGGTGCGAGGTGCTTGGGATCGGTAGTTTGAGGACCCTTCCAGCCGAGGAAACAAAGAATACGCTGCCCGCAGCGTGAAGAGATTCGCGAGGCGACTTGGATGGTCCTTCGAGAGAACTCATGGTGTTGATGGTATCCGCATGACACTGAAAATAGACGTTGAATCCACAACCGGGAGACGAGCTGGTTTTATGATACCATCAACTTGGGCCCTGATTCTCTTAAAGTTTATAAAAGTTCCGTCAACAAACCCCGCGGGCGCCGCGGCACGCTCTAAGCCATACTGAATCGGACCTGGCACTCAGTGGCTTTGAGAGCCCACGTAACACTGCAATCAATCAGCGGGCGCCGTTGAGAGTTGGCGTCCCGGCAGCGCGTCACTCCATTGGCGCTGTATTTATTTAAACTTTTCTAGGCTTGCCTCTAGAAGTTGGATCGCCAGGGGCCTCTCGCTTGGAGTGTTAGTGCCGCTGCAGAGAACTTCGAATGACAAGGATTCCCGGCCGTTGAAGCCCAATGGGCGAGGCGAGGGAAGGGCCAGGAACCGTTGAAGGTTTACCCCAAAGACAAGGCTGTCCCTCTTTCGGTAAAGTCGGAATGAAACCAAGGGTCCTGGTGCGTGGGTGACATTACGGTAGCTGCGGTGCTTCTGCAGGCGAGACACAGTGGTGAAACCCATCTGCCGAGGCTTGCTTTTGCGAACCGGGACATGCCATCAAGGTAGGTTGAAGCTATTCTTGAGCTCGTTTTTGAGGCGTCAAGCCGTCGGTCCGGATCGTAAAATGAGGCACGCCATGATCTGCGGTGGCTTCCAAATCAGCATGAAGTCTCAATATAGCCAGCCTTGCATCCCCGTCCGGCATTTGAATACTTAATTTGGAATACATGCATCCATCTGGCACATGATGTGACTGAAACCGGGGAACCTGGTTCGAAAGTCATGGCTGTGCAATCAAAGCGAAACCCCTAGCTCGGCATCTACCGGTTGGGATGACGTCTTTGCTTAACAAGCAACACGGAGTCTGTGACGAGAAGGAGTTAGCGTGCATGTCCCGTCAAACAGTGGTGAGTGATGGATAGAGTTGTTTACACGTTGCAGGTCCTGCAGCTTCTGTTTGATCCTTTGCTCAGCTCAGCCTTGATGCTACCTATATTCGTCTCAGAGCATGGCTTCTTGTTTCTCATTCCATCTGCCGACCTCTTGTCCATCCTTGATGCTCATCTTCCCCGTATTGCAGTGCAAGGACCATTTCCCAGACAAGCTTTTTGACGAAAAAAGAAAATGCCTCGGTAATCGCGAGCTCCACCAGGAGGAGGAGTTGGGTTTCAAGTGATCAACAGCATTCGGAAGTCCGGATGATACCTTGCAACCCGACAACACGCTCAATTCACCGTGTGACCGTGCAACAATTTGCTCATTTGTGATAGAAACGGTCTCCGCTTGCCGAGCCGTGCCGCTCCGGTGGCGTCTGTGTGCCGATGTGCGAGCCGTCCGCGCGGGTTTGACGCTCGGCCTTCTAACGAGACACGGTGTATGACTACCAGGAAACTCTATCATTCTATATGTTTCACTGCCTCATCCTCATACTAGACTTGGCCTCTGATTTCAGCTCCTGGTGATCTGATGGGTTGCACTCACGCGTCACGCGTGGCTTCATGTCGGCAATGACCTTGGGTTGCTCTCCATAGCGGCCCGAAACCGCCGTTAACTACCGATCAAAAGCAAGAAATTATAGCAAGGTCTAGGGCCATAACGTAGAGGGCAATAAAAGTGCTTTTTTCGTAGTGGTGTATGGTTTAGGTGGAGGGATCCATGAGGTTGCAATGTGCCCAAAGATGAGACAAGACGGGACAGACACGGCTCAACGAGACACTAAGCGTGAGTGTAGTATTTGGTGTGCTATATGCAGTCTAATGCATGTTGCTCTCACTCATACGGGACTAAAGAAGATATGCCCCTTAAAGTGATTTCTTGTCAGGATGCACGACTACCCTACATCACAGCGTAGCAAATCCGAGCTCATAAGTAAAGCCGATGACGACCTTGACAAACTCGGCAACATGACCAAAGTTGACAGTGCTGATGGTGTCCTGAGCAGAGTGGATGTAAGGGCTGCTGTCATCAAAGGTTGACTCAAAGACAAATGCCGAGGGATAGCCGACTCTGGTGGCAGAGGCGTGGTCGGAGCATCCATAACCACACTTGGTGTCGACAGCGGGAAGAGTAGAGTACTTTGATCTGTTAGAAAATCCTAGTTGTTCATCTCATTGGTTTACTCACAGCGGTAATGATCTTCTTGGTGAACGCAGTCAAGGAAGCGTCAACGTTGTCGGTGATGACGCCGATAACCTGTCTGGACCCTGGCTTGACATAACCAGTCATGTCCTGGTTAAGCATGGCCCTGACATCACGGCTCTCGCGGATGTACTGCTGGAAAATGGCACCACTACCAAGCAGACCGGCCTCTTCACCAGCATACCAGTGGAACTCGATAGTGTTCTCGGCCTGGTTCGATGCGACGCGAGAGTCGGTCAGCAAGACGCGGAAAGCCTCGAGGATAGTGGCAGAGCCAGATCCATCATCATCTGCAGCTTGTTAGAACCTTTCTATCTCTTGACCGAGGATACTTACCAGCACCAGGAGCACGGCCCGAGGCACGGTTTGAGAGGTTGACAGAGTCCTGATGAGCACCGACAACAATAGTCTTGGCGCTCTTGCCAGGAATGGTAGCAATGATGCTAGGCTGTCTCCACGAATGCGTAAAAGTCTTGACGTTCACATTGGTAGCTCCGCTGGCGCTGATGATGGCCTGGACTTGACCCAAGAGCCACTCAGCAGACTGCTGGCCGTAAGAAGCCGTGTAGTATCTGTTCTGAAAGGTGGAAAACGTGGTGAGGAAGTCACGAAGTCTAGTCTGGCTCAGCTTGGGGAGAAGAGCGTTGACGGCAGTCTGTTGCGAGACAGCGGTGGGGAAATCGGCGAGAACTTGGAGGCTGATGGGGGGCTCTTCGTCGAGATCACTGATGTCGATGAAGTGCTTGTGTTCCTATAAAAGTTAGCTAAAGAAGTGAAGGACAGAATGGTAGACTCACTGCCCTGAGCGCCCACTTCTCCTCCTCAGTGACGGTTCGAATGTCATCGGGACCGAGCTGGATCTTGTACAGCTGCGGCGCTGGACGCGGGACCGCGACAGCGCTTGACAGGCCGACAAGGGCCGCCAATGCGAGAGACAGATGCATGATGATTGTAGAGCGAATGATCCAGAAATGCCAAGTCTTGGGACGAGTATTGCCTGGCGATCACTCGAAACCGTAGCAGGGAGGCATTTTATACTTGTTCCTTGTGAATCACGATTCTTGCTTAGGAAGGCAACTCATAGTAGACGAATTAATCGTCATCATCATCCGACTCGGCTTGCTACACGTATCCGGCAGGAGGAACATTAAGCATACTACATGCCACCGTCACATCACAGCTACGGGATTGCAAAAGATCCCACTGACGCAATACCAAAGATGAACCACACAAGCTACCTCACCTTCCAGAACGATGCTTTATGCCGCGGGATTGTTGATAGCGTTGCATTGCGGGCCGCATCGGCATGGGCCTATTCGGGCAGGTCGAGAAGATTCACGGGGACTTTGGGGGATCTTGGCATTGTAGCGGGGTTTGATCGACCTAGTTGGATGATCAATGCAAATTGATCAGACTATGTCACTTTAAGATACTAATCGATGGGCGATTCTCGATTAAGCATGTGGTATTCTCCGACCAAAGTGGACTGTTTGTCTGGAGTGAAACAGACTAGCCACCATATCCCCGGCGCTTGTAGCGATAAGCTTATAGATTTTTCTTGGCTTTCTTTGAATGTTCTATTTCAAACTCGACCGGCATTGTCAATGCCCGATGCCTCGTGATTTGCCCGTGGAGCGTAGTAGTGGCACTGTGCTTACCAGTGTATGGATACTCGCATTACTTAGACGAACAGCCATTGTTGGAAGGTCCGAGATAATGATACGAAGCATAATTCTTGAAATTGCGATTCTATTTTCCATTTACCGTAACCTGCGCCTAGCCCAGTAGTGGACCTCTCTTGACCGGTTCCAACTTCTCAAACGCCTCAGGCGTGGGCAACTCGAACTGATTCCACCTCTCGATTCCATATCTCAACCAGTGAGCGTAAGTTCCCTCAACATCATCACTTCCCACATTCTTCCTCCACAAACTTCCCAGTGTTTCTCCAAGAACCTGCACGATCAAACCGTGGGCCAACTTGAAGCCGAAACTTCTGGACAGGCAGTTTTCCACAATCTCTCTAGCCAACTTCTGATCATCCGATTCCGGCTGCCCGGGTTCAGGGAGCTTGAGACTCATCAGTTCAAACGCCCTGGGGCCATTCCAGCTTGTGTATTCGTTGATGAGCTGGCTTCCGACCATGTACTCGGGAGCAAAGATCTTTGTTGAAGTGTACTCCGGTCCATCCCAACCTCGTTCTTCGTCGACAGTGCTCATGACCATAGTGATGACCTGGCCCTGAATGATATAGTCGGTAAGACGCCGACTGATCTCCTCGTGTCCGGCAGCAGTAAAGGTCTCTCCCAGTAAGGGAATTACCTTGATGAGCGGATGTTTGTATAGACCCTCGGTATTGGTCTTTCCCTCCCACAGCTTCAGCAGCAGGCTATGGCAAGCTTGCCAAAAAGCGTTTTCGGGAAGACTGGCGATAAAATAGTTCAACAAGCTGTAGCTTCGAGGGCCGTCAGCGTTGTATGATAGCACTTCGTATGGGCTGTCGGCATTTGCGACGGTTTCGTTCCACAGTCTGTCGAGATCTCCGATCTGCATGAACCCAACATCCGTGTAGACGCCGCCATATCGTACCAGTAGAGGGAATCGGACTAGATCGGAGTAATGCTGCTTGGCAAATTCGCCGTCGAGAGTCCCATTTTTGAAAGCTTCAGGCACAACAGTCGGATCCTCCAGATCGATCCAGTTGCCAATGTAACCAGCAGATTTCGGATCGAGGTCAACAACGCGGATCTCCCATCCCTTCTTTGACAAGCGACGATGCCAAGCGCGAACATTGCGCTTGGCGTATGGATGCAAATTTTCATATCTAGAGTTCCAGAAGAACCAGATGTTTTTAGGCGATGTGACGGGACGGAGACTGTTGATGGTGTCATCTACCTCGGCGTCCGATCGGAGATCTATTTCATCATCGGGGATAGCGTAGACGCCTTTGGGGATTGAATAATGGGGATATGGTGGCATCGTGAGGTCAGGTAAGTGCTGAATTAGGTGTGAAGTGAATAAACTGCCTATTAACCGTGAATTTGTGCTGTTTCTGTCGTGATAGAAGAGCCGCTGGATGTCTCGCTATTTGTATACATCGCGTGTTCCTATTGCGGTTAGCGTACGATGATTCATTGTGCGTCATGCTAAATCGGTGCCTAGTGCGTGCGTGTACACAGGTGATGCAAGAGATGAAGGTGTTGGTTTGGACTCATTCCACAACATATGAGTCAATAGAGTTCAAATCATCTTATCAAGCCTTTATTTGCTATTCTAAGCAAGTTAATTCTCGTCAAAAATGTCTACCGAACAAGACACTGCCCCCACCGGCCCATCCGAGCACAGCTATGCCGAAATCATCGCCACCGCAGCCAGGGGGAACGAGATCACCGGACTGGACATTTTCCGAAAGACATCAGACGACATCACTCCCGAGAGAGTCGAACATTTGATGTCGCAGATGCACGAAGATCAACCCGTTGGTGGTACAGACATGTCTTATGGAGACAGTGATACACAGCGTCTTCGCTTCTGGAAATCCAAATCCCCCAAGGCTCCAATCGTCGTATTCGTCCACGGAGGAAGTTGGAGAGTAGGAACATACTTGGACTCGATAGGAGCAAAGAAAGTCGACCATTTGCTCACCAAAGGCTACGCATTTGCCACCATCAACTACACCCTCATTCCTCAAGTCAAGGTGGAAGAACAAGTCCAGGAGGTAGCCGACGCGGTCGGCTTCCTGGTCAAGAATTCCCATGAACTTGGGTTTAACAATGAACGAGTCGTCTTAATGGGACATAGCTCTGGAGCACATGTCGTTACCCTGCTGGGGACTGACACCAGTTACCTGGAGCGCGCAGGGGTGGATATTCGCACCATACAAGCCGTCGTCTCGATCGATGGCTCCAACTACAATGCGTTGGCTGAGATGATGGACAGTCCGGGTCCAGTAGCACAAAATATGATCTACGGACTAGGCTCTGATCCGGAGAGGCTGCGCGCAATGTCGCCGACTTACCATGCCCGTGCGCCAAATGCGAAAGCTTTTCTTCTACTACATGCCCAAAGGCAGGGCGACATTCGCCAGGCAGTCGAGTTTGATGCTGCGTTGACTGCTGCTGGTACTGAAGTTGCTCTGCATGTATTTGAAGGCGAGGGGTTTGAAGGACATGTGCAGATGCTACTCAGGCTTGGCGATCCGGAATATCCTGCGACTTTAGTCATGGATAATTGGCTGGGCAAGTATGCTCCAGCGGTCTAGTAGCTCACCTGTGAGGAGGGTAACACAAGATGCTTGGGCATATGAGACTGAGGTTGGGATGTTTACAAAGATAAGCACGAATACAGCGTGAATGCAACATTATCAATTAAGCCCAAAGGCAAAGCGGGCGTGATCGAGAATACCGAGTTCTGAACCACCAGCTGCAACAAGGACGTATACATCATTGCCACGATTGCCAAGCAAAGGAGAAGCTATCAAATAACCAGCGCTCACCACTCTCCCAACTACCTCTAACGCGCATCCAACCAGTCAAACGTATTCAACAGATCAAAGTTGAAATTCATAGGCCCCGTCAACCCAGAATTAAAATCTTCCAAAACACCCAAATTCCCCATCGAATCATTGAGATGGTAGTCCAGCACACGCTGAATCACAATCTTGCAGTTGGCACAGAGATCTGCGTTCGGTGCCGAGGGTCCAACCCAGTCGAAAAAGCCGACCAGCAAGCTTAATTGCTGGACAAGGCTTGAGCGGGTGAGTCGGTCATCTTTGGGGTGTTTCCAGTGAAACGTGGGTTGTAGGAGCTCGAGGCATAGAATTCCACCTCCTGGTGCCGCGAAAGCCATCAACTAGGTCATTGTCAGTAACGCTGCTAAACAAACCGCACAGCTTGGGACATACCAGCCACTCGAAATAACGACGGACTTGAGAGAAACGATCTTTCTGCGTCCAAAAGGTAAGAGTCAGAGTCACAATCTCAAACGTTGTTATGAGCAAGTCCCCCTCGTCTGGAGCGCCGTGTCGCAGCATCAGTCGTTCCAGTAAAAACAAGTTCTGTAGATGTGTAATCTGAAGCAGCATTCTGACGGTAAGAATATCCGAGTCGATGCTTGTGTCGGCAAGGTCTTGAGGGTTATAGACCAGTCCGGCTGGGAATTGGGAGATGGTGTCCATCTCGCGCTGTTTGAGAGCCCTATTTGAGTCAGTAGACCCCCGTTATTTGAACCATACATATCATACCTCAGTGACTCAAGACTTGGGTTGGCTCCAGGACTAAGAGCCAATTCCATGATCTCGTCAAGAAGATAGATAATCATGACACGCGCCCGGCAAAACGTAGACACATAGATGCCTCCATGCGTATTCCAGCCATTCGCATCCAATGCAGAAACAGCGTTCGCGAATGTAGCTTCATCAGCTACAAGCTCCTCTTCACCCAAGTCAAGAGGAAGGGGAGTTGTGCAGTATTGACGATGAAGCAGCGGTGGGCGTCCTGTGAATGCAACACCATGTTTATCGACGGAGTAGACTTGGGCGAAGAGATGTCGTTTGTACTCTGAACACAAAGAGGGCCTGTAGTTGGGACCATCCTTTTGCGCGTGGCCTCCTAGGTACGTCATCATGGCGACTGCCTCTGCGTGGGTTACCCAACAGATAAGGCCTGGTGGACATAGTAAGCAGCTGGACGTTGATGGCATGGCGTATACTTACTCGCGTCACCTGTAATACCCGACTGGGATGTTTCCTTCAGACGATAGAGATTAATCAGCAAGTCATTTCCTTCGGTGAAGTTTTGTGCCAACTCAATGCATCGAGCCAAGAATGACAGGGCAGATGCCGGTTGCGTCTTGACTCCTGTCTTGTTGAGTTGAGCATCCTCGAGGGGATCGAAAGAGTTTGGCAAGGTCGCTAAAGTGCTCCACAAGAGACCGAGTGCCTCCCATCTGAGGTTAGGACCACAGAACTGATCCATCCAAGCCTTTGGGCTAGTATGAATGTCGAGGAACGGTCGGCTGCTGTTGTTGCATATCCGCTCGGCAATGCGTTCCAGGTCTTCCTTTCGGTTGTACGAATGGGGTCCAAAAGCAGTGTGTAACGAGTCGACGATGACAGGAACCAAGAAATGCGAGAACGGTGTTGGCTTTTGCATCGTATTCTGCAGTAGTAGCTGTTGATAGGTCGGGCCGAATACACAGCCCAGGATTGCAAGACAAGTCTGGCGTATTGTGGGTGACAGGTCCTGAAAGTTGACTCGACAGTGTGATGTCGATCCTGATACGGATGCATTGTCAAAGTCAGTGTCGAATATTCGGAGCTGGGAGAGGTAGTTCTTTGTCTCTTGGAAGATCTCAGTGTGGCCAGCGAAACCGAAAAATGTTGGCCCCGTCGCGGGCGTGTCAGGAAGCGACATGTCTCCTTCGCCAGACAGCATGTCGGTTGAAGTACTTTGAAGTGCATGCGATACTGTAATTGCCGACGCATAGAGACATTCAGTCTCTTTTCTTCCTCGTTGGCATCGGCCACAGACAGGCCTGGCGTGATCGCAAGCGACCTTTCGCCTTCGACAAGGCACACAAGCCTCAGGCCGACCGTTCGGCCTGTTGGATGGGGAATCAATAATGCTGCTCATTTCAATATGTACATATGAGTTTCTTGATTAATCTTCAAGAGAGGCCGACTATAAATGATGGATTTGAACCATGACACATTCTCGTCTGACTCAACATTGAACCCGACCAAAACGAGAGATATCCACGCAATCGCATAAGCGAAGCGAACTAGGATTAGCGGGGTCTATCATATGACGCTTCTCTTTCCAGAGGAAGGATAATGCCAAGATTTTAACATCCATCATCATTCGCTTCCGTCACTCCCTGCTAATCTCCCTTTCCCGTGATTTCTCGAACCTCTATGTACGGGTGATCTTCTTCCGCCGCTACTCTGGCTTCCGACCGTACACAATCTTGATGCGATAGTAGGGATGATGCTTCCCAGAGCGAATCTCCTTTCGCAGCTTTGCACAGTAGATCGTGACTTGTTCCTTGGACCATCCCCATGCGAGATCCGCTACGTGAAGAACATGACCTTCGACATCTCCCTCGAGAACCTCTTGCGCGAAAAGGCCGATATTTCTGTAGTTTTGGTCCTTGGGCCATCGTCCAATAGGTATCTAAACGCCAATTTCGTCAGCGTGCCCCAAACCAGGAGATGAAATGCCCACCTTGAAGATCCTTGATTCAATATCGACTAGCCCGGCTGCTGCCATGCCCTCCTCCTGCACGTTATCATCAACCACTGTAAAAGACCTTTTAAGCTTCTTGCCAGCTTTAATAAATGTTTTGCCCCAGCCGGCCATAGCACTATCGTCAGAGACACTCCCATCATCGCTCTGCATGACCGGCACGCCTTCGAAGCTTTCAACCCAACCTCCAGGCTTGCATGCAAGGAAGGCTTGCTCAAATAGACCGTTCCAATCCTTGACGCTTCCTACTAGGTAACGCATGTGGATGTAGTCAAAGGTATCGGGGCGAAAGGTCCACGGCCGAGTGCAGTCCTCGATTTCGCTGCCCTGGTTAGTCTGGCACTTGCACAATCTTGATAGCTTACAATTTCAGATTGGGTGGGACCCAAGATGGCTGAATGGGAGAGAGGTCGGTTCCGATTACTTCGGTGGCAGAAAACTCATCGGCGAAATCGCTAAGAGAGTTAACCATCTTTCCTATCGAGGTTCAGGCACGAAAACTCACATGGCCCAAATTCCTGCATCCGAAAGAGAAAATTAAGAAAATTGCCACCGGTATATGATTCTAAGAATGAAGTCTTACCAGTTCCAGTCCCAACATCTAGGGCTTTCTGTGACTGGTTAGGCTAATTCTTCACTCTCCAGACGTGGAGACTAGGCTTACTTCGATATCCTTGTTGATGGGGGCATGATGGAGCTTATCTTCAGAAGCGATCGTCAAAAGATGGTGACTATCAAAGTGAGCTGAGGTATTGGATACGAAGTCTCTGGTGCCCACTGAATGTCCATGACTTCGTTCTGCAGTGCATCATTGGGTGCCCTTCATGAAGTCAGTGGGACGAAAACCGCCAATCTCCAGACCCCGTACCAATACTGAGCGGTCCCTCTCTCAGAATGATATGTCCTCCCGTGCATGGTCCTGTAGTCTAGGATGCTGGAGCTGATAGACGCCGAGGAGCTGCTGGCCTCGGTACCAAGGGCGGAATCTCCATCATCAGCGGGATTATCATCCCCGACCTCGATCGGGGCCGCATCAGCCGCCTGAGGTGTGTCGGACTTTTGAGACTTGGGTGAAGATGCTGCTGCGGGAGATGTAGTGTCTGCCATTGCTCAAGATTCGAGGGAAATGTCCAAAAGAGAGATTGAGGTCAAGGAAGCCCCGAAGGAAATGAAGGAATGGAGGGGAACGAGAAATATCAACAACCAACAACACCAACAGTCACTTCACAATCAGCCTATAACACGAGCTTAATAATCTGCACGCTTCGTTGTTGGCTGCAGAGTCGCAGCATAAAACGCGTATAGTAGAAGGGTGAGTGTGATGTATTGGTAGTCCTGCAGGACGGAAACTGCTGATGAAGACGCGGCTTGGTTTCCTATTGGCGGTACAAAAGCCCAGAGTCAAGGGTTCAAACTCAAAATTCCACTCTTGTTTGCTCTTTTCTCGTTGTATGCATGGGATAACATAACCAACAGCAGGAAACCCTTGTCTTGGACCCTGCGGACCTTCCGACTCCCCGACAGAGGGGCCTCTGGTCAAAGATGACGATAACAAACTTAACACGAGTTCACCTCATTGGTTGTAGTCGATTTTGTGGCTATAAATCTCTTCTAAGATATCGTAGACAAGGCATATAAATCACGCTGTGATAGCCCATTGTCATTTGAGACGTCACGCTCGTGGATACATGCCCCAAGACACTGCAAACGTCAAACTTCTACTCATAGGGTTCCCTTTCAGTTTAGACGCGCTCCTGAAGCCTCAAGCGTAGCATAGAACAACTTGGTTCTTCCCATGATAATCATCCGACCGTCACCAGCGAATTGGAAGTTGGCGGCGTTGATACCTGTGAAAATCTTGCCGATGAATTTTCCAGAGGGGTTCCAGACGTGGACGCCATCTCCGCAGCCTGCGTACACGTTTCCTTTGGAGTCGCAGTGAATTCCTGTATCCATGTTAGTATTATTTAATGCTAGAGAGTGGTGTTGAAATTAGGGACCGAACTAACCATCAGGAAGACGTGCTGAAGCGTAGGCGAATGTCTTGCGATACTCCCACGTGCCGTCCTCTTGGACGTCGAAGCGGTAGCTGTTGACAATGAGCCTCCGACCAATTTTCGCATTTAGTCCTTCAATTTGACTTACATGGAAGCGGGTCGCGTGTAATTCTGCCCAAATAGTCCTTGGCTCAGTCCGGTATCTGTGACATATGCATATGATCCATCCGGAGAAAATGTGAGGCCTGTCAAGCGCAAGTTAGCAACAGAGCTACCCACCCGTTGGTCGTTTAACTAACCGTTAGGAGATACAAAGCCATCCGCAACTACAGTCACTGCCCCGGTCTCCAGGTTGAGACGGTAAACCTGGTTTTGCAGGCCAGGCTCGGGTCTGAAATGCTGCCAGTAACCATATTGGGTGTCGGTGAAGTAAATGTCACCATTTCGAGGGTTGATGGAGACATCGTTGAGGGAGTTGAACTGTCTACCGAAGAAGTTGTTGACGAGGGCTAAAAAATGCATCAGTAAAACTGTCATACCATTCACAGAGGCCTGCTTACTCGTAGTGTTGAATGGCTTCTCGGGGTTCATGAGGTAGAGAGCGGAGGGGATCTTGTCTCCCTGGCCTTCGCCGGCAAAGATGATCTGGCCCTTGTAGTTCGTGCCACCTGCCGACTGATCAATATCTATCCTGAATGATCTCATCTTACATACCGTTGGGGTTGATGACCTGTGACTTCGAATCCACAATGGTAATCTTGATTTCACTAGCTTCGTGCGAGCCATTCCTCAGGGCCTCAGCCTCTGCAAGAGAAATCTTTTGGATGACAGACGACTTGTTGAGGCCTGTTCCAGCATCGGGATCGCCAGCATTCTGAACGAAAAAGACCTCGTCGGTAGGAGGGTACCTGAAGATGTCAGATTAGATCCTCTATGAGATTGATGTGCTTCACTTACCAGACGACAGCTTCATGGAAGATGGGGTCCTTATCCGATGTGGACAGCAATGTCAGGGAAGGATCACTTCCAATGATGTCGTAGAACTCGGGGTCATAAACATGGAAGGGTCGTTCACTGAGAGATTTTTGCGTGACTCCAGGCCATGTAAATTCCTATCATTCGTTAGCTGGCTCTATAATTGCAGGTGTAGCGTGGCCCTCACCTTGGTTGCGAGAAATTCCTTTGGTGCCGGGATATTGTCCAAGACAAGGAAGCTCTTCTGATCAATCACCTGCGCCGCATCTGGTAGTGGCCTTACCGCCGCCTTGGCCTCAACATGATGCAATAGACCCAAGCCAATAGGCCCAAGGACGGCAAGAGTAAGAACCGAAACAGCCATGGTGGTAGAGCTGAAGAAGCGCGACTTTCTCACCGACCCGGCCTCTTTATATCCATCCTTACCCCGCCTCGGCGGTTCACGGCCCTTTCTCGCAGACGGCATCGAACCTTGTCGATCGTTTTGAGTTGTTTTACGGGCTTTTTGGTAACTGCCGGAACGTCAGAGTCAAACTTGGTTACTGCGAGTCCGGGGTATTGGATGATGGTGCAACCTTGGCGTGAGGTGCGGGGGATACATCGGGAGCTAGGGTTTTAGACCTCAGGATTTGTCCTACGGATTACATCATATGTCTTGGACGAATACTGTTTATCGATCAATTAGGCTCTGAAGAAGCATACCCTTTCATAAAATCCTATTTCACAACCTTCAATTATCTATTTACTTTACACGGTCGGTCGCGCGAGCATCGCCAGTGAAGCCATAACCCCGCGCGAGGTTCGGAAAAGTTGGAGTTCGGAAAACAAGCAGAAGCGGAAAAACATCCGAGAACTAGGCGGCATGTAACATTAACAAATAGCCCGCATGACACAAACATCATAGATCGGCTCTTCTTTAATAATGATCTTCGCAGCTTAACGGGGGGTTTCAAGTAGATCTGTTCTTGACTCAGTTCGTGCCGATCTGTGTTACTATTTGAGTCACTTCGGCCCAAGTACAACCTTTGGTTATTCTATTATGCTCGTATTCTCTACTATATTTTCTCAGTATCTATCTCAAACACTACTCCTTAAATCAATTGTCCTACCACACTGCTAGACTCATTCAATTGTTGTCCCAGGTTGGACCTTGCGTTGCGACTAAGAGTGCCGACTCGGTGAGATAATCATTCATCGGCACCTGCATGCGTCCATGGCTTCGTTGCAGAAAAAAGCCATGTTGGGCAAAAATAAACAACATACAACATTGGGGACTCGCTAGTCGTCACCGATCTAGCTACTAATCCAACTCTGGCTAGGTTATCGATGGGAGATCGGACGGGATCCCGAGCTTTCTAGCAGATGTGTTCGTATGTGCTAGAGATCGGTTGCGAAGAGCGTCATATTCTCGAGACTCCCCCATACCCAAGCAGGAAGACCTCTAACCTTCTGGTTTTGAGAGTAGTGAAGATTTAACCATGATATCCTGTCTTCTTCGAGCCCTAGATACGAGTTGTGTTGTTGTAAGTAACAAATCTCTTGTGGGAACAACACCTCAAAATGGGTATCTATAATGAAGCCAAGATTTTACTTCAATGGTGCTATGCAGGGCCAAGTATGCTGGAATGCCAACACGGATTCAAAGCTGTGCTTCTTCTCGTGGGGTCAAGTCCGAGACATGATTCGGCACATGGCGACTCCATGGATTTGCCTACCCTAGGCCTCCATATCGACCACCACGTTTTTACTCCGTCTACACTCCTACTATATATTCATGACCGAAATCAATACTCAAAAGTTTATGCAGTGACAAAAGCACTCAGGATGTTCATTTCCATCTCGCTCTATAGTATCTACTGACAGTTTTGGAAAACATCATCACTCGGACCTCTTCCAGTCTTCCTCCATCGCGGTGAGCTTTCAAGGCTGACAGCTGGCTTCGCCAAGACCCTGCTCATCAGGCGATAATACTGGCTTCTGTTTGTAAAGATGTCTTCACCATCAACTTCATTGGCCCCTTTACCGATGCGACAAACGTGAGCTTACGCTGAGGATCACTTGGCAATGGGGATCCCGCAGAAGCTGCACTTCAGCCGTACTGCGCGAGCCACAATATGACCGCAGGGCTTTGACTGTGGAGTCCTAGGCTTGTAGGCTATTGGTTTCAGCCACGACCACGTCTGATCCCTGAGCCTGCTGGGCAACGACTTCAGGTGGTGATGTCAAAGTCCCACCCTCAAGGCTGAGTGCAGGGGGCTAAGCCCAAAGCGGTGGAACTGAGCGCCAGAGGAATTCAAGGGTCAAGAATGATGGCGAGAGGGTCCCGTAAAGTAGGTATAATTATGGCCTCGAAGACTCATCTTGACTTCAATCTTCGTCAGACTTTTACATCTTATTGCATTCTCTTCACCTTTCAAAATGACAGACCGATCTCTTGGTGACCACGTCAAGGGTTTCCTTTCAACCCTCTCGTCCTCGCACTCAAACAGCAACTCTCCTGCTCCCCCATACAACGGCGCATATTCCCAGCCTCCAATGCAACAGCCCCCGTACCCGGATCAACAATACGGTGGCCAACAGTATCAGCAAGATTGGCAATCGCAAAACGGCCCCCCTTCTTACTACGGACAACCTCCTCCCCAGCAATGGCCGCCTGCCAACCAATACCCACAACAGCACAACGGACCTCAGCAGTATGGTGGACAACAGCAGTACAATGGGCCTCCTCAACACGGATATCAGCAGGGTCCTCCTCAGGGTCCCTATGATCAGCACCCCTCTCATGGGTTCCCACCTCAACAACAGCAACAACAGCAGCAACAACAAGGATATGGCCAAGGGCCCTCTGGTACTCCCACGTCTCTCCACGTGAGGGCAGCAGGCGATAGGGTGTACTATGTGGTGGATTCAAAAACGGGCCAAACTGTTTACACCTTCAACTTTGGCTTCAAGTCTTCAGGAGCTGGGCCCGTCCATGTCATGCGCGGCGACAACGGACCTCCATGCGGGACTCTCACCTATCATTCCTTCTCAAGCAAGGTCGACATGAACCTTGGAAACTCTTTCGTCAAATTCAAGAAAGACTTCCCCAGCAACACCGGTCTGGGCTATCTTACATGGCAAAAGAACGGCGGCGGTTGTTTTTCAAGCGGCGGAAACCTCATTCTCGAGAGCGGGGGCGGTGTCCTCGCCACCTACCGACTGGAGAAAGGTCCTGGTAGCCAAAAGCGTCAAGGTGGAGGCATCGAGATCCAGAGGCCAGGCTTGAGTCAAGCTCAGTTGGATGAGATTGTCATCAGTGGTGTGGCTGAGCTGGAAAGGTTGAGGCTTGCGGCAGGCTCCTCATCAGCTGGATCAAGCGCTGGTGTGATTGTGGCTATTACTTGAAATCGATGGCCTAGGCTCAAAGAGTCTACGTGGAGGTGCGTAGTCGACTTGGGGAGCACTCAGTTTCGCGATGGCGCTGTGGGCAGTTTCACTGAATTTGACATGAGCAAGGGGGAATGATTGAAACGGTATATATGTTACAATTAACAGCCGGTCTATTCTGTGAACATGCCCTTTCCTGCTGCCTTGCGTTCCAAGTCCTGCTGGCCCAGTCTAAATGCACTCTATAGTACAACAAAGAAAATTACGACGCTATGAAGATGATGTAGTTTGGGTTCCCTTATGCTTCCCCTTCTTATGAGTGAGTAGTTGCCACACATTCATGTTGGCGAATTGCATAAGAGCAAGTGATCCACGAATCGGAATACCCCTCCCAGGCACGCAAATAAACAAATCTGAACTGAGTGAGTCATCAGGATAGAACTTGTTGAAATAAGCCGTCTTTCCCGTCACAGGGACCGACTTGATAACTCGGTTATAGCCCTGTTTCCAAACCCAAGACTCAAACCTGGTCTGTCCATGCACCTCTTGGATGTCGGAAGCTGGCTCAAAGCCTAGGCTCAAGTAGCCAATATCGGCATGTTTGAGGATCTGCATGGCGGTGACGATAAGGAGGTCGGTGATGCCGCGTGGGGCTGTAGAAGAGGCGATAAAGGGGTCGATGTGAAATCCGTTTTGGGCTCCAAGTGCCCTTAGAGTTGCGAATCCGGTGACTAGACCGTCTTTGTCGGTAGTGTAAAGAAAAAGTGTCGAATCTGGGTATGAGAAGAGATCGTAAACGGTGACAAAGGCCTGCAAGTCTTTCCCACACTTGGTGTTCCTCGCGAGTCGCCAATCGTCGTAGAGCTGCTGTAGCCGATATTCCAGTGAAGCATCAACACCGGTGATACTTGGGCAGTATATCTTTAGTGATGTACCGCCCCGTTTAGGATCAAGAAGCATTCTGTTTTGGCTGACCATGCGCTTGCTTGCTTGGTTCCGCAACACTTTGTTGGTGAGAGGGTTGATGACTCTTTCATGGCCAAAGCGTAGTGTCGTCCATCCTTGTTGCTGGACGTACAGGGCAAAGTCCTCACTGGCGCCCACAAATGCAATACCAAGCCCTTGTTTCTTGCGAAAGATGACGAATTCCTTTAGGAGGGGCGTCCGATGCTCAAGTGTGCATAAGGGGTCACCTGCAACGACGGCAGTGCGGGCCTGAAGCTTGTAAAGTAAGGCGCCTAGGCCCTGCTGGCTGGTAAAGACTTTGTAGGCAGGATCGAGAATGCCCATGTGAGCAGTTCGAGCGTGGAGGTGGTATGCTTCATTGAAGACCGTCGTGGCATTGTTGATGCTGTGATCATCTCTTGGAGTAAGACCGGAGTCCAACTGGAATAGATCGCAAGCGGCATAGTAGGTTCGAGAGACGATAGTTTCGTCGGAGATTTGAGTTGTTGAAGAAGGAGATGTTGATAGCCTGGGTGTGTCTAGCTGGGAACAGCCTTCACAGGTGAGAGAAGAAGACGAGGACTGCATGCTGGACCCGCGCATGATGAGGTATCGGAATGCAAAGTGGATGTAAGGCTAAATGGAAAAGAGACAAAGGCTGAGATGGAAAGGAATAACAAGTTTAAATGCTAACGTACTTCACTTACTGCTCGGCTTCCATATAGGGGGCTCTCGGACAGTTATATCCCCTCCTGATCAGACGCAAGGCAGACGCCTGGCTTGGCACCTGGTATGAGATCGGAAGCACGGCACCCATACTGTCAAGCATCTCATGTCTTGCGCATATCGAAGTTGGTGGCTGTGCAAAAATAGCCACGGACTCGGTGACCACGGACACCGTCAGGAGGGCATCTTGATTGGCGGTGGAGGCCGCGCAATCGCTGTTTACGAAGGAAACATTCTCTACGATAGACGCACTGTAGACTCTTGTAGACTGAAGTAAGCTACGCCTTGTGAATACGAAGTACGATAAATGTGGAAATTGGGCGTTCGGAAGAATGGCATCGTGCTGATGGCTTCAGCCCTAGCGGCGACCTGGTGCCGGCCGGGAGGCCGAAACAGAGACGGTCATGATATCTCTAGAGTCTTCAGACAATCTACTGATAGATGAAACTTCTTCTAGAAAAAGTGAACGACGGCATGTACCTTGCACATGTCTGGCACAACAAGTGTCGTAAGGCGGGCACATGAGCCGCGCGTGCGTGCACCCAAACCTTCAAGTTCGAGACTCGGCCATTTTCCCTGCTGACTCGGGCTCCGCGGGCCCAAACGTCAAGGCCAAAAAGTGGCGCTGCCCTACGGCAGAACGAATCGGACGCGAACTCTACTGCCAACAACTCGGCAGTGGCCGTCTTTGCCGGTTGGCGGATCACATAGTTACGAGTCGACCAATCAGATGCGCTCATGGCGTTTGCTTTCTTTGTGATCTGGCGAGAAAACGGCAAGGCAGAAATAAACATATTAGATGAGATTGCGAGAGAGATGAGGTCTGAAACCACCCTGTCTTGCAGCAGATGGACACGATGAGGCCTCCAGGAACTTCCTATTTGGTAAGGCTATCAACTGCCGAGCTGTGGCGATGATCACCTTTGGCGGGTAACCCCGTACGGGCCGTCCAATCCAAGGGAATATGGCAACTAGTAAGTGACACTGAAAACATTCCAGAAAGCCGGCCTCTTTTGCCAACTGAGCTGCTTCCTCCTCCCGGCAGCCAGGTACTGTCCCTTCTCCTTGGCCTTGAACGAATACCCCTTGCTCGGCTCGAAATCGACGACAAAGACAATGGCGTTGTTGGAAGCCTTACAAAGCCTCAACCTATCGCAGATGTAGAGGTTATTGTTGGCGGAACTGATGGTGAACTCATCGCCGCCAACCTCGACTGCATGAATAACCCAGCCTTGGTCGACATTGTCGTGGTTCTGAGTGGCACCGCTCAACCCAACAGCTCGGCCACGTGAAGAAACACTCAGAGCTTGACCTGAATTCTCAAAGACAAGAGTACGACCCTCTGTGAGCTGGCCGCGAACACTTTTGAAGCCTTTTTCAGCGAGAGTCTTGGTGTCATCGACTTTGCCATCTCCAGTATAAGGTACGGTAGGCCGTCCATTGCCATACTGAGAAGCGCAGTGTGATGAACCATCATATTCACCCTTGCTGTTCTTGTGCGGCTCAGGGGCATCAGGAAGATTCGGTAGGCTGTAGTCCGGATTCTCAAAGTCGAAGGCATTGACAAGGTCAGCCATGTTCTCGCGCCGCCATGGAACAATCTCATCCGTCTTGACATCCCGACCCTTAGCAGCCTGCCATTTCTCGACAAACATCAGCTGCGAAGTGTGATCACAGTGCTCAGTAAAGACTCCGCCGTTCCGAGTGAATGGCGAGATGATGTAGAAAGGCACGCGGAAACCGGGGCCCGCGGGCGTGCGACCGGCTTCACCGTATGGATCATCAAGCCATTCCCCGGAGGTTCCGTCTGGTGAATGATACGGGCTGACGTGATCAGCCCAACCTCCCGTCTCATCGTAGGAGACCATCAAGACGGTCTTGGAGTACTTTGGTGAGTTGATGACAGCTTCAGCAATCTTGCGCTGTAGCCAGGACCCGTCATTGGGCGAGTAAGGAGGATGTTCTGAAAGTTGCATAGGTCCGACGATGTAGGAAACCTCAGGAAGGGTTCCGTTGGCAGCCTGAGCATAGAAAGTGTCAAGAGACAACCCCTTCATACCCTTTGAGTTGAGTGGAGATCCACTACTGGAGTCTTGAAACTGTTCAAACCAAGCATAAGGGTTGTCATCGAAGTTATCAGCGTCCTGGTACACACTCCAAGAAACGCCAGCATCTTCGTACTTTTCAGCAACTGTCTTCCACTTGAGGGGGTAGCAGTTGATTCCATCCTTGTCGCAACCAGGAGTCTCATTGTTGTCGATATAAGGGTAACCACCTTCATCCTTGGTCTGGGGAGAGCCGGGGACGTTGATGGAGCCACTAACCCACATGATACGGTTGGGGTTGGTAGATGCGATGACTGACTCTTGGTACATGTCACCGATGGTCCATCCCTCAGCCAAGGCGAAGTGAACAGGCAGGTCCTCTCTCTTATAGTAACCAATGCTATAGGGAGTGTTGTTGACAGCCCAGTGGTCGTTGGCACCGTGATTCAAGGCAGCCTGGTTGGCATCCCAGCCGTTGGATCCGGCGGACATGCACTGAGTAGCCTCTGGCCATGTTCCTCCAAGGTAGTTGAGATACCAAGGAGTAATGTAGTCAGTGTCCTTGCTCAGGTTAGGAGTTACCAGCTGTTTCCAGACTGGAACTCCATTGTTGTACTGAACGTTTGGGTCTGCAAAGCCGCGAACGCCGGCCATGGTACCAAAGTAATGGTCAAAGGCACGGTTTTCTATCACATGGTTAGATAAGATGCCAATAACTGATAGAAATAGATGGCTAACCTTGCATGAACAGGATCACATGGTCGATATCAGCCAGACCCTTTGATTCCGCAGGGCCTGTAACAGCCAAGACGGCCGCAAGGACCCAAGCAGTGCCTCGAGTGATGAGCATGTCGAAACAGCCAGGCCAGTTCAATATGCACTGCCAAGTCCAAAGAAGCCAAGACTCGAGATGTTGCAACATGGTGGATTCATATACTTGGCAGTTCTCTCAAGGATCCCGGTGGAGTATGACGATGGTAGTTTGTTCGGTGTTGAGATGGTTGATAAGGACCGAGTCACACGTTTCAAATCCGCCTTTTGTGATTAGCAGACGATATCACGCGGAAATAAATGAAACCACTCTTACTGTAACTCTAAATGCAGATCTCATCTGGATCTGGAGGAGATGTTATATGCTAACTTATTCCCCCGACCGATGCAAACTGGGTCCATGTGAAACGTCGACGAACCAACCAATCACGTTGAGCTATTGCATCTCGTGCGAGATCTACTTATCAACAGCATCACAAGGACGTTGCACTCACACGTGACGCTGCGGAAATACGGCACGGAGTTGAAGTCGAATATCGCTCATTACTCTAAAATCATCAAGGAGCCGAGGTTGTGTCCAACGAAACAATGACAGAGCACAACCATGGTGGCCCACGATGAGGAACATGATGGTCTCCTTGACGAGTTCGAGCTGCAAGATGAAGATCCAAAGACGCGGCCTAATTCTTCACATCGTACAGTGAGAAGGTGGGCCAGGTTTGTACGACGACGTGTTTGGTGTCTTATAGCAGTCGTTGTCGCTATTGCGTTACTATGTATCCTTGGCGCCGCTTTCTCATCAAGAGGAACCCTGAAGGCCCTGAAAGGCCCCGAAGAGGGTGGTCGCCTTGGCATTCGGCTGCATCCAGAAGAGCACGCATCCAGACCTCCAGCAACGCTCAGCTTCAATTGGACCATCACAGCTGGACTCAGATCGCCAGATGGTGTTCAGAAGAGAGTATATCTTGTCAACGGTAAGTTTCAATGCTGCACTCATATCTCGTATCTAACTCAACACTGCAGATGAGTTCCCGGGGCCAACCATCGAGGCAAGATCCGGTGACCGGCTTGTGCTGCAAATCCGTAATAGCCTTGAAGAAGAGGGTGTTTCTCTGCACTGGCACGGTCTTCGGATGAAACACCAGAACTTGATGGATGGTGCTGTGGGAATCACACAATGTCCGATACCACCAGGCCAAAACTTTGTCTACAATTTCACTATTGGCGACGATGAGCACGGCACCTTCTGGTGGCACAGCCATTCCGACGTTCAACGAGCTGACGGGCTCTGGGGAGGTCTGATCGTACATTCTCCTCGGGAAGAAAACCCACCGCCAGAGGACTACTTGGTAATGGTCAGCGATTGGTTTCATAGAAACCAGACTGAAATCTTGGCTTGGTACGCTGATGCCAGCAGCCGAGGAAATGAGCCCGTCCCAGATTCGCTGCTGGTAAATGGAAGAGGACGCTTCAACTGTTCCATGGCGGTTCCTGCTCGGCCAGTTGTCTGTTCTCAGATTGCAGCACATGAGCTTGCACCACTACTCAATCCGTCAAGAGAGAAGGCCATGAGATTGCGCTTTGTCAATACGGGTTCAGTCGCAGGCTTCAGCGTGCAGATAGACGGAGCGACAATGCATCCAGTTCGCGTAGATGGCGGGTTCAGCGTTCACGCAGAGGCGAGCGAATCTATCGGCATTATTTATCCCGGTGAAAGGGTAGACGTTGATGTCAAGTGGATTAAAGACTATCCGGGAGATCATTGGCTGAGTATAGACCTGGACTCTGAGTAAGTTGCAGTTATCTGTATTTTCGTGTAGAATGCTAACAACCAATCTAGAAACTTTGGATATCCCAACCCAGCATTGAACCCGACCCAAATATTTCCCATTATCGGAGAAACTTCCCGTGAAAGTAAACACAGAGAGCAACATGCACCGAGCAACACTCGAGCCCTCGATCTCCAAAACGTCACGGCTGCCACGCGAGTTTCTGACATCCCGCCTAGAGCAAAGGAGACGTTTGTCTTTTACGCAAAGACTGAGAAGTTAGCACACTTGGACTACCAGCCCGTTGGTTTCATCAACCATACATCATGGAAGCCACAAAGCCGTCCTTTACTCTCTCAAAACAGGACTGCATGGGACGAGAACCAACTTGTCCCCTTCATCGGCTTGTCTTCAACCGAGCCTACAAGAGTGGACATTGTCATCAACAACCTCGACGACGGTGCCCATCCCTTTCATTTACATGGTCATTCCTTCTACGTTCTCTCGTCCTACAGGGATGAAGGCCGTGGTGGTTGGGGTAGCTACAATCCTTACTCTGGTGACCAGCCTCCAAATGGCCTCAATCTGGACTTTCCACTACGCAAGGATACAGTCAGCGTGCCTCGAAGGGGTCATGTAGTCTTGGCGTTGGTGGCGGACAATCCAGGCATTTGGATACTGCACTGCCACATGCTGGTGCATATGGCGAGGGGAATGGCGATGGCGCTCCATGTTGGAGATGTTCAGGATGTGGAGCATGTTATTTCAGCTGACCTCATGGCTGGTGAGCTTTGTGGGAGATAAACAACCTTGAGCTGTCGTGTTTGTCCGTAAAGCATACGATTACGTTCACCATAGTATTTCACCAGGCGCAAATAAGAGCAACGATCAAGCCGGAAATGTTAAGCAGCATTCGACGGACACAACTCAAGATAGCCAATGTGAACCAGGCATCGCTCTCTGGACAATTTTGGTCTTCCATGTTATAGTAGTCGCGTAGGGCTTTCGTCCAACGATCTGGTTCAAGGCCTGGAGCCAGTAGTTCAGGATGGCATTACTATTAAGGCGTATTGACATTAGATATTAGACATTAGTCGACTTTCCTAGCTCCCTCCATACTTCCCATTTGTATTGTCCCTTGATCCTCCGGCACCGTCTCCAATGCCTGTCTTCGTGCCGCCGCCCTCTCCTTCTTTTTCCTTCTCCTACAACCCCAAATGCAACATCCAGTACAGAGAAGTGCAACACCCACGAGAACTCCAATAATTACATAAATAAAGTTCTCCATACCCCTAAGGGGCGAATCATTTACCGGCTGAGTTGACGATGTCCCCGTAACCGTTGGTGGCCACTCTCCACCCGTATAAGGCGTTGAGCAGTCCGGAACACAAGTTGAGCCGCGTTTGTTGATTACGTAGTTTATCGTGGCAGCCGAGGCTACGAGCTTGTCCGTCTCGGGGTCGAATTCTGCGGTTGTCGCGGCCTTGACGAGCCTGTCGCCAGATGTCGACCAGTAGCTGATGTTCATTGCCCATGGAGGGCTACCAGAAAATGAAGGTTGCCTGGCGACGCAAGAGGATATCGTCAGACTGGCGGAGCTGCCTCTATTGTCGGTCAAGGTTGCCATTCCACGCCACTTGAAGTCATAGACACTGTATGTCCCACGAGTTAGTCAACGCCAGGTGTGCACATTTCTTGGCTGCTCACGTTGGACAACAGTAAATCTCGCGAGTAGTCTCGCCGTTGGACTTTTCCCAATCCCAAGTGCTCGCCACCGTGTACTCAACAGGGCATGCCGTTGCGATATCACGGTAACCTGGGAGGCAATCGTTGTTTGGCTCATCCCCAACTCCATCAATCCCAAAGAAGGTGCATGTGTGCGTATCCGGCTTATATAGGCCTATTCCAGTGCCCCAGGAGCACTCGGCTGTCTCGTAGAAGATGTTGGAAGCGTTGACGCATCCTGGCCCGGGGGTAAAACGAGGGATCGTTAACGACGTTGTCTTGGTGGTGAGTCCGTTGGTGGTCGGTGTCAGGACGTCGGTTGAAGTGCTCGTCATGGCGAATATTCGCCTATCGGCCTCGAACAAGGTTATTTAAAAGCATACTGGGAAGGCAGAGTGCCACCATCTTTATATTCGCCCTCGGGGCATGTTTGGGTTGGGTAACATGGTGCTAGCAGGGATCCTTCACTCTTATCATAACCAATCGCCAGCTGTTGGTTCTGCTGCGCCGCCTTGTAGGCCAACCAAGGCTCGTATTCCAGCCCTTTTCGCATCCCTCAAAGCTGGGCAACGGCTTAATGTGAAACAAGTTGTGGGGTTTCCTTGGCAGCCAGCATTTGAGGATGTGAAGAAGCAGTCCCGGGCGTAGTCTTAGGTCACGTTAGGTGGTGTTAGGAGAGGGGACTGCAGCTGCATGCCCCTGCAACAATTTACCGGCTCTAAGACTAAAGAATAAAGCTTATCCGAGCCGTCTCTGCCGTGCCTGCGAGGTTCTGGTCCAGCCCTACGATATCCAGGCAGCACATCGACCACCAAATAAGGCTGCGCCAACTCAGCCATCCAAGATGACGACCCTCCCCCAGATCAGACCAGGCGGGTCCCAAGCATCCCTGTCCAGCCAAGACCAGGCCACACCTTCAGACATGATGATTGGGCTGACCTCAAGAGCTGACCATTGGCTCGACCCCCGCCCGGCTGTACCCTTGAGAATAGGCTGACATTTGCTCCGGACCGACGGACGAAACTTCCTTATTCCTCCTAGCCCACGCGATCATACTCTACTCTAATCTCGGACTAGAGTGATGATCCTTCGCCTTTGTGCAAATGACTCCGCAGCCTTTGTCTAGCTCACAGTTGCAGACGGTGCTGCTCGAGGCCAAGAGCAAGAACAGGCTGCTGCTGACACGGTCCGAGCAGGAAATATGTCCCTCAGAGCCAGTCGGTCCAGGACATCAGAGATTCATCAAGCTGGAGGATCACAACCAAGGTTTCTTATCTGAATCACTGCAACGACGACGCCCGCCTGCAAATCTCATACAGCTACTGCTAGAACCAGCAAGCAGAAAGCGGCCACGAGATACTGGCTTTCCAGAGCCACCACAGTCTTCAGACCCACAAAGCTTTTGCGAGGATCAAGTCTTGCCCCATCCAAATAGCAAGAAGCGTTGTACCGAGACCCAAGACAGCCAACCAGATGAACCCTCGTCGAGTGACACCAAACTTGAGACTCAACCACATCCTGCCGGTTACACAGATGCCGTCAACATCCCCAGCAACATAGTGAAAAAAGATGAGCCTAGCGCATCGCCCCAGGACAGACCAACAGCATGTCCATCGCCAGGCATCAGCTACGTGGAGCTAGATCAAAAGAGTTCCAAGACAGACGGCTTAAATAATATCACTTGCAGTGAAGAGCAAGCCCTGGCTGTTGACGATGACTGGTTGCCTACCTACGGCCCATCGATCAAGGTTGAAGTCACGGGTGTTGACGCTCAAATCCCAAATGATGAAGGTGGTCTCACGCAAGAACTCGAGGAGCGACAAGGCCAAGACCTCAATGCCAAGGAAACAGACCCACGGCAGATTTCGACAGATGAAGAGATGAAGCCCGTCTATGATGAACTGCCAGAAGAGACCGAGAAATATGAGGGAGTACACAGCATCCCCACGCCTCAGGATTCTCCGGACTGGCCTGTTTTCGAACCAGACGAGCCTTTCCAGCACCATGGAGCGATCGTGCCATCCAGCCCAGCAGTTGCAGCAGAGATTAGCAATCTACATCTCCTCCTCGAAGTCCCAGACTCTCCAATGCGACTTTTTGAGGCTAGCAGCCCAGCACGCCCTCTTTGGGAGGATGATTTGTCCTCAGTTGAGCCAGCGGTCGAGGATCATTCCCAGGCTATCGAGGCCCTCTTTGGCAGTGATACGATGAACCCAGCTCATCTGAATCAGCGACCCGTTGACAAGTCACTGATTAGCAAGCCACCGGGGCGTGATCATCCACTGTACAAGGGCACCCGAGATCCGGATGGTTTGTATCACTGTCCTTGGGAGAAGGAAGTAGGTTGCAATCACAAGCCGGCCAAGCTCAAGTGCACATTCGAGTAAGTACTTAATCACGCCAAAGTACAGTTCGAACACTCACCCCTTTTTCTTCACAGCAAGTTTATCGACTCCCACCTCAAACCGTACAAGTGCAGAGCTCCAGGCTGCCAAAGCACTTCCTTTTCTTCCACGGCTTGCCTCTTTCGTCACGAGCGAGAGGCTCACGCTCTACACGGCTACGGCGATAAGCCATATCTTTGTCCACAGGAAGGCTGCGAGCGAGCAATACCAGGCAACGGCTTTCCTCGACGGTGGAATCTTGTTGATCATATGCGAAGAAGGCATAAGCTAGACGCACCCATTTCAGGAATCATCGACGCGCGAACATCGATCAAGATGGTAGACAAGAAGGAGACAAAGGAGAATACTCCCCTTCCCGTTGAGACAGAGGAGGATTTGAAGAATAGATGGGACAGCCACCGGCGGGCTTTTGAGACCTTCATGGAACTGCTTGAAGATCCTGCGAACCCCAATAACGCGTCTTGGACCGAGCAAGCCCAGAGTCACCTATCTTCTCTACTTGCTATCCAAGTGAAGCTAAATGAAAAGAGCGAGAGTGATGATAAAAAGGCAAAGGAGAAGGGTGAGGAGAAGTCCAAGGAAAGCTGCAAGGGTGATGATACCGATGGAAAGGGTGGAGAAGGCAGTGAGAAGTAGGACAGATCAAGGCTGACCCCGACATGAAGTTTATGAGTAAATGAATACAATACGTCTTGTTCAAACAGAGGGAAGAATCTCAAGTATTTGAGACATTAGCGGTGCCTGAAAGAGAGCTGCTGCCTAGCGCGTATCACGACCATGACGACACCGCACTTATTGATCCCTCCCAGAGCAGTTTATCTGTGCCAATAAGGATTGAGACGCAGGATGATAATATTTCAATAGTAGAAGAGACTCTCCCGTTATTACGATACCAATAACAATCAGGCGCCTGGTTTATCCACATGTGTCTGTCCCGCATCCCTCATTTCGTATGTGGCTTTCAAGATAAGCACTTGGACGCTAATCCCTGAACTACTCCTCCATCAAAGAATCTTCTAGATATTTCTACGACTTTGGAGAATCTTGAAGAATCATCCAATATTCTGAGTTGTCACTTCCAAATTTGGCATAAAGGGGCGAGTTTGGCCGGCTTTCTTGAGATAATTCATTCACTCTACACTCATCATTCACTTCATTTGCCTCAATCATCAAACACTATTCTTCTTCATTCTCAAACATTCCATTCTATTCCTTCCATCATGGCCCAATACGCAACCCTCCCCGCCGGCGTCACCCTCGACGTAAAGCCATTCAAGGCTCATGTGGACGAAGAAAAGCTCCAGCACTTCAAGAAGCTCCTCGAGCTCTCCCCAATTGCCCCTCCCGTCTTTGAAAACACCAATGCTGGTCGCAGGTATGGAATGGAAAGAGACTGGCTCGAGAATGCAAAGAATGAGTGGCTAAACAAGTTTGACTGGCGTCAGCATGAAGATCGCATCAACTCCTTCCCCAACTTCAAGGCTTCGGTGAAGGATTCTCAGGGCAACGACATTGAGATTCACTTCTTGGCTCTGTTCTCAGAGAAGCCTGATGCTATCCCCATTGCCTTCTTCCACGGCTGGCCTGGCTCCATCTGCGAGTTCCTCGATCTTCTTGACCTCCTCAAGGAGCGGTACACTCCCCAAGATCTGCCCTATCACGTCATCGTCCCGTCACTCCCCGGCTACGCCTACTCCTCCGGTCCTCCCGTCGATGTTGACTATGGCGTAGATCTGGCAGCCAGCGCGCTCAACAACTTAATGCTCGGTTTGGGCTTTGGCTCTGGATATCTTGCCCAGGGCGGCGACCTTGGCAGCTTCGTCAGCCGATTCCTGGCCATGACCTCGGATGCCTGCAAGGGCATGCACGTCAACATGATGAGTATCCCGCCACTGGACAAAGACGATCCTCTCACAGACGAGCTCGAGAAGAACGCTCTCGAGAAGGCCAAGGAGTTCCTAGATACAGGAAATGCCTTTGGACTGTTGCAAGGGACACGAAGTGCCACAATCGGATTGGCATTGAGCTCCAGCCCGTTGGCACTACTCAGCTGGATCGGAGAGAAGGTCCTCGCATGGACTGATCAAGATCCTCCTCTCGACAAGATCCTCGAGACGGTGACACTGTACTGGCTGACAGATACTTACCCTCGGGCCATGTACCACAACCGCGGAATGGGCAACCCAGATGAGAAGCCCAAGATTGCGAGGATCAGTACACTCACCAACCTCACTCATGTGCAACTCCCATATGTTGCAAAGCCATGCGGCTACTCCCTCTTTGCGCACGAGATCTTCCCAGTTCCCAAGAGCTGGGCGGCCAAGACTTGCAACCTCGTGTACTTTAACCAGCACGAGCATGGAGGTCATTTCGGGGCCATGGAGAGACCCAAAGAGCTCCTCGCGGACGTTGAAGAGTATGTCAAGATGGTCTGGAAGGCTGACGAGTAGGAACTGGGTGATCATGTCCGTATGGGTCGGTCAGAACTGGATATCGAACGGGCTTTTTTCTTTCATTCCCTTGTCTTGGTATTTCACTCTTTATCCCCATTTTCCTTGGCCACACCTCCGTTAACAGATTGACAACTATGCAATACTACACTTACCCACCGACATCGCTTCGGGTATTTCGAAACAGGCTTCGGGATCTCAATTCACATCTTTGGTACTTTCCTTCATAGAAATGGCTATTCTCAGCCATTTGAGTCCCATTGTCGTATCATATAGTGATTCCACCATCCACAACTTTCGTAGCTTTGCGTCAAATCAGCCTCCGAAAAAAGATTGATGATAACATCCGCGCCAGAACAGAAGCCGGTGTGTGATGGCAGAGGAGCTAAATTAGAACACTATAGCGCTAATCATAGCAGGGGTCACACATGAAGCCGACTCTTCCTCAAAAACTCCCACTAAACTTTTGCAAGAATTCATGACTAGCCCACGGGCGTATCGAACTCAACTCCGTACTACCTGCTCCTCACGCGGTTCTCGTTTCTTCAACCGGCCCATCCGCCCCTAGTGGAATATTCAGCAGTGCCGGGTCTCCCCAATATCGCGGATTGCAGCGTTTGCAATATGTCCAGAATAGCTGTTGCTTTAACCTCCTTGGATGGATCACGCATTTTTCTTTGTCTCCCGGGTGTTGGCAGTATCTATAGTGGGTGCGTGTCGTGATGACAAAATCGCAGAATGAGCAGTGGTAGTAAACTTGCAGGATGATACACATTGTTTCTGGATGTGCGGCTTGGATAGAGCTTTGAAGGAGGATAGGCGATTTTTCGAGGCTGTCGTGATTGGAGATTCTATGAAGCCGATGCCTTCTAGATGGATTTTGGAGATTATTTATAATCCCCTGCTATCGGGGCGTGAATATCAGACCTGGTTAAAGGTCGGATTCACGGCGTGTAGGATGCGTTGTACCTCGGTGATGATCCGGCTCAGACAATGCTTCCGTGACGAAATGCATTAGCTGAGACATATTAGCTGATGGGGGTTTCCCAAAGCTGTGCAAATCCTACAGTGAAAAGGGAACGCCGCTGATGCTGGATTATACCAGTATATCAGGCATACCCTTACTGGTAGGTTCATCCATCAACTTTATACCTGGCAGCTGTTTCACAAGTGCAACCCATTGTGGTACACCCATAAACAGACGATGAGGGGGATTCATAATTCTCCGCATGATCTGAACATGTGAACGAGATCATTGTTGCACATTGTGCTCTGACAACTGTTGCTCTGGAAGCATTAGACAAGTAGAGGGGAGCGGAGCTGTGACCTTTGGCCCAGGCTGATGCTGTAAACTGATAGTACATGAAGAGATACACCCCTAATTGCATCCAAATTTTGCACATATCGATATTTTTAGTTCATCCCCGTACTCACGCATCAGCTCAGCAGTCTTGTCCTCTCTCCAGTACCACAAGCCAGCCCATGTGGCCCTAGATCCGACCAGAACCTGCCCTGCAATAACACCGACACCTGCTTTGACAGCCTCGAATATCCTGATGTATCCAAGCCTACGCAAATCCCAGATAGATTAAAGATTGCTGCTCACAAACGCCGTCGTGGCCAATGCCACACATTACCTGAACAAGACGGCCAACTTCCTCGCAAGCGTAGATAGGGCACATTCGGCTTTGAAAGGGGTTGGTAGGCTCATGAGAGTCTTGCAGACGTTGAATCCCGGATGTTGTCATGCGTATGCGAGGGAGGTAATATGTACCGTAGTCTGTATGATAAAGGCTTAGGTATATACCTCCTTGAGTGGTATCACATCATTCGTCTTATATCGGCCATAGATGACCTCGCCAACGTCTTCTTTCGACTGACGGTTGCCTTACTATCTTCTCTAGCCTATAGCAATCACCACTGCAAGAACATGAAACAGAAGTGCAAAAAAGAGCCTTAACCTGGCAGATGTCAGGCTAATTATGCCATGCGTGGACGTTAGAAGTTGGAGCCAGCGACGTGACAGCAGAAACTACAAAGTCAAAGTTAAGCCTAATGGAGGGAACCAATGGCCCGGTCACCTTGACAGGCATAGTACGTTTGGTGGGCACCCTGTAGGATGATAGTGCAGTCAAGATAGAACACAATGGCCGTATTCCACCGATGCCTCGGATTGCACTCCGACTGAGAGCAGTGACGGCAGAATCAGAGGAGTCGCCTGGCTACTAGCCCAGGAATCCTTGATGGTACATATCAAGAGCGGCAAAATGACCTGGGACAAAAGGTTTCAAAGTTGAGCTCTTGCCGAGGTATCCGGGTCCAAATCGGAACAGCGAAGACAAAAGTGAAGGGGTTGGAACTCGCCTAACAATCCCCATAGCACGCTCATACTGTGTCTGACTGAAGATATTTTCATTCTCCTCGTCCACTAGGCCATTCAAGTAGCCACCTCGACTATCCCTTGTTTGAAGCAGAGAATCTATCAACTCTGCACACGACTCCATGTGTCACTGGCCCCTTGGCGGCTTCTCCCACGCTAAGAATGCAGTGTCAGTCGCAAATTCTGGCAACCACATATAACCTCGTCAGGGGGCGCCGCGGGATTCCTTACCAATGAAATCGCCGCAGCAAGCGCACTGATTATTCTGGGTTTCTTTGTCGGTGTTGGGTCGAGCCAAAATTTTCCTCGAGCCTCATCTTGGAAGTTATAAAAGAGGACACAGACCGCACCATGACAACACCCGATTCTCAGCAACGACCGCACTCCTTCAATTCAATTACACGTTCTCTCAACAACATGGCAGGCTCAAGAAGCATCGCTCCAGAGGAGTGGGAATCGCTCAAAGCAATCAATTCTGACTTGTACCTAAGCCAGAAAATGACACTGGCTGAGATGATGAGACTCATGGATCCTCCACAACAAGCTGAGCAAGCGGTGTGCCAACATGTCAACAGTAAAGCCCAGTACGTGCGAAAGCTGAAGAACTGGGGAATGGAGAAGAATTCAACCAACCAGAAGTGGAAGGTTGCAGCCCAGCAAGTTCAGAAGCGGAAGTTGGAGGGAAAGGCGACCGAGATCCTCATCAACGGAAGATTAATCCCGTGGAAGAAGCTCAGAAAAGAGACAGGTAGATATGCCGGCTCCCAATCCGACATAGAAGGATCAGGTAAGTTTTGTATGCGAAC